CTGCCCTGTACTTCATCCTGCACGTTTAATGATCTTTTTCACGTTCTAGACTCCAGCCTCTGCAAGCAACGCCAGACTTTCGTACAAATACATTGATTTGCCCCCGCGCATGTGTGTGAGCGTGAAGGCGTAGACGCATGAAAGATGCTACATTTGCGAAATGTCGCGGTTGTGCGCGAGCGGGAATGATGGCTGATACCGAGCAGCCGAGCAGCCGAAGAGTCGTAAAACTCTGTTCGAGATGAGAGGTAAGAGGAGGGGAGGGGGGGTCTACAAGAGCGGCAAAAAATTGCCGACTACCAAGCTTGGCAGATCGAATTGATCTCTCTTGATGGAGAAGCATGCGGCGCAAGGAATGACGCGGCCATCCGAGGCGAGGAGTTTGACGGTCATGGACACGGCCGAGGCGGTATTCTCAAAGGCGTGAAGCGCAAAGGACTCCCAGTAGCGCAAGGAAGAGTCGGTGTCGAAGAACTGAGAAAGGGCAAGACGTTTCCTTTGAAGGTCAGGGCCTTGGCTTCCAGGCTAGGTGTGGCTAGTGTGGTCGAGTCAGCTCACCTCGTACACATAACGACCTAAAAGGCTGTCCCTGGTGCGTTGAGTGAGCATGCAAAACTCCATGCCGACGACGCAAATTTCGCACGTCCTCCTCCAAACGACCGTAGGCGTGCCGGAAAAGCTGATTAGCTTTTCCAACTCCAGTATAGTCCTCTGTATGCTTCGCTCGACGAAGATCTCGTCATCTTCCGTCAAGGGCATCTGCAATGCGATCAAGCTTGGCCTAAAGATCGCCAGAGCTCGAACAATGCGCAGCACTTCGGACTTCTCGTACCTGTGTGAGATTGGCAACAGACGGAACACCGAGGTAAGTGGTTGAAAAAATGTAGCACTCGACATTGCAGAGCTGCTCACCGAGCTGTGATGTGTTTGAGAAGGAAGTGATAGCCTTCGGTGTATGCAAAAGGCTTGCATTTGTCCGAGTAAACGTGCTTGACCCTCTGCTTCCACTCCAAGTCTGGTCCGGTTGCGCTTCGCGTCGGATGGAGGTCTTGAAGCACCTCTTGTGGCTGCATTTGACCAGCTTGCAGAGTGCTTTGCGTTTCAGGTCCTGCAGAGGCAATGGCTCCGTGTGCAGCATCGACAGTCCTTGTGTCGTTGGGCGATGGCACCTCAAGCGCTCCATAGCTTTCTGCTTGCCCTCCAGCTGAAGCGCCGGTAGGAGGCATTACGTGCATCGTCCGAACGGTCCCACTGCGCTCCTCTGAGTAGCCCACCGAAGCAGCATGCTGTGTATCATGTGCTTGCTCACGAGCCCCTGCCCTTTCGTAGTCCACCTCTGCATCCCAAGCCGGCTGAGCGCCCATGGTTCTCTCTTGCGTCTGCGCGGGTTCGGAGCCATCCTTTCCTTCCCATTTCCAACCTCCAGCTCCCTGGTTGCCCATATGCAAGTGCGGCAAATTTGCCACTCTGCCACCCAGGGCGCCGAATCCTCGTGCTGGCTGCCAGGACCCGGCAATCTGTTGATGCTGATATGGCTGGCTGAGCAGACCCTCGGAAGGCCACGTGCTGGCTGTCACCATGCTCATACCACCACCAGCAGACGCAGTAGGTGTGCCGGGGTACGCCCCACCGGTGGCCGCACCTCCGCTGCCATGACTTCCTGGGTCCGTGTCTGGCGTAGCACCGCCAAGCAGGTGTGGATCGATCCCGTGCAGCATGCTACTGAGGAAAGAGTACTCCAGCGAAGTAGCTTCCGAACCAAATTCGGCCGGACCATGATAGACTGCCGAGTCTGCGCGCGCTCCTGGCTCCGAAGGGCCCAGACCCGAAGTCTGACCTTGCTGGTCAGCCTCCTGAAGCTCAAGAGGAATGTTCATGTTCGAGTCTGTAGCCTGAATTCCTCCTCTGTCTATGCCAAAAGAAGCCGCCTGCATCGCTGGGGAGAACGCCGATACTGTGCCAAAGAAGTCCGAGGGAGCCGAAGAGGTCCCCAGGCTACCAGAAGGCGCACTTGCGCCATCGAACAGCGCCGGTTGCAAGACATTCATCATGGAAGCTGGAGAACATCGCAACGCAGCAAAGCGTATCAGTATCGACAGCGAGGTACTGCATGGGCCCATGGCTAGCGGGAAGAGGCTCACCTTCCTCGGGCCACTGCGGCAGCTGTTGGTCTTGCGATGTTTGCGCAGTCTCCTCTAGCTTAGTCTCTGCCACCCCGGCCGAGCTTTCGTCCGCATGACTAAATTCTGCTGCATCTTCCGAAGCAGAAGCGCGACCCTCGCTTATCTCGCTCTGCTTGGCGCGCTTTTTCGCTTCCTTCTCCCTCTTGAGCTCCACTGCAGTACATGCACAATAACACACAGTGAGTGTCAATAAGCAATGCCAGGCTCGGAAAGCTCGCACGCCTAGTGATGCAGCATTCATGACTCCTCTTGCTGGGACAACACATGACGAATGCACTCTGAACATGGGCTGGTAGGACCACTCACACAGCTCATCGTCATCCAGCAGGTACTTTGCCTTCTTACGCGCGCCATCTGTGCAAGTATCCGCTATGCCTTTCTTGACGCACCTCTGGCAAGGTCTGGAATCGTCGCAGGTCAAATGAGCCTTCTGGCAAGCGCTACACGCCCTGTTCGCTTTGCGTCTTTTGTTTGCGGTGCTGGGTACCTGAGCAGTCGCAGTCGCAGCCGCAGCCGCAGCCGGGGCAGCGGACTTGAGCTGTGCATTGCCCTTGCTTGCTGTGACAGAAGGATTTGGGACGGGGTGCTTGAAGGGCACGTTGAGCTTCACAGGTTTGGAAGGATTGGTGCTGCCGCTCGGCCCCACCTTGAGTTGCGAGGACTGTGAGGTATTCGACTTGGGCTGCGCGGCTGAGCTGAGTGGTCTAGCAGAGGCAGCAGTTGATGTGAAGAGCGCCTTTGAGTCCTCCACAGCCGCGCCTGGAGGAACCGAGCTCATGGAGGCGGAAGGTCGCAGAGCTGGTGTCACTGATGGAGCGCTTGTGGGCGATGCATCGATTGCTTCAGAAGAAGGTCTGGCTGCGGAGGCCCCTCCGGAGCTAGCTGGCCGCTGGTTGCCTGCATTGTTGGTGGCAGCAGCAGCAGGCGGCCTCGCCGCAATCGGTTGCACATGCCGCTGTCCAATCGCAACACCTTTAGCGAACGGTTGCGCTCCTCCCACATTGCCCGCAGCAGGTTGGGATTTAGTGTTGCTGACAATCTGTGGGGTTTTCAAGCTGTTAGGACGCTGGGCAGCTCCCGACTGATCGCTTCGATTGCTCTGCGTCGTTTGTGGTCGCTGAGCAGATGGCGGAGACTGTTGCGTGTGAGTATGTCCACTTGCCAGAGCATGAAGCGTGCTTGCAGCATGATGAGATCCCCAGGAAGCGGAACTGTTGGGAGACTGACCGCTGCCACCTGATCCTGCTGATGCTGATGTCTTGCCGCTTGCGCTACCTTCGTGACTGGCGATGGAGCGCACTGAAGGGGCTGGCGAGTTGGTCACTGAGCCTGGTGTGGCCGCTGCGGTAGGCGTCGCTGCACCAGCTACCATTATGCGAGTGCTCACACTCGGCAGGAAGCTTGACCGCTTCTGGACTTGGTTGCCCGTTCGAAGATTCCGACTTTTGTTGAAGATCGATCCACAGTCGCGTCAGAGTAGGCCTGATACAGGTCGGGACATCTTGATGAGCTGAGCAAGTCTCCAGATATCGTACCCTGACCAATAGCGCTGGAACCAGGAGCCTAGATAGTCGACTTGGACTTCTTAAACTGCGATTATGGCGAGCTGCAACAAGTGGGAGCGAACGATAGCTTGGAAGCTGAAGTTGCCTTGTTCGGTGTTGTGGTGTTTAAAAGGTTGTTTTGCGATCCGTACTTGTTGCAGCGAAGCCGTAGGGAGACGGAGCGAGCGGTAGCCGGGTAAAGAGTACCGTACCAGTGCAGGCGTCCCGTATTCCGAATCACGAAGATGGGAGTCTGTGCCTATAGCAAGACCGTGCATAGAGCTGCTGCTGCTGCTGCTGCTGCTGCTTGATCCACGGCTCACACTGACTGCTGCCTGTCACAAAAAGCGACCGACATTGGAAGCCGACGAAGCCCATGCAGCTGCAGCAGAAGGGTTAGTAAGACCCTGCCCGAGCAGCAGCAGCTCTCAGCTCACAGGACATGCACCGGCTGGTGCTGTGTACAACCAGCAGTCGCCAATCGGAAAATCGTGAATGCGTGCTTAAACGCAGGCGTGCATGGCAGCGCGCCGCGTGAAGAAGAATTTTTGCCGCGCAGCCGCTGCTGCTGCTGCTGCTGCTGCATGCAGCATGCTCAAGGCGAATGCGCGAGCGCTGTACGGCTTGATTCGTTGAAAGGATCAGCGCGTGACAGCCACAAGAGGGTCGTCTCGTCATTCGCTGCTGAAAGCCATGAGATGCGATCTGAAGCGAGAGCGACATACTGCGAAGTTTGACAAGCTATTCAGGCCTATGTCGGTTTTGGAACTTTCTACTATGATTCTTCGTGCCCGTATGCTCAGCGTCGGAGAGGGAAAGCGGCGACGCTGCCGTGCACACCGTCCGAGACTATAGCGCGCAGGCCGATCCCCTCTCACACGGCTTCACACAGGCTTGAGCTCCCACATGTTCACGTGGTTCGACTCACCTCGACATATGCGTGTCTTCGACAGTGTGAAGGCGTTGATGGCACTTGCTATCAGGCCAAGCAACTGTCTCATTTAGCGTCAAATGACTCAACGTCGCGCGGGTCGAGATCGTCGAGAAGGTGCAGACTCGTCAATTCATCAATCGTGCCAACTTTCATCGACAGCGCACTTCACACCAATGCAGGCGCACGGATGACGATTTTGAAAGCCGAGGGAATAATAAACGGAACCGGGCTGACAGGAGAGCGCAGAACACAAGTGGTGAGATCGGCAAAGCGCAGAACAGCAAGAGAATTATCGGCAAGCATCTTGAGAAGTAGAACAAAGCGCAATTCACGCTTTGCAGGCAGACGCCTCCCTATGCCCAAATTTGACACGCGGGGAAAGCGCACGCTAGGATTCTTGGCGTGGCGGGGGCTAGCCGAGCAGGCTTATAAGAGACAAGAGGAAATTCTTGACAGGGGGGAGGACAGGGTCGATGAGCAGGCGCGGCTTCTTGTACAAGCAATTTGGCTGAGACGTCGAGACTTGAAGAGAGCTTAAATGGTCAAAGAAGCGCCGAGGCATAGTCCGAACAGTCGCGGTCCTGACGATCACTGGTAGGATCGCCAAGAACCGTCCGATGGATGATAAGGGGGAGCGTATCGAGGCGTGTTGGATGTCGAGCCACCGCCTTGGTGCGAGCTGGAGGTACCAGAATTGTCCGGGTAGAAGCTAGCACTGCTGGGACCGCTAAAAGAGCCTCGTTCACCGTACATCCCTGTGCTCTGACCGTGAGATGCAGCATTGGCACTGGTGACGCTAGATTCGTGGGGTTGGGAGGCAGCGCTTTCAACGCTGGAGCTGTGTCCAAAGCTGCTGTCGAACGACACACTTCCACCAGACGGTCTGTGCGGCGCACTTGCCTCGCTTGTCGAAGCACCACTTCCATCCCCAACCTGCCCAGGCTTGACGTCCGAGCTTGCCGCACCTTCTTTCTTGGTCTTGTCTTGATCCTTCTTGGCCGAAGCTTTGGCTTTGGCTCGTCGGTTCTGGAACCAGATCTGCACAGCTCTCGTCGGCATACCGAGCTCTTCTGCAATGTGCTTGCGAACTGCAGCCGTCGGCTTGGGCGTCTCTACAAACGGTGTCAAGGGAGCCTGGGCTTGTCAGCGCAAGCCAGCGCTGAAATAATCCACTCCGCAGATGGAAAACGCACCTTTGAATGTCCCTTCAAGGACCTTGAACTGCGCCTTGGTGGTACGACGGCGGTGCTTGACCTCGAAAGGGTTGAAGTAGTGCGTTCTGAACTCGACAGTGTTACCGTAAGAATCTTGAATGATGGGATCCGACGGCAGCGGTGCGCTGTGAGGCGCATGCGCGCCCTGCATGCCCATCATTCCCGTCTGACCAGGATAGCCACTAGATAAGAAGGGGGCGCTGTGACCGTATGCGTTGGCAAAGTGTTGCGAATTGTATCCTTGATGGCCAGACTGAGGTGCGCCTTGCTGTGACATGTACGTGCGCTGAGGACCATTCATCATCTGGCCGTGTCCAACGTCCGCACTGTGATACAGACCGGCAGCGCCGCCCATGTACGAGGGAACTGGGCCAGCAGGGCCTGCGGTGAAGGGACCGCCGCCGCCGCCGCCGGCTCCACTACCTGCGCCAGTAGCCATCGAAGCATAAGTGGGCGTGGAGATTCGGGCAACGCTTTGACCGTATGACGGTCGCGCACTGTAGCTCATAGGCATACCTCGAGGTTGGCCTTGAGGATATCCATGAGACGTAGAGGGTGCAGACGCAGTTTGAGGCACATTTGGAGAGTTTGGCTCGCTGGCTGCCCACAGAGGGTGAGAGGGACTTGTAGCCCTGTCAGAGGCGAAATTCTGGTGCGCTTGCTGAGCGATGCTGCCTGCAGGTTGGTAGTAGCTGACACTGCCACGTTGCTGCGCGTACGGACCACTGGTTGTAGCAGTCGACGGTGTGTTGGTGTCAACACCGCTGTGAGCGCTGTGCGGCGGAGGAGGGCCGTAGGGAGTGATTGGAGTGGTGGATTGCGTGTGATCCCAGGCGCTGGAGGACGAGCCTGAATGATGAGTGTCGCGCGGATGCCCCGAGCTGCTGGAATCGCTAGGATAAAATGCGAATCGTCCTGAATCTCCCGAAAGGCGAGTGGCGCCAGGTTGATTTGCATGTGGTCCGCCAAGAGAACCAGTGAGACCACTGGGCGCAATGTTGCCAGCAGCACTGCCGTTGTAGGAGCTTGACGACATTCCGGCAGGATTGGAGTTTGTTGGAAGACCTCCCGTTGCGGTTCCACGGGTCCAAGCTGCGTTGTCTCCCGAAGCGCTACTAGAGCCCGTTTCTACGTTGCTGCTCTGGTCGTTGGTGCTGCCGAAACGTTCGAGTCTATCAGACATAGGAGGCAAGATGGAAGGTGACGCAGTTATGGCACTTGCGATGGGCCGTTGAGCATCCGAAAGGCTGTCAATCGTAGTCGCTTCGCCTGCGCCGTTTGCAAGGGCGCTTCCAGGAAAGTTTGACGATGTTGCTGGCGCAGAACGACAGCTCCCGTCAGCCGTTGCGTTGCCCGTCTCTAATTTGACCGGGTTGGCGCGCTTTGCGAGTTCGAGCGATTCAGCTTCGATGCCTGTGGAATGAGTGTCTTGACCGGCTGCAGGCGAGGTCATAGACGTGGTGCTAGGACCGTAGTGATGACTGTAAAAGTGAGCGGCCGGGGAAGGCAGGACGCCGGACTGAGTAGCACCTGATGAGGCTGTACCCAGCGCCAAGGGGGGCGGCGGTAGCGAGCGTGCTTCAGCCCCGCTAGCTCCTCCAAAAGATACGCTGCTGGTCAATGCAGGGAGCTTCGTCTGCTGGTAGGTACTTTGGTGGTGTTGAGGCTGTTGATGTTGATGGACGAATGGTGCGCTCGAAGTCAAAGCGAACATGATCTGTCACGCTAACAGCGGATTGGATTGTGCCGCAGTGTCGAAAGGTGATCACTCGCCCAGAAAACAGATTGCGTACCAAGAGACCCGTCGCTTGAGAGTTGAGCGGCTGGCTTGCGTCTGTGGGGGCCCAAAAGGCAGCGGTGAGCTAGTGTGAAGCAAGGTGAACAGAGCGAGAGGAGCCAAGCGAGGCGAGACTTTGTCAAGACTCAACGGAGCATGTAGTACAAGCAGATCGGGGCGATCCGTGGTCTCGACACGGTGAAGTTTGCGTAGGTAAAAGATGAAGGAGGAGAGAGGGGCGAACGCTGATACCTCGTAGTCTGAGCACTCACAAGCAAAGAGGGAAGCGATTGCGCAACAAATTGACCCGTTGCCAACTAGCGGAGGGTGCAATGGTCCCACAATCCACGGTGTGGTGAAGATTCACGAATGCGGCGCCGTACTTCGAGGGAATGCTTTGTTGCACCAAAGGAGGAATAAAGGGTAAGAGGGCACGGGTTTAGATGTGGGGCAGGTTTCTGTCGATGAGAGGCGCTCTAATAATACGTTGATGAGTGCTGCTGGTGAGGGCCGTGGCGAGACTGGAAAGGCAGGCAGAGAAGAGTCGCTTGAGCGGCAAACGTCTGCGGGAGGGCGGACACGCGGCTAGCGAGCTGAGAAAAGAGGGTGGGTGCATGGGTGAAGGCGGACAGCAAGAGGTCAGCTTCAGTCTTCCTGTGTCGCCACATGCAGCCAATCACCGTCTCGCAAGTCAAGACCCCCAACTTGGATACGGGAACGAAGCGAGGACCGATACGGAATACGAGGGCAGATGCCAGCGGCGTGGCGCGTGCCTTCTGGGCGAGCCAACGCCGGATAGAGGCACATCGCAAGTCACTGCGATGGCGAAACGCCTTCTCGCCGCCACTGCGCGACAGCGAGCGTTTCTTCCTTGCTGATCCACTCCCGACTCGAGCTCCTGAAGTTTTGCTTGCTAGCCCGGCACCGTCGACAATGTCTCGTTACAGCAGCGCGCCAGTCAGGTGAATCAGCCGTACAGGCGAAGCCTATAGCTGATGTTGTCACTGCCGTCTCAGCCAGCACTTGTATAGCAAGCCGGCAAGGTCTCGCCGCCCGCGGCTGTGGCTCAAAGAAATGAGGCCACCGAGTAACGCCTTCCGTTGAGGCACGCTGTGTGCTCGCAAGCAGCAGAGAACAGCAGCCACAAGGATCGAGGCTGAAGCAGCAGAATTGAGCTGGCTCGCACAACGGCTGAGCATGCAGGCACCTCAGCTGAGTGATCCTGAGCGGTGGTTGCCGCGTCCGCACCGATTGATTGAGACAGCCAGCAGTATAGCTATAGCACCACTATGCGCAACCTTGGTTTTGCGTGGTCGCGCACATGATCCAAGAGAGACCGCGGAAAGTGTTCTGCAATCGTGAATCGTGAACCCAACTCACCGCCGTACCACGCCTACTGCCGAAAATTTTGCGATCTTGCGGTGTGCCTTCACTGAATCACGTACGCGGCAGGACACACTCAGCAGTGCTGGCGTCGATGCAGCAGCAGCTGGGCTCGACTGAACCTGCGCCTGTGATCTTGCCGACTTGTCAGCGCCTTGATAGCAATCGCAATGACTTGGTCCCGTCTCGCAGTGGCAACGCCCAGCCCTCGGTCGGCTGGAGGTTGCAGGGGGATGACGAGCGCGCAAGTGAGCCAAGGTAAGTAGATCAGCAGGGCTTCTTCAGCTCAGGTGCCTGAGCCGGCGAGGGAGTGCAGATCGCGGCGGCGGCGTCGGAGCGATAGCGCTGCTGATGATGATGACTGCGGAACAGGCGGGGCGTCAGCACCTGTTACCGTACGAGGCTGCGAAGAGTCTGTGACTTCATTGAGAAGGGTGCTAGGTCTCTGACCGCGGCAAGCCGCTTTAAGTGCTCATTCGGTGGCGCAAGGCGCGGGACGGCCAAGTCTTGCTTCTCACCTTTCGGCAATCTGAGGAAGATTGTCTCTCAATCGATAAATCGATGAATGTACTGCCCCAATAAGGTGCTGACTTTGCCGCTTGCCGCGGCAGTGGTTCTGGTCAACCAGCAGTTGCTGCTGGTGGTGGTGGTGCTTGTTGAGTTAATTGAGAGATATAGCCTGCTTGGCTTGAGCAATCAAGCGCTCGCCTGCAAGCAGATCGCTGGGCACTGGAGGAGACAGCGAGCCCTGGTAAGAGATCGATGTGAATGTTGCTCAATAAAGCGATGCAAAAAAGTGTTGATTGAGACACTTGCGCAACGGAATTCTCGCACGACTTTGACGCCTTGGAAACGCGGTGTGTGGCTGCGCTTCGGGAGGGTGCTCGATGTCCAGATGTGATGGCAAGCGACCCACCGACCGACTGGCTGACGGGCTGATGCAGGGCCTAGGGTGCGATCAGGACGTCGTTGTCGGTGCGATTGCTTGCGTCACAGTACAGGGAATAGACTCGAGGTCGCCAGAAGACGGGATCGATGTGATTTGATGGCAGAAACGGGCCGGAAGCTGCAGGCCGGAATCACAAGAAGCTTTTCCTCCGTCAACTTGTCGATGCAGCGGCTCCGTCGAAGAAGGAAGAGAGACTTGACTGCGCTGCTCAAGTCTCAGCTCAGCTCAGCTCAGTGCGCTGGCGTCAGAATGGAGCTTCTGAGTCGCGTTTTCAACAGCTCTATAGCAAGTCTATGGATCTTGCCGCCACTGCGAGTCTTGAGTCCAATGCCGTGTTGCTACTACTACTATATAGCGTCAGCAAGGCGCTTGCTTAGACGCCTGCTGGCTCAATTCAGGCGGCCGGACTTGACGCTCCGCGCGGTGTTTCGCCAAGACCACCTGGGAGAGCGAGGTGCGAAAAATCGACCGAAATGGCGGCTGAACGTAGGAATGCTATGCCTGCGCGCAGACACGACTTGTATAGAGAGTCCGTTTCCTGCTTTGTCGCTTGACTGCTGCTCCCGACACTCAAAATGCCTAGAATCACGACGAGGTGAGATGAGCGGGCCTCGTCGATCTCCGGTGTTGCCAGAGAGCAAGTAAGTTTCTGGCGGTCCTGTCAGGTCGAATGCCGGCGACAAGTCCTGGAGAAGTCGGTGGCGCCGATTCTTGTGCTGGCAGCAGATCAAGAGCCGCTTCTAGATACGCGCGAAGAAGAAAAGTAGCGCGGAGAGTTCCTTTATTGTCGAGTGGATCGGATTGAGGTCTCGAAACGTTCCGACGTCTACCTCAGAGACGGTGGTGATAAAGAGATGAGCGATACACGGTCCAACAGCGTGAAGTGGGCACATCAAGGTTGGCGAGGTAGCCTTGTGCAACACCGAGGCAGCACTCCTCGATGAGGGGCGTGAGGAGCTCGCGGATGCTCGTCGTGCCTTCGTGGAGTCGAAGTAGCAGGCCCAATATCTGGCTGGTGGATTCACCGTGCGTCAGGAAACTGTACTCGGCTGCTCTCTTCTAAGCGCGTGGGGGCATGTGGTACCACGTCTTCGCGTCGCTGCAATGTACGCTAACTTTCCTCGCCCTGCTAAGTAGTACCGTATGCACAGCTCGACAGCAAGTATCGTGACAGCAGTGCTGAAGGTCACCTCACTGGCCACCCAGGCAGACGAGCACTACTCGTCTAGGTATCCGTGCAACTGCCGGTGACACCGCTGCGAAGCAGAAGGAAAAGACCTGCTGACGGTGCGCGATGGTGCTGTCGAGTATCACACCATGACTCAGCCACAAGCGACCTGATGGTCGCGAATGAGCATGACGAGCAGCAGGTCGATAGTTGCTGGCTCGATCGCCTGACGAAGGGTGCAGGCCCGGCAAAACATCATCATCACGATCTGCGAGCGTAGCCAAAAAGGCAGATCGATCGTACATGATGCGGCATGGTGCACATCGGCTCTAAGCCTGCTGCTTCTACTGGTCATTGCAGCACGATTGGCGCTGCAATGTACAATGTTGTCTCACACCGCTTTGGCGCGAACAAATGTCTTGTGAGAGCAGAGCTTCATCGCCCATCATTCAGCAGCGCACGGCTGGAGTGCTTTGCGCCGCAGATCGTAGCGAGCAGAAGCACACAGTAGGGACGTGCTCTTCATGCAGTCAAGCACCTTTTTACCGGCGGCGTGCCGGAGTAGGCAGACCACTCTTGCAGAAGACTTGTAGCAACGCAAATGGCTCGCCTCATGCGCTCCTCGATTCAGCAGCTTGGACCTCCCAATCGATGCTAAACCTTTCTACTCGCCCTGGATCAGCTATATTTCGCGCGCTTGCCAACGCCGACTTCTTTTTTTGCTGTGCCCTTTCCCGTCTAAATATTGCGGCCAGATGAGCAGGCGTCCAGGCGTCGTTGGTCAAGAGGCATTCGAAAGGCAGGACGGTGCCCACACTGCCATCTTTTGGCGCCCTCATTGCGAGTATGGCAGCATAAACGGTCAACTCTGAATCAGCGTCCAGGCGTTTGGGCAAGTCGCCAGCGTACGACGTCCTGAACGCATACTTTAGTGTCCATGGGTTCCTCTCGGACCGTAGCTTTGGTTCGTGGACTGCCAAGGTGCTTGCTGAGTAGGAAGTGAGTATTCTGCCTTGCTCGACGGACGACGTTCGTTCTCGTTAGCGCGGCTCATTTTACGCGCTCCTCGACCCAGGAATGCCTGGGAAACTCCGGTGCTCTGCAGCATCTCCTGACACGACGCGTCGCGGCTCGGTCTCACTCGCCTCGTGCTGACTTGTTCAGACTGTGAAGCTGCAGTCGTGTGGTTCTCGAGCTGTGCTCGCGAGCCTACAAGCTGAAAGCTCGGGCTCCAATCACCTGAACAAATCCCTTACAGTATCTTGCCACTCAGACTGCGTTGTCGATCATGCTGCACAGACCTGCACCTCACCATGCTCCGAAGCGCACGCGATAGCAGCCATGCGCAAGGCCCGACCGCACGACGAGTGCATAGACAAACACAAGAACAAGACGCCCGTGACCAGCCCCTTTTCGAGGGACGCAGTCACTTGCCCTATCCTTGTGCAACGCAGGAGGGCTGGACAGTGGCGCGTCTTCAATAGCGACCAAAGGCGGTCATCGACACGTCGACAAGAGGGATCGGTAGCCAGGCCGTTTTGGTTGCTTGGCTGCCGTCGTCGACCATCGCTTTCAATCTGAAACATGGCGTGCGGACACAGCAAGTGTATCAACGGCCCGTGCATTGTGCCGGACGTCCCAAAAGACATGTGCTTGGGCGGAGCCTTTCTACCAAAAAACTGGCGGCCACACGCATTGAAAGCAAGCCGTGAGCGTTATGGCGAGCGCAGGGATCCAGCAGTGTATAGCTCTTGCGCAGGACGATGGCTGCGAAACGACCGTCATGTTACGCTTGAGTAGCTGCACGGTTGCTTTCAGCCACCAGCGAAGCATTTTGTCGGCAAAGGTGGTCGCTTGGTGAATGTTTGTGGGTGAGTTGGTGAGGCGCGTCGCCTCAAGGATTTACGATCGATAATGTCGAGTGGCTTCCTTTCAAGAGCTTTCAGAAAAGTGCTGTGGAAAGAAGCTAAGGGTCACGAAGACGCTAATGCCAGAACGCCACATGACTTTAAAGAAGGATTCTGAAGCGCGAAGGGTGAGTGGGGCGGCTCGCCCATCCACACCGTGGCTCTTGGGCAGGCGCAGGATGGACTTCTTTCGATGCACGGAGGTGAACACTCGCAGCGCGCTAAGACAACAAGCGGGAAAGGCCTGGGTCCTTTGCAAATCGCGCTAGCACACGGAGCGGAGGTTAAACGGCATCCGACGAGGGCGTCCAAATTGCCTCTTCGAGGGCGGAGTCTCAAGACTGGATCTCGCAGGATGCACTTTGACTAGCGCGAGCATCGACTGCCTCGTTCAGAACGGTCAGACGTCCTCTCTCGATGCAGGGTTTCGCCGCGTGCAGGTTGTGCACGAAGGCCTGCAGCACATTCACTACTGACAACACCATGAAGTCCTGGGTATCCATGACCATCGTCGAGGGGAACGACGATGAGGGGGACGCCTGCTCTTGGCCCATGAGGAGTTGCCACAACTTCCAGGGAAAAGGATCGGCAATGACCGCGACACGTGAAAGGCGTGCCCCTTCCTGTCTCGAACAGCAGCCCGCCGCCCATCCCAGTCGTGGCCGAGTCATCAGCTCAGCACCGGTAGTAATCACGAATCGAGGAGATTTGGGAGTACAGCGCTGTACGTCTGCTGCGTTCGGACTCGATTCCGCCATTCGAATCGTGCTATCGCGACGAAGCACTGCAGGCAGTCCGATCGGGCTTGCCTCACATGACATGGGAGAGCAGAGGGAACGTTTTCAAGGATGTTGGGTCCATCAAGGTTCAGACCTCCGCCTATCTCTCTGATGCAGCTCCTCCTGCTCAACACGCTACATACATGCCCGGCTTTTGCGCACCTTTGGCCTTCGACGCGTCTTCCTTAGCGTCATGCAAGCCCTTGAAAGTCCAGGCGCAGCGGGTGGAGGCATGTGCTGAGCGATGTTCCAGGCCGGCAGGCGGTGCCAGCTGGTTGACAGTGCTCAGGCGAAAAGTAGTCTCGAATATCCATCGCCTCACGGTACCTGTAGTCACGAGTGAGTAGCAGTAATGAGGTCGAGATCGAGGCCCATGCGTGATCAAGGGGACGCTGAAGCAGAGCTTGACTTCAGCGGCTTTGAGAATCCATTCTTGTGTCTAGAGGTTGCGAGCACGCTAAAGATTCCGCAATTTCCACGACTCAGACTGCAGGTCTAGCTGGATCAGCTCACCCAAAAGCTCCTCAGCAAAAGCTCGCTAGTCAGAACGCCCCACTTAGATTCTCGAACAAGCAAAGAACTTTGCTGGTGAGACATGCTAACGGTGGTACCACTGACTTCACACATTGTGACTTGGGTCAGCTGTACATCGCTCGCGATGCAAGGCTGAAGCGCAGCATCGGACCCGCGGTGCATCGACACATTAGCTGCCGCTTCTCGGCTGCAAGTTAGACGGGGCCGCATAGAAACCTTGGCGTTGGCCATATTTTGCATGGGGTCTCGAGCGCGCTCTAAAGCAACAGTCGCTGGTCAGCTTGACGCTTCACTCGATTCCTGATACGCTCTGATGCACAGCGCGGCGAGGAGAAGTACACCAACGACACGGATCCGATAGATTTACGAGGAAAGTGACATGTGCACGATTGATCAAACGGTCGATGGCGTCACGATCACCTGCTCATAGGACTCGACGGCGTTTAGGCACAACATCACCGATCCCCGAAGCAAGGGTACAGGGTGTCTGATTCCCCTCCACGCGGGCTTGCAAGCAATGACGCTGGGACAGCCAAACGGGCTGAATCCGCTCCCGTTCTCGAGACCAGACGTCGACCGTCGCGACTCATCATCGCCTTCTCTTATCCCAGGGTCCAACCTGGGAAGGGGTGGAGGGGGGCCACGCTAAAATTGATCCGAACTCCGATCGTGTCGATGGTCGGATCCAGACCTTGACGACGTTTCGAGCTCAGATAGAGCTGCTCAAGACAACAACATCATCAGTTCGCCCTCAAACTCATGCAATTAGGCAGGCTGCGAGACAAGAAGCTTGATGTATGCACGCCCAGCATGAATGAGCCATCAATCTTTGGGCGGAAAAAAAGTCCACTCGTGATTGGCGATATTGCAAGAACATTCACGATTGTGCAGGTCGGTGCGGAAGAGTGTGAAAGGGAATTTTGGCATGCGATTGTGGTTCTGAGCATGAAAGGACGTGCATTAACATGAGAAAGATGGCAGAATCGTGACTGTGCAGATAGAGCAAGACAGATAGAAATTGAAAACACTGGCATCCGCTCAATGCTGTCGAGTCCTTAAAGTATGCAGAGTCATCATGATCAAGGAAGAGCAGCAAGCGGCGTCACGGGAGATGCATCTTGTGCAGGGTCAGATCGGCCTGCGATGGCTGCAGAACTGTGGCCTAGACCTTGCCGCATGCTCAGCTCCGGCCCCGTGTCCGGCAAAGAGGATGGTCCATTGCTGGGCGAGCTGTGGGAGACGCTGAGTCCAGTCGGCTGCAAAGGTGGAAGACGCCTGGGAGAAGTGACATCGGGGGAAGCCGTGGTCTGACTGCGGAAGCGCGTAACGATTGGAGCGGCTTTTTGGCCATTCTTGTTGGCAAAGAAGCGATTGTTGCCACTCGTTAGGGGTCGCGGCCTGTCGATCGAGGACGAGTGCGAAGTGTGAGATGCAGGGCCCGTGTTGCTACCTTTGCGATAGCCGTCGCCCATCTCGCCATCTTCGCTAGTGCGACGTGAAGACGAGCTGTTGCTGCTCGACTCCCAGGCAGCTGGCAGATGCGCCCCAGTACCTGTGCTGAAAGATGAAGAGGGAGAGGGCGACACCTGCGACACGAGCTGCGAAGATGTCGACCCAGGCTGCTTGCCAACTTCAACGCTACTTCCATTGCTGTCAAGACGTTGATGAGTCAGCATTGGTGAGGGCGGCAGCTCCGCAACCGACCACCCGGAAGTGAACGAGGTCAAGGCGCTGGCATTCGATGCTGCACGTGATCGGGTGAATCGCGCAGCGATGGGTGCCGCCGTACTGTCAGGATCATCTTCCAAAGCTTGCGGGTATTGGGCGGTCCTTGGAGACATGTTTTCTAGAGCCGCGCGGAGCGTTGCTACGCTGCTGTTCGAGTCTCGCTTGTCGATTGCATCGCTGGATCGACTGACGGTCAACAGTCCTGGCGCTACTTCAGGCTCGAAGCCGGGGCTTGTAGAGGGACGTACAGCTCTTCTCGACGCATCAGCTAGCAACATGTGATCTGCGCTCCTGTGCCCCTCTGCCGCGCGAGCGAGCGTCACTACCGAGCCCTCCGGCGCACCGAGCTGCTCATCATTTTCAGTCGGTCCACCGGCGGAGAAGACGATGGCGTGGTGCTGGATGAGTGCTCGCATCATGCCCACGCTGAGGCCAAGAGTGGGCGCCAGTACCAAACCGAGATTGTTGAGAGGCATTTTGGTCCGCGCCACCACTTCCGGCTGACAAAGCTTGGACAAGTGGTGCGTAATCTCTCGCAAGAGGTACCAGTTGCACACCGGTAAGCGGGGCATGATAGGCGCCACGGCTTGCGCCATAGCGAGAGAGTGCTGATCTGGGTGCATTGCGCTGTGTGGGCGATCGACAGGCGAGGCTCCAAACATGCCCATTGCCAATCCGCCAGGACCTCCGGAGGAATTACCTGAAGTGGCACACGACCCAGTGGCGTTGGCTGCCGCCTCGTCGAATGACCTTGCCAGCTTCTGCGTCAGCAGGGATTCGGGCAGCTCTCTAAGATAATGCTTGAGCAAGCTCGAGACACTATTCAAGTCCAGGTCTGCTGGTCCAATGTCTTGCAGTTCCAGATCGCCTCCAGGACGATCAAAAATGAGTCTGAGCTTGGTCGTATGACTGCTCCTGCCCGAAATACGATAGATGCCCTCCTCGTCGGATCCCCATCTTTCGAGAGACTCCAGACAGCGTACGACGACCGCGGGCATATACCTCCTTCTTGCTTCGGCCTGCGACGCAGCGGCAGGTGGCAATGCGGATAGAGTAGGGCTGCCTACGAATCGTGACGAACGCCATTCGATCATCGAATCACTAGAAGAAGCTGGCATCGGCACCGAAAAGTCGAGTCCCAGATCGAGATCTTCCAGCTGGGTGAGGGGACGCGGTGTCGTACTTGGGTTGGAGCGCAAGGTCGGATTGACGCTTATGCCAGCCTCAGCATCTAGGAGCCGGGTGCGGAGTACGGCGTCCCGCAGCGGAACAGCGAACACGCCCCCATGCATTGCCGGTGCAAGTCGTGCGGAGCTCCCTCTAGGTGGCAAGGCGACATCAGGATCGGTAGCATTGTTCCACCTTCGCGTCGCTTCATTATCGACGTACTGCGATGCGCTAGATGCGCCAGGCTGGCTGGAAAGCTCCGGGGTCGAGGCAGGGTTGCCTTGTTGGCTTGAATTCCAGCTCCTCATCATGCCCAAACCTTTCTTGCCGACAGCTGCTCCAATCTGCCCTATTGTGTGAGCCACACCCCCACTTTGGGAGGCCGCCAACGGTTCCCAGTCACCTTTGCGACTAATTTGCCCTCCTCCAGGCTGTCCATCTCGCGTGTAGCTCTTGGCGAGCTTGTGTCGCGGCGGGGGAGCAATCAGCGTGGGAGAAGAAGCAATGTTCCTATCATCTCCCCCATCTGCTAATCTATCTGTACTTCGCATGAACTTGCTTGATAGACCAGCGAGCGCTGAAGCCTTGCGACTTGCCGGTGCGGCTGCCGAAGTGATGTTGCTTCCTGACTGCGCGGGAGCCCTTTGCGCTCCTGGTGAGATTGGCGGCTGCCGGTTCCGATTTGAGCCGTGAGGATGCCCAGAATCTATCATCAAAAGTGAAGCACCGGCGCGGTCCTTGGAGTCGACTAATGGGCCATCCACACCTGGCGACCTCCTCTTGTTCTTCGCAGATGCAGGTGCGCCCCCTGTCGCGTATGGAATACCCAAGGCGTCACTGCCTCCATGCTGCTGCGCAGCTGGCCGCAATCTCGCTTGCGGTAGAGCAGCTGAAGGAAAGGCTGCGTAAGCGGCAGTGTTGACGCCCTCTGCTCCCGAGCGCGCGTTTGCAATGGATCGAGGAGCTGCTTCAAGCAGGCTGCTCATGCTAAACTTGCGTCGGGGCTGTAGCTGGGGATGGACGACTGTGGGCTGTTCCGTCTGCTGCGGAGGAGATGCTTGTCCCTCTCGAGATCGAGAACGCTGTTGGGCGAGGTGATCATTTCCTGTCTCGTGCTGCTCCCAGTCTGTAATTTCGACAGAGGGCCGAGACACACTTGAGTCTGCGACCGAGTCAAGGAAGGTGCTCTCTGCAGCATTTGGAAGTCGATCTGGCAAGTTGGGCGGGCGTGCTTTGGTGCTAGGGGGAGGGGGAGGCTGAGGGCCTGCCACTTGTTGATCTCGAATACTGCTGGACGATGCACGCGGAGGAGCTGTCACTGCTCCTTCAGAAGAGGCGGTGGATCTCGATATGATGTGGACGTCATCGTGAACAAAGGCTCCAGATGTCGCGCCCCCGCGCGAGGCGAGCACGTTCAACAAACGAGCGGAGGACTTGCGCTTCCTACCAGCGCCCAGTTCCTCATCTATCAACTCCTCTTCCTGCGCATCGTTGTATCCAAGCGCACTGTGACTGCGCTGAGGGAATGCCGCCTGTTCCATTCTCGGTGAAGGTCTGCGGTGCCCCGCTGATTTCGGGCCAGGGAGCACAGAGACGTTGAAGCCATTGCGAGCTGCAGCTGGTTGGGGCAGGCCAAGCAGATCGGTACTCGCGCCGTAAGGTGTGGCAGGTGTTGATGAAGAGCCTTCGCGAGGCGCCGTGGACGGACTTGAGCCGGAAAGTAGTGAAATGCTGAGAGCCTTTGCCTTTGGTTTCTTGATGCGCAAAGCATCCGGCTTAGGGGGCCTGCGGGGAGGCCCAATGAGACTGGCCCCTGGCAAAGGGAGTGATGCACTAGACGCTGCGTGCAACACCGGCTCGCTACCTCTCCTATCCGTTGGAGGCCGTCCTGGCCCGCTAAAGGCTGCATACGCGGATGGCGCTTGAGATTGGTTGAGCATCATTGGAGTTGCGGCGCTCGTGGATCCCGCTGATCGTGGAGGACCTGTGCTCGGGGAGTGTTCTCTCGGAGTGGTTTGGAAGGAAGGACGCATGGAAGCGGGTGAGGGCCGATCTGGTGCAACCTTGTTCAGCGAAGAGGGCAGCGCAAAATCATTGTTCGCGGTGGAGGAGAACAGCTTGCCCAACACGCCCCCGCTGCGTGATGACGACGAATCTGACATTCTGAATTGCGGTGCGACCGCCTAAAAGAAGTGAAAAGAAGCGGACGTATGCATGGAGGGCAACAAGCGAATGAGTACTGTTTGCGGCACTTGAGCTAGTCAAGGGTAACCGCCTTACTCACGCAATTTTGTCCTAGATGCGCTGAAAGGCGAGAGGTGTGGAGCTCAAGATGGCGTAGTGTGCCGCTCAAACCCTAGCGTGCGCTACCTGTACCAGAGGCGAGCCCCGTCACCTATTGGCGTCTTTGGCCACAGAAGGCCCAAACGTGCAAGGAGACTGGCTGATGGGAGGATTGGCGGTGCGATTGAAAGGGGGGAGGGGGGCCGAGAGCCCGGCGCTTATGCAGAGATGCGCAAGGCGAGCCGAGATCAATAAGGATCCGGACTGGAGCAGTGGACCCAGACCGAGTAGAACGGATCCTCGTGCAGTCTTCGGACCTGAGGGTCTTTGCAACGCTCCTCGAGGCGTCTGCTAGGACTCATGGACGCGTTGCACGTCAGAAGCTCTAGGAAACGCACACCGAGCTATAAGGGCTCAATGGTCACCACCGCTGGCCGCGCTTAATAGCCTCTGCTTGAGACAAATGGCGTTGTGCGAGCGCGAGCGATTTGATCTTGGCGTAGGCGCGGGCGGTCTGTGTTGTGCAGGTAAATTGAAGATCGGGGTTGGAGATTTGTGGTTCGTGCTGCTGCTGATACCGCGCAGCCTCAAGAACGCCTCTGCAGCATGGAGCCAGTAGGACTCCACGGCAGCTCTGAATACGCTTGCCTGCCTTATGCTCGTCTATCGTTGACGGGTGTACCGCAAGGGGCGAGTGGAGCAAACGTGTGCTTGCGCGAATGGTGAGTAGGCCGTTTGAGGTCGTGAGTGGTAATCAGATGGGCGAAGCTGAATCTTGAATGGCTGAGGTATTAGACGGATGGTAGGGGTGGTACAAGCAAGTGGTACAAGTAGAGATCAGAGTTGTGTGAATGAGTGCCCTGTCCATCCTCAGGTCTGCACAGCTGGATGGTGAGGGGCGGAGCAGATCGTGGGGCTGTGGAATAATTACAGCGACCCTGTCGTCGCCGAATGCGTTCCAGCTACTGTAGATGCATATGATCCGTCCATCAATGAGCAGCAAATCACGGACAACAACAGCAGCAGCAGCAGCAGCAGTCGCTATGCAGGAGACATCATGTATGGTACCGTTGCGTACTGCTTACTGTACCGGAACAGAGCTCGAACAGAGAGACCTAAGGTACCGGGCATTCTTGATTGAGCTATTTCTTCAGGCTGCTGCACGCGCCTTGCGCTCCCCGCGGCCGCTGCAAGGGCTCGCTGAGCGGCGGTGCGGCAAAAGGCAGTCACAGTCGTGAAGTGAGTCTTGAGTCAAGAGTTAGGGAGTAAGTTTCATTTGAAGTACGCTCGTGACTCGTAAATACGACCCACATAACACCCATTCAAAACCGTCAAATCTAGCAAAATCATTATTTTCTGTTATGTCTGTCACGTAAATTTGATTTCAACTTGTGATCGAGCGAACAAGCGAACACCCCCTCTTCCTCTTGAGATTGCTGCGGAAAGGCGGACGCAGGTATATATGAGGAACGGGCTCATTGCTGGTTGTTACACTTGGCGGTCATCGCAATGTCCATCATCGCGATGTTGATTCATGATTGACGTGGATGGTCGACGGACACAGAGCAAATGCCGAAACCGCATCGATTCGATGAGCGCGAAGCACCTTCCGCGTGGGCATCAACTATATAGCAGAGGAACTTCGCCTCCGCCGCCGCAAATGACGATCGCACGCGGAGAGCAAGCGGCGGCGGCACATGCGCTGCTGCGCCACGGCAGGCGAGTCTTGGATAAGTATACTCCCATGCCCAACATGAGTCAAATGTGTGACTCTTGACTCAGCTAACTCCCCCCTAAAACACCGCGGTAGGCCCATGCACACCGTGCACCAAGCACACGACCCATATACCGGTAGGCAATCACTGAATGCACACACGCCCATCATCTCGAGATCATGAGTGAGCTAGGCTGTCTCCTATGCGGTACATTTCATGAATCGGTCTCTCATCGCCCATGCACCTGCTCAAGTTCCGCTCCAGCTTGATGAGTCTTCGGTCGACGACGCCATGCAGCAGGTGCAAATATAGGCACGGGAAGCGGTGGCGGAATGCGCTGCGTAGGTCTGCTAGCGCTGGCCCAAGCAAGATGACCTGACTGCATGGTGACCTGGACCTGCGCAAATCTGCGGATCGGATGCGGGGCGTGCGAATGGACAAGCCTGCATATTGCATGCTTGGCGTCAAATGACTCGTGACTGGCGCCGACTGGCTGATGCTGCATGGGTGCAAGGTGAAGAAAGTACCGTACAAGTGGTCAAGAGTAGAGTAGTCATCACGAGCACACTTAGTAGTAGCACCACCACCATCAGTACAGTACATACCACCGGGACGGCGGCGCACGAGCCTCCTACTTGAGTACCTTTCTGTACGGGTACAGATCCTGAAAGTATACTGTTGCTGTTGCGTTCCTTGCGGCCCATGCGGGCTCGGTCCATTGAGCGGTGCAATTGCAGTCGAAGAGCATCGCGGATGAAAGGGAGCTTTTCGTCAGTTGTTAGTCGTGTGTTCTGCTCTTTCATTGGCACATCTCTGCGTTCAGGAAGCGTACCGCAGATAGCTATGTACATATATACCTAGCCGAGCATGTATACGCAGCAGCTGAGTCACGACTGGCAGAGACAGATCCGTCCACGCGGGCCCCCTGTCTCAGAACGCCCATTTGCAAGCAGCACACGCGTACTTGGTTTCTGCATGCCAACAATCGATCAAGCTGGGCGGGCGACGCGGGAACAGCCTCTCAAGTGCAGTGCCTGACTCACTCATCCTTCACTCGGCCTATCATATGTGTCAATTGGGAATCGCAAGCTTGCTGTTGACAACATATGATGCTTGCTTTGCCCGAGCGCCGCGCCGCAGGTGCTTGAGCGCGACGTCGCGTGCGTGAGGCCGTGCTCAGCACCTTCTGGGAAAGATGCATGCTGCGTCATCACCACCCATCACTTCATTTCCGGAGTAATCAGCAAGGATACAGAGTCCGCGGCGTTTCAAAGGGATCCGCTCAGCTAGGGGTGTGCTTGCTCTGCTGGCGCACGCCGCGCCGCCGATTGCGGTCAGTCTTGTGCATATATGGCTAACAGCCTTGATTGCACATTTCTTGTGCGAAATTCTTTCTATGAGACCGCACTCACGCTGTCATGGCGGGGTAGGGTAATTGCTGTAGGCTGACGAATCGAAAGTCAGTGAGCTAGTCGGAAAGACTCCTGTGGCCAGGACACAATAAGAATAACAGAATCAAGAATGTGATTCCGACTCGACCCTGATGCAGGGGACGGGGAGTCTGCGAAATTTTATTCGTTTGACTCATCGGCGGACTTACAAGCCTTTTGCCCTCATGCGATCAGTGGCCGATTCGAGTTGTACTTCCAAGGTCTGCCAAGGTTTGCTTGTTCTTATCACGACTCATTCCAGGCCTTCATGGCGGATGCAAGCTTGATAAGCTTGCGCGGGATGGTGTCTCAATCCTGATTCTGAGCGCAGATCAGCAGATCAAAAACGCTCGGAGGTGGGAGGTCTGCAAGGGGTCGCTTCAGGGTCTTCTGGATGATGGAAAGCCACGGGTCTGCCGAGCCAGCAGGCGTCGGATCCGCTTTCTGCGTTGGTGCGGCGTGGCTTCAACATCATCAACAGCTGCGAGCATGAGCTTCGGCGCGCACGAGCCATTCTGTCGATGAGAGTACTTGCGGAGTGTGAAAAAGTCAATCGTGAACAAAATGTCAAGTTGGATATGTGACTTCATATGTTTGTCTTGCAACAACCCACCGATCGGTACACCATGCACAGAGAGACTCGAAGTGTAAGACAGAGTATCAAAAAATAAATCGCATAATCGAAATTATGGATGTGACTGTGAATCAGGAGTCACGAGTGGCGTGAATGCTGCGCTCTTTTTGCCGCGGAAGCTTCACTGCAACCGTCCAGAATCATACCACGTGATCACCTGAGCTCCACCTCAATCAGCAAACAGCGGTGCGGCGCGCTCCAAATGTCAAGTCACGAGTGAGCCGTGAGTCTAATCATCACGAGTCTCCCCACACCATGTCCTAGCAAGCCAGGACAGGACAACGCGCGGCGCTCCTTACGACACCCTGCTCTGGACGCGCAAATTACCATTGAAAACGTTGGTGTTCGCAGACAAGATCTTCTCGAGCTCGTAAGATTGCACGTCAAGATCTCGCAACATGTGCTCAACATAGCGATACTCTAGCTGAGCCAACCGCTGCTCTGGAGGACGAGTGTGTGCGGCATATTCAATTGCAGCTTGCTTGTATGCACCAGGATGGAGCTGCGCACTATGAGCAGCAATGATCCTGATCCAAGCGTACCATCTCGGCCAAGGACGGAAAAGGATAGCCGCGATGGGCGGAGCAGCACTTACTCCACACAATCTGTGGAGCGCTGGCTGCTCATCGTCGCAGCATCTCACCGATCTCTGAGCATACTGCTGCTCATCCTCTTTGGTCTGCTGCAACATCCCTTTGACGCTTCTTCATGCGTCCCACAATCCACCCTCGCAACGCTCTTTACTCGATGGGACACGACGCACTATCTCAGCCTTGCCTCGCCTGATCGACGGGGTGCAGAGGAGCATTCGCTCAACGGATCGATTGGTGGATATTGGTGGGAGCATGGCGTTGCTTTTCAGCCCGCTTTGCCTTGGATGCTTAGACTTGCAGGTAGCTTGCCACTTGTCATACCAGGCCAGACTTGGAGTGCAGAAGCTGCTATTGCCATAACATCGACCCTGTGCGCCCTGAGCAGCATAGCTTGTCCACTCTTGCTCTTCAGGTAGGTGCAGCCAGCGCTGCGTCTGCCTCAGCTCGCAATCCTCCTTGTTCGTATGCTCACGCTGACCCTCATACCGATGGTCACCTCTTCTGCCCTGCCGAACGTCACAGACTTGGCCGAAAGCACACCAATGATGAAATCTTCTCTCTCACGGCCGCATTTCTGAGCATCCTCACACCATCTCCGTGGGCTCAAATCACCCCTACTCCTGAAGCGCCCTTCGCGTGCGCCTTTCTCAGCTTGTGCCTCCTCCTGTCTTCGTCCAAAGCCGAAGACGATGGTGTTGAGCCTAGGCCGAGCGGTACCAAGGAGACCTTGGAGCCGAGCAATCGACCTGTGCGTCCGGCGCGCTTGGTCCTCGCTGCTGTGCTGGGCGCTGTCTGTAGCGCTCTGCGCGCCAATGGCGTGTTGACTAGCGGGCTACTTCTTTGGCACATTCTGTGGGACGGGGCTGGTGGCCGACGAGGATGGACGCTTAGTATGGTGAGTGGTCACCAATGGCTTGCTGCATGCTGCATGGCTCATCGATCTCTGGCACTTGCGTGCGCGCATAACGAAGCTGATTACGATCCGCTCGCTTGCTCTCCTGCGCAGCTGCGTTGCCTGTTCCTGCTTCCTCTCGTCCTCGTTCCAGTGGTTCCTTTGATTTTGGTCCAAGTGTGGATGCAAGAACACATGTGCGGCCCGTCTCGCGCTCAAGCTCACGGCGGATCGCTTAGCGAGGAAGCACGAATACCGCCTTACTGCTCAGACGGGCCGTACAGCTTCTCTGCCTACAGCTACGTGCAAAAGAGGTACTGGAACGTGGGACCGTTCGCATACTGGACCATTACTCAATCCCCCAATCTGCTCTCGGCTGCACCGATACTGATGCCCATGCTGGATTGCATCTGGACCTACTACTTTTCAGACTGGAAGAGCGTCTGTCGACGCACGTTGCAACCTTGGCTGAAAGGCGCGCATGTGCACCACACGCCAGGCGTACAATCACGATTACTCACGCGCCATCGCCCACACTCGCGAGGACGCATCTTGACGATGCAGAGTGCTCCGCATATGCTCGTCGTCGTGCATCACGCTACTCTATCGGCGCTGCTTTTGATCGTCATGGCGCACACGCAGATCTCCCTCAGGCTCGCCATAGCACTACCGGTGGTCTGGTGGGGCGCTGCCGACTGGGTCTTGCAGGGCGAACAAGGCACAGTCGGGTCGAAGCGGGAAACGCCTTGCGATGCGAAAGACCAAGGCGAAGAGAAAGACGATGGCAAGACCTCTGGGTCCAAGAATGATTCGAGAAGCTGTGCGACGGGTGCTGGGGGCAAAGCTGCAGTGGCTCTTACCCCTAGAGCTAGGTACCTCGTGGGCTTTCTTGTCATGTGGAACATTCTCAGCTTGGCCCTTTACGCCGGCTTTTATCCTCCTGCTTGAGTGAGCGAGAGGATGCCGATGGAATCTACTTGCCTACGCTCTGCCTTGCCTGCTTCATCTGGGCCCCAACGTGATAGGTCGAACGGATTTCAACACTTGTCACGCGTTCACGCAATGTGGACATGCAAGCGACGTCTCAGCGATCATATTGTCGCGGTCGTCTTGAAATTTTTCGAGCCTCGTCTGTACATAATTCTAAGCTTTCTGTCATCAATGCGATGCAATGACGCGTCTGGACAGTTCGGTGAGGTGAGAGGAGGGGAGGGGGACACAACAAGGCCGAGCGATCGCGCACAGCTCAGAGGGAAGGCATCCTGCGAACCTCCTTATTCTCGTTCTTTGTATGTTTGCGCAAACGCCAACCTAGCCTGCCTTCCGTCTCGAAACTGGCTCGCCACCTTTCAGGCACGGGTTTGCGTTCAGTCAGCCAGTAGAACAAATCCCAATCGGGCTCATCCAGGAGCTTGCGAGAGAGAGGGAGAGCCGTCCCAAAACGATGAAAGGGGCAAAGTTCAGCTTGCTACTACCCTTTTTCTCACTTTTGAAAGGGAGAGGGGGAAGTGGACGAGGAACTCACAATGTCAAATTCCAGCACTTCTATATCTGGCATGTTTTTGAGATGTTGCTGAGCAAAAGTGGAGAGCAGCAAGTCCGTCTCCAATGTTCCTCTTTTCCTCGCCTGATATATCAGCCTTGCGATTCGCCTTTCCCTATCCTCATCCTCTGGACCTCTACCAGGCAGACGAATAGGAACCGGCGTTTCGTCCTGTTTTTGCTCCACATCCACCGCTTCTCCCACGTCTGGCGGCGCACCCTCCCAGGAATGAGCTCCCTTCAATCCTGATGATTGGGATGCGCTGCTAAGGTTCATTCCTTCGAGACGCGGATCAAAGGGAAGAGGAAATGGATCGGACTCGTGCGAGGGAGCAGGAGTGGACGAGTCGCTGTCGCTGGAGGCTTTCATCTCTTCTTCTTTGATGTGGGATGAAGGAGAGGGAGAGGTGTAGCCTGGATCTACGCCTGTTCCTACGTCATCCTTCAGTAATGTACGCGTAGTGGACAAACCTTTTCGAGGTGAGCCCAACGGAGAGGAGAAGGAGGCTCGAGCTGCGGGTGATGCGGCTACACAGCGCAAGAGACGACTATTGCTGCTGCTGCATTGTGAGTGTCGAAAGGAGCACAATCCTTGTTGAGCGACTGCAGCGCACAAGGACACAAAGCGTAGACGCCTCATCAGCCCTGCGTTCATCGCCTCTGTTGCAAAAGGTGCGATATCTCCAACTTACTTCGTCGGAGGACCATGACTGGCTGACGAGTAGAAGTTACTCGAAGTTGTAGAAATATGCACTGTCTGCTTACTTGCGCGCTGTAGTCGTCGTGCTCCCCGTGGCGTTTGTCGAGTAAAGAGGATTGCAGAGTGTTCGAAGTGGAGCGAGTATAGAGTATAAAGATGGGATGGAAGGCCAATCTGAATGGACTGGGATGTACGTGGATGACGCGTGCAATGCAGCAAGGATCTCGTGGTCTCCCTCAACACGTGTTAGTCAGGGTCACGCTTCGTTGATGCGGTCTTCGGATCAAAGTGGTGGATTTGCGTCATGGGTGAGGCGTATAGCTGCTGCATGTGGAGGTGAGGTGAGGTAATGATGAGAAATAGCGTGGGCACAGCAGCATTGCTGCGAAACTCGGGACTTTACAAACACTCCATCTAAAGATTTGGTAATCAAATTTAAAGAAACCGAACAATCTCTTTGAATTCCAGCATGCACAGACCAGGCAGAATCACGGGAAGTGCGAGTCAAAGTCAAGAGTCTGTCAAGTGTGAGTGTACTGTCTCGCTTTTGGGGGGGGAGCAACCTTCTCGAAAGCTTAGAGATTGAGCATCGTGGTTCTACATCTCTTTGCATTATTCTCATCTCTGTTCGCCTTGATCGTTGTCGTGACCCTGATTGTGCCATGCTGATTGGACTGTTCGGTGGATCGCGCGCACTTGTACCGATTTTGAACCACCTGCCACGCTTGCCTCTTCACGCACGAGCTTTTCAACTCGAATCGAGCCGGATCCTCGCTCGGCCCACGCTCCGATCAGGCCTCCCAGGACCGAAAAGCAGCGCGAACATCAGCAGCATTAGTAGCGGCATCGGAAGCATGTCTTCGAAAGATGCCAAGGTCCTGAGGAGCAGACCGATGGATGATTCGGAGGCCAAGTGGGTCGGACTAAGAGCTATCGAGTGGGTGGATCAGGAGGGAAGGGAGAGAAAGTGGGAGAGCGCCGACAGGAAGACGAGAAAGGGAGAGGTGGATGGTGAGTGCGCGACTGCCATTGCGATGGAGGCGCAATGCTGCCTCTTGAGCGACGCATACATTGAAGTCGTTCTTCGCCTGCGCATCAGCTGACCCCCCGCGCTCCTGCTTTGTGTTTCATCACATCCTAGCCGTGGCTATATGCGCCCTCATTCATCGTCCCTCTTCCGAGACTCATGTCCTTTTGATCTCGCAGTTCAGACCGCCCGTTGCCTCTTCGGTCATTGAAATGCCAGCAGGTCTGGTAGATGCTGGTGAAGAGGGCGATGAAGGAGCTCAGAAAGCCGCTCTTAGGGAATTGGAGGAGGAGACGGGATACGGCACCACGAAGCAAGGCGGATCGGTCGATGTGGTAGAGACCAGCACCATCATGGTCAATGATCCCGTGAGTGACCTTGGACTCCGTTGCAGACCAGTCGCTACGAGAGAATTGCATTCTTGCTCCGCATTGAGTCAGACGAGCTGAAAAGTTGCTCTCTTCCTCGTCATGCGATTAGGGGCTCTCTGGCGCGAACATGAAGCTGTGCGTTGTGCGTATACATCTGTCGGACGATTCGGAAGAGCCGGTAGCCAAGCCAGAGGAAGGCGAATTCATCGAAAAACATCTCGTCCCAGTCAAGGGCCTTTACAAGACGCTCAAGGGTAAGTCAGAAGTGCTAAACGCGGCGCGGGCAGCAAAGTGGAGAAGTGCGCATTCGCAAAGCTGACCTGAAGACCGACTGCGCTCCGTACGTCTGGCAGACTTTCAAGACAAGGGCTTCGCGGTGGATGCTAGACTAGCTCACCTTGCTGTGGGTCTGGAGTTGGGTCTGGGTGGACTGACAAAGGGTAGCAAGATTTGATTCGCGCTTCGCAGATGAGCTTCGACGTGCAGAGGGCGGCGGCGCCTATCAGTTGCAGCTAGTGTGTACGAAAGCAAGTCTGAAAGAAGCACAAGGCGCGTGCAATGGAAATGCAAGTGTAACACAAGAAAGGCGATCAAGACTTGGGTCCAATCGAGGGGTATTGTCACAATCTAGCTTTGCTATCAGTCTTGCCTTTGGCGCCTTCTGCTGCGGCCTTTGCGCGGACAAGGCGCTCCTCGCGCCTGAGAGCATCGCAGTCCCTCGCATTAGTCTCGTCCCACGTTCGCAAGTCGCCCAAAGCAGGATCCACTGTGTCGAGACCTTCGAGGGCGTATTTGAGAAAGACTTGCCAGATGCTGTCTTCTCTTCCCAGCAGCTCCGTAGGTTCCGAAGCAGCATCCGCGTCTGCGCCTTCTCCTCTCGCGATCTCCTCGGGCAATTCCTTAGGCTCATAAGCTTCTCCTCCCCTCACTGCTCTCTCTGCACCATCATCGTCGTCGTCGTCTTCCTCCACTACGCTGCCTTCGCCGATGTCACTGCTGCTGCCCTCTCCGCTGTTGTCTGCTTTGCCCGTGATCACATTTCGAGGACTGCCCGTCTTGTTTGGCAGTCGAGGACCTGATGGTCTGAAACACGTGACGTGGCCGCACTTTGGCCAGCCTTTGAGCTTGGGCGGGTCGATGAACAGCGTCTTTGTCCTGGAACCCTTGCCGCAGAGCAAAGAGGCGTGCTGATGCATCATGTGTCTGAAGACGACGGCGTGGCGGGTGACAGCCATGAGCGACTATGCAGCGACTAGCCACACGCAAGTCCAGGAAGCAAGACGCTGATCGCGACTACGACTGCCACTGCTCACCTCGAAATTGTCTCGTCGTCGCTAAAGGAAAAGTAGATCCAATCAAACATGCGCACATTTTCCTTTGCCCTCTGCTCATCCTCTGGCACGTGCAACGAGAAGAGGGGATGCGCTGGTAAAGAGCCGTGGTGATGCAACGAATTGCAGCAGCATTGCGAGCGTCAGGTCTGCAGCTGAGGAGCGACTCGAGAGGTGCAAGAACTCGAGCTCCAATCGACCGACTCACTGAACCAGTCGATCCAGTCCTTGCCTGGTCCGTAGGGAATGTCGTATCCTAGACCCAAGCTGCTGGATCTGAAGAGCCGATCAGTCTCGATGGGCTTGATGATCACCTCGTTGAAGCCGAACAGCGACTCTTCTGGCTCGGTGTGGTTTCGCCAATGCGCATTGCCGCCATTGACATCGGCGAAGCGAATGGGCACGCCAAAGGATTGCAGCATGCGAGGTTCCAGGACGCTTTTGGGAGGAGAGAGAGAGGGAGAGACAGTCCGCGAGGAAGGGAGAGTTTGAGGACGCGGCGTATGAGCTTCATCGGTCCACAACGCACTGAGGACCGCTTGGAGTGCGGGCAGGCTGCGTGCATGCCCTGACACTCACGTCATCAGGTGACCGCCCAGACTGTTGCCAAAGAAGCACATTGGCGCCCGAGGATGAGCGTCGTGGGCAAATCTAGCCACAGCAGCCAGATCCTCTCTTCCCCACGTCCTGATCAATCCGATCTCATCCGGCGCCGTCCTGATAGCCTGTTCGAACACTTGCGCATACTCCTCCTCATCCCCTGCACCTTCCAACTTGTCCAACCACTGCTTTGGGAAAGAGTTGCCGCTATACCTAAAGTCGAACGTGAAGGCGCACAATCCCTGCATGGCCAGCCAACAGGCGAAATCGTGGTAGAACCTCGCTTGCACTCCCGTCGCGTTCACCACCACCACCACCGCCCTCACTTCCTGTCCATCCGTCTGGCCCACCGCGCTCGATCCTGGCGGAGGCTCGAAGCGATGAGCGGCTAATGGAAAGCCGTCCGCTGCAGGCACCACCACAGCTTGTGGCACGACGCCAAAGGCGCTCATTCTGCCCTTTGAGGAGGATTCTGGCATTGGGAGAGGGAGGGTCGTGTGAGTAGGGTGCTCAGAAGGCGATCTGGCAGAACGAAGCGGTGAAGGAGGTGGAGAGGGGCAAAGGAAGGGAGGGCGGGTTGGCCGCTTACCGATTGCCGATCGCGTTGCTACGTTCTTCTAAGGTCACAAATCGCGGATGGAAATGGTGGATGGGTGATACCAGCGCAGTGCGAGTCACGAGTCGCAGTCAATGGCGAGTTACATCGTGAGTGCAAGCGCAAGTTCAACATTCAGATTCGACATGTAAGATTCGTTGTAGCGACTCCGGCATCGCCTCCGCTTCCCCGCATCGCGACCCCATATCGCTTGGCGTCGCTCGGCTCAGAGAAGGCCCGATCGTGAATCGACGATGATCACAAAGCAACAAGTTGACCATCAAGGTGCAAGGCTCAGAGCGCAACGTTTCAATCACGAGTTTGAATCAAAATACAAGCGAGATCGGCTCCGCACGTCGTTTTGAATCCCGGTGCCGGCGCGCTCGTGCAAATGCAGTCACGTGAACCACTTACGTTCCAACGCGCGCGAGGCAACCCCAAAGGCAGAACTCACGACTCTTCTGCTGAATGGTTGGTGCATTCGTGATTTCCGGACAGAACCACGAGACAGGGCTTGCGCAAAGGAGGCGGCATCAAAGTCGTGAGTGTAGTGCGGAGACCAGGACTGCGAATCAAGGCAATCTCGCTCTAGCGACACAGCCAATAACGCTTTATCGACGAGTCACTGAGCCCGTCCGAGGACCGCCCACATCTTGCTTTGCCTTTTCCGGACTGTCTTCGAGCACCGGTGAATAGCGATGCCTTTGCGGAAGCCTAGCAACAGTCATCCGATGCTCGTGCAGGATTATCGTTGAGGAAAAAGCTCCGTCCACGAAAGCTCGGACGCCTCTCTGTTAGTCAAAACTGCGCTCAACTTGGTCTGAAAGAAGGAAAAGCAGGAAACTCTGACGTCGACGTAGTCGACTCGAGGTGATGCTCATGAACTTTTCGTCCGAATGGTCTCGTTGTGCTGCTTAGCATCGGGCTGAAAGGTTCGTGCTGGTCGCGAGGTGTCGCGACTGGCTTGCTGCCTAGGCGCAGCTCCAGGTCCGGACCATTGTCCGCCGACCCTTCCGTTGGTATTGCCGGACGAATCCTGCTGCTCCGGAAACGCGCTACGCCGGTTCTAAACGAACCAAGGCGGAGTCTCGTGTCGATCCGAGGCAGCCCCTCCGGTCTTTGGCGTGACGGTGTAGATGGATCTTTCAGTGGCTCCTTGTGCCTTTGAGCCGTGAGGGTCAAGCTTGAAGTATGGTCCTTGTTGCTAAATCCGAGGCTCGGTCGACTGCCACCAACCAAAGCCCTCTCAGGGATCGTCGAGACTCTATCGGCGCCGTCGATCTGATCGGATGCTGTAGCAGCGTCTGTTCTTTGCCGCTTACCATAGGCCTCAGAGAGTTCTCGCCCGAGCGACGCGTCCTTGTTGCCGGCATTATAAGCTTCATTTGGCGCGGGCCGTGGCTTCCGGCTCGGTTGATGGATGTTCGACAGTCGTCCGTAGGATTGGTTCTGGTGTAGGTAGGCCACCGAGCCTGTGCCATGGAATGCCTGAGGAGACACCTTGGCCTGCCTGCTAGGCCCGGGCTGATCAGCGCTCCTCGGCAACGACTGGTCCATACGTTGGCCTTCAGTATGAGAACCTTCAGCTAAAGATGCAGTGATGGGCCGGCGACGGGGGCGCCCGAGGTCTCCAGACGCGCTGCACCAGTCAGCTGGCCCACCATTGCCATTGCCAGAGTATTGTTTGGTCCTGTCTATCACTCGTCCGCATCTCGCCTTGGAATCCTGCTTGTAGTGCTTCGGGTCTCGCGGATGCTCGGGTAGTAGCGAGCCGTGCGCATCCATGAGTGTCGTGTCAACAGTATCGACAGGATAAGGACGCAAGCCATGGGCATACACCTTCTTCGCTTCTTTCAGAGGTCCCGGATTTTGGAAATGAGCTCCGTCAGGCCGAATGAGCGTCGAACTTCGGTGGCCCCCGCCCACAAAAGAGGCGTGATCGGGAAGAGGAACAATATGAAGGGTCTCATGCCCTTTCAGCACACCTGAAGGCACAAGCCTGTTCTCCTTCGTCCATGCAGTCGCAGTGAGGAACGTGCGGTCAGATATCTCGTTTGGAGGCCGAAATCCGGTCTGAACCTGATAAGCTATTTGGTCAGCATCACTGCGCTGCACCATGCCGCACCGCTCAACAACTCACGATCATCCTATGCACAACGTGATGTTTATCTTTTTCAAGGTAAGCATTGATAGCTTTGACCGCAGCTCTTTGGTGCGTTCCGTTCTTTATCACTTCGAGCTGTATTATAGTTCGCTTCATCAGCATCCGTTTCCTCCCAGCATCGCTAATGTCCAAGGACCTGGGCTGAAGTCGAGCAGCGTGAAAGCCCGTTCCAGACATGTTGGAGGTAGTGGCTTTTCTGGTCGCGCCGCTCGGAAACATCTTCGAGGCATTTTCATGTGCGATGTGATGCGGAGCAGAGTGTGTCGAGCTTGAGCTGAAGACCTCAGATGGTTCCAGGGACGCTTGTCGTGGCGGAATCCAGCTGGAGGGATGCACCGTGATACGAGGCCGCTTTGCAGCGCGAAGCGATTCGTGTTGCGAGCTAGGCAAACGGATAGCGGAATGTCTCCTTGACTCGCCATCGACCGAAGCGATCTCCTGTTTGCGTTTATGAGCTCCTGCCTCGAGCAGCCCATGCACTCCATACTCGCTAGCAGGAGCGTGATGCTTCTGGGCAAGCAATGCACTGTGACTCTGGGAATGGAGGTGGCCGATCCGTGTGGGTGAGACTGTGCCATCCTGCGAGCCACTGCCTACACGGCCGGGCACTGGCTGACGGGAGCCATCCCCTGCCAAGAGTGTCGCGTATGCCCTCAGATGGTCAGCGTCCATGTCGTTCGAGCCGGCAAATGACGTGGTTGGGCTTCGCCGACGCGTGACCTGAGCGCGACCGGAACCGGGTGATTAGCAAGTCGACGCATCTTCCAAGGAACAGCACGACTCACATCTGCGTCCGCGTGCGACACGGCTTCGGCAAAGACACGAAGCTGCTTCGCCAGACTTTTATCGACCCTACGCTCTCCTGCCGGTCGGATGGTGGGCCAAGCATTCGCGTGACTATCGTTCAACATGTAGGATACCACATTTGGCGGGTCTTTGCTACCAAGATTTTGAGGCAACGACCTCAGGAGCTAATCACGAATGAACATGAAGATGCGGAGGCTATCAGTATGCATTTGTGCGCCTTGCCGAAGCAGGCCGCAATTCGCGCTTGTCTCACCTCGACTTTATTCACATTGCGGCCGGGCTCCCCTTGCAAATGTTCCATCAGCGAAGCTTCGTTGGCAGAAAGGATTCCTCTACGAAACACGATGCTTTGCTCATGAAAAGGCAAAAGCAGGGCTTCCCTCTGGAAGCTGGTACCTCGCTCACGCAAGCGATGTGTTGCATGGCTGAGCATGCGCGGATGCGCGAAGCCGTGGATTAGGAGGCATGCAAGAAGGACAGAGGCGATGCACAGCAGCGCCAGACTTCTGATTGTGTGGTCCATTTCACTTGCGGTCGCCAGTCCGTCCGCTTTCAAGCGGAGCAGAAGAGAAGCGCGGTGAAGTGGATAGGCTCGAAAAGCCAGCCCCTGCCAGGGCAGCCTGTGGAGGCGAAAAAAGAGGTTTCTGTGCCGCCGGCGGCGATCAGGGGGCGAGGTTCATGCTCTCGAGGACATTTGGAAGCGACTTGATATAAGTGAGGTGCCAGGCAAGTGACTGCTCCCACCTGCCGGCGAGAAGCTGAGACCATTACTGCGGCTTTGACCAAGCCAAAGCGAGGATACGCGACCATTTGACAGTCGTGAGTGCAAAGGGCACTTAGTGGTGGCGAATCCTGCCACCAGCTTTGCGGATTCAGTCGCCACCGAGGGCATGAGTGCACGCCCAGTAGCCTGTACATGCGGGAGCAAATTTCGGCCTTGGAAAGCGCCCGAGCCGCACTTTGCGCTCAACTGAGCATCATCGATCTGCTCCTAAGCCACCCACTAATGCTGTGCCCCCGGTGCATTACCGAAGAGCGGCGCCGGTTCTTTTATGTGTTGTCTCAGGCCATCCAAGCACTTCCGAGCTAAGCGTCCGAAATCTCCATTTGCCACTCACTGTACGTCTATTAGTTTTCTGTTGTGCGGTCTCCGATGCTTGGGCAATGACATGTGATTTATCTATGTGTCGGCGTGTTAGGCGAGCATCGGTAAGGAGGCATCTCAGTGAGTAGAGGACTTTGCGAGTCGTGCGCATTGCCTGACATTGTGGGAACCTGAATCAGATTTGTGAAACACGGTGGCTGTCGTGGTCGCGAAGCTGCCAGAAGCAAATGTCCAGATGGGAATGATGTCGAAAGGAGAAAATCTTCAGATGTGTAAGACGCAACTACATACGCAAGAAGCGAGGCCACATGCCCCCGCTCTTTCGACCACCTTCTCGGCCCTCTGCTCCATCGTCCTGTCCAGCTTCGGGCTCTTCCGGTCCCTGCTCAGCGTCTCTCAGGCGACCTCTCCGCGGAGAGCTGGTGGACTGTTCCGGGAATGATGCTTCCAGAGGGCCCCATTCTGGTATGGCAGGTCGCGTGCCAGCAGCTGATTCTGATTGACCCGGCGGGAAGGCCTCGGCTCGTGAACGTTCAAGATGAGCAGCGGCTTCGGCAGCACGCATGCTCGCCGACGCCACACGTGGGGATTCGCGCCATGACAATGAACCGGTCTGACCTGAAGCGCCTCTTCCCTGCAGGGCTTGCAAAGTTGGGGACGAAGTGGTGGTGGTGAGCGTGGGTTGGACCGCTGGAGACGCGCCGGGCATCAAGCTGCGCGGCGGTGCCCGCGGGGTGCGGCCCATGTCAGAAGATGACTGCGGCGAATGTGAGGTTCCGCCTTGTTGTTGCTGCTGCTGTTGGTCGAGCTCACGCTGCGCCTGACGCATAGCCGCTGCCCCTAGCGATGAGCTAGGGTAGTGCCCATACAAATCTTGGTATGGGCCAGCGCTCGAGATGCTGTCTCGCTCTTCAGCTGCCCCGACCTCTCGCACGCTGTCAAGTCGGCGCAAACCTTCTTCTCCCTCGCCACCATCCCAGCTTCCGCTACGGCGTCGCTTTCTTTCCCCACTGCCACTACCGCTACCGCTGCCGCTGCCGCTCAGTGCTCCGGAAGCCGGCAGCATGCTGCTGCCGCCGCCAGCCGTTGCACGACTACTTTGACCGTCACTCGCGTATTCTTGCGATTCAGGACCAACAGATAGGGACCGCGCGTAGTCTGTCTCTGTTCGGCGCGAGTTCGCTCTGCTAGCCCCGCCGCTGGACATAGTCCCGCCTCGGGTGCTGATAGTGCTTCCACGCGCCAAATGACTTGGACTGTAGCTCGCAGCGCCGGTACTTCCGCTGCCTTCGCTGAGCCCGGTGCGGCGACTGCTGCTTCCTCCGCTGCGGCTGCCACTACGACTAGAGTCCGGCTCGCTCGACGTCACGTGCGTGCGGTTGCTCAGACTGTCGATGCCCGTGCTTGTGGTCATGGCAGAACGTCTTGAGCCTGCAGGTCCTGTGCGACTTCTGGACGAGTTGGTCTGGCCTGATGTGTCTGAAATGCTCGCACTGTAGCCACCTGCAGAGCGCTGACTTGAGTGCAGACTCGGCGCATTGGCAATGGCAGGTTCGAGTGGCACCGTCGGCTCTTGCTCAGTAGCCGAAGGCTCACCGTTGCGCGAATCGGACGTACCACCAGAGCCGCTGGATGCTTCGCGAGAATTGGAGATAGTTTGGGGTGACGAGCCTTGCCCGCTGTTCTGACCGTGTCCCAGCGTACTGGCGCGATGGACACTTGCGCGAAGGCTGTGCACGTCTGCCGCCAGACCAGGGTCAGAAGTCTGGGCAGGTTCATGTCGAGCGCCATGGCGCTGCGGCGATGCCGGCGAGAAGTCTGGATCGTGGCTCGGCGTCTCGCGCTCGGCGCTTGAAGGTGGTGCTGTGTTGCCCATGGTCAGACGACGCCAGCCGGCTGCCAGACCTCCAAAGATCCCACCGGTAGCTGCCGCACTTGCATACTGGTCGGGCGCATCGCTTGCTGGCTCCCCTGATTCTGGCCTGATCGCACGCGTGTCCTCGAAGGGGTTCTCGGAATCGTCGATTTCGTCGTCTGTCTCTCGTGTCCAGCCAGAAGGTCCTCCAAGTCTGCTCGGCGCACCACCGGTAGAACCCAAGCTTCGCATGCTTCTGGGTTGACCGAGAGTGCCTCGTGGTGAGCCAGGGGGAGTGTAGAAGCTAGCAGCTCCGCCCGCTGTTCCCAAAGCGGCGCCAGCCTCTTCAGACGGGGCATTTTGTTGACTGCTCTGACCTCGCGAACCGAACTGCGACGCGCTGCCTCCGCTACCAGAGCCTGATGCCAAAGAGTGGAGAGCCGATCCACCGCCAGCACTGCCTTCGCCAAACTCGCCAACGGAACGGATGGTTGATAGACGTCCATGAGCGCCATATCCAGCAGCGGGAGGAGCGTAAGGTGACAAATGCGCGGTGCTTTGCGAGGTTGATCCTGCATCGGTCTGAGCGCCACCTGCTCCTGGGCCTAGCAGAGGTGTGTTATGGCTGATGAAGCGGCTATGACGATCTGCCTCGTCCGGGGTCGCGGCAACCTCTGCCGAATTGCGCTCGGGGTAAGCACCACGCGAGTAGGTGCTGCCCCCGCTATCCCTGTGTCCAGCAGCAAGAGCGCCTAGGCCAGCGCCGGCTGCTACAGCTCCGAGTAGCGCTGGTGCACGTGTTGCGCCTTCAACATCGCTTTCGGGCTGCTCTGTGCCCGTCATTCCCAGATCGCCTTCGCCGAATCCTGCATGGAAAGAAGGAATGCGTGGCTTCCGCTCAGTATCTCCCTCTGACCCGGCGGTGATGGCTCCAGCCGCCGCTCCAGGAGCAAGATTGCCGTATGTTGTGACGCCGGGTCGCTCTCTAGGAGCGCGCGGGGGAGGTGGCAAACTCGTTACGGTAGAGGGTGAGCCCTGGACGGTGCGCGTCCCGGTCGAATTGCTGCTGGTGCCACCGCCACCTCCCCGCGAGCTTGGTGTGCCTCTGGATCGTGAGCCGCTGCCGCTGTTGTTGCTGCTCGAGTGGTTGCCGGACTGCGAGCCGGATGTGTAGCCACCTCCGCCATAACTGTCCGAATTACGACGGTGCGTATTGCCAGCCGCTGTGGCACCTGCACCTGCCCCTGCAAGTCCGGCCGCGGCATACTGAGCTGATGGCGTACCCCACAGGTTACCACCGCTTCCAGAGGTGGATCCGGCGGAGAGGCTCGGCGTCATCCCCTTGCGGACGTTTGTTGGACTTCCGACGTCTTGGCCACTCTCGTCGTACTGAGAGTCCATCAGGCCTTGCTTCTCTGGGTCGGACTTGGGATCGCCACCTCGCCCACGGCTTGCCGCGGCCGCAGCAGCTAGCCCTCCAGCACCTGCACCAAGGACGCCAGCGTTGGATGCCCAATCCGAGTCCTGCGTCATGTCCCCTTCCCCGTCGCCTTCGCCCCACGCGGCGCCGCCACGACCAACTTGAGACATGTCACGCTCTGCGGGTGGCACGTTTGCGTAGTCCATCAGCCCCCGCCTCTCCTCTCCCGCGCCATGAGCGTCAACATCATCGTCGGAGGTCGCACCGCCAGACACCTTCTCGTTGTACTGCTTATCCTTGTTACTGGATCGCCTTCTGCCCAACGCGGCTGCTACAAATCCTCCGGCAGCGCCCAGACCAAGAGCGCCGAGCGCTCTGCGTTTGCCGCCTCCTACACCAGTGCTTCGTCCGCCGTCTCCGTCGCTGAAAGGATCACTGCCGACAGCCGGGGCGTCGGATGCCATTTGATCTCCGTCGCGGCCACCGACGACGAAGAATCCACTGCCATTCCCTCCATTAAGCTGATCTTCCTCCCATTCATCACTTGCTAGGCTGCCACGTCCACCGCGTCCGGCAGCAGCGGCGCCAGCACCAGCGGCGCCGATGGCCGCGTACGTGCCAAGTCTTCGACTGCCGCCTCTGGAGAATCCAGCCGAGTACTTGTCGCTGAATCTGCGAATGGGACCTCCTCCTGCAGTTGCGCCTCCCACACCAGCTTCCGCACCGCGATCTCTATTGCGCCTGCGACACAGAAGGAAGAGTAGCAACAGTAGCAGAAGCAGTCCGAAAAAGGCGCCGATGACGATGCCCGCAATTTGACCACCAGACAGTCCAGATCCGCCACCATTCGGAGGCATACCTGCGATAGTTCCGGTAGGCTGCGGTCGTGTGGTCTGAGACGATTGTGATGCGCTTGAAGCGGAAGCACTAGATGCGGACGCGCTTGAGGCTGATGCGGATGAAGCCGAGGCAGCGCTGGAGGCGGATGCGCTGGACGCCGAGGCAGCGCTGGACGCTGATGCGCTGGATGCAGAAACACTCGACAGCGAGGAAACAGAAGAAGCGGCTGCAGAATCGGTTGGTTGAGGAAGGGGCGCAGAGGTGGCCGTATTCGTGGCTGCGGTGTTCGTCGCCGTTGGATTCGCGGTCTGCGTTGGAGCAGCAGATGTAGCTGTATTGGTCGGGACAGGTATGACGGTACCGGATTCTCCTTCGGTGCCCGTTGCGCCTTGAGATTGAGAGGGATTCGTAGTCGGCGCCGCGCTAGGCGCGGTTGATGTACCTGTGGGTACATCATTACTGGATGACACCGTGCCACTGGGCTGTGGTGCAGATTCACTAGGTGCAGAAGTTGGAGCCGTCACCTGCTGAGTTGAGCTGCTTGGCAGTTCCTGGCCTGGTAGGGTGTAGAGCGTGCCCAAGGGCGGAGGCGGAAGCGGACCTGTATAGAGCAGAGGCCGCTGAACCACTGAATAGCCGATGCTTGTCGTCTCACCCACGTTCACCTCGACCGTCTGCGTGGGAGGAGCGCTGCCATCCGGATAGTAGATGATGCGTGTGACAGTCTCGGTGAAGGGACCGACAACGGTGGTGTACGCTTGGTAGGAAAGCCAGGAAGGCAAAGGCTGCGCTGTCGGTCCAGGCCCCGGCTCCTGCGTCGGTAGGAAGGCAGCCATTCTGTAGCCCAGAGCCGTTGGCACCTGACAGACACCAGGAGCGAGATCAGCGAAACGCTCAAGTAGGCGCACTGAGGGTCTTCGCCCCTCACCTACCAAGCGCTCCCGACAGGGTTTGCGGGTGTCACTTTGTGAGTCGTGTCTCGTATCGCGTCGCGTCAAATGGTATTCGTAAGTAGGCGTGAATGGCTCGTCGGAGTGGAACGTTAGCTGTACCAAAGCCAGACCTCCTTTACCAATCGATGTCGAGGCTCGCCGAGTCGCCGCAGTGGTCTAATGGGAGGCAAACGCCGACGGGCGTGTAGAGTAGGAGACAAGCCACAAGCTCGTTTGGTGCGTGCAAGGCGTTAGGGTCGTGAATGGAGGGGATGAGATTAGGGTGGGGAAATGTGAATGCAACGGTCAAGAGCAGGGAGGGGTGAGGTAGCCCAAGGGATGGATGCGAGGAGAGGAGCAAGAGCAAAAGTCAAACGTGTGTACAGTGGTACTGTATGCGCGTGCGTGCGCGAGATTGTAAATGAGTTTTGCGTGCCTCGAGCGCGGTCGAGGGCTGTCACGCTTGCTGCAGCCTTTTCGCAGCAGCTTCCGCTTCGGCGTGATTGAAACCAGAATGAGCGCAAGACGCCATGCAATGCCGAATGTCCAGAATAGGCAAGCAAGACTGCATGATCTCGGATCAGTGGAATGCTTTGTATGACAATTTGAAGCATCACCATTGAAGGTTGTGATTGTTTTTACTGCATCGCAGCGAACACCACAAGGCTCGCGTGCGCAACCAAGGGTGGATGTTGAAGTGGAAGTGTTGATAGGGGCTTCCGCGGGCTGCGTCGCGCTGCATCGCGCTACCATCATGCAGCTTCCGCCCCGAGGCACTGCCTCACCAGCATGCTATGCAGCCCGACGGAGGTCCGTGGGCATGCAACTCGTGACTCACAACAGTGATCAAAAAGCTGCACGCAGCGACGACGCGCAGGGCGAACAAGAATTCTTCATGTTCGAGATGCTTCTGACTTGCCTAAATCGGCTCTGCGAAGTACAGTCACGATGAGTCGTGAGTGTGAGTATCACTCTCTGACTATGGTGGATCGTGAATCGAGTCGTGACGATTCGGTTCGGGACGTAGTGCAGGCCTCACTAGCATCGGGACGCTGGCCATCATCGTCCGCACATATTCTCTAGTGAAATCTAATATTCAAGATTCTATCCCTCATCTCATTCACCCAAAAAGGCAAGTCTGTCAGCTTCTGGGACATTGTAACGCCGTGAAGATCAAGTGCTTGCTTATCGAAGGAACGCAATTTTCATCCTTTATCAATCACTCGCCTGCTTATTGCGCTGCCTTGTCGGCGCTCATCATCAGTCTTTCGTCCGGCATGGCGAGGCTCACGAGCTCTTGTCCCTTCGGGAGCTTTGGACTACTGAAGCCTCAAAAGGATCTGACCGCTAGCAGGCCCCTCTTCATGCTGTGATATGATGCGGGAGGTCCGATGAATGCTCTCGAATGTTCATCATGATTGAGATTCCCACGTTGCTGTTGGCGCTATCGCGCCACGGCTGCCTTTTTGCGTCGATACAGAGACTGCAGACGATGACGGCATCGTGCGCTGCGCTGCGTGCAGGCTCAAGATCGATCGAGCATATGCACGCGGTGCTCGAGTGCACAACATCGCGATTCTACACTGAGTGACTCGTGACTCACTAGACTGCATAACCGCGTAATAATAATACGTCGTGATTGCACCGCGCATCGCTACGAGCGTCAGAAGAGGTGAGAGGGCAAGGCGCTGCTGCTGGAGAGTGGCGGGCGATTTGGCCAATGCTGGCGATTTGGCAGGGTCCAACCTGCAGCCACATACAGTAGCAGAGCAGCAGCTAGCCGCTCACTTCACAGCGGCAGCACCGTGCAGTCAACGCAGCGTCGCGAGGGTTCAGAACCCCGACGTGATGTCTGCTTCAACATTGGTGATTCACCCCACACCCGCATGCAGCCGCCATCATTCAAGCTTCCGCGCAGCAGCGCGCACAATTAAGATGTGCGACGGACCTTTTCAGGCGCGCATTCGCTTGGCGATCGAGCGCGAGATTTGAGTGCGCAGAGCATCCAGCTATAGCTGCCCTGGGCCCATGGGCCCACATCCAAATACAGTCACAGTACCATGCACTCGTGACTTGTAGTACCACTACTGGCGGACATTGACGGTGAGCTCGCTCCTGCTGATGATGCCTTGCCTCCGGCGGTGTCTGCCGCGCTTTGCGAGATTATTGCTTCGGATCGGGCACAGACCAGGCTCGTGCACTGGTGGTGGTGGGGCTAGCTGTGTACGCGTACGCCGCGGACTCTCACGCACGCGGTGAGAACTGTTTCCGAGTCTTCTTCGCGTTGAGTCACAGCAGCACTCGTGACTTGTTGTTAGATCATGGGGACCCGTGCCTCGGACGAGCTAAGCTGATGAAGGTAGAAAGGCATTTTTGATTCCACATCCTAGATACTCATGTTCATGCTTTGGCTCTGTGTGGCATCTGGACAGTCTCAGCTGACTCACAACTGTTGTAGAGTACGGTTTCCCATCGCGCAAGAAGTACAGTACGATAGCAATAAGCCTTCTCTTGTCTTGCTGAGAGCCTAAAGCCGGGTTCCTGGGCTGCTGCAGATGAAAGCGCTCGAAAGTGGAGCGGAGACGATGGTGCGGTCCAAGTTGCTATATAGGCGCCCACAAGAGCAGTCGAGTCGCAAGCATTCACATTCCCCCATTGAGCGTTGACGGACCGGACCGCGTGACAGAAGCGGGGCGGGCGGCGAGCGGCGGGCGAGCGCCGGCCCGCAAGCATCGAGCACAAGCAGCGTCAGCATATGGTGAGCATCGCGCTGCGATCCCTGCGGCCTTTGGGCACTACATGCATATACTCACGACTGTATGCTCGACCGTGCATGCAGTCCGATGGTCAGGCGAGCGAGCTGCCTTAGCGCCGCGGGGCTATGCTTGCTTGCTAGCGGAGTCGAAGCGATCAGACAGTCCGAGAGCCAAAGCAGCTAGCAAGCAGCAGGCGCGCGCGGCCTTGCACATCCTTCCTTCCCCACGATCGTCGTCATCGCTCGTCCCACTCGCGCGAGCGGGCCCGCGCGGATGCCACTCGCCGCCTTCAGCAATTATATATTGCCGCTCAACTCTATCTACCCACGGTAGGGCTGTTGCGGGTACAGCCGGTGACCGCTTGCCGCCTCGATGTTTGCAGATGCTCTGATGCCGAGGCTGACGCTCGCCTCTGTTTGCACCCAAGCGTGCGACGAACACAAGGGATGCACGCACGGTACCGGTCGCACAGATGCAATCAAGAATCATCTACACCTGTGACCGTCGTGATTGCACAGCTAGGCAGCTAGCAAGCAGCCGAGCTCTAAATCTTCCCTCCGATCCAAGAGGGAGGGCTGGCTGGCTGGCTGGGTCTCACATGAATGGAGGCTTTTCGTGAGAGGCGCGGGAAGACTCATCGTACTCGATTGTGACCAAGACTGCCGTGACCAGACCAGAACATGGCTTACGCGCAGCGCACAATGACGATGGCGGTCGGTGCGGGCCGGACCCTTGCGCACCAGCAAGTCTTCTTCCGCTCATCCTTGCTGATGTGAACGCCTTCCGCCCGAGGTGTATATATAGAGAGCCCCTTCCAGCGCTCGCCTCCCAAAAGTTTAGCCCTCACTCTGCTCAACTTCGCAAAAGTCAAACGCAAGCATTCGCATCTACAAGACGCAACACGCCTGCCTTTGTGACTTTATACCATCCTCAAACAGACTCGACTGTTCAAAATGCTCTCTCTCGCCACTCGCACCGTTGCTCGTCGCGTCTCTGCCCAGCAAGCGCGCGCCATCACCACGGCAGCTGCCAAGGCACCGACGGCTGCGCAACAAGCCGCACCCACAAATTCGGCCAGCATCACCACTCAGGCTGCATCGATTGCCCAGCCAGCACCCGTTGCTGCGACCCGCAACTACGCCGGCAAGGTCACCATGCCCACAAGGTGAGCAAGCACCCCTTCGCCTCGCCCGTTCTTCTCTCGATGAATATCGAGCCAAACATTCGAAGCCGGCTTCTCGCTGACCAAATTTCCTTGCTCCTTTTCTGCATTTGCGTACCATGTCTAGACAATTCTCAACTCCAGCTTCCGAGTCGATGCCAGGTCTTAGCCAATCAGACGCTCGCCCTTCCAAGTTGGCAGCACAGCGCATGGCAGATGCCAAGGCTCTCGCTGGCTTCTAGACCCGACCTTGTCATCGTCTGCACTACGAATACAAGGTTCGACTTCGTCGCACGATGCTGTGGCGCCTCTGTCGCACCGCTAGAGCCCTCGAATACTTTCTCTGCCTTCGCTGGTCCAGACTTCCGCTTCGACATCACACCACGACCGTCCCTCTCGACTCTGACCCCGATCGTCCACCGGCATCAAATTTGCTATGCGCCACTTTCGCTTCACCCTCTTGTATGACTTGACCATTGATCGACTCCCCTCCACACTCGCGACGTTCTTATACAATTGCTACACGTGTACTCAAATGGCATGCTGCTCCTCCACTCGCATCTTCATCAGACTAGACCGGCGACTGCCATGGGATCACATGCTGTGTGCGTGGCTGCGAACGTGACACTTGATTTCGTTGAAGGATGCGTTTGGACTTTGTGTATGTTTGAGCATGCAAGGTAGGGTGGTCGTGCAAAGGTGGGCAGAAGATGGATGTGGATGCTCAAGGCCCCAGAATTGGAATGAGCGTAAGCTTGAAAATTGTCGAATGGCTTCATCGCTCTCGGATCTCTGCAAGAAGTCGCTCTAGTTCCTCAACAACTCCAAGCATGTTTGGGCGGTTGCGCGGATTCGCATCCCACATTCGATCCAAGAGATTGACAATGCCTTCTCCATGTCGCTTGCGTATGGATGCCGTCTTGGGACTGCAAGTGCGAGAGAGCGACTTTGCGTCAGCCGTTGGCACTGCACACCTCTGCAACGCGAAGGGCGGAGGTGCACTCACCGAACGCGTTTTGGCCCTCCAACCTCGAGGTAGATCTGATGCTCGTTCATGCCCTCGAATGGATACTTCTTGACCTTCTCGTGCCACTGCAAAGTTTCCCAGAAGGTCATCGCAACGCTCCACACATCCACCTTTTCGTTGTAATTGGGCTTTGGCACCCAGAGCTCGGCGGCCTGCCAGTTGACAGTGCCAACGAGAGAACGCATCATCGACCGCCGTGTGTTCTTGACGCGAGCTAGACCAAAGTCATTGATTTTGACCACCTTCTTGCTGGTGACTAGTATGTTGGTCGATTTGATGTCGCGGTGTATGATGGCGGGATCGCGACTATGCAGATACTCGATGCCCTTGGCAGTCTCTAGCATGATGCGAAACTGAGAGTGGACCATGTCAGTTCATGCGAGCCAAGACGAAGCGGTCACTCAACGTACTCACAATCTCTTCTGCAGGCGGCGGTTCGACATTGCGGACATAGTCGAACAGATCGCCGTTGGTGCAAATTTCAGATACGATCATGCATGGAACGTGCCGCGGGGGCTCCGGTATGGAGACGCCAATGAAGCGGACGATGTTCTCATGCTTGAGATCGCGGAGCAGGCTGAGCTCCTTTATGTCCATCTCGGTGAGATCGTCCCGAATGTCAGCGATCGCAACCTTCATGGCTCGGCCTCGATTAGTGGCGGAGGCCGTTGCAGACGGCCTGTAATTGCCGATGTAGACATCTTTGTAGCCCCCGGAGCCGATTTTGTCCAGCTTCTCGAGCTTGAAAGGAGCTATCTCCTTGTCCGTCAGATTCAGCATCTCGAGGTCGAGCCCGTTCAGCTCATCGACGGCCTCTGCTGGCTGCGCATCCTGGTGGTCTTCGTCGAGAACAGGGCTGGGCGGGCGAGAGTTGGGCTCCTTGGACGTGGATCGCAGCAACAAGGGTGTATGACTAGCACTCTTTTTGCGGCCAGGGGCCCCTACGACGACGGCGCGGACTTTTGCGGCTTGTCGCCCGCCTGCACGGACCTTTGTGGCTGTTGCTGGGGGAACATCCTCATCTTGGCTGTCGTCAGGCTTCACTGTAGAGATCGAACTGCTCGAGCGAGGCGCAGCCTCGTCCGACAAAGAGCCAGCTTCGTCTCTGAGCTGCTTCTTGAACTGTGACCAATGAGGTGGCGCATTCAGCAATTGCTCGTCTCCACGAAGATGCTCGCACTCACCCATTGGAGCAGACGATCGACGAGGATGGCCTTCTTGGCTTGAGAAGGGATGCCCCTCTCCTCGCACAGAGCCGACAGACGCGCAAGTCGCAGGCGGCTCAGCTTCGCAGAGGTGGGGTCGGCCATGATGTCATCTTCCTCTTCTTCAATTTCGTCTTCAGAGCCAGGCGCGTCCTCGTGGTGCGAGTGGCCTGAGCCAGCACTGTGGCTCGATCGCAAGCTCTCCGAATCGGCTTCATCGTCGGACTCGCTCGCTGGCGAGGATATCTCGCCTCTGGACCTTTGCAGACGGAGCTGCTTGCCGTTGCGAAGCTTGCGGATTTTCGTTGGGCTGGAGCAGATGGCCATCTCCTCGTCAGATACTCGGGCAACCGTGTCTAAAGTGGTCCCGTCAGTGTCTCGTGCACCTTTGCTGCGCGATGTGCGCCTACGTGTGTCTTTGCTACCACTCTGCGCCCGGGCTGAGATGCGAGGTGGGGCCATCGTGCGCTGGGGGCGGCTAGCTTCACGAGCCGCGATCAAGGAGGAGCGGATGTCTTGCTGCCGCAATTTGTTGAGCGTCGCCGATGCTCTTCGAGTGATTGGCAATGCTGGACTGCCCGCGTCGACGTTCATCGAGTCGTCTTCTCCCTCATCAGAATCCTCGTCCTCCTCGATCACGAAGGTGCTGTCCCCAGCCGGATCGGCCTCGTCGAAACTTTCGGACGAGTACTCGTCTTGCGAATTGTTCATGTCCTCATCGTCGCTGTATCTCTGGGCGTGAGAGTCCTCCTCGCTTCCATCGGACGCATTTGGCACTGCGCCCGCATCATCTCCATCACCTTGAGCGCGCCTACGACTGGGTCGTAGATCATTGGCAGAAAATGCGACTCTTTTGTTCCTTTTCCTCCTTCCTGGTGCAGTGCGAGCCAAGCGTGGGCTTGGTCCTTGTGCAAGACGACTTGGCTGAAAGGACTTACGAGAGCCGCGGCTAGTCCTTGTCCGTGCCCGTGTCCTCACCGGGCTCGATTTGGCAAATGTTGCGGGACTGTTGTTGGCCATGCGGACGCGACGCACCGCGGGCGACACGGCTGAGGTCCCTTTGGGTTTGCGGAGCTCATTACCGCCCCGAGCAGATCGCCCTGTCTGATGCGTTGCGGAAGTCTCCTTATCTTCCGCGTTTGAAGAAGTGTCGGTGTATTCTGAGGACACGCTGTGGGGCGCTTTGCGACTGCCTGAAGCGCGCCGAGATCCGCGAGTTTCAGCACGCGACCTCTGCGAAGCGACCATACAGTCCAAGGCGCTCTCGTCAGTCTGGCACTGCGTATACGCTTGATGTAGCGAGACAAGAAGGAACATACCGCAGCTATGATCGAAAGGCCCAAGTCTCTCTTTGTGACGGCCCAAGTATCCCCACCAATGTCTTCATTGATGCGGCTCAAGTGTGTTAGACGAAGCCGCATAAGCTGGGCGAACGTCGCTGTCTGGCGGAAGGATACCTCTGCGAATGCAAGACGTCTTTAGCTACTGTCAAGGGCTTAGGTACCAAATGCGCAAAGGGACTTACCATTACCCTCAGTGTACTGATGTTCCTCGGTCTCGTCTTCTTCAAAATCATCGTCGCTCTGAGCTTCAGGAGCGTGTCCATGGTCCTCTCCAGAGGCCTCGTGGTCTGATGAAGTAGAACGCTGGTTCCAGGATGCTTTCCTTATTGGCAAAGTCCTGCGACCGGTAGGGCTGCTGGCGCTTCGTCGCATTGGTCTTCTTCCAGAATCCTGGCTGCCGTCACTAAGCTCCAGGCGGGTCATGGTGTTGCGCAAGCTGCTGGTGGAGCCATGTGAGACGGCGATAGGTCGTTGACCTTTGTTGCCTGTCGCTGCAGGAAGGGCAGTCTCGCCTCGTGTCCGGCTTTTGCTTCTGCGTGAGTACCCTGAAGGTGTTCTGGAGGTCGATGGTTGGGGTGAGGATCGCATCTCGGCCGCTACCAGATTGGTTCGCGACCCTAGACCTCCTCCACTACCTCCTCCGCGCTTTCGCTTTAAGCCTGCTCTCGCAGCTCGCGCTTTCTCTCCTTCTTCGATCTGCATCTTGCGCAAGCTGTGGCCAGACGCTCCTCCGCCTGCGGCAACTTTCCGCTGATGAGGCGAGCTGGCTGGTGAGGATTGAGCTGAGCCCGACGATCGGTGTGACAAGGATGGAGAGAAGTCTGGATCCTGATTTTGATTGTCTCTATAAGTGGAGGCGTCGTCGATGCGCCGTAGAGAGGCGGCCTGCGTGGCGCTCGAACCACTCCGGTCTTGGCGTTGTCGTCGTCTTGGTGTGTTGGCGACGATTGGCTCAAGAACTGGCCTGCGGGCGTGACTCATGCTACCGCGCGTTTCTGAGGGCGAGCACAGCTGCGAAGGATGTACCTTCTACAGCCAAAGCTCCAGCGCCGGCGCGAGTGTGCGACAGGAGGATCGTCACAATGCCATGGAGGATTGTGCGGACTAAGCACCAACACCTTCTCGCGAATCACGACTCGCCGCTCCTAGGATGCTGAGTGACGAAGAGCTGCGCGGCAAGTGGCGTACGGCCTGAATGTTATGAGTTGTAGCAAAAGACCAATCGCGATTTGCGAGTCTGCTGGATCGAGGTCTGTGGCAGACAAGTTCGATGCAGAGCGCTGAGCGAACGTAGGTGTCACACGCTCGATCTTGCCGCTTGTCATGATCAGCATAAGCTGTCACCAGTCTGAACTCAAGTCGTGAGTCTTAAGAGAGTCATCAGAGTCCAGAGGGTCCACTCGCGACGCATCAAGCGGAGCGCCGTCGAAATCCACGCCCGTGCAGGGTGCGCCGGCCCGAACAACAAACGCGATGCGCGTCAGCAGCTGCGAGTCTGAGTCGAAAAGATGAAAAAGGTACCGCATACAAATCACTTTGGTGCTTGACCTCCTCGTAGTGAAGCGGCGCGTCAATCCGAAAGCCAATCAAACTTAAAAATATTATTATTATTATCATCTCTTGGGTTGAATTAGAGTCACGAGTGAGAAATGACTCGTCGCGGCGCGTCAATCGGCGCGTAAGCGACGCGCTCAGACGCGCAAGTCACGCGCCTGGTGCATGCGTGCAGTGCAGGCCACCTCCATACAGAAGTCAAAGGCCACCGCGCTGCAGCTGTTGCTCTTGCAGGATCATGCAGCGCTATATGCACGGCAAAGACGTGTGGCGGGATGCTCAAGTCACGAATTCGAATCTGAATCGATCTTGAATGTCAAGTAAGCATCACAATTTCAAGATGGTAAGTCACGACTTGAGCCTCTAATCAGGCATCAGAAATGGCCCTCAGCTTCCCGTGATGCTTTCTGGAAGCCAGCGTCAACAGCAAGATCGAGGGGAAAAAAGATTCGATGGGCGTCAAGGTCAACAACCACCTGACTCCTTCCGCACTGGCACTCCCAACACTTGCAGCTCATCATCGCGACTACAGAGCGCAGCGTCTGACTCTTGACTGCACTCGCGGTTCGCACCAGTGTGATTGAGTCCAGGGCGCCTGTCACTTTTTGAAGAGAAAGCTCGCGGCGCAGACAGCGTCGGCTGCCTCGATTTGGACAGCAAGAACCTCATCACGGCCACCACGCTGTGCAAAAGCAGGTAATTTCATCAAATTCGGTCCGTGATCAATACACTTCTCGCGTGATCAAGCGGTCGCTGCAATTTCGTGCAGGTACACGCCGAGCAGCTTCGTGCCCTCGACGTAGTTGGACAAATCTAGGTGCGAGAAGAACCGGAACGTTGCATCAGCAAAGCGCCTGCGATAGTCGACGTTGCTCGAGATGACAACAACTCACCGAGCTTCTCGTTGGTCGAGTGAGCACCGTCGTCTGCTCTGCCCAGGGGCAACAAGAGCAAGTTCTTGCCAAGCACTTCCGAGAAGCTCAGGGCAACAGGAATGGAGCCACCTTCACGCGTAAGATCCGGCTTAACGCCATACACCTTCTCCGTGGCCTTGATTGCAGCGGCGTAGTTCCAGTGCTGCAAGATGGGCAAAGCACGTCAGCCGCCAGGAAGGCGTGGCTTCCAAGTCAGATTTCGTAACTCACGTTCGGATCCGCGAGCCAAGGCTTGCCTGCGTTTGCGAGTTCAATGTTCATAGTGTTCTTGGATCCGACTATTCCAGACGACCTGTCAGCATAATGACCCCATCCCGCCTCTTGACTGCGCTGATGTGTGGGACTCACGCTTCTTGAACTCAGACTGAACATGCTTGATGACCAGCTCCGCAACCTTATCAGGAGTCATGCTGGGCACCAACCTGACACTGAACTTGCCAATAACTTTCGCTGGAATGACGGTCTTCGTACCAGCCTCATAAAAAGCGCCCTGCGAGTAGCATGGGTTTAGGAGCTGAGTTGCATGTCCACGAACATCATGCTGTCCAGGGCGTACCGCTCACCTCCACCCCGTGCAACGACAAGCTGGGGTACCTCATCCTCGCCATAAGAATGCCTTCCTTCTCGTCACTGATTGTAGTCGCACTGCCAGTAGCTTCGTTCATGTCCTTGACGCCGAACTCCATGACCTCATAGCGCTTGCGCTCCTCGTCCGTCAAGGGGTCAACCAGCTCTTTGATGCCAGGGACCAAGATTTCTCCCTGAGGTGTCACCAGAGATGACATGATGTGGAAGAGATCGGTCATGGGCTCATGCACAATTCCTCCAAAAATACCAGAGTGAAGGTCTGATCCAGGACCGCTGATTGACAGCTTGAAGTAGCTGATGCCTCGCAGACCGTGGGTGAGGCAAGGCTTCTTCCTGGATTATGGTCAAGAGCCGGCAAGCGGTTGGATGTGAGCCGGTGCGCACAAAGACGTGCATGGGATGACAGAACTCACGTGCCTAGCCAGTAGCTGTGAGGAGGTAATGGGGGCGAAGTTGAGGGCTTTGTTTGAGCAGCGGAGAACAGGTGAGATGTTGAAAACAAGCAGAACTCACTTGTCGCTGATACACGCAGCATCCACACCTGCAAAGAACTTGTCCTTCTCGGCGACGATCAGGTCGTCCAAACCTTCTGATCCGGACTCTTCCATACCCTCGAGGCAGAATTTGAGGTTGACTGGCAGCTCGATGCTGTGAGAGGGCGCGGCTCCTGAATTGATCAGCAAGAGCAGCCCGGAGGTGGGCCTACAAGCCTCCCATCCCACTCACCCTGCCTGCTTGTGCGCCTCAATGACGTTGATCCAGCCCAGGACAGGGCCCTTGTCATCAGTGCTGCCTCTGCCGTACAGACGGTCAGTCTTTTCATCGTGAACCAGTTCGAACGGCTCGGTGTTCCAGCCGTCTGACTTGAGCGCAGGCTGCACATCGAAATGCTGCGCGGGAGGCACCATCGATTCGTCATCAGCTTGGAAAAGATTTGGGAATCTGAAAGACAGACATGCGGCACTCACTCCGTACACCAAGATGGTCTTCTTCTTCGGGTCAGTGCCGTAGTCTGCAAAGATGACGGGTGGCAGGTCGATCTCCTTGCCGTCGAGCTTTTGCTTGCCGAGAGGCTTCAGCTCCGTCTTGGCGCCCAAAGCTTCGAGCTCCTTGACCAGCCAATCTGCCATTCGGAACACGTCTTGGCGGTAGCGAGCATCGCCAGAGACGGATGGGATGGCGACAGCATCTGCCAAGCGCTTGATCAAGCCCGCCTTGTTGGCATCGATCTGCTGGATGAATTTATCGGTAACTGACATGTTGAAGGTGCTGAGTACTGACGATGACTACAGTCGATGCTGGAGATGAAGATCAGTCAGTGTCGCGACAGTTGGTGGAAGGATGTCTGAAGCGGGGCCATTGCTTCAGGTGCGGCTTCTCTCCTCTTGATTCGTGTATTTCGTGCTGATTCCAAATCTTTTCGTTGAGCGCAAACGAACTTCAATTGACCAATCGTGAACCTCATATCACAGTTTGCGTGCACATGGCGTCCGTTCCTGCGCCCCTCGCGCTGTACTAAGTCGCTGCTGCTGCATGCAGCCGCCACGGCAACGGCAAATTTTGGATCTTGTGCACAGACACAACAGCCAGCAACGGCCTGCTAAAGTGGTTTGTGCGCCTTCTGCGCCGCCTACGCCCGACCTTTCTCGCCATGCAGCAATTCAATCTTATAATTGGATCTTGTATCATGGCAATTAAGCGCTGACTCTAGCCAGCCTCGATCGAGCAACTTCGATGGATTAAGCCGTGCGTGGCGGGAATATGATTCACATTCCAGCCCCGGTGCCTCTCTCGATCACATCTGCACATCTGCACGATAACGCACGGCTCTGCGAGTGCCAACGAGACTCTCCTGACTCGTGACTGGCGTATCGTCAGCCTCGAGCGGTCCATTTCACTCCAAACTCATGAACTCTCTATCTGTGGTGATGTCTGCAGCCACGCCAGCCGCCGCCACGCCCAATGGGCGCAAAACAAACTCGATCGTGACTCCAGACTACTCGCTCAGCGTGGCTCTTCGCAAAGCATGCAGCACGCCTGCAGCAGCTACAGCTCTCGCATGTATAGGTCGCGCGGTGGAGGTAAGGCCGCGGCCTTGGATCCGCGCATGCACGTGACCAGAAAGGCCGGAACCCTGTGGGGAAAGCTTGACTCGACTCACACTGCGCGCGCAAGGCGCCAATCCAAGATCGTGAACATGCTGCTATGTTGCATGCAGGCTGGTGCACGGCCTGATGGGGTCACGAGCGCGTATACCGGTACAGCCTTCCCCGACTTTTGAATCACGAATGAGCATGTCCTAGCTGTACGCATCCAACTGACATCATCAACCACAATCGCCTGGACCCCCTCCTTGAAGAGTACTGACCTACACTCGTGATTCCACTGCATTTACGACTCGCGATACCGAACTATTGCTCGCGGAGCTCAGAAGTGTTCCGCATCCCTGCTTCCGCCGATCTGCGACCTCGCCTAACGCCTCCCGGTTCAAGACTGCCGAGATGTCGACATCTTGGGACTACTTGACAAAGGTGCGCATGGCTGGACGTTTCGAGCGCACCAGCGAGCTAACACGATCCTTTCGACATCCATTCCGGCTCTAGTTCATCCTTGTAGGAGATTCTTCCGTGGGCAAATCTTCCATCCTGATACGCCTAACAGAGCAGAGGTGGTTGGCCGCGACGGATCCTACAGTCGGAGTGGAGTTTGGTTCGCACACCTTTGAGATTAGCGGAGAGCTTGTCCGGGCGAACGTTTGGGACACAGCGGGCTCTGAAGCATTCAGAAGTGTGAGTCGACAAAGCGAAATCGTCAAGGAGACGACCACGCGCTCGATGCCGCGTCGGGCCTTGTAAGCAGCATCCTGCTAGTCCTTGCTGCCTCACGGCTCATCGACGTCGCGATCCTTTCACCACTCTTAGATTACCCAATCATACTATCGAGGAGCAGCTGGGGCGCTTGTGGTCTACAATGTGACACATCGAGACTCATTCTTGCATGCTGCTGAATGGTTGCGAGACGTTCGGTCTCTAGCAGAGGACAGCGTGACGATCATTCTGGTCGGTAACATGGTGGATCTAGCGGAGGAGCAGGGTAGGCAGGTGACCACCGAAGAGGGGGAAGACCTCGCCAAGCGGGAAGGGTGAGCGCCGAAACGATGGACGAGATGCGGTTGGCTCGCATGTGCTCACGGATCGCAAAACGCTGCAGATTGCTCTTTGTGGAGACGTCAGCCAAGACCGGAAAGGTGAGCGGGCAAGGCGATCGAGTGGTTTTGAGCGGATCAGCTGAATTTTCCGGTGTACTTGCGGTGTACTTGCTCTTTGTCAGAATGTGGAAGAAGCATTCAAGATGGCAGCCACAGAAATACATCGCAAATTCATCGAGGCGAGGGATCGAGCAGATGCGTCGGGGGCTGGTAGCTTGATGAAGAGAGGAGGACGCTCTGCTGCAGCCGCCGCTGCCGCTGCCGCAGGTCATGGTGATGTTCGAGTGTCGGGATCTGGGCCTCATGATGGTGCGGACGGCAAGGGGTGCTGTTCGGTAATGTGATGGACGGTATCGCAAGTCTACCTGGATGTTCCCACGTCCCTCTCCCGTGCACAAGTCACGTTCTACTTTGTCCCCTTGCCCATCCTTGTATCGAGCTAAGCACATGTACCATACCCAGGATTTGAAGCACATGAAGTTTGCATCGTGCACGAGCGTCACACGTGTGTGTAGCGCGCTTTCGAAAGTGCCACCGCTCATGGCAGCTTTTGAGCATCAATCGAGACTGTTGTTGACGCACAGCCGGAAGAGCGTCGGTTTCGGCAAGGATCGAAGCGGTGCTTTGAGCTTGGCAGTCACGCGAAGGAGACGTTTGGATTGTTGATTCGAGATTGTCGGTGCGAGTTTCGCAATCTGCTCTGCATGAGGTCGTTCTTCGCGCAGACTCGCTAGCACAGCCACCGATGCTGCGACGAACGAGACGTAACGGGGTACAGGCCGGAACACTCATCTGGGCTCAATTCATTTGGCCCAATCGTGATTCAGATCCAACCAGAATGGTGATGCCACAGCAGCCAAAGCCCACGCACGCGTGCCCGCCCGCAGCAGCAGTCATTGTGATTCTTGCCAGAAGCTGCAGGGCTGCTGCTGCTGATGCATGGCGATCGAGTCAACGATCCTTCAAGTCACGAGTAGCTAGCTGTTGTCAAGCAGCGGCACCGACTCGCCCGCTGTACTGACTCTCTCTCAACTACTCGTGACTGTGACTGTATACTACTTGCATCGCAGGGAGCTACAGTGCACAGCAGGTCGGCGATCCCTCCTGCCGTTGGCTACGGACATCTCGAACTCGAGTCAAAAGGCAGGCGCTTCTCTTAGCCTGGGCGTTGTTGGGCGCAATTCGGAGTTTCGGCGTCGCGCGCAGGCAGAGGCGGGTATCTATGTGACTGCTGCATGACGACTGTATATAGTCACATTTACCGCTACAATTTGAATTGAGCAGATGCGTGGCATCGCCTGTTTCAGTCAAGCGACCCGCTTAGCTGCTGCTCAAGCAACAGCATGCGGTCTTTCATGATGTACGGTGTACGACGCTACCGGTACTGGAGTCGTTGAGTGAAAAAATCATGAGCGTAGCAATTATAAGCGGTTGGTAAGCTCGCACCGTCAGCGATGAGGGGCTGCTGCTGGTCAGCCACTCATGACTGCATGATGGGCATAGTAGTCAGTACAGTAGTAGTAGTAGTAGTAGTAGTGTAGCTCTACACAGCTGTGGTTGTTATTTGCGGCGTCATGTATCCATCTCATCACATGCTGTAGAGCCTCATGCTGGGCGCCATGCATGCTAGCGATGTCGAGACGGTGGGCCGTACGTTGATCGCGGGTTGGGATTGAATCCTTGAATGCGAGCTCATCCGCTGCTGCTGCTGCTGCTGCTGCTGCGATGCTCGCGGCGCTTCAACCCGCTCGCGATGGTCAGAAGAGACTCAAGACTGTTGTGACTATACCGGTATTCTGGACTGTGCCAGTAGGTCAGGTGAGGACGTTGAGACTGATGCTGCGACTTGCATGCTGCGACTCGCAGCGAGATTTACGACTTGCATCAGCTGCTGCCATGCAAGAACACCCGCGCCGCGCTGAGGACGAGCAGGGCGGCGTGCGCTACGCGCGCGCGCGCACGATGGAACGCCGCGCAGTTGCCATCCGCGCGCGTCTACGCTGGATGCTGGATTCAAAGACAAATTTCACACGCGAAGCAGCAGCATCGATTAATTGTTGTGACTCGTGACCGCGCGTTGAGCTTCTGACTTTGAGCCTTCAAACTATCAACCGAACACTGATCAACACCGAGCAAGGTCGGCGGCACACCATTCCCTCTACACCGTCCCTCTATACCGGACCGCAGCTCGATCGGCGCAACAGCGATTCACACTCACAGACCCGCCGTGATACTTCGGGCGTACGTCTCGCAGCCATCTCTTTCTCGTTCCAACCGCATCCCGCGAACACGCTCCAAGTCTACGCGCGGTAGCCAACATGGCTCATCTGCATGCATCGCACGATGCTGAAGGCTATGAAAGGTCAGATGCAGGGCACTCTGGAGCCGCGCCGTCCTTCTACACCTCTGGCAATGGGCCATCCACCACCTCTTTCAGAACTGCCGGCGCTCAGTCAGGCTACGCACCCACAGGGACGGGATACGCACCTTCCCAAGCAGGTTATGAGGCTTCCAGTGCCGCGAGCATGTACACAACTCCAGGCAACATGCCATCCTCTGACACTGTCAATCAGCAGCAGTACGGAAGCCCTCGTCCAGGCACGGCTGGAACAAGTGGGCTTGCGGAAACTGCACCGACGGCTAGCGAGAGCAACCAGAGGCTGCCTCGCGTTCAAACTCCTGGAGACTTCTCGTCACCACAGTACTTTGGTGCAAACTCAGCGAGCGCAGGCGATAAGGGCGCCAGGCAGAGTCGACCTCTTCCACCAACGCCATTGGCACCCGCAGATGCAGGTCTCTCGGATCGGCCACCAACTGGAGAAGCTGCAGCGTATTACTACGCGTCGCCCCCTCCGGACAGCTACGATGAGAGTACTTCATATTCGCCTCGAGGTACTCGGATTTTGGATGGCGTCGCTCCTTCGAGCTCAGCTGGCCAAGCACCAAGAGCCAGGGCTGGATCTAGGAGCGGGATATCTGCAGTGACTGGAGAGACAAACGCGCGAAGCCTAGGCGGAAAGAGCAGTGCAGCCAATGGCAGGGCGTGGATTCCTTCCAAATGGGCTTCCGCATTCATGGCAACTGTCATTGTCGAAGCTGTGATCATCATCGTCCTCGTCGCTGTCGTCTACGGCACCATCCAGAGTAGGACCAGCACTCAAGTGCAGCGCCTCAAGACCGTCTCCGTCTACCTCGCTTTATTCCTCTTCGGCGCAGTCTTCCTGGTCTGCATCTCGCTGGATGCTCAGCGCCTCAAGAATACCATCCAAGTCATGGGCGTTTGCATTTTCAACGTCGCTCTGATCGTCACTGCGGCGCTGGAGATCTCACAAGTGAGGGACGCGCTGCAGTATCAGGATAACCAAGGAATCGGCGTCCGATGCGAAGACAGACCGAATCGTCGCTGCAGTGCCATCGGAGACCTGTTGCCCTTCGTCGAGAGGCTGTTGATCGCCGTGCCGATTATAGTGGGCTTGGCGCAGGTCCCCATCACTTTCCTCACGTACAAGCTCTGGCAGGAGTACGGCTGGCAAGTTTACAAGGCTATTGGAGCATCCATCGAGCAGAGACAAAGATTCTTGGTGTACCAGGTCTTCCAAGTTCTCTTGAAGTTTGACTTCTTCCTCGGTGTCGGCTTTACAGGTGAGCTGCATTCACGATTGTCTTGGGCATTCCTGCGCGTCAGGGCCACGCTGACAGGCACCCATCGACGTGTTGCCCGCTTAGTTGCGTACCTGATCCTGGTCAGTCAGCGGGACGATGCCTACTTTGGGCTCACGATCGCTGCCGTGCCCATTGCCGTGGCGGTGCTCTTCTTGGCAGGCATAGCTGTCCGACGCGAATGGATGGCAATAATGGCGCTCTGCATCGTTGCGTTCATAGCAGGAGCGGCCTACTTCATCTATCAAATCGTGCAGGTGTTTGTCCGGCCCACGTACGCCACAGTCCGCCTGACCTTGACCTTCTTCGGCATCTTCACCACCATCTCGCTCTTCTTGACCCTGATCAATGCGATCTGGTGCATGGCCAACTTTGGCAAGGGTCTGGCGGACGCGCACGACAATATGGGACATTTTGGCGGCAAGCGACGCCGCACGTCCAGGCTGGACATGAAGCAAGTTGGCAACGGTACAAGTCAGACCACTGGACCCTCGAACCGTATCAGCTTGGATGAACCAGCTGCGCCTTCGAGTGGCTTCGCGCAGGATGCCAATACTGTCCACAGCTCTTATGCACCCAGGCCGACCAATCCGCACCGGCTTTCCTTGGACTAATCTGAGATTCTTCTCGCGCCTCCATGTCACCCTTGTCCAGGCACGAGTGCCCTCTTGCTTGCTTATAGTCGCCCGAACTTGCCCAGCTTCAGCTTCAGATACCAGCTTCGATCACTGCGCTACAGCGCTGTGTCCTCAGCCTTTCCCCATCTCGTCAAAAAGCCCCTTTTGGAACACAAAGTCACCTTGAGAAATCAAAGCATTCTGGTGCGCCGAAGCGTCTGTGCATTACCTTCCGCGCTTGAATTGACGTGGCGTGATCATTGTCCAAATTTCACGATTTTGGCGCAATGCGACGGGCGGCTAGGGCAATGACGCATCGTATGACAGATGATCGACATATGAACAGTCTCATGTCGAGCTGTAAAAGTGGTACTCGTCGATGAGGGGCAGGTAGTCACCGATCTGTCAAGTCGGAAGGTGGGCAACGCGCAGCGATCTAAGCAAAAGTCCTGAGCCAAGGCTGGGCAAGCGGAAACTCACAATTCCGCCAACAATGCCGAGGATGGCTCTGTTCTGTGTGGCATTGATGATACGTTCGAGCTTCGGTCTGCATGGCAATGGCACAATGATCAGCGTCGAAGCTTTTCGCCTGTCGTAAAGCTTTATGACCCGATTCAGCTCACCTAGTCCATCCGTCCCAAGCAGGTCCCCTAAGCAGATACCACCAGAAAGCCCTACCTCTCTTCTTCCACTCTGCCCTCTCCACATCACTGATGGCCTGACTATCCGGCGCTCCGCCGATGAATGCTGTCAAGAGCGCTAGGATCGGATTGCCGCCGGCTAGCATGGCAAGCAGAGGATTTTTGGGCGAGGCTGAGCGAGCGAGGGACCGTTGTCGCAGTGTCCGGGCGAGCCATTCAAGCAAGAGAGACAGTACAAAGGGAAAGTACGCTTTCCGTCCATACTTCCGCAGTGCGACAGCTGTGGGCATGCAGAGAGGACGGGTGAGCGGGAAAATACTTCTACGAACGTGCAAGTCTTCGGTAGTTCGCAGACGCGACTCACCGTAGATGAGTGGCCGAGCTATCCAAAGCCCTTCTGCAAGCGATCCCTCCCTGCCCGCCACCAGTCTCACGAGCTCTTCCGCAGGTCTGACATCGCTTGGCTTGAGTGTCCTGCTGAGCAAGTATTCATTGACGTCCGCCTCGGTCATACTCTCCACCAACGTCTCGTCGCTATCGCTGTCTCCGCTCGAAGAGTTGCTGCCGCCCGCCGCTCCAGATGCGTTCGAAGCAGCGATGCGCGACTGTCCAGGCCTGGTAGAAGCCGGCCCATTAAGGCTGTTCCTGAAAGCATCTCCTTTCCTTGATGCCTGCAGACTTGCCAGTGTCGGCCTTTCGAAACCCGTCTTGGCTCCTCTCCACTTGGATGCGCGCAAGCCGTTGCTGCTTCCAACATCGGCTGCACGCAGGGAACGAGCACCACCAGGCAGCTCGTCTAACATAGCAGGGTCCACTTCCCGCTCCGGAATGGGCGGCTGGATGGAAGGCCTGGAGCCTGTGAGACGAAGCAGTGCGATCCGCAGTGCAGCTCTACAGGGGGCGGTGCAAGGAGTCAGATCTTGGACTAGTGGAGCGGAGCAAGCATGCAGAATCGCAATCACGGCGCGACACCCACTTGACAGCCTCAATGCCCACCACCACATCCCACGCCTTTTGCTTGCCAAGCTTTCTTCTAGCTATCATCTCTGCCAGTAGCTCGGTGTAGGTTACGACGACCAAAGATCGAGCAGCGAGGTTGTACAGCGAGCTGCGATCCGCCCAGTGATGCGTATACCTGGCGTGAGGCGATGGAGTGTGCTGCAAAAGGGTGCCGCTGGATGTGCGCGCTCCTCCTGCTGACACCGACACTGAGCCGGACGCATTCTTGCCTGAAGATCGACTTAGGAAAGTGGCAGGCTGGCTGGCGGGCGACAGCAGTCGATACAAGATCGAGTCGTGATACAGGCCCAACAGATTCAGCGCGGCGTACACTATTGAGAGAGAGAGAGAGAGAGAGAGAGAGAGAGAGAGAGAGAGAGAGAGAGAGAGAGAGAAGAGCAAGCCTCAACCCGTGAGTACAAAGCAGCTCCGTGCAAGGCACGACACAGCGTGCTTGTGATTCTCAGCCAGCGAGCAGAATCAATCACAGCATCCACTCACCCGCCTCTCCAGCCAACTCAGCATCCTTGAATCTGCCTGGCAAAAAGTAGGTCAAAGACCGCAAAGAAGATTCGACGGCAGTGATTTGACTGGCGTTGGATAGCAGAAAAGACTCGTAGGATTTGAGTAGCGACATGTTGACGCGACCCGGGCTCGGGCTCGGGCTGTCGGGGCTGTAGCGACGACGTCTATAGATCTCCGCTATTCGCGATTCGACGGCGCTGTGGATCGAATTACTGACTCGTGACTCTGGCAGCTGCTACTTGCAATTGCGTGTGACGAGAGCGAGCGAGGGCGGGCGGGCGATGATGATGATGATGTAAAGCGCTAGACCCATGCATCCATTCCAGTCGTGTGTCTCTGCTGCTTGCTTTTCCCCGCACTTGGCCATTCATTCACATCGATACTTTCTGTCGCCGTAGTCGTGAGTGGTCGATCAAAGCTAGTCGTGACAAATTGAATTGAATGCACCGCTTGGGTCACGTCGTCCGAGCGCAGCGCAGCTTCTGGCCCTCTCCGACTGACTGCTGCTGTAATCTCGGTCCGACTCGACCCCGCTAAGCCGGCAGATCGTCGGTATTAAAATGATGAGCATATCACTTTTGTAGATCCTGATTAGAAATTTCACAACGCTCATTGTGTCGAAGTCGCGCCTGCGAGCCCACGTGGATGCGATGCGATGCGCTCCACGCTCAGGCTCCCATCAGCAGCGTGATCCAGGGCGGCAACGACCGGGCAGCTAGAGCGCGTGCGTGGTGAGTGAGTGGTGCTGCTGGTGCGTGAGGCGTGATGCGCGGTACACGCACGGCAGTTATGGCAGTTGGTTGGCACACAGTTGCGCTTTTGATTACACGCCAAAGGGTCGGCCGCTCTTATTGATTTCGATCCAGAAGGAAGTTCCACCTTGCAAGCCGAAGCTGACCAATAGCTCGACCTGACTGCGAACCAAACTCTCACAACCACCCTCGTCCAGCACGACGAACAATCGCATCTTCAACGTCGCACTCGGTGACGTTACGCATCAATCTTTTGATAGCACAGATTCAGCCAGCCCATCATGTCCGACTCTGAGGGGGAGAAGCCCAAGACGTTCACGCTGCAAAGTGAGCATGCTGGCATCGAGGAGGCATAGCTGAAGGGACTTCGTCCTGCTAGCACGCAGGCGAATGCTGAGACGGGTATCGCGTAGGCGCTGCACAAACGCTTTACCTGTAGCCCGTCTCGCGCTTCTGGGTCATCCAGGGTGGCAAGGGACTCGATCGTGGTCGTCCACGGCGGCCGCATGACCGTCTCGATCTGTGATTGGCGGCGGAACGTGCGCTGACACTCTAGCGCTCCTCCACCTTGGCTTTTCCTCTCCTCCTCCTCCTCCTCCGTATTAGCTGTGGCGTTCGACGCTCGGTGAGTCTTGTCTGACGCGCTCCCGCAGACTTGCGTGGCGCGCGATAGCTGAGAAAGTGATTTGCTATTTTCATCCCATCTTTTAGCTTTCCCAACCAGAACCAGACCAAGCACTGGTGAGCAGACAGTCGGAGATGCATGTAGATGATGCCCCATCACACTCGGAGCTGACTTCCTCATTCTGTCCACGCATGCGCCCGTAGCTGGCAAAAGTACGTTTCTAAAATTCCAAAAGCGTCGTCGGGACGGCGTGAGGCACGCAGCAGGGAAGACGGGCTGACTTGAAGCGCTCTCCTCACTTCTACGACGCTTCTCTTGAACAGCTACGTAGACTACTTCAAGTGCACCAACGCAAAGGGAGAGGACTTCCCAGCATGCAAGCAATTCTACCGAGCTTTTCACAGTCTGTGCCCCAGTGAGTGGCAGGTCTGCAGTATTATGCACCACAGCACAAGCTCACCTTGGCGTCATTCCCACTCACCTCGTGCGACCGCGCGCTCATAGACGAGTGGGTGAGTATCGCTACTTTGATGCGGCTTTCAGCAGATAGAAGAGGCCAGAGAGCGGGAGCTGGACGAGGCAAAAGCTGGGCGTGACAGAGGAGGTTGCCCAGGCTTTTTGGCTGGCAGACGTTTATGCCCTGCCTTTGAAAAGCGCTACTGCCAGGCTAAAGCACTCAAAAAGTCACACGCCACGTTCAGGGGGCACTGCTCTTCGCAACTTATCCCATGAGCATGCGCATGCGCATGCCCAGTCAAACGCAGATCTGCTGACGCGGCGCACGGCTGTCTCTCTCTCCGCCCCTCTAGATTGCCAAGTGGGACGAACAACGCGAATCGAACACCTTTCCTCACTCTTTGGACCCTTAGAGGATGCATGGGTCAAAATCGCATCGGCGGCAATCCGCCCACGCCAGTGAATTAGAGTGATAATCACAGGCTCAAACTCGGCTCTCCACTTGCCGGGGAAGACGTGAGACTGCAATAAATAGCATGCAATGGCCATTTCCATGGAGCGCTGGTTGTTTATGCGCGCGACGGGATTACAGAGGAGGGACAGCGGCACAGCTAGGGTGGGATAGCGCTTGCCCAAGAGCACCACACCTGCCAAGCCTAAGCCTTCTTGCGATTCCATTGCTCCAGGTCCTTGCCGGCGTCTTCGTATTTGGGCAGCTCCTTGGCCCACTCTTCGCTCTTGCCGTACAGGTCCACTAGACGCGCCAGCTCTGCTCGCTGATCCTGTTCAAACGAAAGTGATTGAGCGAGGAAGAGTGTCAGCCTTTGCAGCGCCTTGGCTGCGTTCGTCGTGGTCAAGGACATCACCCGCGATCGTCGTGACTGACTTGCAGGATTGGGGGCACTTTGGTCCACGTGTCCTCAAAGAGGGAGCTCAAGTTTGGCCTCTTCTTCTTCTCGGCAACTCCCATCGCGCGCACCACTTCGTTCCTAAATGCCTTTTTCGTCTCCTCTTCCATCGCATCATCCCACCAGGCTCGATCTCGGAGGTAGGAAGCCATCCGATGCAGCGGATTGTCCACCTTTTTCCAATTTTCGACGGCCGATGCGCTGCGGTAAGCGCTGGAATCATCGCTTGTGGAATGGTGACCGACCCGATAGGTCATGCATTCTATCAGCATTGGTCTCTGCTCCTTGATGGCTCGTGTCCGCGCTTCGCTGACTGCTGCTCGCACCGCCAAAGCGTCGTTTCCATCGACTCGAATGGCAGGCATTCCGTAGCCCGGACCTCGAGAGGCGATGCCGTCGCCCATGTACTGCTCCGCAGCGGGTGTGGAGATGGCGAAGCCATTATTTCTCACGATGAATCTGCAAGGTAAGCAGAGTCAGCATTGACGAGGAATGCGAAGTAGGCACAGGATGTCTTTGATACTCGACTCACAGCACCGGACATCTGAGGGTGGCCGCAATGTTCATCCCCGCATGCGCGTCCCCTTCGCTGGCTGCACCTTCACCAAAGTAGCATACCACGACATCATTTTCTCTCCCAGGCGTGCGCTTGAGAGCGTACGCAGCACCCGCAGCTTGAGGGATTTGAGTAGCGAGCGGAGAAGAGATGGTATGAAAGTGATGCTTCGCTGAGCCAAAGTGCACAGGCATTTGTCTGGCTCTTCCTGGATCGTCGCAAGTTCCAAAGACCTGGCCAGAGGGCATCGAAGCAGGAGCTGAGCATTCCATTCGCCGGTCGCTGCCGCAGAACGTCGCTATACCCACCTGATCCATCACATTGTCCACCGTGTACCCACGCCAAAGGAGCACTCCAAATTCCCTGTACTGAGCAAAGACCTCATCGGTGTCTGATAGAGCCGCAGCAGATCCGACTATTGATGCTTCCTCCCCTGTGCTCGTCATCCAAAAGGACACGCGGCCTTGCCTTTGAGAGGCGTACAGGATCACGTCCAGCGTGGGCAGCAACAACATTGTCCGATACATCCTCACCGCTTCCTCTTTGCCGAGCTGACAGATCGCAACATTCAGTCAGCTCACCTTTGTGCACCGACGCCGAAATGGCACCTCTCATCAGGTGGACTTTAGAACTTCCTCTCTCTCTCTCTCTCTCTCTCTCTCTCTCTCTCTCTCTCTCTCTCTCTCACTCACCTTCAGACTATCCTCCTGCACCCCCTCTATCAACTTTCCATGACCATCCGTCAGCCTGTACGTCGGTATGCCGCCAACTTTTGCGTCCACGAAAGCAGCCTTCAAATCTGGCACAAAGGCAGAGGTAGGATGACCAGGCAGGTGAGTCTTGTTGGCAGAGGTGGACTTTGCGCTCCGGCATTGAGCGGTAGTCGTCATAGACCTCGAAATCGATCGGTGTTGGAGCTTTGCTGAGGCGACGAGGCCGCAAGACCTGCTTGAGCCGCTCGGTGCGCATGTGATCCTGGCCATTTGCCATGATTGGGGCATCTTGCTCGCCATGATCCAGGCCACTGCGTGAAGCAAGGGAGTATCTGCGTGTAAGGCCAAGAGCCCTCGAGGCAACAAAAGCAGGACGGGCTTCACCGCGTTTGCAAAACAAGCTCCGAGGTCCAGTCGCTCACACTCACGACTTCGGTAATCAGCTCTGCCGATCGCCGGCTGCGCTTCTACAGTCGCCGGACGCCAAAATCGAGCTCAGATGGTCGAAACTCGGCTTTTGCGATGATCGAAGATGACCGGAGAAAGCGTCAGAAACACCGGGTGAGTCCGAGTGAAACAAGTGTGAGTCACGAGTGGCGCTTCCAAGGCCGCGGGACGGGATGTCCGCGTACGCGTGTTGTCAATCCAGATGTTTCACCGAGGGGGCGATGGTGCTGTGAATATGACAGCAGGAGCGAAGGGCAAGCGTTTGATAGCTGCAAAAGTCGAACAACAAGGTGAAGGTTGGCGTAAGTCATCGTAGGTGGATCGCGAAATGATTCTATGCGAACCGACAAGATCGGCCAAGCTGAACAACGGCCAATCGTGATGCGTCCGACCAATAATTACAACCGTGCCTGCATGCATGCACACGCTTGTGCCTCCCCACACTACGTTCAGATTCATATATACGGAGTCGACTTGCTTATTGGGACGCGCGCTCGGACAAACGTCCGCGGAAGCAACGGCGCGGTCTCCGCGTGTGCGCTTTGCCCGCGCCCTGGTGAAACAGTTCAAAACAGACGCTCTCAAAGTGCTCAGACGTGGTGCTATCACAAGTCTTTCGGTTCGAGTCGCTGATGATCTGCTCAGGGAGGTGTGTTTGTCACACAGCAGGGTTCGTCATATCATACAATGTCGTTGAGGAAGAGTCGCTGCTAAGTGTCAGCGGCCCTCTTGGCGGAGGTGCATCACTTGGTGAGGGGTCGGGTGTCAGGGTCCACTGTGCTCACAACACGAACCACATCTCCCACTCGAAGGGAGCCGGTGTTCTGTGCTGGAGAGGAGAGCACTCCGACTGTCCGAGCGAAGAGGCAGGACTTGAGGTCAACATGCTCGAGGTGCGAACACTTCCATACGCGACGGTCACTCACAGCACGGTTTGCCCACCTTTTTCAACTCTGGCTGCACCTGCCTGAACTTTTGCAACACGAGATAAGGAATGTGCGGATCTCTCTTGCCCTGGCCCAATAGAGTGCGACACGTCGTGAGCACCATTGCGAGACATGACTCCATCGGGACTCACAGTGTTCAGATCGACTGAAGGGACGAGGCATCGTCCGCATTTGGCGTTGACGTGAATGCCGACGCCATTGCCACGCGCGTCTGGGCCAAAGGGTGCGTGAGAGGCCTGCGAAGCCGGGAAAGCTTCGATCCTCTTGAAACCATCTTCCTCCCATGGATCAAGCTTGTTGTTGCCAGCAGACTCGAGGATAATGTTGATGCGAAAGCGTTCGATGGGGAATCTCGACAAACGTTCCTCTGCGTTCGCGTGGAGAGTTGCTGTGAGCTCCACGCTACGCAAGCGCAAGGTCGATACTCACCGGTCCAGAACTCTCTGTTTAGGCTGCCTGGCACAGTGAAGCATTCGACTGCAGTGGTCCCAACTTTCATGTCCCCCGCTTGAGCTCGCTCTGGATACACGCTAGCCACGAGCGTCTTTTGAACATGTTCCAATGACTCTGCTGACGCCACAGTCAGCGAGTGAAAGTCCTGGAAGCTGGTCTTGGACTCCTCGCCACGCGGGTCATCGAGCCCACCCGGCCGCACCTTTGGACCTTTTCGCACCAGCCTCACAGGCTTGCCCATGAATTTGGTTAGCGCATCATCTGCTTCCTTCGAGACTGCGTATCCATCCGCAAGGAAACCCCTGGTGCTCGTAGAGCGTTTCGAGCATTAGCCTTGCCGTCGAGCAGGACATTCATACCTGCCCCGTGGCAGCACAGACTTACCAGATCTCGACATCCGAAACTAGCTCCGCCCTGCTCAGCTCCTCGTTCGATGGGTCCAAAGGCACCTCCAGAGTCGTGCTTTCCGCATCTGCTTCCACGTCCTTCGATGCTGGCACCTCGATGACCAGCACTCCCCTCTGCGAGTCGATCATGGGCTTGATGCGAACGATGTGCGGTGTGCCTCGAGCGGTGCAGAACTTCTTATCCTTGGCATCGATGATGAGCCACGTACGATCATACTTGAAGCCTTCTTGCGTGATCTCCGCTGGCGATGCCGAGCCCAAGGAGAGGTGTCAGCAAAGCAGAACCTTGGTAGGAGCAGCGACGAGACAGGCATCCTCACCTTCCGCAACGCTGCTGCCCGCGCACGACTTGATGGGGTGCAAGTGCAAGCTCTTGATACGGATCTGCGCAAATTGTGATCGGGTCAGCCCGCCCAGCAATGTCGACTACAGTTGCGTGTGCCCCGCATGTAGCCAAGTCCTCACCTCTTTTTGCAGCGAACGTGTGTGGGGCTGCGAGCCAGAGACGACCTTTTGGGCAGCGCTTAGCGCACCTGAGAGAGCGCCAAAGAGCGAAGACATTGATGCCGCGTTGATCTGTGATTGAGAGGTGATGGTATACAGCAAGACGGGCTGAAGGGACGAGTCATCTCAGTCGGCCTTTATGCAGCAAATGCAATCGTGAATCGTGTATCTCGAAACCAAACTCACGCACCAAGCACAGCCCGACACGTTCATGGCATTCCGATTCGTAGGTCGTGACTCGTGACGAGTGTACCGTACCGCTCGCTATACGTGCCTGCAGCGGAACAACCTCCTGATGCCGTGCGTCATGTGCGATCAAGCCTGCGCGCTGGGTTCACACTTCTTGACTCACGACTCTTGACTCATCAGAAACTCGATCGTGACTCTTCTGTTCTTATTAATTCGGACCTTTTCTCGATCATGCTGCCATGCCCTAGCTGCGTACGCCGCTCGGTCTCTGAGCAAGGTTCGAACGACTCGGCATGATCATGAAACATGTCTTTCTCACGACACCTCGACAGCAATCACAGTAGTGGCGGCCATTATGCAGGCGCAAGGTCTACTTTGAATTGATCATCATGATGAAGCCTTGCTGCGCCGGCGGAAGGAGGTCCATCTCGTATACTCGACTCGTTTACATGATTGGTTACATGCAGCTGGCGAAAGTGACATTTGCAGAGATCGGAGTTATTATTCTCGAATCTGTAGTCAGCGCTTATCACGCAGGGGCTGCCTCTTCTTCCTGCTTCTCAGCACCTCCGCCTTGAAGATACTGTCGGCATTTCTGACCTCTCGCGGGTTGGCCAAGAGTCGCTTGGTCAGCTCATACAGCCTGTCCGACGGTGTCTTGGATTCAAAGCGCAGAAAGTCATGAGCCACAACGTCGAGGCTATTCGTGTCCCCGAGCCATTCTGCGCCTCCTTCTTGAACGACGGCCTGTTGCCCTCCTTGAGACAGAGCCGCTTGGAAGCGATCTCTTCTCGCTCGAACCGAGGTGCGCGCTTCCCTGTCTGCTTCGTCGCTTGGCAGCGAGGCTTCGAAGACTATGATGCGGCGCTTTGAAGGGCCTCGACTTAGCACAGCACCACGCAGCTGTTCCAGATCCTGCTTGTCGATCTCCAGGCGACCTAAAACAATCGAGCGCAGCGACTCTGCTCTCTCGATGAGCGATACGATAGACGTCAGCGCTTCTTTGCCGATGTGGTTCGAGTGTGCTTCAAGATCGGCTGTCCCGGGAGCGCGGGATAGATCAAGGTGCAAGAGGGTAGGGTGGTTGGCTAGCGTCTTGCACAAGGCCGACACGCCTGCTGAAGTCATTCCCATCGAGCCCAAGACAAGGCGGCGGAGATTTGTGTTGCGGGCAAAGCCGTCGCAGAGAATTTCGATGCCTTCGTCCCCGATTGGCGAGCACGTCAAGTATAGAGATTCAGGGGAGGCAGGAGAAGCGCATACATCCCTTAGAGCGAAACATGTCTTGCGACCAGCGCCGTTGCCAGAGAGGTACAAGGTGCATAGGTTGATGTTGGAATGTTGCAGACCAGAGCACAATGCCGCACATCCATCATCGCCCAACTCACACACATCGACGTCGAGGCAGCGCAGTGCGGGACAGCTCGAAGCCAAGGCCAACAACGCAGGAACACTGATCGGGCCCAGGGGGTTGCGCTTAAGCCACAAGCTCTGAATAGCCAGCGCGTCCGTTTGCAGTATGCTAGCCATGTCCGCGAGACCTTGCGATGTTACGTTGTTGGCAGGGATGTACAAAGTCATGAGATGCTGTCTTGCGCCAGGACACTCGTGCAGAAACGAGCTAAGCGCTCTGATGCCTCCGTCGCCCAAAGCATTGTTGCCTAGAAGTAGGTGGCGTATTCTCCAAGCAGCCTCGGGGCGGGAGCAGTGTTCCATCAGCGCCGCGGTCAGCAGAGGCACATGGACACTGCTCAGACCTTGCTGATACAGGTCCAGTCTGCCATCTTGAAGACAAATGGCGCCCTTTTGAAACCGCGCAAAGGAGGCACCCCAGCTCTTTTCTGCGAGCAGCACGGACCCATCGTTTAGGGTCTCATTCATCTGCTGATCTGGCTGCCTCTGAGCAATGCATTCAAAAAGTGGGTTGAAATCTTGAACATCGTCAGCAACCTCGACAGGCATAGCTGACGCTTTCGGCAATGCCTGATCGGTGCTGGAAGAGTTCCATGGCGGTGATAAGCGCGAGCGACGAGGTTGAACCTTCGGACCAGAGCCAAGGGAAGCGCGAGCTACTTCGGGACCAGGCGTCATGGCAAAAGCGGGGATCAGTGAGAGTCTCGGCCCCAGCTTGTTTCCCGCGTGCCCAGTAACGAGTGCGAAGGTTCAGTTCCGCCCAGATCCGCCTTCCCAACTTCTATTGAGCTTTGAGGCAATTTCCACTACATTGCTGTGGGTCAAGCTCAGATCAAATAGCTCGAGCTCGGCAGGTGAATCGGTGCGCGCCTAGCATAGCGTAAGGATGGGGATGAGAAGTGGGTCAAAGGTTTTTGTCATCTTCGAATCACGAATGATCGACCCACGGCTCACGAAGCTGCATTCAATTTTGATTATGTTTCGCCTAGCCGTCTTGCAGATGCAGGAACGCGTCGGCCAAAAATTCCTCTTCGTGGTGCGTGCACGCTATGATCGAGGATGCTGCGTGGTACCGGTATGCCTGAACGTGAATGGAAATCATGGAGGTCGACAGTCACGAGTCCGAGTCACACAAGACGTTGACGCTTGTTGCAAACGTGAAGCTCGTTTTACCACCCTCTCACAGCGCTTGCGCACATGCACCAATGAATCGACAGAGGGTGAACAGGTGCATCGAAGAGTTGCGGTGGGTTAAGCACAAACGGCATAATATGGGAGGAAATACAACGTGGAGCAAATAGAAGCAGCATCGGACCAAGAACCAAAAAAGTATCTCATAGAAGTGTCAAGCGATAGAGACCAACGCGCGATGTAGCAATGAATTGTTCTCGATTTGAGACGGGCAACTTGGCAATATCAGCGAGCTTTGGACTCAAAAGCGGCAATCTCCTTCTCGTTCCATTCCCACGTAGCTTCTTGAGCTGCAGGATCATCTGCCTTGGCATGGCTTGTGTTCCACTTGCGCGCCCACGGCACGTAGTAAGAGCCACTCTCAGCCAAAGTGACGTCGGGACTCGTAGCAGTGTACAAAGAAGTCAGTGCGCCCCGCTCGGTGGAGTGCAAGGCGATCGATGTGATCGCCTTGACAATCCAGGGTTGATGCCGTTGCAAGTCGGAAAAGATGTTGCCTGGATGCAGACTGGCAGTGATGATCCCGTCACTTTTTAGCTGCCTAGCTTGAACAGCAGCTTGGTGCACATTTCCCAACTTGCTGATGCCGTAGTGGGCATTGGTGTCTCGCTTGCGATGTTTGCCCTCTTTCAGACTTTCAAAGTCGACGCCGCTCCATGGTGCGAGGATCCAGTGTCCAGAGCTGGCAACCCAAATGATTCGCACTGACCCAGCCGATGCGCTCTTTGCAGTCTTCTTGAGCAGTGGGACAAGCGCCTGGGTAAAGGCTTGATGGCCCAAGTTATTGGTGCCCCACTGCAGGTCGTATCCGTCTTGCGTCAATGATCCCTCAGGAGGCATCATGACACCGGCATTGTTAATAAGGAGGTCGAGCCTAGGCTCCGTAGAGGCGAATCGCCGGCCTGCGTCGAGAGAGGAGCGCAGCGAAGACAAGTCTAGCTGTAAGAATCTGCAGATGTTGACCAACAAGGGCTGTTTCAGTCGCGCCGCATCGAAGGAATTGAGCGCGCCCCGTCCTCTCACTTACTGCACCTGAGCGTTCGGAACTTTTGTGTTGATGTACTCGATGGCCTTGTCAGCCTTGTCTTTGCTCCTGCAAGCGAGATGGACTTTTGCGCCCTTCTCGGCCAGCCTGTATGCTGTTTCGAGACCAATCCCGGTCTGAGAGACCCCATCGATAGTGGATCAGAGAGCGATAGGACCGGGACATGAGATTAGCGACCATTCAGTGCCACTTACGTTTGCGCCAGTCACGATGGCGACCTTGCCGGTCTGGTCAGGTATGTCTTTGGAAGTCCATTCAGGGGCGCCGGGGAAGAAACCCCAAGCTCGAATGTCGAGGAAACCCGGGAGAACCATCTTATGGCGACTTTAGCCTGAAGGCGTACTTCGTGGAGGTGAGCGTGTGCAACGCTGTACGTGGAGTGGTGGTCCGGAAGGAGAAGCAGTCATCTTTGCGACAACTGCTAACGTCCACCACGCACCACCAATCCATCCGAAACTTCACCAGCAGTGGTGTACGCTCGCTCGCCTCACCCCTCGTCGCACGCAAGCACGGATTCTCGACCATGAATTTGCTCGAGCCTTGAATTTGGGTTCCTTCTGCTCATGTGACTGGTGGAGGAGTGCGCCATTCGTGATTCACGATTGCAAGCGTCGGGCCCCATCCCAGACCGAAGTTTCGCCTCCGTGAATCGTAGGTCGAACGTACGAAGCGATGTTCGAGACTGCTCACGCCGCCGGTAATATGACATATTCAGGCAGCTCGATCGTTTCCGGAGGTTTTGTACTCGGTAACCACCACTAGAAACGACGGCGCGAAATAGAGCAGAATTTGACTGACGACTCAATCAAGAATCCTTGAATCGCTTTGCCTGATACAGTACTCTTGACTGTAGCGCTCGATCGCTATATACCGCTCGCCAAAAATGCTAAGCGCGCATTTCGGGGCTTTGTTCAAATTATAAAGCCCGATCTTGCATAGATGTGGAGAATTTCTCGAGGTTGAAAGCAAAAGGACGAGTGTGCTGCGTGCTTATAACGTTCGCGATGCAATTCCCAAGTCTATTCCGTTGGTGGGACGCCTCCGCACCACAGCACGGCTATAGCGGCATAGAGCGGTGCGAGAGATTATTCTTGATTGATCTGAGTCCGATGAGTCACGAGTGCCTGCTGCCAGAATTCACGAGTCAATTCGTGATTGTTGCTGCGCACAAGCTCTGTATATAGCGACGCGCACATGTGCAGTCGTGAGTCATGGGGTGGCGAGTTGTCTTGCGCACCCTGGCTTTTCTCTGTTTGGCGCTCACGCGTAGTCATCCTTTATTCACCTCGCAAGATGATGGCGTTGACAAACCCTAGCTTTCTGATGAAATGAATTCTGGTCGAAGAGATGTGCCTAATGAGAGATCTTCGGTTCCGTAATCTTGAATCGTGCAACGTGGTGCTCGATCGCTCATAACCAAAATCACGATCACCTATATATATACCTCTTGACCGACCTTGAGTTTTGGTGCAGGGTGTACTTACGACTTGCTTGTCTCACCGAGCTTGCCGGACACCTCGCGCTCAACTTCACGTGCCGCTCGCTCGCGCGGTAAAGTCGCGTCAGCAGCTTTGAATGGGTCTTAACTCCGGTCGATACATTTGCTGCTCATCGGCCTTTGTGCTTCGCCAAATCGACAGGCTGCAAAGGCTTTGTAGTCTCCGCCTTTGGATATGAATTCAGACTGGGTGGGTATTCAAATCACAATTCAAACCTGCGACACCGACGCTGTGAGGCGCCGACCTTCGGCAAAACTTTGAGACTCTTTTCTGGACGTCCTCCGAGGAAGGGTTCAGGCAACAAGCATCCCCTCGCTCCCTGACGTGGAGGAACGGTCCAGGTGTATGCGCAGCGTTCCATCGCCCTTGACACACATCGCGGTACCTATGACAACGCCTGGCGACCACTGCTCCGATTGGGTGCGTCGCAGCTCAACATTTCGGTCGAAATTCTTCGCATAGATTCACCTTACCCAGCTCAGCTCTCGCGGACACGCCCTTCCTCATCCTTGACTCTCAATCACGTCATTCCCCTTGCTGATCGCGTCGCATCGGCAAAGTGCAAGAGGCTGGTCTTGGCCAAGTCACGAGACCCATCCGCATTCGCATTCGCGCTAAGCAGCTTGTGCTCGGAAGAACCCGTCATCTAATCCTCTTCGGCATCGCTTCTTCTCTTCCTTTCCTTCCGCCCGCAAGGGTCACTCCTCATACCGACAGCCATGGGACTGCTATCCCTCGGCACGCCGCTTTCATGGCCCGACACCAAACCGCTGGCAGAGCACGTGCGAGAGCATGGCATCACGCAGTTCCTCCATCTGTGGGAGCAGATCAAGGATAGGAGGGGTGATGGCTTGCTGTGGGGCGACGAGATCGAGTACATCGTGGTCTCTTTCGACGATGAGCAAGCGGATGCCCGATTGTCCCTAAGACAAGCAGAGATTCTCAAAGTGCTGGCTGAATCCCATGCCGACGCTGCCACCAAGCTGCCCGGGGACGCAGCAGCAGGTGGACACGTGCCGACCTTTCATCCCGAATACGGGCGCTTCATGCTCGAGAGCACGCCTGGAGCTCCTTATGGCGTCACACCCCGGGATTTGAGGACCGTCGAGGCCAACATGCGGCTGAGGCGTCGCATCGCCAGGTCCCACTTGCTCCCTCACGAGCTCCCTGTTACGCTCACGTCCTTTCCCAGGTTGGGTGTGACTGACAGGCCCTTCACAGACCCGCCTCTGGAAGCGAACGGATCGGCCAGTCGAAGTCTCTTCTTGCCCGATGAAGTCATCAATCCTCATGCGCGTTTCCCGACTTTGACAGCAAACATCAGGCAGAGGAGAGGTGCAAAGGTCGCCATCAACATGCCCATCTTTCACGATGAGCTCACTCCCCGACCCTTTGTCGATTCGAGCATCCCATGGGACAGACAGCTGTTTCCAGAGGACAAGGAAGCAAGGGCGGGCGCAGCGCTGCCCGATCACATATACATGGATGCGATGGGCTTCGGCATGGGCTGCTGTTGCTTGCAAGTCACATTCCAAGCTTGTAGCGTGCAAGAAGCTCGAACAGTGTACGACCAACTCGTCCCCGTCGGACCACTATTACTGGCCTTGACGGCCGCTAGTCCTGCATACAGAGGATACCTAGCAGATGTCGATTGTCGATGGAACGTCATCTCCGCTGCAGTGGATGACCGCACGAGAGAAGAACGCGGGCTGGAGCCACTGAAGGATAGCAGAATGCTGATGCAGAAGAGTAGGTGAGTCCTGAAATCGAGATGCGCTCCAGCGCTTGCTGCCGAAGGCACATGACTGCATTGCATTTAGCGCCTTTCTTGCCCTTCTACGATGTAGATACGACTCAGTGGACAGCTACATCTCTCAAGATCCTGCCAATCGGCCAGAGTACAACGACAATCCTTTGCCAGTCGATGAAAAGGTCAAGACTCGTCTCGAAAAGGCCGGCATCGACCCTCTCCTCGCTACGCATCTGGCCCACCTGTTCATTCGAGACCCCCTCGTCATCTTCAGCGAGATGGTCGATCTTGACGATCATCAGTCCATGGATCATTTTGAGAACATTCAATCCACAAATTGGCAGACGATGAGATTCAAGCCTCCACCACCTGGTGGTCAGATTGGATGGAGGGTAGAATTCAGATCCATGGAGGTGCAAGTGACCGATTTTGAGAACGCGGCTTTCAGCATTTTCATCGTGCTGCTTACCCGAGCCATCTTGAGCTTCCACCTCAACTTCTACATGCCTATCAGCAAGGTGGATGTGAACATGAAGCGAGCCCACATTCGGGACGCTGTCAATACGCAAAAATTCCACTTTCGAAAAGAGGTATTCAGGTCAAAGCCGAGACATCATGCGCGGGACTCTTCGGTAAGCGGCAGAGGTGGTAGAGGGACGCCCAGAGGAAGCAGAGCACCAAGCCCAAACAGAGGCGCCACTTCGCCGGCCAACGGAGCAGCGGCGTCGTCGAATGGCGTCAAGAGTCCTCTCCCCCGGACCTCCGCTTCCTCTCGCGCTGCGAGTCCTGAGCCTACTCCGGTCGAAGAAGAGTACGATGAATTTACGCTCAATGAGCTCATGAATGGAAAGGTGAGTCACACTTCAAGATGCGTATCCTAACCCGCAATCTGATCGATGTCATTCCTTCTTCGCTACGGCGTCCGCATTTTCTGGGGAAAACTGTTCACAGGACGGCTCCTTCCCCGGTCTGATCACGCTGGTTTACAGTTACCTCGACTCGCTCACGATGGACGTCGAGACCCGGTGCGAACTGGGCATCTATCTTGACCTGGTATCGAAGCGAGCCAGCGGAGAGCTTATCACTGCAGCAACGTGGATCAGAAATTTTGTGAGGACGCACCCCGAGTACAAGAAAGATTCTGTTGTTAGCGCCAAGGTCAACTACGATGTGAGTGGCTCGTCTTGGGCAGTGGAGGCTCAATGATGCCTTTACGAGCATCGCCCTTGATTCGTGAATGTGCTGACGCACTGCCGCCTGTTTGGCTGCCCCAGATGATCAAGCAACTAGACGCAATCGAGCGAGGCGAAGTGGAAGCGCCTGGCTTCTTGCCAAAAGGCTTCGCGCAGAGAAGAAAAGCGCAGAAGGATGCCTGAGCTGCGCATTAATCGTTTGCACCCTCTCTCCCTGCGCTCGTAGACTTTTTCGCATCGCCGCTGGCCGCGCGCACATTCAAAAATGCTTACTGTCCACGCATCGATTGCTCGTTGTTGTAATGTAAAACCTCCTTTCAAGAATTCCCAAAGTCAGTGCGCTGCGGTAAATTCGTTTGCTCGACGATTTCGCGGTTTGCTTCGCACTTCCATTGGCACACGCGTGGTATTTCAAGGGAAAAGCCCACTCTGCTTTGCAGAGCCATTTGAATTTCACTTGGCGGCCACGCTCTAAGCATCTTGGGATGCTGAGCCGTCAGAGTAGAGAGAGAGCAGAAGGTTCACTCCTAGTCATCCTCCTCCTCCTGCTCTTGGAGATACTACAGAAAGCAAACGCGAGCGCACATTGGAAGCATCAGCGAAAGACACGCGAACATGTTTTCGACGATGGGCTGTACCCACCTTGACCAGAGGCGCAGCGACTTGCAGCACGGCTTGGTAGCCTTGTGTTGTTTTGTGGCCTTTGGTGTGCCAGAAAATGACTGCAGCAGGCAAGGACAGCGAAGCGATGAGTCTCTTCACAGTAGCTGGGCGATTGGTTCTCTGAGAAAAACACGCACTTGCCGAGTCGCTCACGACATCTTCGTTGTACCATAGCTAATGGTGAAACACGTAATGAGAGGTGCTGGTCAGCGGTGCCGAAGCCAATGCTCTGAGAACGATGCAAAATGCGCGTGAAGATTTGACTTACCTTCAAAAAGCCAGGGAAGGTCTTCATGCTGGCCTGGTCACCCAACGCACTGACATGAGTCTGAGCTGCATTGATCAAGGCGAGTTCGTTGCGAGGGCCCTTGACGATAGCAGCAAAGACTGGTGTGACGTGCTAAAGGCGAGGAGGACAAGACGTTCCGATTGAGCAAAAACACCAACGAAGCTGATCAAGTTCACATGACTCACCTTGACAAAGTTGGGGTCTTGATCTTTCATAAGACCTTCCCACGCCGTGGCGATACGTTCCTCGGCGGGAAGACCGCTCTCGTTCAAGTAGTCGACGATCTCATCTACGCGAGGATTGGACTCCTCGGCAGCACCGTCGACAGGCTCTTGCACGACGTCCAAATTCTCGCGCAGCTCGTGTAGGCGACGGATGACCGCCTCACGAGCATCTCGGGCTGCCAACTTGGCATAGAAGTTAGCGACACCAGTGAGACCAGCAGAGCTGAAGGTGCTAGTGACGATGTTGGCCTGAGAGCGCTTCGTCTGAGGAAAGAAGGGCAGGACGTCTGTGACCCGCCCCTTGCGCAGACTGGTACTGAGAGTATCGATGCTGCCTTCTGCCAAGTAAGCCTTGAAGACATTGATGATGAAGTTCAAAGCTACTTCATCTTTGGTCAGATTGTCCTTCTGCAGCACCAGAAGGCAGCTGGCCGACACTAAGCTCATCTGAATGAGGAAGGCAGTGGCCGTAGCCAAGCGTTCGCGCTGACCAGCATCGAAGCGACCAATGTACTGAAGCAAATACTTGATCGAGTGCTCGTCCAAGGGCTTCTGCAAAAACTTGTATCTACGAATGACCTTGTCAAGCGTGGTGATGATGGGCTTCACATCAGCTGGCGATCCACTCTTCGCAGCGAAGACGCTGAAAGGGCTGCTTGGCGCATCGTCAAGTGGGCTACCGCCAGGAGCGAGCAGGTTACCACTGCGGGATGAAGATGCATACATTCAAAGTCAGCGAAAGCTGCGCCACAGTATCGGCCCCCAGCAGCTGCCGAAAGGCTCGCACAGCACCGACTCACGCGATCAAGATCTCGAACAACTGATCGCTATACCTGTAACAGTAAGGAATTGAGCAGTGGACATATCAGAGCTTTGCACCGCGGTGAGGTCGAGGCACGCGTGAGAGCCACTGACTTGCGATAGTCGAGGGTGTTGCCCGCCTTGTCTAGGGCAGCAGCATAGCCATCCCAGTCGTCGGTAGCGGAGACACCATCAAAGTACTTGTAAACCGCGTCGCGGAATGCTTTGAGGGGTAGGAAGAAAGTCAGAGTCAAAGTCAACGCCGAGTATCGAATGTGTCAGGCTGAGAGGAGGGTGGAGAAGCGTGTTCTCGTTCTAGCCATTGGGCACGCTCTGCGATACAGGTTGCGTGTTGACATACTCGGACCACCAGGGAGGAGCTGTCGTGGCCGTGCTTTGTTTTCGCACAGACTTCCTCGAGCACGTCGCCCTCGTGCCAAACTCACCTTCGGGCTCGAACTTGGCCTGACTCTTGACAACACCTTTTCTTTGCTTGATACGCGTGCCGCTTAAAGTCGGTTTTTCAGCTTTCGCCTGACCTCCTTGTGCCGTTGGAGGGGGTGTCCCGGTACCGGAAGGAGTCGAGGTCATGAACGCTTTGTCGGGCTGGCGTTCAGTGTTGGCACTTGAGGTTGAAGAGAGGGTTGATGAGGCTCCAAGGATGAGCGTCAGAAGAGGACAAAGATGCTGCGGTAAAAATGACGTGAAAGCCCAACTTTCACTAGCGTTCAAGGGGATGATGGTGCTTGAGCGTCAATGTGTCCCTTCAAAATGTGGGCGCATACATTCCGAGGGAAGTCGAGCGATGCCTCCTCGATCCATCACAACTCCTTCATCACTCGTCTGGCTGCCGCGCCCATCAGCGCCTGCATGGTGTATGCAAGATCACGCGCCCCAGCCGCGGTGGTGGGCGCACGACAGCGAGAAGACTCCTCTCGCACGAAAGATGCTTGCCGGCGCACGACAGCTGCTGCTGGTGAGCGCCTGGAGGCCAGGCTCGGCAGGCTCGTCTGGCGCAACACCATCACGCAGCATGACCGCTGCAACGTGCATACCATTTGTATATCGCCAGACCGATTGGCTACACGTTTCGAGGACCTCATCACTTCCACACGACTTCCTTACACCGGTCTTACCCGACGCTTTTCTGGTAGGTAGGCGTCGCTGTTCGCTAACAGGTCATCGAGTTTGAAGCTTGAGGCAAAGCGCAATGTCTAGGCCAGTACAGTCCAAAGTGAGCTGCGATCTATGGAGCTGTGTTGCGCTCGCAATGGCGGCTCACACTGCTCTTATGTGCGCGCTTGGTCTGCTCCTCACCATTTGAACCACCTGCAAGGCCCAAAATGAGGCCAACGCTCGGACGCTCAGGGCGATGGTCAAGCAGCCCGACAACAAGAGCTGCGTGGACTGCAAAAAGAACGGTACGTCCTTCTCGGCTTCTGAAAGGCCCAACGATTCGTGCTTTTGGCTGATCGAAGCGACTGTCCTTCTTGCGCCCGACCTCAAGACCCGCGATGGGCATCTTGGAACTTGTGCGTCGTACAGTCATAAGCGCACTGGAAGGGCGCGACTACCCTTGGTCGCGTTGCGCACCAGCTCATCCAACATCTGCATCACACATCCACAGAGGCTGCTTTCTTTGCATCCGTTGCTCAGGCATTCATCGCAGCATGGGAACGCACATATCAAAAGGTGAGCAGCGCGCAAGTCCTGACAGGGCACTTAGGAAAGCCGGATCGCTCACCCTGTGCACTCATCTCGCCAACCAGTCAAATCCATCGACCTGGATATCTGGACGCCGGAACAGATGGCCTCGATCCAGAAGTGGGGTAACAAACGAGCGAATGCATACTGGGAAGCGCACTTGAAGGCTGGCCACGTACCCCCTGATCACAAAATTGAGAGCTTTATCAGAAGCAAGGTGAGCACGCTCGACGCTCGACTAGTCGTCACACTGCCATGCGGAAGCACGGCGGCTTATAACAGCTCTGGCCTTCTCCAGTACGAGACACGGAGATGGGCCAAAGAGGGAGCACCTCCCTCTGACCCTAGTGTACTTGATGAAGGTGGTGCTGCACCAGCCTCAGCGCCGGTGAGTCTTTTGTGGCAGTAGCCAATATCTGATGCTTCTGCCGGAGAACACAGACTAATGATGATACCGATGCAAATGGTCAGGCTACTGTCCCCGCCGCTGGCTCTAGCACATCGCCCAAACCCGCGAGAGCGGCACCGGCACCGGCTATCGATTTGCTGTCTGACCCAGCCGAAGCGCCTGCGCCTGCCCCTCGTAGGGCATCAAGCCCCGCGCCTGTCTCTGCGAGTGCCGCGCAGTCAGCGGCTGCACCGCCAAAGCCAGCGACGGGAGGTGGCGGCGGTCTTTTCGATCTGGATTGGAGTGACTCGGCTGCTACGTCCACGACCATCCCCACCTCTCCTACAGTCGGTGGTGCTAGGGGCAAGAGTGATATTCTGTCACTCTTCGCTCAGAAACCTCCTGTAGCGACATCTCCCCCGGTACAGAATGCCGGCAATCAGTCGGCATTTGGAGGATTGGATGCGTTTGGAGGGTTGTCGATGGGGGGTGCGCCTGCACCTGCCCCTGCTGCTGGCGCGTCAAATCCGTGGGCTTCACCTCCCGCCGCTGCACAGTCCAACAACACTTTCGGCTCCAGTAGCAACGATATTTGGGGCAGCACTGTAATCAGCAATAGCACTGCTGCGCCATCTACAGGCGGAGCTACGGCACAAAAGAAGGATGCATTCTCAGACATCTGGGGAGACTTCAAGTAGCCCTTCATTGACTCTGTTGCCCTGTACGTGATGCCGCTGCTAGATACAATACCATACATTCAGTCGGCAAAGCTCAAATTGTAGAACTCTCTGAGGCGCGCCTTCGAGCCCCATAATTTGCTCTACGAGAACCCTTGATCTCTGATCCACTTCTCTGCCTTCTTGATGGCATCAGCCTCGCTGGCACTGAGAAGAGTCCACCTTAGCTTTGACGGCAGCTTGACCTCTTTCGCTCTGTCTGAAATGCTTCTCAGGGACGATTCTTGCCCACTCTTGTCGAAGAGGAAGATCATCAAACCTGAGGCTCTGGGGTCGCTCGACAAGTGCTCGAATGCAACCTGTGCGCCCCTTTGATCCTGGACCAGCACAATGGGCTGCACGGGTAGAGATGCGAGACGTAGCTGTTGGGTGAGCTCTGTCGACATGCAGAAACAGCAGACGGGTAGAAGTCTAAGCAGCTGGTGGCACAACATTGTCTCGCATCGGCCCTGCTCCACTCACCATCTCCCAAGCGGCTGTGATCTGCTTCGCCGCCTTCGACAGCCGCATTGATCAGTAGGCAGTCGAAACCTTCATTTCGAAAGTATGCGATCCACTGCTGCCATCTGGATGGGGTGAAGAGCGTACAAAAAAAAATAAGAAAAGAGGCTCACAGAGCCCACCTACAACAAAAGCCACGATGCTCGTGCTTGTACACTCGGGACTCACGCATCCCTCTCAGCCTGATCGAGCGTGAGGAAGACCAAGTGAGTTTGAGGTCTTCGTGCAGCAGCTGGAGAAGCTTGGCGAAGTATGCTCGAGCTGGCCGACTTGATCTCGTCTGCAAAGATGCTTGATGAGGTACCGAACAGCCGCTTTCCAGCAAGTTCCACATGAGGGGCGGTCTGTGAAGCCAAAGCGCCACCTAGAAAAGCGAGGCTTATGCCAGCACACAAAGCCTTGCATTGCTTCTTTGACACAGACCCGCTCGAGAATGCTCTCGTCTGTATGGGCGAGATGGTCCCCACTGTGCGCCGGAGGCAGGCTTGACTAGCATCCTGAACGCTCCGTGCCGCTTGCTCTCCCAGAGCGCGATTCATCTCGTTTGAGCCCACTTTGATGCTGCTCGCGGCAGCTAGGCTTGATTGCTTACGCGCTGGAGTATTCGAATGTCCAAGTGCCCGTTTCTGCACATGTATCAGCTGTCATCACTTCTCTTTGCCTTTGTTTGCTGAGTCAAGCCCTTGCCTTTGCACAGATGGTGGCGGTATCGCGTAAACAGCACGAGTCGGGATGGCGGTTGGATGGTTTGGCCGGGACGAATGTGAATGCAGCGTGCATACATGCAGGTAACGGTGCCGTCCCGTGCTCTGACTTGACTCACCATGCACTGTACCGGTACCTCCAGCAGGCGCAAACGCGCCAGCCGCATATGAGGTCAGAATCCCGCCAGCGTCTGGGAGCTTTCAGCTCGATCACATCCCGCCTTCACACGCAGCAATTGTGATGCGAATCTCGTGAACTCATTCGATTGACAGCCGAGCACTCATACGCAAGACTTTCCATTCCTTCACCCAAGGCGGTGGTGGCTGCGTGCGCATGCGTATCCAATCAGACGAACTCTTCTTCTACTCGTGAGCATGCGCAGAAGCAGTAGGCTGCAAGAACGAGCGCGCTTGCAAGGCGCTGCCGCCCAGCAGGGCGTGCGGACTGGCAGCAATGCTTGCGAAAGTGCGGTACAAAGAAGAAGCGAAGTCGACGAAGAGAAGGTCGAGGCAAGGGAAGCGAGAAAGGCTCGAGATGCTCGCAACGAGCTGCGCACACCTACCCGCAAGCGACGAGACATTGAGCAGGTGTCGCCGTACTTTGAGCGCAAGGGCAAGCCCGCCGCTGCTGAGACCAAGCAGCAAAAAGGCTCTTCACACACGAGCAAGAGACGCAGAGTGAAGGTGCCGCTCAGTCATGACAGAGAAATTGCCGTCTTGAACGGAGCGAATCCAGACGTTGATAAAGACGAGTCATCGCGTGAGACCAGCCGGGGCAAGGAGCGTGCTCGGCCAAAGAGAAATGATCTGCAATCGCACGGGACAAAAGCAACGCCCCATGAAGACAAGCCGCACCGCATACACGGCATTTCTAGAAGCGAGTCGTTCTTTGGCATGATTCAGGAAATCGTCAAGGATGATTCGTGGATGGTCTTGATCGCCACGTAAGTACCGTTCACCCTTGCTTCGCTGTGAGAAGCACGCGGTCCGGTATACTCACGTCGAGCCGCATTCCCCCCTTAGCATGCTGCTCAACCAAACCCACGGCTCTAAAGCTGTTCCAGTCTTTTGGAAGCTCTTGCATCAATTTCCCACACCAGAAGCTCTGGCAAAGGCTGACCTGCGCGAGCTGACTGATATGATACAGCCGATAGGCCTGCACAACATTCGAGCTGCTCGCCTCAAGTCCTTCAGCCAAGCTTGGCTAGATCTGCCACCGTGGCGCGCCGAATCGAGCAGATGCAGAGATCCAAAAGCTCGTGATCGCAGACTGCCCGGGACCAGTGCATACCCTCTCACTCCCGTTGCTCATCTACCAGGAGCAGGCAGGTACGCCGTCGATTCGTGGGCCATCTTTTGTCATGCTGGAGGCGCGTCACAAGGCTTGGCAGATCCGGACGAAGCAGCACGCAGCTCCAAAGAACTTGCAGAGGTGTTGCGAAGGAGACGAGAAGTGACGAGAGGCGAATGTGGCGCGAGCAGCGGATCTATAGCGCGGCAGAAAGAGCATGGACTTCAACCATCGCAAGTAGAGACGCCACTCTGGAGAAGCATGATACCCTTGGATAAAGAGCTGCGGAATTATTTGAAGTGGAGGTGGGCCAAAGAAGGCGCGCAATTTCATTTTGAGCGCGGCGTGATAGGACAGCTCGAGGAAGAGGAGTTGGCGCTGCCCCAGTAACCGCATGCACTCCTGCCATGATTCGTATCATTTGCTATCGGAGAGGAGCTCTCTGGCTCTAGCGTCGAATGTGGTGAGATCGTGCTCTGCGAAACGTGGTTTGTATCCTTGAGCAGGCAGGCGCTGGGGTGCCAAGGTGTCTACTGGACGAGGTAGAGGCACCTCTTCTCCGACAATATGCGTGTAGTCCGCCATCACCCGTGGTAGGTTCCACGGCTTCAGGGAGGGATAGTGCGTCGAGATGGCTTCCATCAGCGTCTATTGGAGGATGGAGGGTCAATCCACATTGTCAGCATTTCTATTTCAGTTCGTGCCAGTATCTCACCAGCCACGTCACGCTCACTTGGAAGATCCACTAGTGCATCCGGATGCACAAGAGGTCAAATTCAGCTAGCGTGCCGCCATGAATCGATCACGTCCCTCTGCTCACGTGATAGCCCTCAGGTCGAATGTGTAGGCCATCCTCGACTATGTAGTCGTGCAGGCCGTTGAAGCGCTTCTTGGCATCGTCGAGCATTCGCATCATCTCGACCGGCTTGACGTTGCTCTTGCTCAGACCGGCGACGAGCTTCACACCAGCGCCACTGATCTCTTGCGATGCTGCTGTAATGTTGTGCTTGCTAGGTACGGAGAGGCTGTCGAGGCAAGGTGCTGGAGTAAGCACAAGAATGGGCACCCCAGCTCCACATCTCTCCTCGATTTCTTGCAGCATCGCTTTCATGTTGTCTTCGAACTCGCTGACTGGACGCTGAGGCCGATGTGTTTAGACGGACAGCGTCAGCCAACAGACAGGCTGCGCGCGTGACTTGAGCTCTGCTGTCGCCTCACGTGCTGCGAAGTTCCTTTCAATTTGGCATCGTTGGTCCCGAACCAAACGACGACGAGGGCCGCTTTCCCGCCGACTTCACGCTGATCGCTCTGTTGGAAAACGTGAGGAACGATGGCTCGCGCTGTTTTGAAGAAGACGATGCTTACATCAGCGCTTCGAACCGCGTCCCACTCGACGGACCGTCGACCAAAGAAGACTGATGGCACCAACCTTCTCGAGTGGTGTAACCGCTAAAGCCTCGCTTCACAACTGCAAGAGGAGGTTTGATCTGCTCAGCGGACGCTTTCGCGCCTCTCGACCGCCATATCCCACTTCCCCACCTCCACTCACCCTCGAGCTTGTGCTGATACGCGGTCTGCAGCAAGCCCACCAGCAAGTCCCCATGTTCGAATTGGCTGTCACCGAACAAGATGATCTGATCGTAGATTCGAGACGCCATCTTTTCAGCTTGTCAGGACGCTGCGAATGAATTTCGTCCGGCTTGACTCCGTCAACTTTTGCTGAGATGACGATGATCCCAAGAAACCCTTGCGACCGCTTTCGAATTCGCTTTTGAACGTCGGATCGACGAGTAGTCGTGAGTTGAAAGCGTTTGTGCGGCGTTTCATATCCTGCACACCATCACATCCTATCTCTCATCACGTCACATCTTCGTGTGGAGGACGCGCGGAAGCTGCCGCCGCGTAGCGCGTCTCCTCGCGCGAGTGCGCTAGTGTGAGTGAAGCAAACGCTTCGCGCCGAGTCCCGCCTTGCGGTTCCATACCGCAATATACACACGCAACAATCAAGGCATGGAGGGGTGCGCGTGCAGTCCCGCGAATGACCGCAATGAGAATCGTGAATCTCCAATAATAGCCAATCGTGAATTCCGAGTACTCGACACAGTCGCTCCTTCTCGCATGCGCAAATCAAGCGGCAACAGAGACTTGCATTTCAGACGTTCGATGCGCAGGCGTGCATCACGCTTTGTCTTTGTGTCTGTTTTTGGCAGGCACAACCTCCGTTCTGCGTTGCAAGAACAATCGCAATCATACCTGACAATCAGAATGGTGTTGGGATGTGAATGTCCAAAGCCGGCGCAAGCATGACTTCGACTCGAATTGCCCTGAGACGCAGGCAGCTGCTTCATCCCAACATCTCGATACCTCAACATCACGTCTGCACCTCTCAGTTCGACTTTGCACGCTCCACTGTCGAAGCAATCAGCAGCATCTGTCCAGTAGCGCCACAGCAGCCGCATTCTCAGCGTGACAGCCAGCAGCAATCATCTATTCAGCCACGGCCAGCAGGGGCAGGTGAGCACGACGTATTGCCCACCTAGCGAGAGCGATAGTTCTCCGCTGGGAAGAACGCGTGGCTGCGAGATTATAGAGCAAGATGCAAGTCAGCAAATTGACCCTAGGCGGAGCATCGTATCGTGCGATGGAGATCACTCACGGATCGTGTGGGATGTCGCCCGGGTTCTTGACCAAAATGTGCTGAGGAGCGGTGAAAGGTGGACGAGGAGGAAGGTTTTGGCTGGTGTAGTGCAGTCCGCCTTGAGCCTGGGGAGAGTGAACTTGAGCCAAGACATCGGTGAAGGCCGACGGTGCATCGATGTCCTCTGGGGCCTTGACCAGGGCGGTGCTTTGAGAGGATGGGTGTGGCAAGCTGCTCCCAGTGGCAAGGCAGTGTGTAAGCCGCCTTGCCCGCGAAGCAGGTACGCCGCAGCTTCCCCAGCCAACGTGACCTTCCTGAGCGGTACGCTGTGCGTGCTCAATACCGCACCCGCTCACCTCTTTGTGCCGTCCTCATTGGGAGCTGCGAGCAGCAAATTCGTCAAGTGTTTTTGGGTCACCATGAAGAGCTGGGGGTACATGCGTCTAAAGTCCCTATCCTGATACTTGTTGCCAGCAATGTCTAGATTGGATCAAAGCGGTGACACAATGAGCATATACGCATCACTGCTTGCATGCGCAGAGGAACGCATGCGTACCTGAAGCTCGCGAGGGAGTGAGAGCAGCCTTCTCTGGACGCGAGCCAGGGTTTGGGTAGCGAACCTAGAGGAGCATGCGAGGCGGCAGGTGCGAAATCAGAACCGCGACTCGCTGCTCGTACCAGAGCAAGCGCACAACGACGTACCAGGTCAGGTCTGGGCAGACCGCTAGAGATCTCGGGGTTGACGGCGAAGATGTCTCTGAACTTGCGCCAGAAGGGCGTTCGACCTTCGACGTAGGTGTACTTGTGAGAAGAAGCGTAGGTGCCAGGCTTGTTGCTTTCCGACGTTGCTGCATCCCTCAAATATGAAGAAGGCCTGAGAGCGCCGCGTACGGCTGAGCTTGAGCGCATCGCCATGGTGGAGTGCTGCTGCCTGCTGTACTCGGTGGAGACGAGACTGAGAGTTGTGTGTCTGCTAGGTGAATCGCTTGCAACAGCGAGGGTTTGAGGAGGAGGATGAGAAGCTTGAAGACGCGCCCACCCTCTAGCCAATGTGTACAGCCTGCGCGCGCCGATTTCAAAGCAGCAGCAACAGCAGCATGCGCACCAGCGGGCAGCAGCGGGCAGCAGCGGGCAGCAGCAGCAGTCACAGTCGTGAGTTGACGCACACGCACGCACGCCGGCGTGCCAACTGATACACGTGACTCGGGACGAATATCCGCTTCGGCTTCAACGTGATGAACTTGTCATGCTGCTGCCGGATGCATGCAAGCCGGCGAGTCGTGCGACGTACGTGGAGCAAAGCAACCTGCTCATGTTATTAGCGGTCGGTGTCCGGTACGACGTGGAGCTGCTTCCCGCAGGCGATGTTGGCCAGGGGTCGGAGCATTCAAATTGAATGCTAGCTGCTTTTCGACCATGCCCATCGAGGCGAAGCGCTCTTCTTCCAAAGCTGAATCACGAATCTTTACTCCTACAACACCTCGCCGGTCTTGATATCAAACTCGAATAATTTGGAATGTCTGACATTTCGTGAGTCGTCCAAATGCTCGCACCACGCGTTGCTTCTAGGTCGGCTAAGCACGCACACGTCGCTCCTCTCTCTCGACCATCAAAGCTCGCAGCTTCATGGCGGTTACGCCCACCCCTTGTCGCGATCATGGCAAGGTCAATCACGCAGGATCACAAAGTCCATGTTCATGTATCCTCGTCAGTTCATTTCCATTCCACACGCTTCTCAGATATTTTTGCGATCACTGACGTCCGTTCTTCTTGTCCTCTCCTCTGCGCAGTGTTCATTTCTGATGATCCGGATGCCGAAGCTCCGCTCAAAGGCATGCCCAACCAGAGGAGGTGGGGCGTGAACAAGCTGCCAGGATTCTTGGAACCTCTGATCAAGAAGGGCCTGAGCAGCGTCATCCTGTTCGGTGTTCCTGAGCGGAAACCCAAAGTGAGTGGGACAGCATGATGACTCCAAGGCGTGCTCTGCTCATCGACTCGTGCCGCCCTCTTGAATGCACCTTCAAGGATGAGATCGGGACTCTTGCGGACGATCCAGAGGGGCCCGTCATCAGCGCCGTCAAGACGCTCCGTGAAAAGTTCCCAGATCTCTACGTGGCCTGCGACGTTTGCCTCTGCGAATACACTTCTCACGGACACTGCGGTATCCTGCACGCCGACGGCTTGATCAACAATGGACCGAGCGTGAAGAGGCTAGCAGATGTCGCTCTAGCTTACGCCAAAGCTGGTGCGCATTGCGTCGCCCCGTCGGACATGATGGATGGACGCGTAGGAGCCATCAAGAGGGCGCTCATCGATAGCGGTCTGGTGGGAAAGACGAGCTTGATGAGCTACAGCGCTAAATTCGCGAGCTCTCTCTATGGCCCGTTCAGGTGAGCACCTGCTTCATTGTGGGCTCGAGGCTCACGAATGCACGGAACTGAAGCTCGAGATTGCTGCCTGCGCTCTCAGAGATGCCGTTGCGTCTGCTCCAGCGTTTGGTGACAGAAGGTGTTACCAGCTGCCTCAGAATGCGCGGGGCTTGGCACGTCGAGCGATTGTGCGCGATGTTGGCGAGGGTGCAGACATCATCATGGTCAAGCCTGGCAGCATCTATCTAGACATTGTGAGTCTCGCGCCCACACCTCGCGCCTTGGTCTCGTTCCGCGTCCTCTGACCGCGTGCTCGCCGCTCCTCGCACAGCTCGCCGAGGCGCGACAATTGGCACCGGACCATCCTCTGGCTGTCTACCACGTAAGTCGATACGTCTGAGTTGGCACAAAGTGGAATGTGTGCTCAGTGCGCCAATCTTATCTTTGTGCAGGTGTCGGGAGAGTACGCAGCGCTACACGCAGCAGCCGCAGCTGGAGTTTACGACCTGAAAGCGCAGGTGGTAGAGCTGAGCGAAGCTTTCGTCAGAGCTGGCGCCACTATCATTCTCAGCTACTTCAGCCCGGAGTTGATGGATTGGCTGGATGAATAATTTGCAAGAATACACAGATACCAAATGCACAGAACGGCGGTGTGAGGGCAGCAGCCATAGCACACCTAAAGGGTGATCTTTGGAGACGTTGCGAAGGGGCGAAGACAATTCCGGTTCTGATATGGAAAAGGGCACAGTTCTGGCGGAGCGGCGATGACATATCGCTCCTGCTTCACAGGTTTACTTGCATCTTGCCATTGTTCTGAATTGTGCGGAGATCGAAAACCTGATTAGTGTGCGCTCTACAGCAAATGGCGCAGCTGGACTCACCTTGTACTCCCGCAAGATGCGCATCACTTCCACGGGACCCTTGCCTTTTGCGCCAATTGCCTCCGCAACCTCTTCGTCATCGACAAGCATGAAGACGTTGTGCTTCTTTTCGTCTGCGATCGTGAAGACACCTGTGGTCACGCCATTGTTGCGTTTCTCTTTGACAAAGGCCGCAAGGTCTTGCACCGATTTGCGTTGTGGCAGCACGCCGATTCCGAACGCAATGTTGCCCCCGGTGTATTCTGACGCAAGCGAGGCGAAGTTCAGCAAGTGCCCTACGACAACGCCAGCGTTGCGATTCGCTCACTAACCATGTCCGCAGTAAACAATAGTGTCGTCGGGCAGACTAGCGAGTACCGTGTTCAATGCGCGGTGCATTCTGACATAAGCGATATTTACACAGCGTTAGTTCGGGCTGCTTGACGATGCGAATTGGACGTCAAACTCACTCTTCTGGCGTGCCCTCGAAGAAGCGACCGCAGCCGCCCTGCACTCCAAAGCAGAAGGAATCTGAGCTCCGAGCCGGCAATGCGATCCCATCACGATCCGACTCACTACAAAGAGGGTGTCTCTGACAGAAAAGAGGCTCGGGCTCTCGTCAGCACAAATGCCAATGTGCTCAAGCAGAGCTATTCACCATACTCACCCGGTGAAGACGCCCTTCTTGCCGGCCTCGTCTTGCAAGAAGAAAGCGTGTGAATCTTGTGTATGGCAAGGTGTAGCGTAGATCTTCGCTTGGATGTTGGAGCCTTGCCATAGCGGAAATGAATCTCCATTCTTCACCTGCTTCGTCATTGCCGGGCACTTGTCGCTGCCTCCCCACACAGTAGCCGAAGGGTACGCCTTTGCCTGCAGAAACGAGGGTAATCAGAGCTTGCAAAGGCTTTCGCGGCTGCCACAGAGGAATATACCCACAAATGCTTCGTTGCCACCGCTGTGGTCAAAGTGGTCTGGGCTTGGGAAGCTACGGATGAGCGCAGCTCTGATGACGATGCTCTCGTAGCGCTACACGCACGATGAGTTGTGATGGAGCCGACGATCTCCGACACGCCGAGCTTTTGGGCAGCATCCTGGACCTTTCCTAGATCGTAAGGATCTACGAAGACGCCTTTAGCACCGTCTGACACGATGTATGCGTAGTTCTGATGTTCATTGGGTGAAGGGACATTAGCTAGCGCTCCCCTTCCAGACCGCACCCTGTCCAAGCACGCCCGCTCACGTCATCGCGTACTGCAACTGGCGTGACCTTCATAGCGCGTGCGAAAAAGGTGCTGAAAGGCTGAGTGGGGCTGTGAGCGCGTCTGAGATGTGGCGAGATGGAGGGCCGTGTGATCAGTTTGGTGATGCTGGAGAGCATTGCTGTGCGGGCATTTGGGTTTGAGAGGCCCCGGTCGTGTTTTGTTCAGTGGCAGACAGCGTGGTGGAAGTCAGAGCGCGCATAAACTCACGCTACCGATCTCGCGAGTCAAGGTCTGGTCTAGCTCAGTGGTGGGTGAAGAGAGAAGGGTGCGGCATGGTGGGCGCGAACGTGAACCGTGGATTAAGTATGTCGCGCGACTCGATCGCCGCCAACATCCCCTCAGCAGCTGACCGCCACATGCATGTGAGCGAGCGCTGACTGTGGCCGTATACCGCCGTGCACGCCGCTATCATGTGAATTCAACCCATGCAGACTGATCGTGAATACTTGACTGCTGTATGCAGCTCTGTGTGCGGCCGGGCGGGAAGCGCGAGGTGGAGGCTGGACGGGAAAGCGTACACGTGACCACAATCTCGGCACCTTAGCGCGGCCAAGAAAGATGCATCATGATGGGTCTGTGCGGAGTCTCGAGTTACTCTTCACTCTCGACTCAACTCTTGACTGTTGACTCGTGACTGTATACACTCGTGACTCATGATCAAGACCCATCACAACATCCCTTCACAAGTCGCTATCGTATCACACTGCATGCGTGCTCAGCGCGTCTGACGTGGCTTCACTCCAAGCCGCTGACGCGCTGAGAAGGCCTCCATTGAGAATGCCTGACTTTCAGCCTTTCATCTACGAAACGCATGGATGGAGCGCGACATTCAGCCTGCAGCCTACCTCGCGGCAGGTGGCACTGCACGCCATATCTGCCGGTGAGGAGCCAGCTTCGTCTAGAGACGTCTGTGCAGCGCTGGAGAAATGCGCGCACGCACAGTGGCTTAGCAAAGATTCCCAAGCGATGCCCTTGGGGCACCTCCTTCTGAGTCACGCCGAATTAGGTGATGCGGGTCTGGAAAGGGTTCTCGAGACATTGTGCAAGTACAAACTCGGTCATCTTGGACGTGACGCCGAGCGCTTTGAAGATGAGGAGGATCCTCAAGCGAAGCCAGGCTATCAAAGAACACGCAGAGCATACATCCGCTTAAGAACGCTGCGCATCGACAACAATTCATTGACGGACAAGATACTGGACCCGCTTGCCTCTTATCTTCAGAACAATGTCGACCTGCTGCATCTTGATCTAAGCGGCAACGATCTGGTGGTAAGTGTCTTTCCCTGCCCGCACCCTCTCTGCGATACCCGATGCTCCAAAGCACTTGCTGACGCGCAATTGCCCACAGATGAAGTCAGATTGCTGCTCAAAGCTTTTAAGAGCGCTAGGCACTTCGAATTTAAAGACGATTCAGCTGAATTCAAATTCGTTCAGTGCTCGAAACCTGGCGTCCTTGCTGGACAACCTCTACGCTCCAGCTCTTCGAGCGATTCATCTAAATGCAACTCTCGACGACTATGACACAGAAGAGGCAGCGAAAGCCATAGCGAGGCTTTCGAGGTCAAGCGCAAGGGGTGACTTCGACGTTGCAAAAGCAGTGCCGAACATAAGTCACTCTGCCGATGGCTCGAGCCAGCAGAGGCAGGGAGGATGGGCTCCGCGCCTGGAGACGATATCTGTGAGAGGAAACCTTTTCAGCCTTTCTGACTTCCAAGAGATGGTGCTGGCTGTAGTGGGAGCCGGCGATCTGAGCGGGCAAATTGAAGCGCAACTCACGGAGCCACATCGACAGCTACGGTCCTTTCAGAACACGGGTATCAGAACCGATACGCAGTGGCCACCAGCGCCTCCCCAGCCCCGTCCCGAGCACGCTCGGCCCGGTACCTATTATTGGGCGCTGCATCGTCAGCGCGATCCGCCTTTCGAACGCTCAGACACGTTCCGCAGATCGCGCACAATTACCATGTTGCTGCTCGACGACCAGATGACTGCCAACAACAACATTCTAAGAGCGGTACATGCACGAAGCCTGCGCCTGCTTACAGTGGCGCGGGTACTGGGATGCCGCTCGAGCGAAGATAAATGCTCGGGGGAAGGGAGCTTCCAATTTGCTCGTCTGCCCTCAGAGCTTCGACTCGCCATTCTCAAGGCGACAGTCGCGTCTGACGATGCGGCCCTGAGCTCTGCCCAAATCAACGCTGTCATTCAGTGGGCTTGCGACCCCTCTACCATAGGATTCGATGGAGGAGCTTCGTTCTTCCTTGCACATCCCGGTGCCACTCCTTCAGCGTATCTACAGGAGTCACTTATACCGGTACCACCTATAGATTGGAGCGCGCTGCAGACTCGACGAGGGCCTTGGCCAAAGGACTACCTTGCATGCCATGTCGACGAGTCACCGTTGTCCCCACCTTGGGAAACAGCCTTCCTTGACGCCACGCGCACATTGCTGCCCGACAACACTCCGCTACCCGAGCACTTTGTGGCTCCTGAATTCTACTGGAGGCCTTATCACAAACCTGATACATACCGGTGAACCAGATCGGTACTCCTGAAGGGACTTGACTTTACACACAAGAGTCGCGAGTGGATACAACGGCCAAAAGTTTGGCATCTTCACCATCACGCAGACGCTCGACATGCACTTCCGATCATTCTGATGCATTCGCAAATAGATGTTGTAGCTGTATGCCAAAAGCCGAGGAAGTCATGGACGTGGGGTGATGGTGCACGCAAAGACCACCACCTCGCATCTTCCCGCCTGTGTTCGTCGCGACACAGCGGCTGCACAACACCCACCACCTCCAGGTCTTTCTCGTGAGAGGTAAAAATTCTAATACGCATTGCTTGTGGGAGGGGGCTGTTCTTGAGTCTTAACTTTGGTGTGTTGTGAAGGTGAAAGAAAGCTTGAGGTGCTTCGTGATTTTGCGCGTGGTTGCAAGGACGTGAGTCTCTCGGCCGAGAACCCATCACGCGGGCTGACTGACGGTCACGCGCAGCGCAGACACGCGTGCGTTCGTGCCGGTCGGCGCTTGCGAAGGGAATTATATAGACCTACCCGACTCATGACAGTTCACAGCCGAGCATGCCACATGATACAAGCACACCACGCTGTGGAAGTTTCCGGCAGAGCAAATGTCTCTCTTACGTTCCCTCGACACCCTTCACTTGGCGTAACGTCGCTGTGCGCACAACCACGTCCGGTCTTCTTCACGTCTGCTCAGCCTACCCTAGGCAATCCTGCCTGAATCGCATCGGAAGCACGACCCTCCGGCCTTTTGGATGCAGCTTGATGTCTTGAGCCGACAGGTCCTTCTTTGAGACACACACAACTTCGTCAACGCTCCACAGAGAGCGCAGAGAGCCCCGCCATGGACGTCAAGCTCCCGGCGAACAGGCTGGAGGCGGATCAGCTTGTCGCTGCCAGCATGGAACGGTGGGATACCGGAGGTCGAGATCAACTGTGAGCTTCCACTTTTTCAGCGTTCGGGGCATCCGCTTCAGCATCCATTTCGTCTTTGCCGGCTTGAAGAGCGGTCAAGAGCAGCTGGCTTCCTAGTATGGAACAAGGCTTCGATCGCTCTAGAAATGGGGACATGGAATTAGCCTGTTTCGACGGTCCGCACGAACGTCAGCAACCCAAAGTTCTCACCACAGGTATCCGTCTCTCTCCTCTCCACCCCAATCACATCTTCATCACAGTCACGATACTTTCCTATCCTCATGGCCTCAAACAGATAGCGGCCCCGCAGCGACAGCCTTCCCTTCATTGCTCACTGCCCTACTCACCTCACATTTGGCGCATCCACGACTCTTGCCGGGAGCATACACTGCAATCTTCGAGGCTCTGAAGAAGCAGCAGCAGTCATCTGTCGCCTCTGCAGCGTCATCAGCAGCTTCGCAGAATGGCGCTTCTCTAGCGCCTGTGCCCGAAACGTCGGAGGCTCTGGTAGACGCGATCCTGGATGGCATCTGGGCAGTTGACGCGGAGTTAGACGCACGGAAAGACCTGAGTGCTTCAACAGCGCTCTGGGCTGCAGCAGATGGCAGCAAGTCAACTGCCGACATTGTTGCTAGATGCAGAGCAAGCTTAGCTCAGATCGTCAAGGAGCTGATTGTGAGTCTGAGCTTAGTGGATGACCTCGCCATGCGTGTGACTACTCGGCCAAACGTAAGCGGTGTTTAACGCGCACGTGCATCTTTTCGGGCCTCTTCAGCAAAAGCAGATCATTCCAAGGCTCACGACCGCGGAAAGGCTTGATCTGCCACTGCTGAAAGCAGTTGGCTTGATACTGGACGAGACAGGCTTCCAGCGCAAAGGGGTGCGTATGAACACAGCTAATCTCTACAAGCAGCAAAAGTTCAACTTGCTACGAGAAGAGAATGAAGGCTACTCGGGCCTCATCAACGAGCTCATCAGCGGCATGGGTCCATCGATCATCCCGATCAAGCATGACGCGGTGCAAGCCTCCAACGGGCTAGCTGATGGTGAAGCGTCCAAGTCGACGTCGGACTTGCCTGCGCAATATCGCGTAGTCGAGCAAGAAAGCGTCGACGCGCGAAACGCCCGTGCCCGTCGCGTGATGGGCAACATCTCTGCTCTGATTGGGTACTTTGATCTTGATCCGAATCGCGTCCTGGACGTCGTCATGGATGTCTTCAGTAGCAATGTTGTCAGTCACTGGCCTTTCTTCCTAGCTCTGCTGTCAGTGTCGCCATGGGCACCTTCTCATCCAGACGCCCAGAGCGCAAACGATGACGACATCGCCATGCAGGACGAAGAGTCCTTCATTGGGCCCATTCGGCTGGATTTCTCGCAAGATAGGGGGAACAGCACAGTTGCCCAGGTGCTCGGCTTCAAGTATGGATTCTACCAGATGCCCGATACGCGGGAAGAGACGCCTGACGATCTGTATTTTATGACTGCTCTGATGATCAAGAACTCCCTTATTCGTTTTGCGGACCTCTTCCCTCACCTGAGCCCGAAGGAGGAAGGCATGAAGCAACTTCATCAGGCCTATCGCAAGACCCTCTCCGCACGTTCTGCATCCACCACAAAAGCCAATGCGCTTACTATGGCCGCGGCTTTGATAGAAGACGGATTGCATCGTCCTGGAGGCGCAGGGGGGGCGGAAACGGAGCAGATTAGACAGGCAGAAGCTACGGCGTCAGCTAAAGAACCCCCGAATCAAGTTGGTGGTCTCTTGCGGGCTCTCTTGGCCGTTGGCGGCTTGAGGCATGCAGTCTTCATCCTGGGAAGGCATCCATGGCTTTGTAGCTCACTCGATGGCGTCGCGGAGCTTTACGCCCGCCTACTCCGCCGCGTCTTGGAACCTGCCACCGCTACAATATCCACCGCGCCTCTCTACGAACCTGATCCGAGACTAGCTCCAAAAGCTCCCCGCAGCGAGCGCGAATCCAGGTCGAAGGGACCTCCGAGGCCCATACTATCCACGAATCCAATGCCTCAGCCTAAGGGCAAGGCCGCCTCGGAATCCAAACGCGGCCCAGAGCTAATTCCGGTGTTCTTCTACCCCATATGGGATAAGGAGCTTCCGGGCTGCGAGCCGAAGGCTGTCTTGACAGATTTTGTGCCCTTCCTTCGCTTGCTCGGTGTCAACCTCGCCAAGGACATGGAGCTTATGAAGCAAGTATCAAGACTTACGAAGGTTGGTCTCCGCATGGCGATGAGAAAGCTGGAACAAGATATCGCTTCTGAAGAGGGGAGAGAGTCAAAGGCTGCGTGGCTCGAAGTTGTCCGATCGCTTCTACTTCCAGCTCTGAGCTGCACGTACGGCGATTGGGACATTGCCCAAGAGGTTTGGCTCATCATCCACAGACTGACGTACCAGGAACGGTACGCACTCTACGGCGAATGGAAGTACGACCTCTATCGCAAGCCAGAACTCAAGGCTCGCCAGATCGCCACGGAACGTGAGGCCAAGGGGATTCTCAAGCGCATTAGCAGTGAGAACGTCAGGCAATCAGCAAAGGATCTAGCAACCGCATCGCACGCGAATCCCTGCATATTCTTGACGGTGGCTTTGAATCAAGTGCAAGCGTATGACAACTTGATCGCACCAATCGTAGAATGCGCCAAGTATCTCAGCGAGCTCGAATACGACGTCTTCACATTTATCTTGTTGGACGCACTCAGCAACCCAGAGAAAGAACGTACAAAACAGGATGGCACCAACATCAGCCTGTGGCTCAAGTCTCTTTCGAGCTTCGCAGGTATGCTCTACAGGCGACACAAGGAAATAGACGTTGGGCCTGTTTTGCAGTACATGGCCAACCAGCTCAAGCAAGACAACTCAAAAGATTTGGTGCTGATACGAGAACTAGTGCTCAAAATGTCTGGCATAGAGCCACTGGCAAACTTGGGCGACAAGCAAATTGCCGCGCTCACAGGTGGACGCCTGCTGAGACGAGAAGCGATGATGGTCGCCAATGCCCAAATTGGAAGCGACACTAGGCGCGAGTTCCATGACTCCGGAGCGCGCCTTCTGCTTGCGATGGAGGCAAGCTGCATGACTATTCCGCTATTGATATTGATAGCTCAGCAGCGCCAAGCATGCATCTATCTGATCGGGGACGACGAAGGAGGCCTGAAGTACATGGGCAACGCCTTCGATTCTTGCCAAGAGACACTGTTCCAGTACGTTGAATTCCTGCTCACACAACTCGAGCCAAGCGCCTACTCTACTTTGATCCCCAAGCTATCCGATCTTTATTCGCGCTTCAGTATTGAGCCCGCCATCGCCTTTCACATGGCAAGACCTCGTCTTCTAATGGCGATGAAACTGGCCGACGCGAACCAGGCCGAAGAGCGTCTCAAAGCTGAAGTCAAGGCCAAGGCGGCGACCAAAATTTCATCGAATGAGCACAGCGCGACGCCCAAGGACACTCGATCTCTCGGTGAAGCTGACGATACAGCGCAAATATCAGTCGAATCGCAAGCCGAAGGTACCGTAGAGCCCGGTCAAGAGAAGACTGATCAGGCGATGGAGGTGGAGATGACGGCTGTCTCTCCGGCCTCGACAAGCCTGCCAGGGACAAAATCAGTCTGGCGCCCCGGGATGGAAGAGGCGATCTCCGCAGCGAACGAGATGCTGCCAGCTGCCGTGAGCGCGATACTGGGCCCTCACTTTTTTGCCTCTTTTTGGCAATTGAGCCTCTCCGACATCGCCGTGCCGATCGAGCGATACGATGTTGAGACAAATGCGCTGCAAATGCTGGCGAAAGCGAACGACCATGAACGCCGCGGCAACCTTAAGACAAGGGACCATGCGCTTGAAGTCCTGTCGCATCTCAAAGCTGAACTCAAAGCGCAGACCCTCGCCCACTCTGCCACTCGGCGTCGCCTCGCAGTGGAGAAAGGGCACTGGTTTGGTGAGTCTGCTCTAGCCTAGCCAGAGCACTCAATCTCACCTCTTGCTGATCTTGCCGCTTCCGCTCCGCGACATAACAGCGCACATTTCCACGCCGACAGAAAGAGCTCAGCTTGTGGCGCAACTTCTGGAGCATTGCATTCTACCACGCGCGCTGCTCTCGCCTACCGACGCAATCTTTGCCGGTCGATTCATACGCCTGATGCACGCCAACGGCACGACGAATTTCTCTTCGCTGATGACATACGACAGGATCTTCGTGGACCACGTTGCTCCCATCATCTTCGCATGCACGGAGAACGAGGCACGCAACTATGCTCGATTCCTCCAGCAAGTGCTCTCTGATCTTTCTGCATGGCATGTTGATGAGGCAGTATATGCCAAGGAAGCGGTCGGCGCAGAGCTGCCCGGATTCCGGCCGAGGTGGACCATCGCGCAGAGTCTGCCATGGGAGTCTTTTCGCCAATTATTCCACAAGTGGCACATTGCATTGCTTCAGGTGAGTGCTTCAACAGTATGCCCTTGATCCAAGCTGACCCTTCATTGAATATATTTGCGCAGGCCTTTGAGCTGTGCCTGGCGTCATCCGAGTATATGCGTCTTCGCAATGTCATTGTCGTCATGACGCGAATCGCGCAATACTTCCCCTTGGACGAGCACCACGGCAAGGTTTTGTGTCTAGCAGTGCAAAAGCTTGTCGACGAGGAAGATCGAGGTGACCTGAAAGTCCTAGGCCAAGGCCTACTTGCAACTCTCAAGAAAGGTCAAAGCGCCTGGCTCCCTGTCTGGAAGTTCAAGTCGGATCCCCCTGCCCAGTCCGCTGCGGCTGCGGCTGCCGAGGCTGAGAGGGCCGTCGCGAAAAGTGCCAAGGATGCAAAGGCAAACGTAGCCCCACCTGCTAAAGCGAGCGAGACGACTGCGGCCAAGAGCTTCAACGACACGAGCCCACTGCCTACTCGTCCCAAATCCAACGCGCCGCCGATGGGACCTGCTGCCGACCGTGGTGTCCCAGGTCGCACCCCTCAGGCGCCACCCACGAGGCCTACTGACGCCAATGACCACCCAGCCACTTCTACCGATGCGTCTGCATCCAGGCCTGCTCTTGATCGCGCTGGGTCTTCTTCGTTGCCGCCTCGACCCCCAGCCCGCACCGCTGAGCGAGACCGACCACCGCCTTCTGCACCTCGGTCCGATTTGCCCAAACATCCACGTCAGGCCGTCGGCAATAGTACGCCCACCTCAACAGCTGCCAGGCAAGCGGCCGCAGACACTATGGTGGCGCCGCAAAGGCCTGCTGACACTGTTGGCGCTCAAGCTGCACGCGACCGAGCACAGGGCAACTCGACACCACGACCGGCCAAAGATTCAACCGCACGTGAAGGGCATCCTACCCCCACATCTGCACCTCGAGCTTCATCGAGGAACGTGTCGCCTGCACGTGACAGCCGGGCCCCGAGCGTGGACTCGTCTAGGTCGCGAGAGAGCAAGGACCGCGGGCGCGACTCGAATCGGGAGCGACTTACTGATCGAGAACGTGAATCTATTCGCGATAGTGACGACACCGTGCCCCAAGCTCGAGACAGTCAAAACCGTCCGCGACCGCGAGAGACAGAAAGGGAAATGGACAGGAGCGCAGCGAGGGGCGGAAGTGGGCGTGATTCTCGCTTGGATGAGGTGCCACGAGTTTCGCGCTACGCAGATCGCAGAGTACGAGAGGCAGTCCCGTCTGAAGAGAGCGACACGCGCACTACAATACACCGAGCAGATGATCGACGCCGCCGCGAGGACCCTGACGCAGAGGCTCGTGCTTTGGATCTGGGCTCAAAGTCGACCGCCAAGCCCACGCCGAGAGAGACCGCTGGAAATGCCGATCGAAACGGACGTGGCCATGAAGATGCTGCTCAACCCACCAGCAGTCATAAACGTACTTTGGCTGATCGGTTTGGCGCAAGCGATCAGGAGGGCAAAGTTGCTTCAGGGACAGTGAGTCTCAATCGACTGCTCTTCGCGCTGCAGCGTCGTAGCGTTGCTGACACAGATTGCTGCGCAGCCTACCCGCGAAGAGGCTGACAGAGCAGGCGATAGCAAGCGCGCAAAGTTAGATCGCAGCAGAGCTAGCAATCGCGTGGGTGTGGAAGCGGAAGTCCGCGACCGCAACGACAACCAAGCAACAACACCCAGCGGACCAAGGAAGGGACAGCTCTCTCCGCCCGCGAGTCGATCGGATGTCAGATCTACCCCGTCGGGTCCTAAATTAGACGCACAATCCAGGCGGCCATCGACCTCGCAGCAACAAGAGCAAGATTCAAAAGCGGCGCGCGGGGCTGACCCGCCATCAGGCAGAGGCATCAGCATCCTGGGTGGAGGCGGAGGTCGTCCTCACGAACAAGCGCTCCAAAGATCCGCGTCTGACAACGCTCGCCCTGTGCCAAAAGGTCCCAATTGGCAGCGACAGCGCGAGGCGGAGCCAGCCACATCGTCTCGCGAGTCCGTAGATGCGCGGGAGCCGCGTGTACCAAGCAACGGCAGGAGCGGTGAACGAGGAGCGCGAGGTCACGGGCGCGACGACTCGCGAGCTCAGGCGGGAGCGAGTAATGATGGCCCGTCTAGAACCAGAGAGCGAGACCGCCGTCATGGAAGTGGCAGCGAGCCTCGCGGGCCACGCAGCCAACAGGAGAGATCAAACGCAGGTGGAGGGAGGTCTTCGGGAGGCGAGCGCGAGCGCAACAGAAGCCAGCGACGTTCTGGTCGCCAATAGGGCTCAGGTTTTGGCGTCATTCGCATGCACATCTTTCGGACTTTTTGTGAAGACACTTTGCAGCAATGCTTCCTGAACTCGTGCAATCTGGAATGAAGATTTCATCACTGTAATCTTGGTGCCCGCGATCATGACCTATGCACAGCTTCGATGGACTCAGGATATTTCAAGTTGGCGGACGCTCGCACTTGATCCATGATCTCCATGGTGAAGATGGAGTTTGCTGAGATAGAAGACGTGAAGCAGAGACAGTCAGTTCATGGAGGTTCACGATGATGCACGGCGACGATGCTCACAAAGGGGATGCAGGTCCGCCTCGAGTTTGCCATCTCTGAGGGCCCTAGAGCAAGCATCGGCTTCCTGTGGGATGCAGTAGGTGCCTGTCAGCCGGACTCGATGTGTGTGACATAAAACTAGCTCGGAACGCACCCAGAACATGCTGCATGATGGGCGAACGAGCGGAATGAGGTCACCAAGTGCCAGACTTTGCTACAGATGGAGACGGCGCTGCCGTTCCGTTCAAGCGACTCACCCATGACCGCCTGGGATGTCAAACTCTGTCGTCCTCGGCTCGCCCAGTTCGTCCGAATTCTTACGCAGAGTAATAGTGAAAGCCGTCGGCCTGAAAGGAGCCCAGTGAACCGTCAAGTCTCCCTTTTCTCCTTGAATCAGCGTGTGCTGCTGGGAGTGGGTGCGCACTGTGAACTGTTGTCGCAGGTGGCGGGCGCCGCGACGCGAAGGGAAGCGATTCAGTCAATCTCGCCAGCAGATCTGTGAAGTGCTCGTGAAATGGGCTCACGTTTGCAGTCAACATTCCTTGCGTGTGACCCTTTTCGAAGTTGAGAATCAAAGAAGTAAATTCGTCGACGCCAGTGACGGGATGCTTAAGGACGTTTGAAGTGATGCTGGGAGCTTGACGCTCGTTGCTGGGAGTACGGGCCGGTCAGCCGGGGCCGCGAGCACGAAACGCGACATTCAACTTACCTGGGATCCTCAAACAAGGTCAGAAGCTGCCAAGTGAGCGGATAAATGCCCAAATCCAGCAGAGCGCCACCTCCCAACTCCGGATTGAGCAGCCTGTGCTCCGGTGTGGCGTTGTCGAAGTGGACACCGAGCTCCGAATGAGCGCGGTGCAGCTTTCCGAGCACTTTCTCCTCGTGAAGCAGGCGCTGAATCTCTCGCACTATGGGAAAGAAGCGGATCCACATGGCCTCCATTAGGAACAACTTCTGCGAAATGGCAACGGAGCACAGGCAACCGATCAGCTGGAGCCCTTCGCGGAGCTTGGCGCTCATTCACTTTAAGCTCACCTTTGAGCGAGCGACGTCGACCAGATGCTTGGTCTGCTCTGCATTGATGGTGAAAGGTTTCTGCAAGACGAACCACGTGCATTTCAGTAGCAGAGTCAAAAGTCAGAGGCGCTGCGCCGAGCACTCTCACCTCACAGCATACATGCTTGCCCGCGTCCAAGCATTGCAGGACATTTGCGTAGTGATGGCTGTGGGGCGTGGCAACGTACACGATTTGTACCTGCTCGTCCTTCAACATTTCCTCATAACTGCCATATGCGTGAGGCTTCCCCACTTTCGTTTTCGCTGCCCATTCAAGATCAGACTCTATGAAAGCCTGAGCTCGCTCGGCAGAGGAGGATGAAGCGACGGCTACGATTTGGTGAGAAACGTCCTGCGCGTCCCTTGTCGCTGGGTCCACCAACAAATCGCCGGCAAATTTTTTGGCGATGCTGCGTCAATGAAGTGTTTGCGAAGGTGTGAGTCATGCGGACCATGAGATGCTGACCGATACTCGCTGACTTACCCGCCAGTCGCAAGAATGCCCCATCGAACAGTGTAAGGCCGGCTGGTGCTCATGATGAAGACTAAGTCTGTATGTGCGACAGTGATGCCAGGGTTCAAGCGGCTACAAAGGATTCCGTTCGCGCCGCAATTTAGCTGTGCTGAGAGGGGGCAACGCAGGTGAGGATGTGAATGATTGCGATTGCGATTGCAATTGCAATCGAGATGGCGGGGTACGTGTATGCCGGAGGCTGCGTTTGAGAAAACTTTGTCTCGTGAACCCCAACAGGATACGCAGCTACAGTCACGAGTATATGGCATGCTGTCGAACACCAGCATGTGGAGGCGCACGCGTGCCGAAGCTAGCACGTGACCGTCTCGCCCGTTCAATGATTTTGGTTCGAGATTCGCTTGCGCGGCGCTGCGCGCAACAATTCGTGATGGAGCGAGCCACTCGGCCTGTCTTGCCTGTCTTGCTGATGCTGCTGCCGTACTCACCGCGTGCTGGAGTCGCCCGCCGCGCGTCAATCTACAGGAGAAATCAGCACAGGGACCAGGCAGGTGGTGTACAACTATCACCACCGACAAACCCAAAACCCCCAGCGTGAATCGTCCCATTAGCCCGCACCATACCTCTTTGCGCTGATCTCTCTCTATTCATCTGCCACGACGTCCAGACTCTCCCCTTCGATTGTTTCCGTCTTGCGAAATGTCATCAGCATCTACCGCGCGGTATCGCGATCGCACGCACGAGTTCCTTTCGCTCGTAGAGTCCCACACCCAAGCCTCTGGATCGTCCAGCAGACTGCTTGCTGATGGAGGGAACAATCGCAAAAAGACTCCAGCAGAAAGGAGCGAGTTTGCAAAGAGGGCTGCATCTGTGGCCAAGGAGATCGCAGAGACGAGCGCCAAGTTGGGAAGACTTGCTGAGCGTGAGTGGAATGTTGGTCGCCCAGCTGGCTCGTCGAGCAAGAGTCGAGGAGCTTGCTGACTGATGCACACTGCTGTTCGACGCCATCGCTTGTAGTGGCGAAGCGCAAGACCCTCTTCGACGATCGACCCGTCGAGATTAGCGAACTGACGTACATCATCAAGCACGACTTAGCGTCGATCAACCAACAACTGGGTCAGCTCCAATCCTTCGGCAAGCATCAAAGGGCGGCGCCATCAGGCAAGAAGGACAAGGGGGAAGAACACAGAGGTAATGTGGTCACTTTGCTCCAGAGCAGATTGGCTGGGACTACGAGCGCTTTTCAGGAAGTGTTGGAGGTCAGGACAAAGGTGAGTCTTTAAGATGAAATCGCTGTGAAGCCGCGCAATGTAGCTAACAGGGCAACATTTGCAACGCTTACAAGAACATGAAAGCATCGAGAGAGCGGACTGACCAATTTGCCTTCAACGGCGGAGCAGCTCCAGCACCACCTCAAGCCAACTCGAGTGAGTGCTGCGAGCGTGCAAATGCGGTCCGGAATCATTGCGCATTCGGCTGAGGCCAAAAGAACTCACCCGATCATAGTCCTTCGTTCTCGCCTCGGTGTACCACCAGACTCCCCGCTCTACACTCCCAGAGCTGGATCGAGTCAAAGTCAAGTGGCTGCAAGATCAGCACCCCAGCAAGGATACGACCCAACGCAGGCAGCTTATGATGGGTACGATTCAAAGGCGAAAGGAGGTGGGGAGTTTCTGACGCTGGATATGGGCCAACAACAGCAGCAGCTTGAGCTGATGGAGAACGGAGGCAATGTGAGTCACGATTGCAGGTGTGCTTGCTAGACGACTTGTTGATGGCGCTTCTCTTGGGCTCTTCGTCAGGATGCATACATGCAGCAGCGGTCCACTGCAATTGAATCGATCGAGAGCACCATTTCAGAGCTTGGCTCCATCTTTGGACAATTGGCACATATGGTGCAAGAGCAAGGAGAAATGGTCACTAGGTGAGACAAATGGCGTTGATGCGCGAACTCAGCAGTCTTCATTCTTGCAGTGACTGATCATGGAGACTTTTGGCACGGACCCAGAATCGATGCCGACGTCGAAGAAGTAGGGCTCAACGTGGAGGGAGCGCAGAGGGAGCTGCTCAAATACCTGCATCACGTATCGTCCAATCGGATGCTGATGCTCAAAATTTTTGGCGTGAGTCTCATCTGACGAGTCTGACGCAAGTCAAAGCTGACACTCCGCTCGCATCTCGCAGGCCGTCATCATCACTTTCTTGTTACTCGTTGCTCTCAGCTAGGACCCTTTCCTCGTCTCAATGCCATGCAAATTGATGACAGACACGTGCCAGCAGAGTCACGCCACGGCGTCATACTGCAAGCTGCAAAGGCGGGGTATAGTTGATGCGATTGAAGGATTCGGGAACTGTACGAGCGTCCTCCCGGCAGCCAAGGGTAAATCGGACTGGTACTGCATAGGGCTGAATTGTGCCCATGACGGGAGTGCAACGGCTGTACGCAAGAGTGATGCCTCGGCCTGCAATTTATCTCCTCAGAGCTCCCAATTCGACAGAATCTTGGGAATATTGCGTTGGGTGGTACTTGAGAGCGTATGCTTCGCCCATCCTAGCGCCGTTGCTCGTGCTAGATCGCGACTCTGCATTCTGACCGCTGTGCTGCGCAGCAGCGAGAGGGCGCTCGCCCGCGTATGGCGCACCAGCGACATCCGCCTCAGCAGCAGCTTGACCAGCTTTTTCGGGCTCGCCAATGCCCGCTCTCGTTCCCCATCCAGTCTCGTGCAGAGTGAAGAGCGCGTAAATCTTCATGATGGAGAAGTAGTAACCGAAGAGGATGAAAGCTGGAACGTAGATGATGTCTTGAGGTCTGTACCACAAGTGGGGCAAAAGCTTTGCCGTTCTGGTGGCCATGATCCAGACAAAGTAGGAGATGATGATGTTCCATGCAGGCAGATGATATCCCCCGTCTTCGACTGGACGCGTGCTCTTGACGATCAGGTAGGCGACCAAACAAGGTCCAACCAAAAGGGTGAGGGGATTGATGAACTTGTCCACCATGCTGTAGGCTACAAAGGGGTGGGAGGTCCAGATATGCCTCTCCTTGAAGATACTGCGTATGTCCGACCTCCAGGTGTTCCTGGTCCACCGCAAGACCTGCTTGAGGAAGCGCCAATCCGGTTTCATTGTGCTCAGCAGCTCGGCCTGGGGACATACCTGAATGTATGTTTGCCAGCCGTGCGAGACTAGCCAGCGGGTGAGGAATTTGTCATCGCCTGAATTGAGGAGATACTTGCCCAACCAGTAGTCGTTTGTAAAGCCGTGCAGGAAAGCAGGATCCTTCAGAATGACGGTGCGATACGCGGCTGTTCGACCCGACAAGCAGGGCACACCACCGTCAATGTGCGTGGAAGCTGCAATCTCGAAATTCCTGATGGACAGTCTGAATGCTGCCAATGTCTCCCAGACTGTCATCCTGTGACCGATAGGCTTGACTCGCTGCGACGTCCCCACACCACCAACAGCTTGGTCCTCGAAGCAGGCCAAGACCCATGGTAATAAGGTGGGTGGCCAAATGGCATCGTCATCTGCGAATACGATGATGTCCGTCGCCGTGTGTCGTATCCCGTGAGCCATCTGCAACCTTTTGTTGGCCTTGGGCACCGTCAGAACCGTAATCCTTTCGGGGTCGACCTCATTTGCCAGTGCTTGCAAGGGCCCTCTCATCTTGTGTTCCGTTACGATGATGATCTGAGCAGGCGATCCTTGCAACCAGCTAAATGCTGCTTCTTTGAACTCTTCTCCCGCGTCGATAGTGGGAACAATGCTAATTGTGGAAGCCACCCCACGTCAGAGGCTGGCACTTGATCCTCGTGATGAGCGATGGCCACAATCATTACTCACATTGTCACATCTTCTGCAGCGATGTATGTTGGATTAGGAGGAGGCGGAATGGGTCTATAGACAACGGCAGCAGCCAAGCGTATCATATACCAAAAGTATCGATAAAAGCCAATGATGCCGAATGGCACGACTGCAGAGCGTGTAGCGATCGTAAGAAGATGTCACAGACGCATGTTGGTCTCACCGCAGACTCACAGACCGGGAACTTGTCCGCAGTGAGGTATAGCATGTCTAGGGGTTTTGGAACCGCACAGCCAATGGTGTGAGGTGGGGTCAAAGCCAACGGGCGAGGCGAGCCTTCGCACTACGTCTGCTCAGGACGTGTGAGCGATTGCCGCTTCTGCGGAAGCCCGAGACTGTCGAGCGTCGAAATGATGAATAGAGAAGAGCAGTGGATGGTGGAAGGAGAGGTTCGCACCTCAGGTGTCGGGACGATAAGGATGTAAACGTGGTGCAAAGAGACGACGAGATGAATGGTTGCGTCACAGCATGTTGCAAAGAGGTCGTCTCTAAATCTCTACAGCAGCAGCGGCGAGACGTTGCCCCTGTAGAGCGCAAATGGGGCTGGCATTGAAGGGCTGCAATCACGAATGGGCTCGAGAGACCGTTGGGGGTCGGTCGAGTCAGCTGGGAACGTGTGCCACGCCTGCACCGCCCGCCTGCGGATGTGTGAGAAGCTGGCCAGCCAGTCGTTGACGCGAGCGCGAGGCAGAAGTCTTGGGTCCACAACGGAAGAGCGAGAGCCAATGCACGACTCAAAGCAGAGCCTATGCACCACGCAGCGTGTTGATGACAGGGACGTTGGTGGATGAGCGGGTGCTGGTCGCTGATGAGTACAAAATGGTCTGAGATGCATGCGCCTCATATATTCGCCGTTGGAGGCGTTGAGCTCGGCTCGCACGATCGAGACACTCGTGACTGACTACTCACGTGTCTCGATCGTGACCGCTACCGTCCGGCGCGCCGCGTGATGTGCAGTGCCGTGCGTGCATGATTCGTGAATCGCACATCGGATGCACAGGCAGCTAAATACAGCAGCGTAAACAAAACAAACAGCAGTCGAGCCAAACCAACACTCGTCAGAATGGGACTCGTGACTTGCAGCTAACTGTCATGACCACCATCTCGGCGTCCAATCACGAGGCTCAGTGCAGGATCTCGCTCGCTCAACTACAGCTCAGCCCTTCACCATCATGGCTACAACAGCTCGAGCTCCACTAGCCTCGAGTTCTCGCGCGCGTCCCTCTGCTGGCAACGCATCGGACAGCACACCCACTCGTCCCACCCCGCTGGTTCAAAAGGTGCAGAAGCAGGAAACAGAGTCGGATCAATCCGCACCGCCAACTTCAGCACCTCCTCGTCTAGGCGCGCCACCGCTACCGGATCCGCATGCTCTTCCAGATGCCTCTGCCATCTCCAGCCCGCACGAGCTCACGGAATGGGTGGACAAGCTGGCTGACAGTCTAGAGGCTAGGTTCGGAGAGATGAGTCAACAGGTGGAGGCGAGAAGTGAGTCGGCTCAAGGCTGCATTCTGCTTGTGCTATCTTGACCAGTCGTGATTGCCGACCTCGCCTCAACGTATCCTGACTTTCACCGCACTTCAGTGCGCGAAATGTCGACGCGCATCGACGCGATCGAATCGAGCATCGAAGGTGAGTCGGCCACGTACCTTCCCGCAATTCTCCTTTGAGCCCCAATCGCTCTCCCCTGGGGCGACTGGCACATACTCAAGTAAGTTCCTCCATCCCCACGCATGCAGACCTCATTCAAGGCGCAATAGCCCCCGTACCATCGTCAAATCCACGATCGACCGCAGGAGCTGCGCCAAGCAGCAGCGTTGCCGAGACAACTCTGGATTAGGAAGTCAGGCATACAGTAACTCTTTCATCAGCGCTCCACAAAAAGGTGTCGCCTTAGCCTCGCATCGTCATCGTCAGTCTATCCGTGACTACGTGCTCAACATCTCACTCGGGAGAAGCACGGGCTCCTGCTTCCGAGTTGTACAACAACACTTTTCATCAGACCAAGAATGCTTGTCCAGCTGCACGCCAGGACGCCCGGCGCGAACCATCGAGACGCTGTACCAGACGTTATCGCAACTAGTTGGGTTTGCAAGGATCGATTCCTATTCCGTCTGGGGCGTTCGAGCTATTGCTCGGCTATTGTACAATCTTTCAATCTAGTAAAAGTAGAGTGCAAGAGTGCAACTCGTGGGTGCATAAAGGGGAGTTGCATTGGGCTAACAGAATTTTTGGTAGGGCGGCTAGGCGTGCAGAACGGACTCGACCTTGTTGATCAAAGGCTTGATCAGCGACTCGCCGCTCGCCTTTGGAATCGCATCGGCGGTCACCGCGGAATTAGGGATAGCGGTCGAGATCTTGCCTTCGGACGAAGTCTCGCGGCGGACACTGCCAGTCCGTGCCAAGATCGTGCTCGTCAGCTCTCCTGCTCGATGCGCAATGATGGAAAGGAGCGAGTCTGATAGACCGTGCGTGGCTTCGTTGCCACCCAGCACAAAGACGCCCGGTTGAAATGCGCCTGCAACCCCTTCACGACTGGTAGCGTCGACGCTGAGCGTGCGAGAAGAGCTGCTGCTGGTAGGGCTAGAGGTGCCGCTTCTGTGATTGGGGCTGAACGCTTGCGACGCGTATGGAACGAGATGGTAGTCCCTTGCGATCCCGCGCACTCTCTCCCTCAAACGTTCCTCTGCTCTTTCGCCAGCGGCTTCGTTCGCTGCACGTCTCGCCTCGAGGGTCTCTACCTCTTGCGGGTAGCCCAACTCTGCGCGACGCTTGTCGGCTTCGGGATCCAAGGCTGGGAAGTGAGCTGCCAAGGGTTGGAGGAACTTCATGCATGCTGGTGCCCTCTCGAAACCAGTGCCTAGCACCACCAGGTCGAAGCGCTCAGTCTTGCTCTCCGACTCGGCGTTTGGCTTGGTGTCAGAGGTCGTAAGTTCGATCTGCTGGTCATCACCTTCCCCAACCAGACGCGAAATGTCCACCTGCGTGTTGGGAAGGAGGTTGAGTCTTCCTTTGCTGGGACCATCTGCACCGGGCCACGGTGCATCGAACTCGATCTGCTGGTCGTACACGATTTCGTCGATGGCATTGAGCACATCGCTGCGAACGACTGAGTAATTCGTCCGCTTGTACTCGCGAAGCCATTCTGCTCGTTCCTCGGATCCGGCGCGCCAGAAGGTGTCTGTCCGGTGCGGATCAAAGGCTGCCGAATTGACGAGCGCCGAGTCATCTGATGGGACGATGGCCGATGCTCTGAAGATGATGTTGACGTCCGCTTCGGGGTAGGTGCGGTGCAAGTGCAAAGCAGATTCTGCAGCCGATTGGCCGCTTCCAATGACTGCGATCCTTAGTGAGCGGGATTTGGATTGAGTGCGGAGCACGGGGGCGATGGCTGCAAGAGATGGCAGAAAGGTGGAAGTGTGAATGACCCTCGACTTGGCAGTCCACGGTTGAGCTGGGTAGACGTTGGCAAGGGGTGCAGGCACACGGCCGATGCCGCCCACGCCGACGGTGATGTTGCGAGCCAGTCGGATTCTGACATGACCATCCGAGCGCCTCTTGGTGGTGACACGAAGCAGCTTGACACCTTCAGAAACAGCTAAGTTGGTGTCCGCGACGGGCTCGATGGATTCAACATCTTCCCCGTAGCTGACGTAGTCATCCATGCGCTTCGCGGCCCAAGTGAGGTAGGCGCTCCATTCGCGACGAGATGGGATGGTAGCTTCGCGATTGATGAAGGCGGCCAATCGACCCATGGAGTGAAGGTAGCTGACGAACGAATAGGACGATGTGGGATCCCTCATGGTAGCGAGATCCTTGAAGGGCGAGACTTGGAGCTGGCTCCCTGGCAGCAAGAGGGTTGAGTGCCAAGCAAAGTGAGGTTGGCGCTCCACAAAGTGGAAGCGCAAGCCCCTCTCGGCAGCCTCGGCATTCTCGCGCAGGGAAATGGAGAGAGCCAGATTGGCAGGGCCGAAGCCTACCCCAAGAAGGTCGTAGATCTCCTGGTCGACCGTTGTGCCCTTCGATGGGGCGGCGGAAGCGCTCATGTCCACCCGAGCTGGTGCGGTTCCGGTGGCGCTAGGCGCGGCGACGAGGCCCTGTCGACCCAGATCGAGGTCGCAGATGCGATTGACGATAGTGCCGCGTAGGTTTGAAGTGATGGATGTGGCCATGGATCAATGATTTCGAAAAGACGCCGTGATGGCCAGAGCGAGAGTTGGAGCAAGTTGTGTGAGACGTTGCAGGAATAGCGCGACGAATCAGTGGGGATGTCGCGATCGTACAAGGATCGGGAAAGAGGAGGGAAGCGAGGGAATCAGCATGGCTGTCCTGAAGACGATGAGCGAACGTCGGTGCGCAGACCAATAAAGTTGCGGTTCGGATCGATGAGTGAGGTACGGCAAGGGCTAAGGAGAAGCCCTTTGAGCACCGGAAACCAAAATCTTGCTTAGATCAGGCAAGACGTGCAGGAACGTGCTGAGCTACGAGCCGCCTGTACAGCATAGGCTTACACGCGCGCGTGCCAAAGGCCAACCTGCGTTGTGCCCTTGCCTTTATTCAAATTCGCATGTGGAGCGTCGATCCGCGCGCCCCCCTGACATGCGCTGATGACGCAGATCTGATCATTTTCCACCGCGCCTTTTTTGTAAACTCGTGATTAGACGAATTTGAATTTGAAATGAGCGACGCGCTACTTGATGAAAACCTTAATTGAAGCTCGAGTCGAAGCAGCGCGTCCCGCATCGCGGACATATAGGCCACGATGGATATGTTTCAACGCTCCACGCCATGGCCGCGCGCGGCGCAGCGTGCCTGTCCAGGACCGCCGGCACTTCTGCATGAGTGGCCGTATAGCTTCGACCTTGACGATGGTGAAGCACGGATACGAACTCGACATCGACGCAAAAAGAAGCCGCGCGAGTGGCTCTCGCAAGCCAAGCAAGCAGGCCGAGCCGCGGTCTCGTCGGCCAATCGTACCACACTCCTGGCCGTCTCGTCGCCAATTGCCGCGAACCTAGACCACCGCTTGCACTCACCGGAGCTTGAGCAGGGGTGATGCTAATTTGCATGCTGTGATGTAGCTGATCGCAACGGGGAGCGAAGTGGCCTGATTCCGCAAATGAGGAAGGATGCAGATCCAAGACGATGTTGCGGGCGAAATCTGTTTGAGAGGACGCAAGCAGAATGGATGTAGGAAAGATTGGTCAGCCTTTTTCTTATGAATCTGCCGGGTCCGGCATCGTTTTAAGAGGCGGAGTGGGGGCGGAGATTGATTCTGGTGAACGGCAGAGGCCACAACGATGCTCTGCCATCACGATTTAGATTGGCCGTGCGGCCCATTGCTCGATGGTCGGGTGGATAGCCTGACAATTGCGCGCTGTGTGATTGGACGGCCACAAGGCGACCCTGCTGGTCGCAACTAGCGAAGATGACGGAACCCGACGCTCCCACTCCCGCTAACAGATGCACGCTCCACCGACACTCGGTCGGCTGGAGCAAGGCGCTAACCGTCAACGTGTCCCCACCAACCAATTTCAAATGATCCATCGACGTGGGCCAAGCGCCGCGAGAAGTAGCAGAGACTGATGCAGATGCCATGCTGGCACTCATCTGCTGCGAGCCAGTCTTGCAGGAGCAACAACACTTGGCGTCTCTCTGCGAAGCCGCTTGCGTTTCTGTAAGGTAGCAACCTCGACCCCGACAGACAATTGACAGCCGAAGAGGACCGCGAGACTTCCAGTCAGGCTTCTGCCTCGCCACACGAACGCCGAATGACGTGATGAGCGGTCATCGTCCCATGTCTTTCGGCGCTCGGAGGCGCTCCGATTCTCCAAGCAGTGGCAAATGGTTCGTAGGCTCACCTGTGTCTATGACTCAATGTTCGTTGCTGACGGATGACGTCGAAGTGACTCAATGTTTGCTGCTGACGTCGACACTCAGCTTTGTTCCAGTCTGTGTTGTACGAGGCCACGTTGCTCGCAGGTCGAACGAGCTGGGGCAAAGTGGTGGCGTTGTCGGGATGATGACGAGGCAAGTTGAGGAATGACTTGACTGAACGATTCAGCTATTGTGGAATGAGGGGTTTGCAAAGACGGACAAGGTCGATGGACACATGGTACTTAACATGAATGAAGAAGATTAGCGCGAGCTGCCAAGGAGCATGTCAGCTATGTGAGCCCCCACCATCTCTTCCGATATGCGCAGCAATCGATCTTCTCACTGATCATCGATCAGTTACCATACGATAGCACAGTACCAGCGGAAGCACGAATGTTTCTCCGGCCATGTCTACGTCTACAGCAGCAGCTTTCAGGCGCAGACTGCAGCACGCAAGCATCACGATCGACCAAATACGCGGGAAACCAAGGTTTTTGTTTCGGGTGGCCCTGGAAGAGACGCCGCGGCACAAGAAGAAACGCACCAAGAGAGCACTTTCGTAACCTCTGGCCAGCTCTCTTTTTGGGTTTCGCATCGGATCAAAGCCCGCGCGAGCTGTGAAATGCACCGCCGTTTCGCTGCAACAAGTAGCACATTCAAGTCCTCGCGCATCACGCCTTTGAGCGACCAGCTCACAGATGCTTCAGCTCTGCGCAGGCATCCATTCGTCAGGCCGGACCTGAGCGTGAATTTGTCCCCTTTTCAAAAGAAGCTAGCGCAGGCACTGGGCTCTAACGACTCTTGGCTCCGATTTCCAAGGCATTGCAGGCGAGGCAAACGAACGTTGAAGCTTTGTTCAGCTCTGCTGTCACAGGCGTCAACGACGTCAACAGAAGGTCTGCAAAGTTTGCCTTAGCCTACTTTCGACGCGCATTCGATCGGATTATCTTCGCTTTGGAAGCAAGACGAGGTCGGTCGCTCTGAATCAGGCTTGTTGTGCTCTGCGACGGGGGGCAATGACGCTTCGAAGTTTGGAGCACCCGACGTGTACATTCTTGAAGAGCTCGCTTCCAGAGGGGTGGCGAACAGGAGCGAGACAACTTGAAGCTCAGCACAAGATTTAGACGCCGTGCTGGCCTCGGCGAACGGCGAACGGCGAGCCAACCAGTGTGGGATTTAGCAGACATGACCTCAATGGCCCAGCAGGAAGGGCAAGAGCTGTGTTTGAAATTATTGCGCAGAGCTCTATTTCGTTGCGCTTCAGACACTCGATGACGATGCAGACAACAGGATTCCGGGGCCCACGCACGCACTTTGTGGATCTCGTCAGCGCTTGTGCTCGCTTCGGGTCCGCGCAATGGGAGCCAAGAAATCAGCTGATCAGAAATTTTGTCGTCCTGCAGCAAAAGAACTGCTCGTGATCCGGCTGGTGTCGCCGAAGCGCATCGTCACTGGCGAATGGCGACTGGCGACTGGCGACTGGCTCTGTGAGAGCCTTCTTTGGGCAAATAATGGCGGCGAGCGATCTCTGCCCTATACGTTGCTGCATGGGACTTCTTTGCCTGCGACGTCATTTTCGCCGAGATGAGGCGATGCTGCATCGAGGCAATTCACGATTTCACGTTGGCAACAGGCAAGGAGGAGGAGGGGAGATGGGACGTCAAATCTGAATGGGATCGAGGAGCGCATTAGCGCCATCAGATAGTGCGGAGCGCGCAAGAAAACTGCGTCATTTATGCGGCCCCCCCCCCCTCCGTGTACACTTGACTCGTGACTGCGAACCCGAGCATCGCGCCCATGCAGCAGCAGGCCACACGCGCACAAAAAAAGAAAAAGAAAAAAAAAGGTTCACACGCGAAATAGCTAGACGAGAGCTCCCACAGCCTTTGGCGGCTTTCCGCTGCGCATTTCACGCCTGATGCTGCTGCGATCGCAGATGTAGTACGCATATTCACCTCACCGCCCGGCCCGGACGGCGGCAAGAAGGCCCCGGCTGCATTCTAGAATGTTTTGGCATCGTCCCTTTCAGCTTTTGTGCGCCCAGCTCTTCATCCAACCCAAGAAGAACTTCATCGGCATGAAGCAAGATTGTTCTTGAGCTTTCATCAAAGCGGACTTTGATCAAAATCTTGAATCAAAATGTCGAAGCAATGCAAGACGAGTCACGTGCTGTCTTCGCATGACGGACACAGACTCTTGACTCTGACTCTCGACTCAAGGCAACTTGAAGAAGAATTGCTGCGTCTGTCAAACACCTCTGCGAGCCATTTGTCGACGGTATCAGCACCACAACTCATTGGCTCCGGTACCTCGTGTGCTTTTGTACTCGAAAGCCGTCATCCCGGCTTTGAGCAGCGAAGGCATGCTTCTTCAACCTTAGAAACGTCCACGGTAGCAGATGTAAATGCTACCTGATGCGTGCGCGCTCTTGGTCGCCAACTACCCAAATTGTTCAAGGGCAAGAGAGTAAGTTGGAGCTCGCAGGTCGACAAGCAAGCTTAGATAGGCACCTTCTGAGGTGCGCGCTGGGTGCCAAAAATCGCCATTCATTCCTCTGCTGGTCCTGCGATGATCAGTCCACACTCAGCAAAAGGCCAAACAATGACATTGAGGTTGAAGTTGGGGTGGGCAGGACACCAGAACTGATTCGCTTGGGGAAGCAGAGCCGTGCCCCTCGCAGCGCTAGGCTACACTGCCCGCCTCCACATTACACTGGACTTCAAGGCATGTCGAACTTGCCCCTCGAAGCGCCAAATATACAAGCAGTCGCATCAACGTTTTCTCCCCTCCTTCAGCATTTGCAGGAGCTTCCATCCTCCATCGTCGTCTGGGCTGGTGCAGCAGTGACATCGATCACTTGAGCGGGACGGGAAAAGTCAGTCGCGTGACCGAGGCGGCACGCGCACCAACAACGCTGCGAGCACTCACTCTTGTTTCCCTGCTGACCCTCAGCAGTCGCATCCTTGTCCATGCCGGGCAAAGCTTGTGCAATCTTCTTGAATAGTGTCTTGACGTTATGCCCAGCCTTTGCCGAAGTCTCAATGAACATGACATTGAACTCTTGCGCTCGCTTCTCAGCCTCCTCGGTAGTGACTTGACTGGACATGCGCACCAAGGGCGAAAGGGGCAAGGTTGTGAGACATCACGCCTGAGCTAGACGCATTCCTACCCTTTATCAACTCACCGCTTGTCGTTCAAGTCTGTCTTGTTGCCTACCAGCACAATGATGACATCGCTACCTCTCTCAGCCCTCACATCGTCCACCCATTTGCTTGTGTTTTGGAAAGATGCTCGGTCTAGAGAGGCGATTAGATTTGCAGGGATAAGAGACTGAGCATCCGAAGCGGGACGTAGGCTGAGTCAGGAGCACACTTACTGGTGATGTCGTAGACCACGACTGCCACTGATGAGTCACGAATGTAGGAGGGAATAAGAGACCGGAAACGTTCCTGTAAATGAAAGATTAGCTCGTCAGCTGGTGCCAGAGAATTACCGCCTTTGGCAGAGCGAGCACGTAGCCGTATCGCTCGGTCCCGCATCTTGGCGCTGCCGAGCATGGCGCTGATTTCAGAGGAACGTATCCCGGCAACTCACTTGTCCAGCAGTATCCCACAGTTGCAATCTGACTGTCCTGTCCTCGAGGTACATTGTCTTGGACAAAAAGTCAATGCCGATAGTCGCTTGGTATGTGTTGTCGAAAGTGTCGTACATGAACCTGGTGATGAGGGATGTCTTGCCCACGCTCTGCTCGCCCAAAAAGACAAGCTAGAGAAGCGGGATGGCGAAGTGTCTCGTAAGCTTGGTGACCTGGCTGCCCGGGTTTAACGTCTCTGAAGAGTTCGCGGCCAATCGACATCCAATTTGGCCGTACGCTGACAACGCTGACAAGCTGCTAAGTGCCGGAAGCGCAAGCCTCTGACAAGCACACAGTTGCAGCGATCTCGGGTCCTTCTCTTCCTCGTCACTGCACCTCCTTCAATCCTCACCAGTCTACGGCACCATTCCATTCTAACATCTCTCAAAATCTCCCTCCCTGTTTCGGAAGCGTGCAACATTGGCTTTGTAGCAGTTTCGCAAGGAGATGCTCACCTTGAATTTGCGCAGGGGGTGACCGAACTCGGCGGTGGTCGGGGTCGACATCTTGGGCCAGTGGGCTAAGCAAACTGTGTGAGGCTTGATACACTTGCCGTGCCAGCTGATTCGCTATGAAGCCGCTGGATGTGGCAATATGCTGCTCCAAACCGTTCCCTGTCCGAGTGCAGCGGAGTGACCTTCCGAGATGAGACAATATGAGAGCTCTCTCTCTCTCTCTCTCTCTCTCTTTCCTACTGGATGAGCGTTCTTTTGCCTGACGCACCCAGATTCGTGATTGATCTGATCGGCAAATGTGTGAGAAACGTCTTGCTGGTATCTTTTGGTGTGCAAGAACAATTACGGATCGTGGTGGGTGGGGACGAGTTGACGAGGTTGGAGGCGTAGCGAGGGGATGAACTGCGCGATACGTGTGCACCTTGGAATGCGAGTTGAATCGTGAATGCTGTGCACAATCACAATCGTGAAATCACAAATCCTTCGGCGCCGCCCATTTGATTCACGATTCAGCACACCCAACAAGACTCTGCACAGACTCACATACTCTCGACTCTTGACTCCCAGCACTCACGCACTCACTCGTCACCACTCACAGACTCACTCACGACTGATGACTGCCACTCACGCCGCGACTCGTGATTTTGGTCTCGCCATGCGCGCGTGTCGCGCCTGCTGCATGCGTACCCATGGCTGATGTGCGTGCTGCTGTACACGCTCGCACATGCGCACATGCACACGCATCCACCAGCTCACCCCGGAGGCGCTGGTGCGTGTTTCTGCTGAATCCGGCCGGCTCAGCCCTCTCGATATCGATCCATGCAGGGCGCGAAAGCACGTTGCTGAAGTTGCCGCTCCTGCCGCTTCGCTGCTTGAACACGGCAGGCCTGGCATGCACACAGCAGTCTTTGAGTGCGCTCTGCGCTGTATCGCGCGCGTGCTCCATCGAACGACTGGAAGGCACGACTTGCATGCATGCATGCATGCATGCATGCATCACAACGCCCCGTCAGCCCACAGCTTCCCGCCGCGCCGCGTGACTGCTCTCTGCTGCAGGTCATGCGCCACACAGCGTCTCGCTTCAGAGAGCTTTAAATTTCAAGCTATGGAGTTTCAGTGTCTGCGCCAGCCCTGCAGTGTCAACAGATGTCCGCATACAGTCACACCACAGCAGCCTATGCAGCTTTTTGAAGCAAGTGATCTATAGCGATCAAAGAAGTTGACACTCGTGACTCACGACTCTGTTGTGACTTTGCCTGCATGCACACGCGCACACGATGAGCTGCGCGTGACTTGCAATATTCTCGAGCATTTGGACTGCCGCCGACTGGAAGCGGAGGTACCTACCGGCCAAAAAAAAGTCCTGGCGGCGCGTTTTCCTGCAGCAGAAATTTTGGGAATGCTTTCTCTCGCAACTCGTAAACCGCTCGATCATCCCTGCAAGAAGAGCAGACCTGCCCTGCCTCACTTCTACTGCTCCCACCCTATCACGCAACTTCGTCAGGCTCGCCACGGCACGCAAGAGCAGAAATTTTGAAGGGGCGCAATCAGGGTCGCCTAGGCACCATGGCGCCTGTTGCCAGCTTGGCTGGTAGCTCAGGGCGGTCAGCGGGTCGCAAGCGCGATCACAGAGGCGGTGATGTAGCTGCCTCGACGAAGAATGACGGCGAGTCATCGGTCAGTCTGCCTCTTGAACAGAAGGCGTCAGCGGCGAGCCGGCCGAGACAAGCGGAGAAAGAGCTCGCGCTGGATCTCGATGACGAGGACGTTGAAGAAGACCTAGAAGAGGATGATGAAGGCGTAGACGCTTTCCCCGAGATCGACCCCGAGCTTAGCGAGGTCGAGGATGGTACGGAAGAAGGTAGCAATGAAGATGAGAATGATGGAAGAAGTGATGCGGATGTAGTTGATGGCTCGGAGGCAGAGTCCGAAGAGGGCTTTGATAGCGAAGAAGTCGACAATTGGGACGAGGATGAGGAGGATGGTGAGTGCATCAATGCATGCCTTGCTTTCGCAGCGGCCCCTGGGTAAAAGGACCTGGCCTCGATCATCGAAACTCATCCCAGCGCTGTACCCTACTTATAGCTCTGGCGGATGAGCTGGCAGAGGCATCAGCATCAGACTCGGAGGTACAGCGGAATCTGGACGACATGGTCGCTAGGCACACGTTCAAGCCTGACGAGACCGCACCCACCTACAATTCGCTGGGGCAGACCGAGTCGGAGGCTGCCCCTTCTATCTTCCGCAAAAATCAGAACGCGGATGGAAGTGCGCGAGGCGAATTTAGGATTAGCGCAGTAACCGGACAGCCCAAACGCGTATATCCAAAGATCGAGGCGGATTACGATTCCGACGATAGCACAGAGGATGCGCCAAACAGAATTGGCAACGTGCCGATTGAATGGTACGATGACATGCCGCACATTGGCTACGATGTCAATGGCAAGAAGGTCATGCGACCAGCACAAGGTGACGAGCTCGATCGCTTTTTGGCTACACAAGAAGATCCTGACAGTTGGATGAGTGCAGAAGATCGCTTGACAGGAAAGAACGTCAAGTTGAGCGATGAGGAGCTCGACATCATTCGCAGGTTACAGCAAGGCGAAATTCCGGACGCTGCGTATGACCAGTACGCCGACTACCAGCCATGGTACACGGGACCAGGCAAGCAATTGGACATGCCACTCACGAACAGGCCAGAGCCCAAGAGCCGGTTCGTACCGAGCAAATGGGAGCACAAGAAGGTAAGCCGGAATGTCGAGGCGGCTCGCGAGGGACTAGAGCTCATCAGTCACATGTTTGCATCTCACAGGTGATGAAGATTGTCCGAGCGATTCGACAGGGCAGGATCACTTCCCGCGCGCCTCCAGAGGTCAAGCCCGAGTTCTACAACATCTGGAACGATTCGGACGAGCCTCGTGCCGATCATCCTATGCACATGCCAGCTCCCAAGCAAGCCTTGCCAACCCATGCAGAGTCGTACAATCCTCCAGCGGAATACTTGTTCTCCGAACAGGAGCGCAAAGAGTGGGAAGACGCCGAACCAGAAGATCGAAAGATGACTTTCATGCCCGCGAAGTATGGATCGTTCCGCCTCATTCCTGGGTACAAAGACGGCCTCAAAGAGCGCTTCGAGCGTTGTCTTGATCTCTACATGGCTCCACGTATGCGCAGAGCCAAGCTGGACATTAAGGATGCCGAATCTCTGATACCCAAACTCCCAGCTCCCAGAGAACTGAGGCCATTTCCGACTGTTACATCCCTCGTCTATCCTCATCCCGGCGGGATCAGGGTAAGGTGTCTTGCGTTCGACCCGCGAGGGCAATGGCTCATCACTGGAGCGGAGGACGGTAGAGTCAGGCTGTGGGACACCGCCATTGGTAGGTGTGCCGCTGTGTGGGACGTGTGGGCCGGTGCCCCAGCAGCAGATCGAGCGCCCGTCTATGGCCTCGATTGGTGCCCCAACAAGAGCTACTCATTTTTTGCAGCCACCAGGTATGTAGCCGCGGATGTCTCTCTTTCCCAAATCTGCTCGCTTATCATACAGCCGACTCCCTGTTTGTAGCACTGGGAGAGTACTGCTCGTCGCACCGCCGCAGTGCACGCCAGGCCATGCAGCGACACAAACGCCTTCATTCCTGTACGCAACTGCTGGTTACCAGCCAGCTGAAGCTTCGAATCCACCTGCCGGAACCAAAGCACCAGCTTCCAAGTGGACTCGCCCAACGGATGGTCAAAGGGCCATCGGCGTGGCTGCATTGATCGAGGTCGGTGGGACTCCAAAAGCGCTTGCATGGCACGCTAAGGGAGACTACCTAGCTACCGTAGCATCCGATGCCGGCTCATCGTCGGTCCTCATCCACCAAATATCCAGGCAAAGGACGCAAGCGCCTTTCGCGAGGGCTGGCAAGGGAAGCTCCGTGCAGAAGGTTGTCTTCCATCCTCTAAGGCCACACCTCTTCGTCGCTACTCAGAGATTGATCAGAGTGTACGACCTGGCTGCTCAGGCACTGACAAAGACGCTGCAACCTGGTGTCAAGTACATTAGCAGCATGGACGTGCACCCTCGCGGCGAGCATCTCATCATCGGCTCCTACGATAGACGTCTCGTATGGTTCGACATGGAGCTGTCTACGCGACCATACAAGACTTTGCGTTATCACTCTCGAGCTCTTCGAGCAGTCGCCTTCCACCATAGCTACCCGCTGTTTACCAGCGTCAGCGACGATGGCACGGCTCACGTGCTGCACGGAACAGTCTACAACGATCTGACCACCGCTCCTTTGCTCGTTCCGCTCAAGGTACTCAGAGGACACAGCGTGTCGGCAGGTTTGGGCATTCTCGACGCAAAGTGGCATCCCACGCAACCATGGCTCGCCACTGCCGGCGCGGATGGTGAGGCGCGCCTATGGACTATTTGAGGATGCTTCGCGATTCCGCAATGATCGACACGCCCGAACAGCTGCTTCACGCACAAGTCACCGAATGCAATGCTCAGCACGTGCCTGTGATGCAGAAATCGCTCCACAAATTGCGACCAGCTTTTGAGTGATATGAGCGTATGTAGGATGATGGAGAGAGGCGCATGTGCGGGGTTACCTGGCGGTGGGATTGGGAGCGGGTGATCTGGGACCGGTTCTGAGGTGCGCTGAGAGCGCGCCCCAAGCGCCAGTATGAATGCCGCCAACGACACCGACGAAGCTTCCCCTTCCCGATCCAAACAATGGTCTAGCACCAGCCGCATCGTCGTTCGCGCCCACCCTGTTCAGCCTTTCCCGCTCCTGCGCTTCAGCTTCCTCCCACGCCTCCTTCGTCCTTTCGGAGAGGGAGGTGGTGCGAATGCTACCTGCTAAGCTGGCACCTACCCAAGCGACGACATTTGGGGCGAATGCTGGGGCATCCCCACCTTGTGCTTGACCGTTGGAATGAATGTAGGGCATGTGGTCGTTCATCAGCGAGACGTGTTGCCACAGATGAGCTATAGGAGCGTATCGCATGATTTCCCTCGGTGGGGCTTTGCGCTCCGTGGTATCCTTTCCTCGAGTGTCTTGATCATCCATCCCTCCTGCGCCGACTTGAGCTTTATTGAGGTCCTTGTCAGCTAAGGCTCGAGATGCCTTGCGAGCACTCTTTTCGGATTTGCCGGACCATGCTCCAACGCGAGGCACTGTGAGTGCGACGGAGTGAGGCTGATCGATGGTGCAATTGTCCAGCAGACGCGTCACTTCTTCCTTGAGCCTGTGTGCAAAGCCAGCCATGGTAGCAACGCCACCAGTGACCAGCATTTGCTTCGCGAGCGGTATCCTCATGTCGATGGGCAGCTGTCGAATGGGAGCGAAGAGGTTTGAGGGCTCATCATTAGCGCTCGACTCTACAAACAGCCAACACACGGCCCAGATGAACTCGCATTGATCAAAGCATCACAGATCATTTCGGGCAAACTCTTCTCGTCGTCATCACCAGGCTCAAAGAGGACGTCCACTGCGCGCTCTCTGATCCAATTGGGCACGACAATGACTCCACTGGCCTGGTTCTGCTGCTGTTGCGAGGCAGAGCTCGTCGTGCTGTTATGCAAGACTGGCGCGTGAGGGTCGGACAATTCTCGAGAAGGCACGGGCAGGATGAGCGAAGTTGCTCTGGACGTGTGTGCGTAGCGGGATTGCAGCTGACGCATCAACGCCTCGTCTTTGCTCTCATCGTAAGCTCCGTCTTCGATATCCAAGGCCGAAGAGGATGCTTGAGGGCCAGACGTCGGCGTGAGAGCAAATGTGGACTGCGCGGGAGTAGCTGCGGCGGGCCTGGCTTGGTCCGAAGTGTCTACATCTGCGATCTCACTGCGGCGCTGCTCCTCGACGTCCTCGATAGGCTTCTGCGCAACAAAGATCGCCTTGGCGATGATGTCATCCAAGAAGGCATCATCTAGCAACTCTGTCTTGATCTTTGACGTCCGCTGCTTCCTGCTGGCGGTGCTGGGCGTGGCGGCAACATACCTTCCAAAGTACACTAGCAAGTTCTTAAGCCTCGCTTTTAGCCTTACAGAGCCTCGCCGCGTGACGAGTATGTCTGGTCTGGATGACAACAATCGACCGTAGTACACTGTAGTGAGTCGGCTATGGTGCGTGCCCACGTCCAGCACCAGACCTGTCATGCGACCGACTGCCAGCAAGCTGATGAGCGGAGCGGGCAAGAGGGCGACATTCGCGACTTGGAGATTGCTGAACAGCACTTTGCACAGCGTGCGAGCAGCATAATCAGGCAAGAGGGCATTCTCCACCAGAACGATCCTCCTGCCTCGCGGATCGACGAGCAGTAGGTCGTGAAAGATGACCCTGAGGAGCTTGGTGATGTTGACGAGCAAGTCTAATTCTCTGCTTCTTCTCGCCCTCTCGTCTTTGCATCCTTTCCAAAAGTCTGGAGTCCATAGGCTGTACTGCGATGTGCTGAGCAAGCCGCGGGGTCTGGATTCGCCCTCAAAGCCGTACCTAGCGATGGACAAGCCGATATCCAGCACCACCCTATCGCTCTCTCCAAACAAGCTCTGTCGCTGTCTGGAATGCAGAGAAGGGCTGGGAACTGCGCTGCCCACATTCGCTCCGCCCGCACTCGAGCGTCCGCCTGTCGATTGACGAGCTGCTGAACTGCGTGTAGCTGCTGTTCGCGTTGGCGATCGGAGCGGGTTGCTGCCAACAGCTGTGCCTGCATGACGAGAGCTTCCCTCGGCTGCGGTGGACATTGTGGCGGCAACGCAGCGCGCAGTACACCCAACAGGTGCGGATGCTGTGATGAGCGCGGAAGCTTGTCAGTCGTGAATGATGAGGCCTGAAAGGTCCGAGATTGCAAGAGCGACATGCAATCACAATGAGAAGCTTGCATGCATGCACGGGTGAGCTTCATTTGAGTTCTGTATGGTTGGTTGTTCAACCGACGCGTTCATCACACACGTGACGCGTGTGATTCCGCGAGTTAAATCGAGTTTGGAGTCAAGAGTGTTCGTGACAGGTGTGAGAGTGAATTCAAATTGTGATCGAATCAAGATTCAAGATAGGCGCACCATTCCAAGATTGGCCTGCGTGCATAGAGTTATGCGCTTGTAGGGATTCGACTGCAGCACAGCCGCATACATCCATGCTGTAGGTGCGCACGCTCTCTCCGACCTCTCCCATCGCTCCGCAGGCGTTTCACCGAGGTTGATGTGGTACAGTTTAGGGGGGGGACTCTCATTTCGCAGTAGCAAGTGTATCAATCAGCATGGTGCAAAGGCAAGCAAAGGTGGAGGAGGAGGAAGAGGAGGAGGAAGATTACTACTACGACGTCGGACTGTACGACGAGGATAGCGACGATGCATCCGATTCGGGATCTGGCGGTACGTCCGCTTCAGATTCGGAGTATGTTCAAGACGAGGTCGACAAGCCCAAGTCCGAACCACGACGGCGTGCGAAGGGAAAGTCTGCGGCTGCGGCTGCGAGCCCAAAAGTTCCCTATCGAGCTCGAGTGCACGCCCTGGCGGATACAGGCAGCGCCATCTCTTCGTCCGACAATCCAACACGTGCCTCTACCATCGACCAAGGTGTGCTGGCTAGGATCAAAAAGGCTCTCTCTCTCGCTCAACACCCCAATACGGGAGAGGCGGAGGCGAAGCAGGCGATGAGTATAAGCAATAGGCTCATGAGCAGGTTCAACATCCTTCAAAGCGATATACTGGTCAGCCAAGATGCGGAAGGAGAATCCGATCTGAGCAGAGCGGGTCAGAGCACCGTTTGGGTCACCGCAACCAGCGGCAAGGGCGTCAACAGGGAGTTGTGGATGAGCACGATGAGCATTGCCATGACCGTCTTTTTCGATTGCAAGTGCTATACCGAGCGATACTACAAGTGCAGAGGGGAGCAAGATCGCATGCAATGGACATTTTACGGTCTGGCAACCAATTCTTCAGCGAGCGCAATGGCTTTCGAAATGTGCTTCAATCAGGCTCAGGTTTGGTGCTACGGAGCGAAAGACGCTTTCAAAGGCGCGCTAGCAAAGAACTCATACCTCGCCGGCATCGCCAACGGCTTGTACGACATGGCGGAGGATGAGAAGGAGGCTGAAGAAAAAGCGGCCATTGCGCACGAGAAAGCGGAACGTCGCAAGCGCATCAAGGAGGAAGAGAAGGCGCGGCGGAAAGAGGTTGAAAGATTAGAATCTGGTAATAAGAAGGCCAAAGTTGAAGATGAGGAGGAGGAGCAAGAAGATGAGGTAGTCTTTGTGGAGATGCGCAAAGGCAAGGCGCCTGGCACATACGACAACAACATTCGCGTGAAAGAGGAGCCGGACGTCATCGATCTGACCGAGCCACGGCCAGCACATGGCTCAGCAGCGAAGGAGGAAAATCTAGATGGAGATGTACAAGCAGAGGACTCTGACTCGAGTGATGAGGGAGATGCACCAGAAGCCCAAGTGAGCGAGTGTGCACACTTTCTCCGATTCATCAGGTTCCACGCTGACCACCACGACCCGCGCAAATAAACGATGCAGCTCGACTTTGAGCACGAAGGGGAAGACGCGGATCAGGATCTGGAGCAGTACATTGAAACCGGCCAGATGCCGCAAGTCAAAGCCGAGACAAAAGCTGAGCCCTCGGCAACCGTGTCGACAGCCATCGAGGCGCTAGAGAAGGAGCATGGTCAAGAAGACGTCAAAGACGCGCAGTGGAAATCGCATAACCAGGTGAGAGTCGTGCTCATGATGGATGCTCCTACCTTTCATCCTGACGTTGGGCAACGCTCTGATCATGCAACCAAAGTTGGTAGTCTTCCGAAAAGTGAGTCCCGTTGTCTGGACCTCGCGGTGGCCCATGTCAAAAGCGATCGCGCCTGACTGCACGTTCTCCCTCCTTTTTGCTTCCATCAGAATGCCGAGTCTATAGCCGAACAGTACATCAAGACGCACAAGGTAAAGCTCGGCATGGCGCGCAAATTCAAAGATCGAAAGTGAGCGATACCTGGCGGCACGTTCTGAATCTCGTCCCCACGCTGACAGCCTTGTGACGTCATGTCAGACGCGACAAGAACGCTTATCGCAAAGGCAAGAAGGATTCGAAGGTGAGTGGAGGGCGGGAGATGGAGCAAATTCGATCGTCATCGCTGGTCGTGTGATCAGCCTCACCACGCTCTTTCGAATCTGCGCTGACCTAAGCGTCTCTCTGGTCTGTGGCACGGCGTAGAACATGGATGTCAAAAGGCGCAGGTTGGACTGATCGAAACGGATCTAACCTGAACCTCAATCACCGCTCTGCCCGCTGGGAAAACTCCCGCAAATCGACTTGTGTTCGCTGTCGCACCTTTGACTGCAGCCGCTTCGTATCCATGCTTGGCTTCACTTGCTCTGATGTTTCATCCGCACTTTTTGTGTCGCTAATTGGTCACACAGCCTTTTGTATCAAACGTTGAACAAATTTCGCCTCGAGACAATTCGTGAACGCGTTGGTTGCGGTGTCCAGCTAAGAAGGAGTGCAAGCAGAAATCGAGAAGAGGCGTTACATGCGAAGAAGATCTCGAAACCATTTCAGCGTCACCTTTCGTTGGAAAGAAGGTTGGAAGTGAAAGAAGCGACGAGCAGCTTGGTCTGGGAGCAATGTTGGATGGAGCAGCGATAGAGGTCAAGGCGATCCAATGAGTCCTCGTTGTCGGGCGCCAAAGACGATGGCGAGTACGAGAACGATCAATCCGAGCTTAGAGCCTAGACTACTGGACTCTTGGTCGGGAGCGAGATGGGAGGGAGGGCAGAGGCAGTGAGCGCCGAATTAGGCGTGCAAAAGCGATTCATCGGCCGACGAGCGAGCAAGGGAGCGAGGGAGCAAGAGAGCAAAGAGAAGAACGAAGAAAGGACACAGCTCAGCACTCGGTACTGGCGCGTTGGTGATTGAAAGAGAAAAAAGGCTCGACCAAATGCGGCGCACTTCCGACTTGCTACACCGCATTACACCTCCCGAGGACTTACCTTCTGGGACACACTAGCATGAGGGTTCTTTGGGCGACCAAAGCCAGCGCTGAGTTGCGTTGCCAGCTTGAACTTGGTGAGGTTGGCGGAGGTGTAAGGAGGGTAGCGCATAGCCATGATGGCCTCGACGACCTTGCCGAGGACGCCAGACGAAGGAGCGTCTAAGCTTGCTCTGGTGTGGGTGAAGGTGTCGAAGTTGCCCTTGCCGTGGTACATTCCGTAGCCGGAAGGACCAGTGCCTCCGAAAGGCAGTGTTCCGACCGCAAAGTGCAGAAGGGTGTCACCCTGGACAGCTGCGCCCGAGCGCGTCTCCTCGAACAGCTTCTTAGTCGACTTGGCACCTCCGAAGGTGTACAGGGCCAAGGGCTGGTCACGGGAGTTGATGAAGCGGATTGCCTCGTCGAGATTCGCCACAGGGAGGATGGGAAGCACAGGGCCGAAGATCTCTCCAGACATGAGAGGGTCGTCCGACTTGCAGTCAGCCACAATAGTAGGTGCGAAGAACTTGCTGGCCTCGTCGCCCTCGCCACCAAGCACAATGCGTCCCTTGGTGCCGCCGACCATCTGGTTCAGGCGCTTCCAGTGACCAACGTTGATCACACGCCCGTAATCATCACTCTTGATAACGCCTCCCTTGCTCTTGGGCCAGAACTCCTCAGCAGCCTTCTGGAATTGGACGGCCAGCTTGTCTTGCGTGGCTTTGGTGCAGAGAATGTAGTCAGGAGCAATGCAGGTTTGTCCAGCGTTAACAGCCTTGCCCCACAGAACACGGTGAGCTGCGATCTTGAGGTCAGCAGAGTCGTCGATCCAGACAGGGGATTTTCCACCGAGCTCCAGAGTGGTGGGGCAGAGCCACTTAGCAGCCTTCTCGGCGACGATGCGACCAACTGTTCCGTTACCAGTGTAGAAGATGTGCTCCCATCGGCTATCGAGCAAGGCCGTCGTCTCTGGGATTGCCCCATTGACGATGCGCGAGCTCTCGGGGTCAAGGTATTTGGGCCAGAGCTCAGCAAAGAGCTTGGCAGAGTGTGGTGCCACCTCGGAAGGCTTAAGGACAACCGTGCATCCAGCAGCGAGAGCGCCAATCACGGGACCGATTTGCACCGAAACGGGGTAGTTCCAGGCTCCGAGAACCAGAACGGTGCCCTTTGGCTCCTTGCGGATGGAAGGAGAGTGGAACGCCCAGGCGACGCCGGACCAAGGCTTCTCGGTCTTCGACCACTTGCCAACGTTGTGCACAGCCTCGACGATCTCGTTGCTGGTGCCGAGAATCTCGGCCATATTGGTCTCGAAGCTGGCACGTCCGAGATCCTTGTTGATAGCCTTGGCAATCTCCTCTGCATTGTCCTGATGGTGAAGTGATGTGCGGAGTGAGCATTAGGCGGGATGCAAGCCACAGTATGAATGCGTGCGAGCAGCGTCAAGTCACTGTGCAGCAGCTACTGCTGTCTCCCCGGGACACTCCTACTCGAGCACTACTTACATTGAGCAAGAAGTAGAGCTGCTTCAGCTGAGCTTTGCGGTACTCCAAACTTCTCGTCTTGCCAGTAAGAAAGTTCTTGCGAAGCTCTGCATTGATACCGGCGATAGTGTCGATGGGAGTGTACTCCAGCTGTGCCACCTGCTGGGGTGTTTGAGTCGAGACTGCGGACGTCATGATTGGATGTGGCGGAGGTAGCGTGAAAGCGGGACTATCAAGGCGAAGCTCGTGATGCTGTGATTCGGGGTCTGACAGCGAAGTAAGGTGGTGGGTGGAGGTTAGAAGGCAGAGTTGGCAGAGGAGAAATTCGCTTGAAGCAGATTTGCGATTGCGGTCGGCAGTCGCAGTAGCCATTCTTGATTGGAGTGTGGAGATTTGGCGGGTCACCCTATGCTGGAAGACAAGCATGCAGAGCGCGCGCTACTTTCTCGCTTGAGTGTGGGGGGACAAAAGTGCGGACGAACGGCAAGTCACGAGTCTGCTGAGTGTGCGTGCAAAGTGAAAGAAGGCGCGCACCGACTAGCTTCGCCACAGAGCGCGCGCGCGCGCCATGCGGCATGCAAATGCAAATCTTATTGAATGCTGATTCTGATGCCATGCATGGTCGCGAAAAGGGCCGGGGACCGGTCATTCACAAGCCGCCGCCCGCCATGATGCAGCATGCAGCGCTTCCCGCAGCTGCTGCTGGTCCAAGCGGTCTTCTCGATCTGACCTGCTGCTGATGCACCTGATGCATGCTGCATGGCCAACTCACACTCAAGACTGCTGAAATTAAGTCGTGAATTATCAATTGTTTGATCATAAGTCGTGAATCAAGTCGTCATGCACGACGCGCGGCCTTCCCCACGCTTGGACAGTCATGAGTCACGAGTCTGAATTCAGACACTATGCGCCACTTGGTCACTCACTTTCTCCCCGCCAAGTCCCCCACCTATTCGATTCGATATGTGTGCTGCGCTGATGAGGAGTGCAGCTCTAGATTTTGAGCCAGCGATGTCAACTTCATCTTGTGGGGAGGGCGAAGAAGCAGTCATCAAAGTACCGCGGTCACCCTCACTCGATGACTAAATCAAGAACGAGCGTGGATATAGGTGAGCGCATCCAAACCGGCAGGGTGGTCGCCGGTGTGCGCAGTCATCAGAGGTCCGTGCACTTTTGAGAAAAAATGCCGGGTGATTTCCCCCACACGCACGAGCCGAGCAGGATTTCAGTGGAGCTTGGTTCACACAAATAAGCGCAGCTTGGGCGAGAGACGCGGCGGTTGTCCATGCACAGATGGCAAAGTCTTACTTCTTGCCTTCTAAGCACCACGACGGCAATTCCTGCGCCCGGTCAGCATAGAGCACTGGCCCAGCGCAGCAGCAGCAGCAGTCGAGCGATGGCGGGGGGGAGGGGCGGGACGGAGATATTGCGCAGCAGTCAGCCGGTGGGACGGTGGATGATTCACCGTCAAGCAGCCTCGGGCATCGGTCATGCCCCACCTCTCCGTGGGTACTCGCTCGATACGACCAGTTACCAATGGTGGAGTCATGACTTGATAGGAAATCCATTCCTCGATTGGACATGCTTGTGTGCGCAAAAGTGCAGAAAATCATTCTTGATTGTCATCGTGAGTCACTTCATGCTTTAAGGGCTGCAGCGCTGTTCAATCGAGCAGTGCTCGTCAATCAACAGGGGCGCCGCTCGTAGACCATCGCCACTGGGCCTTTGGCGGAAACACGAGCGTGCACGAGCTCAGACAAAGCGTGGTGACAGCAAATTCGTTCACACCTTTGAATAGATGATGATCGCCACATCATTCGTGCGTTCGAGAGCAAAAAAGGATGGTCGTAATGAAATTCTAACAGCAAGATGCCTCCCTTGGCGTCGAAAGCCACGGATCCCTTCTTCACGCCGCTTCACCATCGCTCGTTGTGGATGTGTGGGGCTCGAAGTGAGCCCAGGTGCCGTTCAGGAACACGAAGCACGCACTTTTTGGCTTCTGTCAGAGGTGTTCAAGCTCCCTATCGCTACCCTGGCAACGAAGGTGCCACGCACTCTTCACTAAATCGATCCGTGCCATGCACTCTTGACTGATTCTACCCAATGCAGGGGTCCGACATTGACGTGTGTCCACCTCAGAACAGAGAAGCATGGGGAGCGTCACACCTTTTCGCCGTCATGGGAGATGGAGATTCTCCGTTGATCTTGCAGGAGCGGCTTGATTTGCGTCTTGATTCAGGATTAGGTTCGGCAAGGTCGAGCCCGACTTGGACCAGTTCCAGGCCCTTGCCCTAGCTAAATTGATGGACGCGGCCTTGCTCTCAAGACATATCGTGCGAAATGGCAAGCCGAATGAGATCGCCTTTGCGCTCCGAATCGCTTAGCAGCTTGTGTCTGGCTTCGCGTGCCATAGTTGCGTGGAATCAGGGCGGCAGTTAAGGGGCTGAAGGGTGGATCTACTTCGCGGAAGATGAATCATCGTGATTGTGGTTGGGGCTCACTGCAAGAGAGAGAGAGAGAGAGCGCGCGTTGCGCGCATTCACGATCCACGCGATTGCCGGAAGCGGTCATCCCGGTCGATCTGGACATGCACAGCCAAGACTCATCGTCGCGGCATGAATTCTCTTCTCCTTCCATTCCATGCCGCCATCCACGCGTGACTGCTGCTGTGTGCAAGACTCATGCACTGTTGTATCGTGCTTAGGTGGAAGGAGGGTCTCGCCTTTGTCTCACTCAAACTCTAAAGTTACATTCCATTCCTGCAGCAGACTCATCGGAGCTCTACCATCCGGTCTCGGCAAGGCGTGGCAGTGATGGGCTGATTCTTCAACATTCTTGTTCCTCTCAGCACAGATATCTTCAAGATTTTCACACATGATGTCTCGCGCTCAGCAGTCTTGACTGCGGCGAACGTCCCTCGAGGAAGAACGTCCCGAGCCGCAGTCAAGGGTGCTGTATCATGCGGTGCTTCACTTGAGAGGCAGGCTCGTTGACAGCATCGCCAAGCAGGTAACGTACTGCTGCGATGAGAACCTTTTGACATTTCCCACCTTACTTTAGCCCTACGAAGAAGATACACTTTTGTTCGCCTCAGCTGTGATTATCGCACAAGCATTTCTTACACGGCCCGGAGACTAAGCCTCCTGAGCTGGCTGTGTCCAGCGAGATCAAGCTACAGCACCCGAAGGCCCTCGTTCTAAAATCAAAATTTAGAGCACGATCGGACTGGGACCATCCGGTTGGCGTCATGCGCGATCCCGCTTACGCCTTGAATCTAGACTCAGCCGCGCGCGCGGAGCAATGCGCGGAGTTCAACCTTTGACTCGATGCGGAATCTCCAGAGCTTCCATGAACCAACTGCATTTCGCGTCTCAAGCAGCATCAATCAATCAATCAGTCACGAATCGATCGATCACGAGTATCTTGTTCAAAGTCAGAGAGCGGACCATCTGGATCACGGCTGGAGGAAGGCCCGTGCTAGATGGTTTGCTCAACCCCCTGACCCTCGGACCAAAGATGAGATATTCGAGGCCCGATAGCTACAAAGGGGTGAACGCTTCAGCCGGTTGCGGCTCATCGAGATACTGCGAGTAGATCGGGTCCCTCGAGACGGCGTTGACTGGATGTCTCAAGGCAATTGAAAGCTTCCCCGCATCTCAGCCTTCCTTCTTGCATCGGCGTAGGCCATATACAGCGGTCCCTCACAGACAGACACGGTGGGCAACGCGATTCCCCGCTCTGCGCTTCGGTAGAAGCTAGGTCCGACCGTACCTTGCTTTTCAAAGCGCAGACCCAGCGTCGAGTCCCACGGTGGAGAGGCACCCATCCAAAACACGGCTTGGGAAGTCGCATGCGTGCAGGATTGGTTGCGGAGTTCTAGACCATCTTTCTTGATATCGCTCCCAAGATGCAAGCTCGAAAGTGGGGTCACGGATGACAACCATCAGTCGGCTTGCTGTGAGGTCATGTTGTGGACGTCGCAACTAGACACGTTGTCTATCGACGGCTACGATGGGTCAGCGACTCGAAGAGGAAGTAACGACATGTATAGCAGGGCGTCGTGTCGAGACGAAAGGTATAAAGGCGGCCGCTCTTGAAGCGTAGTTCTTCTGTCCCTCATCCTCATCAAACAGTCTCTCGCCTCGCCTAGCCACCTGCTCTTCAAAGCTCCTCACTGCCTTTCTTCCATCTGCTTCTTCTGTGGCAAACCCTTGGGCACACATTCGATCAATCAACACAATCGCAAAGATGAAGTTCCAACTCTCCACCGTCTTGGTCCTGGGTGCCATCCTCTTCGCCTCCGGCGTCGCCGCAGACAACATCGGCATTAGCGGCTCCGGTGCCTCTTACACAGCTGGATGCTCCGCCGCCTACCCTACGGTCACGGTCACCGTTCTTCAAGACGCATTTGGCAAATTGACAACCATCTTGCCAACGTTGCCCGCCATCCAGACACCCAGCCTGCCGTTTATTCCAACGATCCCAGCTGGCATCACAAAGGCGCTGAGCCCTGACGCGGCCAAACGCGCAGCAGGTGCCGTGGTCGACAACCTGACCGCCGCAAGCAACCAAGCTACTGCTGTATCGAACGCGCTCCAAGGCACCCTGACCAACGGTCTCTCTGCCGGCGCTAAAAATGTGGCGAGCCAGATCGATGCCGCAAGTGCCAAGCTCAAGGAAGGCCAGACCGCTTTGGAGAAGCTGGCAGGAACTGTGGAGGGCCAAGTCAACCGTGACGCCATCACTGCGGCTTACCAAAAGTTCGCCGATCAAACTCAAGCTCAGCTCACCTCTCTTGTTGCGAAGCGCGCGCTGCTTGACACCTACGCTGCTCAAATCCGCGCGGCTTTGCTCAGGTACCAAGCTCAAGCCCAGAGCTACGCCAAGGCGCTCCAAAGCCGCGTGCCCACCGCAAAGGACTTGCCCAAGGCGAGCGCAAACCTCGATGGTGGCTTCACCTTCACCCTTGGCAAGTTCTGAACGACTTCCCACCAACGGGGACCTCGCACGATCTCTTCTTTTCCGCCTCCCGTCTTTTTTTCAAGCTCCAAGATTCGGTACTGAAGCTTCTGGATCCTCGCTCTAGCACTCCAACGCGACTTGTGTCTAGTGTCTCCAGCGACACTTGACTTCACGTCTTTGTTCTCACCTTTTCAGCCTCGTCGCTTGTCACGAATCCACCTTCCAAAGGGGGCAGCGCTCGGCAGTCGAGCCCCTCACCCCTCCCATGTACTTTATACACCGCTCCTGTCACCCGCTTGTGGAATGAATGCATCCCCCCTTCCTCCTCAAGCTCCGTTCGGTGCCATTTGACTGATCGCATACTGTCCCGAGACCGATAATAGCTTTGCACGTGTTTTCCCACAACAATCGTGAATGTCAATCTTCGATGTGTATCCAGGCTTCAGAGATCTGGTTGGCTTTGTTTCCCATCGCGTAGGTTCATTCCCGTACGCCGTCTTGACACGTCGCCCAAACGCGACGCATGCAGAATCTGGCTTCGTCCTGCTAGGCGTCACCGCCGCTCTGTATCGTATCGTCAAAGCCACGAGCAACGGGCGAGCCAATCAAGCTTGGTGCCACGCATCCTTGAGCTCATTCACGATTCACGGTCTTGATTGGTGGGCTTGATTGACTCGGCGGCTGAAGACACTCTGACTGCTGGCGCACTTTGTGACTGCTCCAACAATGAAGACGGTCTCATGCAAGTGCTCCAACTGCACAGCTCGCGGCGGCGTCACGACCGTCGATAATCACTCGCGAATCGTGACTTTGACTGGTTATCGCAAGTGCAGCATCTCCCCGAAGTCATGGCTGGCACGAAGCACCGCGATAGCCATGCCTTTCACTCGTTGCTGGCTGCAAGGCTGTAGCACAAGCGATCGCGCGCCAGCTGCAATCATGAAGAAGACTGGAGTTGCGTACAGTCACCAGTCTTGAGTCAAAGTGCGCTGTCGGTGATACGCACCACAACAGATTCACGATTCATGATCAGACTGTTGTGACTGCAGCTGCAGCTGCCGAGCGTGTGGGGCTGATGGAGCGAGCCGACATCTTGATGAAGAGCATACGATACGCACCCACCCCGCAGTTCACGACTCGTAATTCGTGCCTGCTGCGACTCACTGATTGGAGCACGGCATCGACGAGGGTGGAATGGCACGATGCAGACAGACAAGGCTTGAGCCCTTCCATATGGCATCTCATGCTGCAGTCTCAGTCTCACCCACGAATCAAGGTCGTAATAAGCGAGGCCGCGCACGTATACACACACGTACACTTGCTTATGCTGCTGCTGATGCTGCTTGATGGTGCAGCTGTGAGCCTAGCCAATCCCGGTCGAGGGCTTTCCAATCATGACGCCATGTTGGACGCTGCCCTGATGCCGTGCTTTTATGCTGCTGGAGCCACGAGTGCGGATCTTCCTGGCTGCATGCTCGTGCGCAAGCATGCAGCGCAGCTCTCGTGTCTGCAGGAATTGCCGAAGATCCCACTTTTCTTGCGCGTGTTTGCCCCCCAGCGGGAGGCAAGCCGCAGGAGAGCCGCCTTTCAGCCACGCCTCTAGCCGTGCACACGCCCAGGCCCGCCCTCGCGCTTGCCGAGTGTGCGGACGCCGGACGCACACATGTACCTACAGCGGCTGCTCGCCCAGTCGCTCCGTAGTCAGCTGTTTTGAACCGCGCCCCGTCAAATCTTGCAGCTCCTTCGAAGAAGCCAGCAGCTTACCATCTCGACCACCATCTGCCAAGGGAGCTTTCCGCAAGACAAGGCACTCATTCTTTCCACCATCCCTTTTCCTCCCACGCCAGATCATCAACATGGAGCGCACTCTTGGCTCTCTGCGCCAGCTGCGCAGCTCGTGCCCTTTCCTGGCGCGCACCCCGATGCCACAATTGCGTAACATGAGTTCTCACAGCTTTATCAGCGATGGTCCCACCCACCTCGCGGTTAGAGCACAGCAATGCCCAGTCATGAGCGAGGCCATCGCTTCTCATCCCGAGACTGCCGTACAAGCTGCTCCGGCCATGTCGAGTGCCGCTGGAAACTTTTTATTCGGCTCTGGCCCAGCGCAGCTTGCTGCTTCCAACCGCCTCGGCACTGCCAGCCCTCGTCCTTCGGTCTGCCCATTCGCTGCTGGTGCAACCTTCAACCCTCACTTGGCTAACCAGCAGCAAACCCGTGGCTACGTCGCACGCACCGAGTCCCCCTTCGCGAGCATTGTGCCCAACGACCGCATCGACCGCATTCATGCTCAAGAAGGCATCCGCACTGGAGGCGTTGGGGACGTGGAGAGATGCCCCCACACGAAGGCGCTAGCAGCTGCTGCAGCGGCTGAGAAAGCTGCTGCCTTCGCCGCCGAGGGTCGCTCCTCCTTCCGCGCCGATGCTGTCAAGAAGAAGACCAAGCAGACCCGCACTCCAGGCAGCGGTATGGGTATTCCACCCACGCCACAGCCCAAGCAGGCGCCGGGCTTCGACTATGAGCAATTCTACCACCGCAACATTATGGCAAAGCATGCGGACAAGTCTTACCGCTACTTCAACAACATCAATCGTCTGGTCGACCGTGCGCCTCGTGGACATCTTCAAGACGAGACCCAGGAGATCACCGTCTGGTGCTCCAACGATTACCAGAACATGAGTCGTCATCCCAAGGTGCTCGAGGAGATGTCCAAGACGCTCGCCAAGTACGGCGCAGGAGCTGGTGGCACGCGAAACATCGCTGGTCACAATCAGCATGTCGAGCACATCGAGGCCACCATCGCCGAGCTTCACCGCAAGGAGGCCGCCTTAGTGTTTGGCTCATGCTACGCAGCCAACGATGCCACCTTGTCGATTCTGGGCTCCATGCTTCCGAATTGCGTCATCTTCTCGGACAGCTCCAACCACGCGTCCATGATCCAAGGCATCCGCCATTCGGGCGCGAAGAAGGTCATTTACAAGCACAACGACATGGCAGACCTCGAGGCAAAGCTGCAAGCTGTACCTGTAGACACTCCCAAGCTCATCGCTTTCGAGTCCGTCTACAGCATGTGCGGCACGGTTGGACCCATCGAGAAGACGATCGAGCTCGCGGAGAAGTACGGTGCCATTACTTTCCTCGATGAGGTGCACGCTGTCGGCATGTACGGGCCTCGCGGTGCAGGTGTTGCTGAGCACCTGGACTGGGACGTTCAGATGCGTGGCGGTGCCTCTGCTCAAGGTGGCAAGCCGACAATCATGGACCGTATCGACATCATCACTGGTACGAACGGCAAAGCCTTTGGTGTCGTGGGCGGGTACATCGCCGGTTCCTCCCGCTTTGTGGACATGATCCGCTGCTTTGCTCCTCAATTCATCTTCTCGACCACTCTGCCACCTGCTGTGCTTACTGGAGCTCGTACCGCTATTGAGCTGCTCATGGAGAGCAACTCTTCTCGCCGTCTTCAGCAGATCCGTACGCGGGAGCTAAAGGCAGCTCTGGCAGACGTCTCGATCCCCATTCAACAAAACCCGTCGCACATCGTCCCCATTCTCGTCGGCGATGCAAACCTCGCTCGCGCTGCAAGCGACATGCTCCTTCAAGACCACGGATGCTACGTCCAGCCTATCAACTATCCCACCGTTGCACGTGGCCACGAGCGACTTCGCGTGACTCCCACACCTGGTCACAGCGAAGCCGACATCGCTCATCTAGTCCGCGCTCTCGACGACGTTTGGACCAGACTCGACCTGCGCCGTACGGACGATCTGCGCGCCTGCGCTCCTGGTACTGACAAGCTCGCTGATCTCTTCATTGAGGCCGAGCGCGACGTTGCTAGTCTGCCGCTCTGGTCTGACGATCTCCTGGGTCTGTCCAAGCGCATCGCCGATGCGCCTGGCTCTCGTTCTGTCCGCACTGGTGCCCCTGCATTCACGGCAAGCAAAGGCGCAGCACCAGCTGTGACTGCCTCTGCTTGAGTAGCTCACGTGATGTTTTGAAGCCAAGCTTTCTTTCCCTAATTTGATTTGCAATGAAACATTCCTTGATTGTGCAGCCTTTTCTTCTGCTTTGAGCTTGCTTGTAGTGTTGTCCCTTACCCCTGTGAACACCCATCGGTCCCCATTCGATGACTGGCGTGCTTTGGACCCGTGGCCTCCGCTCTGATTCAGAACGCGCGGGACATGAAAGCTGTTGCTCTGATCCACCGGCCAATATCTAGACTTTTCGTTCTCGGGTTGCTTCGACGATCGTGGAAGATTCCCATGTTTCCCACGCTCTGTAAGCGTTCTCAATCAGATCGTGCGACCACAGATTTGGCTCGCCCATCGGATGCGGCATCGTTATCGCCTTGTCGCACTTTCTGACAGATTCGAGGGTCCCTGACGACTTTTCCGCAGCAAAGAGATGGGCGAGACCTACCTTCTTACGAAGCCGGGGTTCGGTCCATCGAGGACTTTTGGCGCAGAAGGCCCGCATCCGCATTCGCGTTCTCGGTTAGCGTCAGAAGGTGGGAAAGGAAAGCGTTTTGGATGGATGGGTCGTGGGCACCAGCTTCGCACCCATCTGGCGGGGCAAGGCATCTAGAGAAGAAGGAGAAGAAGAAGAAGAAGAAGAATTTTTTTGAACTCGGCCCCATCATTCATTCGCCTTGCGCGACGCGCAAACCTCGTCGGTCGGACGCTTCCTCATCTGAAAGCCAAAAGAGATAGCCGACCGACCGCTCTTCCGCATGCTTGAACGAAACCGCATCAGGCAAAAGGAAATCGCATGCGTGCCTTTCTTTCAGTCACAGCAGGCAGGGCCTTTTGCGTCTATTAAATTAGCCACGTGAAGCTGACCGACAAGTGATTTCTTCGAGAAGCGCAAGGAGGTCGCTCGACACATTTGATTTGTTATCACGTCCTAGCTCCGGACAGAGCGATCGAAGCCTTTTGGAAGATGAGTCAAGGGGGGCGGGACGCGCAGCAGCAGCCAGCGTCGGGTGCAAGATGCATCAAGATTTGTTCGAGAGTCGGAAGTGTCAGTCGCATCAGACAGTGTTGTGCTTGTTGTTGATCGTATCGCCCCGCCGATCACTCGTGGACGGACGTTCATGCTGATGTGTGTGTGTGTGTGTGTGTGTGTGTGTGTGTGCGCGCGCGTGCGTGCGCGTGCGCGGCCCACGCACCAAATTCCATATCAAGCAAGGGGTCGCTCCGCACCGGTGCATACAAGATGACGCCTTTTGCCAGCATCGACGCTAGGCGCGACGTCAGACCCAGGCGTATTCTGCCAGGCAAGGTATAGCAGCTATGTGTAAATAGACCGCCATTCAGCCACGAACATTGAAAATGCTCCACGATCGACCGCGGTGATCGAGGAGTGCTGGTCAGGTGGCAGGACAAATGAAGCTTGCTTGATCTTTGACGTCGGCCATCTTGACCCAAGGAATGAGGCAAATCGATTTGAGAACAGTGTGAAGCAGCACGAATAATGAGGCTTGATTGTTGTAGAGAGATGCACTCGAGCACACACACCGCTGCAGTGCCTCGCCCCCCTCGTGATGCCCGACGCATGCGAAGCGGCCGCGCAGACGTGACCCAATGATCTGCACACCTCATTTCTCGCCTTGCTTGCCATTGCATAGGATGGCGCACCGGCGAACGACAGGCTCAGCAGGCAAGCGAGTCTCTGCCAGAGGAATTGCGCGAGAAGAGGTACCGCATCGGATCCTTGAAGGCCTCGGCTCTGCTCGAGGCACACCATCTAAAGACAAGCAAGCAGGCAAGCAGGCAAGCAGCAGGTCGGTTTGCGGCGCCGGATGCAGCCTAACCGTTGGTACCTCGAATAGATTCAGGTTGCCGAGAAGCTGAAACTCAGACCGTCTGTCAGCCAGCTGAAACAGCTACTTGCTCGGGTGCTAGCGCGAGTCGATCCAAAACGCGATTGGACGATACAGTAGTAGTATCGTACACGAAGGCAAGCCTCGTTTTAGCTGAACGAATGAACGAAGCGCTCCGCTGAGATGACACGGAAAGGGGACTTCGAATCGCAGCGAGCGAGGATGTAGGGGTCGTGGATTGACCGTCAGAGCAGACCCTAGCCTTGCGATAGGGTCAGATCAGCTGAACACGCAGGAAACGCAGGCGGCCCAGCTCTCTTGGGGGCCAAATCGATCGGCGCCATGTTGCTACTTGTTTCTGTTTGTCGAGACGGTGAGGAGCCTGTGTAGGAGCAAGGATGCGGTGCTGTTTGCGCGTGTGAGCGCTAGCGGTGAGATGAGCGCGACCGTTGAGCGAGGCGCATGATGTGCGTGCTGCGTGCATCCCACGGCGGGGGATACAGGGCAGCAGGGCAGCAGGGCATTGGGCCGGTGAAGGTCAAAGGCAATGCGAAAGAGGCGTGGGAGCGCGATGCTCGATGAGAGCGAGAAGCGCGCGCGTGGCCGTTGGCTTGCTAGCTCACTTTTGTCCGCTCTCCCTTACATCTGATCTTCATCGTTTCAGGGACCGTCACAGCGGAACAGTCGCATGTCCTCTTGCTCGCACTCAAGCCCCCTTCTTCATCCCCTTGCTCGGCATACAGCGTATCCACAGCGCACATCCAGCACTGCAACACTTTGACTCGCTCGACTCCGCTAAACCCTGCTATCCCACTGCTTCTGTGCCGCCATGACCCTGAAACGTTTCCGAGCGGTCTAGTGCCGGATCAAAGTAAAGCCTCATCGATGCGTGTAACCCTGCCTAGTCCTGTCCTGCCTTGCCCTTGCTTGTCCACCCTGCGGCTCGAAGCGGCTACAAGTGTTGATGTGTTGCTCTTCCCCTCGCAGAAGCCAAGACGATTGGGCCGTCGTGTGCAGCAGATCAGGTTGAGCCTGACGCAGGTGTGCAGCCCTTCTATCCGTGCCACCGCATTTGAGGGTCTGCTGGTGCGTTGGTGGATGGTGTACGTCTGCACTCACCGTGAGGGCGGGCCACAGTGCCCGCATCGCACATTTGTACAAAGAGGTCTGGGCAGGTCAGCCACCTCCCCGCCAGCTCATAATAAACACATCATCCAGTGCCATCTTCCTTTACCTGCGCCTACAGTTTCCCCTCCTTCCTCTCCCTCCATCATCACACTTTTGACACCCCGGGAACAGCCTCTCCATCTCGTTCGTCTCACACGTTCAGCCTGCTACTCCTCGAAAGCTCATCCTTACTATCACGACGTACCGCGACAACCTATACACTTTCCGTACAGTCCCCGTCCACTCGAACACCCTCTCATTGGTGACATCTCAGCCCTGCCCTACTGGCAAAGGTCATCCACGCTCGTTGATCGAAGTCATCTCTGACCACGACATCCTTCCCTGACAAGCATCTCAAACACCATTGGGCAGCACCTCTCAGCCCCAACACAGCCATCATTGCGACGTGGCCGGTCAAGATGACTGATATCAACGATGGCCACCCTCGCGCGTCGCACTCGGTTCCCTCCCCTCCCTCCAGTCAGGCTCACGGACTTTTTCCCTCGCCCAGCTATTCCGACTCGACTCTCGCCTCAGGCGTCGACTCTCATCTCTGCACGCCAGAGAATGGACTGACAAGCCTTCCTCTCCAAGCTCGAAAACAGTCGGCAGACAACACCTCGGCGCGCTTCCTCGGCGGTAATTTGCACTTTGACGAGAACGACATTTTCCTCTCTTCTTCTTTGGAGCTGGAGCAAAGACCGCACTCGGCCAACGGTGCCCCGCACTCGAGCCTTGCTGCCGCGCTTGAATTCGGAATGGGCACTCCAGGCAGTTCGCCGACCAAGGCGTTGGGCAAGCGCTCCTTGCACGTCCGCAATGACTCGACCTCGCGTCGCCATAGCATTCAAGCACTTCTGCCAGCAAGTGCGACGGAGCTCTGTTCAGCATCGGGCGTCAACACGGCCGTCAAGGAGGAGGCTCAAGATGGAGCCGTTCACTCTTCGAACGCAGACGTGTTCGAATTCTCAACCCTGGGCGGCGGCACGGGCGCAGACTTTCTGCTGTCCCCACCTCGTCTCACCGTCAGTCTGTCCTCGCAAGGCGCCATCCAGAGCGGCAACCAGAGCCAAGAAAGCGAAGATTCCAAGCGACGTCGGACGACACCTCTGCCTCACCAGACACCGCAACGGAGTGCTTCGTACTCGCTTGGCCAACACGGAGCCGTGCAACAGACTCCGCCAAACTCTTGGACCACGATGCAAAGCAACGCTGCTCGCGTAGCGAGCTCAGCGGCATCGAGCTGCCTGACTCAGACGCCGTACTCATCGGCGTCTTCTGCGACGGTCCCCGACAGTGTGTCAAGCAGCGGCAGTGCCAGTAGCCGACAACGCCGCCGATCGATCGCTGGGGATATGACGAGCGAGATCGCCGGTCTTACGGCGGGTCTCACCGTGCCATTCATTCAAGAAATCGACCTTCATGCTGCAGGCATGCCAAAGCCTCCTCGTTCAGCACCGCCCATCTCGCCGGAAAACGCAATGCAACAGGCACAAGAGCAAGCCATGAACGCGAACAAGGTCACTGAGCTCAAGATCAACAAGCAAGCCGAAGTATGGCCCGATGATGTCGAGGTCGCTTTCTGGGAGGCTCTTCGACTCATTCCGAAGCTTGGTCGACGCAAAGTCCTGGTCCACGGCAAACCTTGCGGGCGCAATGAGCTCATTGCTGACTACATTGAGCGCAAGACGAACAAGAGTCGCTCGCGCAAGCAGGTGTCAAGCCACATTCAGGTCCTCAAGAACATCAAAAAGGTACGTGCTGGATGACGGTACACTACCGTCACCGTGTGAGCTCATCGACTTTGACGACTTCCACAGGGTGATCCCGAGTTCCAGCAGCTCATCGCTGAACCAGTCACCGAGGAAGACTTCTACATCCCAGCCGGCGGAATGATGTACGCCCAGACTCTTGCCAGCTACGGCTACGGCGGACTTGGTGGGCCCAATCCAATGTTTGGAGACGCAACCTCTGGTCTGCTCTCGCCATACACTCCAAGCGCTGCCCTGTCCAACATGAGCTTGGCCAGTCCGCACACTCCCTCGCCTGCCCTCTCCTCGGTCGGCCTGCCCTATCTGAATAGTCAGCCCGGCACGCCGGGCGGCTTGACCACGGCTCTCAATGGTCTGCAGTTCTCAAGCCCACAGGACCCCAAGGCAGCGGCGTCGGTGTCCTGCCCCATCCTACCCGCAAGCTTCTCCATGTGGGTTCACTGCTCTGCTAGCGAGGACAAGCACGTCTACACTTCATTGGATCGGCAGGCGATGATGTCGATCTCTCAACACAATGCGCAGCTACCTCGACTGCCCTTGGACTCTGTGCGCATTGGCGCTTACCGTTTCCCTCGCTTGGCGGAGATGTACCATCGCCTGCCCTGCCAATTCTTGTATGTGCACGTGCCAATGTCCATTCCTCGTGCGGACGTCTTGCTCCCTCGCTACGACCACTTCAGTACTCAGCTCAGTCTAACGAGCCTTCAAAGCTCTCGACTCACTAGTGTTACTACGGTCTATTCCCACGGCAAACGGGTACTCTCGCTGGTCGAGCCTTTAGATGCCCCACGCCGCGTATCAGGCAAGCCTTCGGTTAGCGGCAACGGTACTGCGGACAGTGGACACGCCGATTCCCAGAACACCGATAGCAGCGTCGACTCGTCCCCGGTCACACCCTCCGACGGAGTTTCTCTCAACGCTTCTGAGAATCGCCATCGTTTTTGGCATCAAGCACCTTTCGCGACAGACTTCTGGGCAGACTTCCTGAGTCGCAATCACCCCGTAAATGTCTACTCCCAGCGTGATGCCAATCAGTCTTTCGGCAAAGAGCCCAGCGAAAGAGCAGCTCTGGGCATGGCAGTTTCTGGTGTCACCATCATTCAAGAATTCGTCATTGCGACGGACGACAATGCTCATCGCCAAGCTGGTGCCACTACTGATTTCAGCAGCGAGAACTCCTTTGTTTCCACTACGGATGCTTCGATGGCTGCCAGCATTGGGGGTCCAAGCTGCAATCTGATTGCCGACGTCTCTGGCTACGTCAGCCCTGGATCAAAGGTGGGCGATGTTGTCCTTGTCATTGCCTGGGATCTAGAATGCGTCGAAGCACTCGGCGGCAAGCCAGGAACACCCACCGTTTCCATGCTCACGGCACCTAGGATGTCGCCGTCGCCAATAGGTCACTACGCTCCGCTGCCTGCTATGTCCCCGCATCATCAGTCAATCAACATGCAGCATATGCCAGCGCAGCACAGACCCACCGCCATGGTGCACACGAACAGTGGTCCAGTCCCCACACTCATCCGCACCCAGGCATCACCGCAGCCTCCTCAAGGTGCTCAGAGCTTTGGATCGATGCCACCGCCATCCATGCCCATGATGAGGTCTCTCAGCGGCGAGAATTTCCACCAACAGCAGCAGCAGCAGCAGCAGCAGCAGCAGCTAGGGCCAACGCTGCTGCGCAAGAGAGGTCTTTCCATCAATAAGCCTAACCTGCAGCTGAATATTCCTCCTGCTCCTTACCTCGGAGGCAACATGGGTGCTGCCATGCAACGCTCCTTTTCGTCGTCGTCCAGTCAGCCAAGTCCCGCCCTAAGCACTCACAACTCCAGCGCTTGGGGCGCGATGCAGCAGAGGGCGATGCTGACACCCATCACGCCGTTCCCACAAGTGGTGTCCACGCCTACTGAGCCTCCTCCGATGCTCAATCACGATGAGACGAAAGCACAGCGCGATCGCCTTGCCAGGGCATGGGCTGCACAAGCCCACGCATCTGCGAATGGCGGCAATGGCATGTTCACACAAGACCTCAACTCGCCACTCGATTTCAACTTTGCACCAAACGTCGGAAGCAACTTGCCCCAGATGCCCAATTTCAACACGCCGCAGCACTTTGGTGACGCCCAGCTCAGCCAATCCCAGCATTCTTTGGCTTCCAATGCACTCGATATGTCTGGTCTTCCTGACTTTACGTCGAACAGCGCAATTGGGCTGTCATTTGGTGAAATGCACAACGGCATGCTTCCCGCCCCAGTCGAGATCAACAACAACGCCATATCGGGCATGGCCTCTCCCGCTTTCGACGTGATGATTTCCCAGACGCCAGCAGCTGGCAGCAGCCCCTTGCCACCTGCTTCTGATGGTGACGCGCTCGCTACGTCTTACTACATCAACTCTTTACTGTCCTCTATGGGCATGGCACCCCTTCCCCAAGACTCTTCCGAGGGCGGGTCTCTCGATGTGAACCGTGGCAGCTAGGGGATCTAAAAGCCGTGTCATGTCAGTCTCACGAGATCTCTTTTCCATGCTCCGATATTCTCTATGTAGCCAATCATCCTTTCTGCCGTCGATGCCTTGCTAGGTCATCGTGTATACCCGTCTTCAACCAGCCCTCAGCCCTCGCTTCCCGATTCGGCAATTGTCGCGGCTTGATGTTCAGCTCCCAATCCAAGTCAACGTCCTCCACTGTTCCCTATTCAGTTGCCCTCACCATAGCCCACTAGTCATACAGCTGTAGCTATCGATTCCTCCAATCACATCGCAGCTCGCACGCACGCACGCACGCACGCACGCACGCGCTTCATCTCTTCATGCTGCATCTACACATTCACCATTGGTCGAGCGTCGGCACCCATGTCGATGACGAAATCTTATCATCTTCTTAGCCCTTGCTTGTCCGAGTTTGCCAGTGACGCTGATGTATGAGGGCTCTCTTCGTCCAGGGCTCTCGTGGTGCGCGGTGGATCAAGTGGTGAGTGATGGGTGCAGGCAGGCCAAGACCCGAGCAAAAAGAAAAGACTTGCAACTGTCAGCTGCCTCTCGTTCCGTCACTGCTGCTGGTTCCGGGCTGCGCGTTCTCCACGAGAGGTACGTACCCATCTGCATGACGCCCACAGCGTTCCTGCCTGCTGCATGCAGGCATGACCGAACGCTCGGAAGGTCTCTCCGGTTGTGGAAGGATGACTCGAATGGATAGGCCGCACCAGATGCTAGTCGGGGCCAGTCACTGAGTGGTGATGATGCGATCCTCTTGACCACCATAGCTCATCATAGGAATCATCAAGAGCTGAACAGGCGCAGACCGACCATGTCCGCAGGAGCGCAAGCTGCAGCGCCACAATTGGAGGGCTCACGGGAGTATGACCAGGCGTTGCAAAGGGTCTTGGCTTTGGCAGAAGGCAGATCAAACAGCATCCATACGGAAGCGGCGGTCGCGAGTCCCGAGGCGCTCGAAGCTGCTATCCAGACGCTGCCGAACGAGCTGCCAGAGCTCGGCTTTGGATTGAAGACAGCGACGGACGTGTTGCTCCACACTGTCGTTCCTGCCCTCAATCCAGGTCATAATGGCGGCAGATACTTTGGCTTCGTTACGGGCGGCACACTGCCCTCTGCGACTGTCGCAGACTTGGTTGTGCCCCTGTTCGATCAGAATGTACAGGTACATCTGCCTAATGAAAGCATTTCCACCGTGGTCGAAGCGCACGCAGTGGCCCTCTCTCAAGACCTCATTGGCTTGTCAAGAGAACGTTGGGAGGGTACCCTGACTACCGGAGCTACTAGCAGCAACGTTATTTCACTTTGCTGCGCACGAGAGGCGGTGATCCGACGTATCATGTCTCGTAGCAAAGCGGGCAATGCATCCGGCCCGACTGTGACTCAAGAGTGGTCTCTCGCCGAACACGGCATCGGTCCAGATACTCCTGCAGTCAACATCTTTACAGCCTTGCCGCACAACAGCATCGCCAAGGCTGCTGCTATCACCGGCATCGGTCGCCAACGAATCGTAGACGTGTCGCGCCGCTCTCGAGCGGTCGATGAGGGACAAACAGAACAAAATGACCAAGAATGCCAGGCGCAAAAGGAAGCAGCCTGCCTCGAGGTCGATTTGGAGAGACTTGAGGATGCTCTGCGGAAAGCACAGCGCGCAGAGCAGGGCGCGGTCGTTGTCATCGGCATGGGCGAGGTCAACACGGTGAGTCTGCAAATCGCAGTGCTGCTAACCGCTGGATGCTAAAGTGCACTTCAACGGGGCACAGGGAGCTCTATGTGGCCAATTGCGTGAGATTCGAATTCTTTGTGACGAGTATCACGCTTGGCTTCACGTCGATGCAGGTGAGCTTCAATGCAAGGTCATGAGGATGCAAACTCCTCGAGCACTAGATGCCTAACATGATGCAGGCCTTCGACTTCCTTTGCAAAGCTTTTGCCGCATTTGCGTGCCTCGTGCCAGGATTCGAGTGGGTCTCGAGTGATCTGGACTTGGCTGACAGCATCACGAGCGACGCTCACAAGCAGCTCAATGTGAGGTGTCTCACCGCAAGAGAGCTGTGATGTGCAGTAGTCTGACCTTCTACTCTTCCGGTGGAGGGGGCCAGGTACCTTACGACTGCGGTTTGTTCTATATCCGACGCAAGACAGCCGCTGGAGCAGTCTCAGGTCTTATCGAGCACGCATCACAAAGTCCGATAGATGCTGTGTTTGGTCCGGGTGCAGGACCAAAGCCGGCGTATCTGGTTGGATCCACTACCTCGACGAGCGAAACAGAAGATTCGCGCACGCTGAGCGGAGCGGAACGGCGTCGGCAATACGCCATGTCACAGCCCTCGCCGCTCTTTCGCAACATCGAGAATTCAAGAAGGTTCAGAGCTTTGCCGCTGTACACCGCCCTCTTGTCGCAGGGCCGCAGCGGCTACGTTGCCCTAGTGAAGCGCAACGTCAAGTTCGCCAAGCGCCTTCGCCGATGGCTCAGGTTTCACCAAGCATTCGAGGTGCTCACTCCTGCGCCCGATGATAAGTTGGCACCAGAAGATGCTAGCCGAGCTAGTCGTGTGCCCTGGGCGCTCGACGAGTGGGGCTACAACATTGTCCTCTTTCGCGCTTCCCAAGCTTGTCCGAATGCGAGACTTGCGGGAGCAGAAGGTGCAGGAAGGCTGGTAGAGGCAATCAAGAAAACTGGTCAAATGTACGTCAGCGGCACCTCGTGGAACGGCAAAGGCGCGGTGAGAATTGCTGTCAGCTCATGGCTGACAGGGCTCGATAAAGATCGCAAGGAATCAGACGATGACTTCAAGATTGTGACAAGCACCCTCGAGGAAGTCATCAGGCTATAGAGTCATCCTTGTTTTCAGATCAAATTTCATTTGATGCGCTTGCTGTGCTTTGTTGCTTGTCGTTCTTTCATGGATCGCATGTCAACCTCCAAGACTGGCCTCAGAATGTGCCGTCAGCTGGCTCATGCAGCCATCTGTTGAGCATGATCAGGGCATTTTGCGGCTGATCCAACGGCACGAAGTGACCGGAGCCCTCAACGATAGCAAAGGTGAACTGTGCATTCGCAAGGCAGGACCAACGTGGAAGGACGTAAGCACGTGTGCGAACCTTCGGCTCAGCTTGAGTCACACTCACATTGCCATAGTTGCGGTATGAACCGGCCTGCTGACCATCGTGACCGATCCAAGGCTTCAGCTCTTGCTTGTTGAATTCCTCCTTGCCGCTCCATTCGAGGTCCAGAGTCCAAGCCTCGTTACCTAGGAAGGGATGGACGGACAAGACGACGCTCAGTGCCAGCTTGACTGCATATCGCACTGCCTGCTCACCAATGTGGTTGCAAATGAAGTCTCGCTTGCCAGAATAGGCGAGCACGCGCACTCCATTTTCCAGCAGACGTTTTACTGAGTGGCGGTCATAGCCGAGCGTCAGCAGACCATGGCTTCGTAAGCAGCCACTGAACTCACCAGCCCATGTGCTCTCTTTTGGTCCATCAGCTGTCGAGTCGAAATTCTCGTAGACTTTGTCGGAGCAGCCGACGAACACACCATCGTGATGGTCACCAGCGCCGCGCTTGTCGATTCCAAGACCCTTCTTCGTGTTTGCGGCATTCAGAAATTGTGCTACCCACTCTTCTTGCTCGTAGTCTCCCCAGTGGGCCCAGTCATAGGTCGATCTGCCGGTGTCTGCCCAAGGCTGTTGCAACGAGTCTTCACAGTAGAGCGTTGCAGCTGCGCAAGCCTTTTCGTCATACCGGCCAGTATGAGTAGGCTTGTTGCATCTGAACGTGTTAGTTGACGTGAAGGGGCGTAAGTCGTGCATGCAGACGACCGAGCTTGGCTACGAGCCAGTCATTTCAACCGGCGCGACTCACTTGTCGACGAGCGCAAGGCAGACCGGAACCGCGGCCCAAAGGTCGTCGCATTGCTCCTTGGGGTAGAAGATGCCATAGCCGCTCTTGTTGGAGCAGGCGTAGTCCACGTATGCTGGGAATTGGTGTTTCGGCGAGGTGATGCCATTTCCGATCAGTACCGACTGCAGACGCACGCCAGGATCAGGTGTCAGGTCAGGACGCGCTCTACCAAGCAAAAACGCTGGCATAGCGCATGGCGCGTCGGCACTCACAGCAAGAGGCAGGGGCTCGATGCCGCGCTCGGGGTGTTCTTTGGCCTCCTCATTATCTCTCAGGAGCTGCTCCGCAATGTACGGGATCCATCGGCCCGCGTAGCTCTCTCCTGCGATGTGGAAAGTGGAGATGCCTTTGCTTTCCTCGCCGTCCTTGGAGTAGATGGATTTGGCATGCATGCCCCATAGCTGCAAAAATGCGCTCGCATCACGAGCAGCAGCGGCAGCGTCGTATATGCGCCCAGGAGCGTCATCCTTACGCGTAGTGTTGGCCCACGAGGCGTAGGAGAAGCCCACGCCTACAGGCTGGTCTAGAAACAGTATGGTCGCGTTGTTGTTCCACGACCAAGGGTTCCATTCTGTGTGAGGACCTTTGCTGGTGTTGAAAGGCGCAGCATTGCAAGGCCCAAGCTCCATGAGCAGTCCGGTAAAGCTCGAGCAGCCCTGAAGAGAGCATCAGTCTAGGTCAGCTAGGGTAGTCCCGAATCCGACCGGCGGCCCGATCGCGAATACTCAACAGGTCCTCCATTCAGCCACAAAGAGGTGGGATCCTCGTGCGGTCGACCGCTACGAGATTCGAATGCCCAGAAGTAGAAGTGCTCAATGGTAGCGTTGGGGTGTTTGCCGCCTGCGCTAGCAAGGTCGCTGCCATCCTGATGGCGGTGGAGCGCGTCCACGTCCACGTCGAGATAACCCGACCATGAGCGAGCTGAGCTGCGCTCGCAAAGATCTTTGGGAGGTTCAGTGAACCGCAGAGTGTGCGCGGGTACGCTGGGGTGCTTGACCAGAGTCTCAAAGCTGTCACCTTCCTTCGACAGGCTCACGGTGACTTCAGCCTTTGGCAGCGCGGGGTCCTGAAGCTCTGACAGGAAGGGGATCTGTGCACACAGCGCCGCGAAAGGAAGGCTTGCACACGCGGCAAGAAGCAAAGAGCAGCGCATGATCGAAAGATCTGCCAGTCACGAGTGCGATGGCGCTAGGAGAGTCAAGCGTCTGCAAGTCAGAGGTCAATAGGATGATGAGCGTCAGTGACTTGGGAGATGAAAATGTTGAATGCCGCTCCATATGGTTCTGGCCTCCACCCTCCAGACCTCGTGCGCAGCGTGCAAGTCAAGAGTTGTGAGTGTGCGTCAAAAGTCAAACTCATCAACGCAGACAAGCGCAGACCCGCAACAAAGTCAAAGCACGTGACGCGCATCTCTAGCAGGAAGCGCCGGCGCACGCGTATACGCGGTGGTACGGTACCGGTACACGCGCGCTGCGTTCAACGGCTTCATTCTCGGATTGACGGTTGAGCTCGAGCGACAGCTACACACAAATAGCATGCAGGGCAGACAGCAGTTGCTCGCGCATGGCTTCAAGCATCCACCATCCACATGCGCCGTCATCACCGTGTGTGGCCGCAGCCATGCGCTTCCCAGCAATGATTGATGACGACATTTCCTTAGCCCGAAGCAAGCCAGGCATCATGTTGCCGCAAAGCGCACACTCTTTTGACTGCACGCGCTGTCCTCAACGCAGGGGTCGCTAGTCGCAAGCATCGTGCAGTGCGCTGTCAACCTCGTTGGCCAGTATGTGATGGCACATCGCCATGCAAGTGCGCAATCAACGGTCGAGGCTCTTCATTCATGATTGTAAGACATTCCTCCCTGCACCCAGTGCTTCTGAGGCTATAGAGTTCTCACCGCGCGCATACGACGCAGGAGTATGGGCGTCAGGAGTATTTGCGTGACTCAAGGATACTTCCCCTAACCTGCCTGCTGACCAGGTCATTGCTGATGGCCAACTCGCGGAGGGTGACAGCCGATACAGCATCACCGTCATCACGCCTCTCTTCCTCAACTTCCATTCACACGCGTCTACACTCCGGTGAGCATTCTGCCCTCCCTCTTTACCTCTCACTTTCCCCTTCCACATCCCTTCAGCAGCTCTGCCTCGTCAACGTATCTCCTCTTCGCTTTGCCAATCCCTCGGACTGGACATCGCGTTCTTTGCAACAGCATAGATCTCCTTGCGTGGCAACTGATCTCGGTGATGGCGCTTTAGAAGGAGAACGCCCTCTGAAGTCCCGATCAAGTCAGCCCGTATGCCATAGACTGGCATCTCTCCGACGACGTAGGGTAGAGCTCTGTCATCCAAATGCCCGAGGCGCAGCGCGCTGTTGATGCGCGCCGCAAGGCCTCGCACAGGAAAAGACATGCACAGATCGCAAGACGAGGGGCGGACAAGGCTGGATGGTGGTCGCAGAAGGATGACCCTTCTACAGAGCAATATTCCCAGAGGCCACACAAACAGGAGCCAAAGGCAGACTCGGACGCTCGCAATGCATCTGCAAATCGAATGAAGCTCAGAAGAGCCACTCCGTTTCGCATCGAACAACGGTCTGTGGACCATGACCAGGAATCTTCAAAAGCAAAGCACTCTTTTCACACCGCACCCCGCTCGTCCACTCATCACTCGGCTTCAATCTCGACGCCTTGTCCTTCTGTACCAAGGCATAGTGCAATACCTTCAGCTCTCACATCCAGCACGACCATCACCGATCGTAGCCCCGAGTCCAGCAGTGATGTGTCCGCCGACTACCATCCCGTAGCAAATGATCACGGAGCCGGCTGGCAGCTGCGCCCTAACACACCGGCGGGTGTTGCAATCACGGTCTGCATCATCGTCCTACTGTTATTGATCTTGATGTCACTCTGCACGCTACTCGCTCGTCGATGGCGCAAGCAGCCATCATCCCAACGATTGCAGCTAAGTGACAGGGCACAATCAGCATCCTTGAAGGATTGGCGCACCACGCGGAGTGAAGTTGGATACACGGCTGGCGTTTCCACACACGAAGCATCAAGACTCAGGGCGTTGTGGCAAAAATCAAGCGAAGTCGTCACGAAGATGAAAAGAGCCCTAAGGCCAGGATCGAGGTCATCTCGAAGTGAGCGCCGTTCGAACATCTTGGCCACGGGCAGTCGTGTGAAGCTTACGGATGCGGCGAGTGGTGCATCCGGCGCCTCTGTGCCGATGTCCGCAAGGAGCGTGCCGTCTTCGCCCCTGGTCAATGACGCGCCGACGGGAGCGGTCGCGACTGCTGTGCGCACTGCTTTCGGCTTGATCGAGCAGTATCCCACACGACTTCCTCAATCGCAGGCAAGTCCATCGCTCTTGTCACCTGCAGGCCAGACAAGAAGTCCGTATGCGTTTGCGGGAAGCCCAAATATGAGCAACTTGCTGGATCTGAATTTTGCTGCGCCAGCTCACGAGCGCAACAAGGGCGTCAACTCAGGAATGGCTGTATCGAGCGCTGCTCGTCCCAACCATCACCTCTCCTCCACCGCACGTGGCACCAAGCAGCGTCACGCTTTTGACACCGCTGACAGCCCGAGGCTGCCACCTTTAGCAGTCTTTGGCTCGCCAAGGCGTGCATCTGTCCTTGCTTCGCCTCAGCTCGGCTCGCAGCCGGCCAATGAGGGTAAAGCTTCGTCATCTCGTCCGAGCTCCGCAAGATTGTCTCCTGTGCTGGGTCGTCATGGCTCGGCTTTGCGCTCGCAGTCAGCGTTGTCTAGAGAAGCGCAGCATGAGTCTACAAACGGTCACCCGCAAGCAAGAAGCACACAAGAGGCAGGAAATGCCCGACCACGCGCCTCGGCCGCCTTCGTAGGACTTGGCATAGGCATTGGCCGCGCGTTCGGCTCCCAGTCTGACCTCGGCCTTGCCAAATGCCAAGCTACCGACGTTTTCGAGACGGCACCGCCGACACGCGGCTTCATGGTGCCAGCCGACGATCAGGAAGACCTCTCACAGCTTGCATCAGCAACGATTAGTACTTTAACAGAATCCGGCGTTGCTGACGCCAAGCACGATCCTACTTCCTCTGTGAAAGCCTCGACGGCGCACCCAACCCACGAAGACCACGCAGAGGCACGGCAAGGTCTGGACAACGAAACAATCGAGCTAGGCCTTCTTTGGCAACCTCTGCCAAGCGTGGACTCTTTGCGAGGAGCCAAGTCTTTTCAGCTGACGAGTGAGCCTTCAACAGACGGCTTTGCGCAAGGAATTGCTTCGGAGAACAAGCGCGATGCGGTCTATGACCTCACGGATGAAGAGTCTGACCTCGCTGCGATCAGCGCTAGCAGTAGCGAGAGAAGCTTTACAACGCTTGCGGATGGAGCTTTGGTCTCGAACCGGGTCCTTGCCGCATTAGAGGCGGCTGGCATGTCCCCCTGCGCCGAGAAAGTGAATCCGCTCGATCTGACCACCGTGGCCCAGGAACACTCTGTAGATGCGGGCGATGCCTCGGGCATAGTCATTTTCGCTGGCAACAGAGTGCCAGCAAGGCTCAGTGATGCTCATGCCAGCCGTCACAGCTCAAGCACGACATTCTCAACCGCTCCTGGTGACATCTCCGTTAATTCGGCTTATGGAGCAGCCATGAAGAGTGTACACGCCAGACTTCTGCGTGCCAGTGCAGTAACCCGACGAAGAGCAAATACTGTCGTCATGCCCATGACCAATACGGACCCCGGTAACGTGCCCACTGGTCGAGCAAGGGCTCACTCGCAACCAAAACGGCGCTTGGCAACCATCGACGATCCCGACTTCAGTATGCACACGCGAGCCTCTGACGCTTCGCTGCGCCTTGGTCGCTCCAACCACCGCACACCTCCTGCTTCCGTCCAGAAAAATGCAGTAGCGCTATTCCAAGAAACGCCGCAGTCGATGTATTCGATGGCCAGCTACGTGTCTGTCATGAATGGGCAGAGATTGTGGTCCGCATCACCAGAAGCTTTGCAGACGCCGGCCCCGCTGCTGGCAAGAAGATCCTCTTCGTCCTCTCAGGAAGCAGCTATCACCTCTCCTGCGGCTTTCCAACGCACTCCGTTCGACCTTGCAGAGTGCTCTACGCCACTTGCATCCAAAGTTGAGCCACACTTGACGAAGAGCCCAAATTTGCCTAAGTCTTCGCAGCTCAGATCGTCGTCATCACAAGCCGAAGATGCTTTATTGGCCTTCTTCGCGACCGACAGTCAAGCTCATCAGCTTCCGGCTAGTCCCCTCTCCGATTCTGCATCTACGCCGGTCGCGACGCCAACATCTGACTTCCAGCATCGGACGCTTTCGATCGTGAGCGTGGCGTCTGACATCGCGCCCAAAGCCATTCTTGTCGATATAGGTGCGGGACCCGTGCGCGCACCTATTCATGGCGCCAATTGGGACTTTCATCGACCTCATCGCGCGATGGCAGCCCCAGAGCGCCACGACTTGCCCTCCGGCCCAGCCCGCGCTGTCTCCGTCAGTCCAACCTCCTCGCCAACAGCGAGAATCTGGGAGCGAAGAAGGCTTTCGACACCTCCACGTACAGTCCGGCCACGCACGCCAAGCGGTCCAGAAGCAGCAGAAGTGCTTCGTGACGCCATCACCCTGCTACAGAGCCGAGAGCGTCCTTTGGCTCCTTCCAACTCCAATCACACTGCGGTCGACAGCATCAGTCTGAGTGCTTCGGATTCTGGACAGAGCCTCGAAGTCAAGGCGCAGCTGCTCTTTCAGGATGTCGCATCAGCCACTGGCAAACGCTGCTCGACTGGCCCCTCGATCCGCTCTTGGAGCGATGAGGAAGATGAGCTTTCTCGCATGAGTGCTGGTCCGGGGCCGTCTCCTCTGGCAGCACACCGTTTGCTAGCTGTGCAAAGAAAGCCGACGCAACACCCGCGCAAGACTACACGCTCCCGATCAGGATCATCGCCCACCCCTGTGCGAACCTCCGCTCCTTCGAAGGAGGTGAAAGGGAAGATTTACTCCAATTCGCGGCAACGAGCTTCCACAGAAGGCGGCTCGGGTCGTTCAAAGCACCGCGAAGCCCAACAAAGCCGTTCTGCACCCAGCACCATTTCTCGCACTGCACCGACTACGAATGGCCAGGAGACAGCCGCACCTTTTGACCATCGTCCTCCACCAGATCACGTCACAGCCGCATCTCTTGCTGGCTACCTGAAAGAAGTATCAAGCTGCCCAGGCTCACCTCAGCACACGACTGCAAGGAGTGCACTTAGACCCCTTCATCTGCAGCCGTCGAGGATCCCGAGGCCCATACCTAGAGAACGGCTTGTGACTCAAGCAGCACCGCCGCCATCTAAACGCTACTTACACGCTAGGAACACTTCTGTTCCCGATCTCCACGCCCTTGTCCATGTTTCGGAGAACGTTGCAGGCATCGGCGCGCGACGTGACCCCAGTAGAGGTCAAGGATCTGCTGCAAGGGTCGATTTCCAGAATTTGCAAAGCCGGAAACGCCGCGCGACAGCGGAGGCTGGCACGCATAGCAAAGCTTTGAAGTCACCCTCGATCGGACCGGTCTCAGTGCGGCGAGGTCTCGTCCCGCTTCAGCTGGTGACCGACAATCTCAGCCCCAACACCGGTCGTAACCGAGCGCGCGAGAGCGACTATGCTAGCCCAACCATGCAGGTGAGAAGAATGCAAGTGCCTGAGCATTCTTCTCTAGCGCTGACATCCTTATTTGTGCCCAGGTTTTCCGTTTCTACGATTCCCGTCGCAGCATCATTGAACAGCACTGAATTTGGGACTTCGTACTTCAACTCCCCATTCTCAGCTTCAACACCTCGTGGTCGTTTTTCCCCGCATTTTCCCCTCTCCTATCACAGCCCTCTTTCTCCGCCATTCTAGGAATCTGGCCACAAAGAGCTGCTCGCTGTAGCCTGGCCGATGCGCCTGCTTCTTCCATCCTCGCGCTTCTCCCAAGTCCCACACCCACGCTCATTCTTGACTCCGCACTCTCGCTAGATCAGCACACACACCCACATTCACTACTCGACTCCAAGTCTGTCGCCGCATTACATACCCAGCTCGCTTGTCTGGCGGCGCTGCACCTTCATTTCCCTACACCTTACTCGGCCTCGCAAGTCCTACTAGACTGTATTTCAAATCGCTGCGATTATTGCATGCTCATTCCGTTCTCTTTGACGTGAACAGCCACACTTTTGCTATGTGGCTAGCGCTTGGTGAAAAGCACTCCGCATCTTCGGGCTGATTGTCACGCCGTGAGCTTCGTAGGTGTTCAAGACCTGTCTCAAGCCATTTCGAAGGGTTTGTTGGAGTGGTGCGGCGTTCTTCGACCAGGCAAGAGCCACTCGTTGCTGTGCGTGATCAAGCGCGCTAGGGCCTACCGGCAAGGTGCTCTCGGCTGAGCTACTTGCCCCTGCTTTTTGACTAGCACGCTTCTCCGACCGATTCGCTGCCTCGTCGGCAGCGACGGCCTCAGCCTCCGCTTCTCGCTGCCACTGATCCAAGTCTTTGAGGAGCTCTGCGCACGCAGCAATGACTTCTTCCGAACCAGCTCTGGTGTGAGAAGCCCCGGCGAGGCTGACGCTACCGTAAACGTCTTCCGTCACGCTCAAGGACAGAAGAGATGTAGCTGCATGTGCTGCCCAAGCACTTAAGGCTGGACTTGCAGGGACCAAGCTATCCAATAGTACCACGTTCGATGTTTCCCATGCAGAGGACGACGGCAAGTAGCCCAGGATGAGGTCCCTCTGCGTGGCTGGCAGGAGGCGGAAGAGCGACCTGCTGGCTGCGAACGCTGTATTGATCACCGACGCAAACGCCGCAGCAAGTGGATTCGCTTGCTGGCTGGGCGTGGCTGGAGATGCAGTCTGCTCCTGAGCACTGTTCGACTTTTGCGGGACTCCTGGCGTGCTGGCGGGTGCGGAGGGTGCGAGTCTGTGCATGAGCTGATTCAAGTTCGGATCCCTACTTTGCGATGTTGCAGGCTGCACAGCCGTCGAAGACCCTGCTGAGGTGTTGCTGGGCCGAGGAGGGGCGGCTGGAGCAGTTGAAGATGCCGTCGGACTGATACTGCATGCTGAAATCAATTTCTCCCACAGAGTTGGAGCGGGTGCGCGAACAACGGTCTGATCCGGCACCAGCACGTCATGCTTTGCTCCCGTGGATGAGATGCGCGGCTTTGCGCTAGGAGTTGTGACCACAGCAGACGCGCTTCCAGCAGGAGCGACGGGCTTGCCTCTCCTGACGACGAGTTCCCTTTCAGACTCGAGCACCGATAAGCACTCCGTCGCAATGTTTGCCCAGGCGCTCTTGCGGCTCAATGGCAAGGAAGCAATTAGGGCTGCATTATTGACTCCATCTGCCAGTGCTCCACTAGGTACGTCGCCAACGTCTTTCCACAGAGCTCTCCTCCACACCTCATCCACGTTGGACAGATGTGCGAGTTCGGCAAAAGCAAAATACGAGTAGTACTCCTGTACCGCTGTTGGAGAAGGAGTGCCTACGTTTCCTCGTCGCGCTGCGAGGCCTCCTATCAAGCATCTGACCTGACCCTTTGCATAGGCGGAGACATTCGCGGGCTGACTGGAGTAGGTATCCCACAGCACGTATGCGAGTTCCCAGATAACGGCGCTTGCTGCTGCCAGCGAGCTGAGCTGGGTCGCCAGCCCTGGACTTTGACTGAGGAAGGGCGTGGCGAACGAAGGAATAAGCAGCGGTCGTAAGGATGACTGAGCTCCTACGAGGCGCAGCACAGCGCGGAAAAAGGGGCGCCTGATGAAAAGGTAGATGGAGAACTCTACGGTAGAAGCTGCCAGTCCGAGAAACAAGGCTGGCAGAAGGCGCCGCTTTACTGCAGTCGAGACGCGTTGAGAAATACCGATGTGGAACGGCGAGGTCTCAAAGGGTGGCAGAGGTCGACGTGGCCGCAGAGCAGTCCTTGTAATCGCATATACCAAGCCGAAGATAGCATTCAGGCTCACCAAGGCGAAGATGCGCTCGTTCGGTCTGGTGACTGTGCTGAATGGTCCACCTCGAGGTCCCACTTTGACAATAATGTAGGGCGACCAGGCAGAGGAGGTCTCTGGCGAGTAGAGCCAAAGAGCTGTTGCATGTCCGATGGCAAGAATTGCGCCGCTCACGACGTATGCGCCCAGATTGGTCTGTGTTCTAGAGGACCGCAGGGCTTCGATGGCGTATCCTCCTCGACTGCCAAATGGCGGCGAAAAGCCAAGAAAGCTCCAACGTGCGGGTTGAGTTGCCGGCTGGCTCAAATTCCATTTCAGCAGCACGAAGAGTGGCAGGACTGCAGCCACATAAACGATCACTGAGAGCAGGACGATCGTAGGCCTCAGAAACGATATCAGGCCTGATGACGAGGTGACCAGCAGAGCGGAGAGAGTGAAGTGGGTCGCTACGAGCTGCAGCGTGTACATGCGCAGCAATCGTCTGCGGAGGACGTCCTGGAAGCGAAAGAAGGAAGGTGTGACCATCAGAGTGAGCATACGTGGCAGCCGAGCCTTGTGTAGGAGGACCGCTATGGAAAGCAGCTAGCCATGCGCAGGAACAAATGGGAGAGTACGTGCGCAGAGCTGTTGACCCGCCTTTCTCGCCAACGAATTTACAGCGACCTCTGCTGTCCACCTTGTGCATCCCCACAAACCTCGCACCAAACCTGGACCGCGGCGGGATGAGGCTCACCTTGATCAACGACTCATAGGACGCGTAGGCATTAGATTTGAGCGCACCATTTCGGGACACGCCGCTTGAGAGAGGGGCTGCGGCAGGCGGGAGCATCCTTGGCGGTAAGCTCCGCGAGAACCTGCTTGAAGCCAGCTACCAAGACGCCTCTGTCTGGTGATGCAGCTCTTCTGCCATGAGTGAATGCTGCTCTGCGTCCAAAATGTGTCAGATTCTGCGCGGAACGCTCGGGTATGGAAAGAATGCTTGTCGAATGTCGGCGGACGAGAGAGGCAGATGTTGATATGTTGATGTCACTCGGCGGACTTCAAAGACTCATCATGACTTGTACTCTTGACTGAGCGACTCGCTGCATATTTGCCCTGGGAGTTAATCGCGCGCGCGAGAAGAACTCCACGCGCGACCCAACTGATCACGTGGGCAAAGGGGTTGCCCGCCCTGCCTGCCAGTCAAGCCGTCGTTCACATCATTCAAGATTTGATTCTTGATTTTGATTCACGATTCCGATTTGACTTTGATCAGCATCTTAGTTGTTTTGGTATTCGAGTTTGACTCGCGAGTAGTGAGTTGAGTCACTCAACTTTACATTCACATTTGATTCACGGTTCAAGAACTACGATTGGGTCATTCTCAAGTACGTACGTACAAGAAGCTTGAGTGGAACCAAGGACAAGACGAGTCTTGAGGAGACCATTTCCCTTACAAAGCCGTGACGCGGAGGCAAGCATATCACAGAGCTGTATGATCGCAAGCTCCACAAATGACTTCGAACAAGCAATGGCGCGCACGTGTGCGAGATTTAGCGCGGCATTTTTCGCGTGCAACGAGGGGGGAAATGGTACAGTCGCGAAAGGAAGGGCTGAATCAAAGAAAGGTGAGGTTCTTCTCATGGAACAGGACACTGATTGTCTCTGATGGTGGGCGGTGCGCCAAGAGGGAGAAAGTGAAGTTTGTATAGGATGACCCAGTGGAAGAGGTCGCAACGGTGACCAAGTGAGCAGGAAGAGCAGATGCAAGAGGGGTTGCGTGGTATTTGGCAAGCAAGCAAGCGATGGCGAAAGAGACAAAGGAAAGGTGTGATATTTTGCGCACATTCTACCAAAGGCTCACAATGGTCTGTCTGAGACCTTGCAGGAAGTTGAAGCTAGGCACCGTGACGGCGCATCCACCTTGATCGATAAAGTTGGTCTGTGTGAGCGTCAATTGCGGCTGGTTGTTGACAGCGATGGTCGCAAGAGTCTTTTGCGTAGGGTTGTACTGAGGCCAGCCCAATTTGGGCAGACCATTGACAGGATCCCTAGCGAACTCCGCCCAAGCGTGCTGCATCAGGCGCGAAGTCTTGTCTTGCTCCGGTGTGATCGTCGCCTTCTTGGATGGATTGCCCAGGTAGTATGGCGGGTATGTGCCGAATAGCATCGGGCACTCTGCAAAGTGGTAGGATCCAAGAGCGGGGTAACCTTGCGTAAAGTCTTCCCAAGCACCGTGATACTGGTAGCGCCATGTTGGCGCGCCGACACGAGCGCGGTCAGCAGCGTTGGTCATGGCTGGACATGTCCACAATGGAGGAGTGAAAGCTGCGTCACTGATTTTGACGATCAATGTGTTTCCAGGGTCGTCTGAGAACAGAGTAGCCTCGTTGGAGTTGGTGCCGATCATCGTTGGGATTTTGGAGACTCTGCCGGTGTTGCTGCGCAATGCGTAGTCTTGGAACCAGGTGTGACCGTCAGGAGTGGGACCGAATTGGACGGTGTTGTCCGAGGTGATGAGCTTCACCGTGGCGTTGACGAGGTCCATCATGGGCACTTTCTGCATGCATTGGAATTGCGTCTGACCGCCTGATCGACCACAGCCGAGGCTGTCCGAAACGGTGTTCCACTCAGAGTCGTACCTGGCAAAGTTGAAGATGGATTTTGTGCCAGACGCGAGCTGCAAGCCGATCACGGAGCCCGAAGAGACGATGAGCGAGCTCGCCACAGCTGGCTTGTCGACGTGAGCGTAAGAGTAAGCGTCGATCATGGTCGAGCCACTGGAGCCCCCAAACAATGTGATCTTGCTCGGATCACCGCCGAATCTGGCGATATTCTTTTGGACCCATTCTAGAGCGAGCTCCATGTCGAGGAGTCCGAAGTTCCATCCGTCAGCAGCATTCTCCTTCTGTTTCGTGACGTAGTCCGACAGAGGGTTGCCGAAAATGCTGTGCCTGTATGCAAAGGAGACGACGATGACGTCTTCATTTGCGGCAAAGTTGTTGCCTCTGTACAGCGGAATTGTTGCTGTGCCGGTGTTGAAGGAGCCGCCGTAGACCCAGAACAAGACAGCTGCACCTCCTTTGCCGTTCGCAGCGAGCCTAGCCTTTGCACCCTGACGCGTAGATTGCTTGGCCCAGATATTTACTCTCAAGCAGTCTTCGGACCATTTGCTGGGAGGATCGATCTGCTGTCCTGTGAAGGCGAGCTTGGCGTAGCTGCTAGCGCTCTGGACAGAAGGGCAACTGGGACCGGCATTCGAAGCGTCGAACACGCCATCTGCAGACGGTGCCAGGGTGGATTTCGTGAAGCGCTTTGCGCCTGAGGTATCTGCACCGTAACGGACACCCAGCCAGCGGTAGACGCCGTTGCCATCGTCGACGCCGCGCACTTGACCAGATGTTGTTTTGACCAAACGATAGTCGACAGCTCTGCCCTCTAGGGCTGCGTGAGCCTCAACGGCGGCGGCATCTGCAGTGCGAGCAGCGAGCTCGTTGTGGTGGGCGTCTTCGACTGCTGACGGAGCGCATGCGACTGCTGCGAGAAGGGCAGCCAATGGTGCGAGCAAAGAGAAACGCATGATGAAGTTGTCGATGAAGTGTAAGGCTGGAAGAAGATGTTTATCAAAGGAAGGTGGAAGAGGGGGGAAGAAGGGGCCAGTGCCTGGGCAACGAGAACGATGCGAGTGGAGGAGAATATGGATTCAGGAAGGTAAACAGATGCGGCACTGCTTGGTAGGCAGTCAGCCTTGACCGGAGGCAGGTAAGGTGGAGTGGCGAATGGAGTGCGAAAGGGAGTGTATGACGAGAGCGACCGACCGTCGAATGATGTGAAACGGTATTCACCAGCGTCCTTTTGTGGGCTGGCTGGCTGGCTGGGGTTGCGATGCCTACCCAGATGCCGTCGGAAAGTGGGTCATTGCTCGGTGCAGATCAGCAGAAAGAGCCTATCCACATTGCCGATGCGAGTGAGTATATGGCAAGGGTCAGACACGGTCACCTCGACACAAGCACTCAGACTCTCGTAGACGTGGCTCATGGAAAGCTTGATACTCTGACTGATGATTGATCAAGCTCGGCTTGTTGGGGAATGTCCTGCGTATGAACGCACGAGCTCGACCTAAGCGGGTGCCTTGCGTCGTCTTGGCCAAGATGGCCCGGGGCAAGCTGCAACGCACGCATGCTGCATCAGCTGGCCGGACACAGCAGTAGTCACTGAGTGATATTTCCCTTGACCTCTGTTGTTTCACCGCTAAGGTGACGAGCAAAGAAACTCCGCACTCGACTTGCTAAGGACCCAGAAGGATCGAAGCGTATTTCTGCGCGCCGGCCTAAACCTGCAGCCGCGCACGCTTCTGCTGCATGCTGCTGCTGCTGCTGCTGCTTCATCACTTTGACTGGCTCGGTTCGCGAGCCGTGGCAGGCACTCTACCTGCATATACACGGTGCAACCATGTGTATGTGCAGTACAGCGAGACCCTCTTCTGAAACCTAACGGACTTCGGACCTCCCATTTTGCTGATCGCAAGCCACGCAAGGACGTGCGATGCTGCTTGCTGCAGAGCAAAGCATCGCGCAGCGTCTCAATAAGCACAGAGGTGGGCGGGCTGATGAAGGGAGAGGACGCCGCGGAGGATCTTTGCTTCCATGTCTCAGCTCAGCGCAGGTTCATCTAAATTAATAAGTTGACGCAATAAGCCCCGCGAGCGGCGGGCGCCATGCTGCAAAGATTTCACGATTGGGTTTGCGCGCGAGCAAAGAAAAAGGCTACGCCACGCGTGTACCGTACCGGCATACACTCGCAGATCAACCCCACAAAAGACTTCTTTGACAGGAAGCAAAACAGGCGAGCTGGACGGCATGGCGGAGGCTGCCCGGACATTCGACCCCAAATTGAAAGAGTTATATTTTGCTTCCGCTCGTAGTCTTGAGTGTAGTGCCAGGCCGTATCCAGCAGTCGTGAGTCAAGGCGGTTGCCAGGCGTCTGCTTGGGCCTGCCTGCCTTTCATTGTCCCTGTTGGGCTTGTCGGTCACGCACTGGGCAGCAGCAGCTAGTCCAAGCCGTCTGTCTGATCGGCAAATTTGCGCACGGCTAGACCAGATGGCTGGTCTGTCACGCCGGCTTTTGCTCGAGACTTGCGAGCCAACTTCGTTCACAATTGACGGAGCAATCGAAGTACAAGATGGGCACCTGAACCGGGCGCTCGCCGCCTGCACTCGGACTGTGACTTGCCGTTGGAAAAGGGGGGCCTAAGAACGGCAACTCGTTTGAGATCCCGTCGCTTCCTCCGCTGGTCGTGACGACATGCTTGCCGAGTCGACGCTTCTGCTTACCCGCGATCTAATGGGCCATGCTCGGCAGGGGTCGCTGCGCAGAACTCGTATGTTATGTCCCCCTTTTCAGAGTGGCGCTTACTTACGCACGTGCCAGTGATCGGCCAGTAGCGAGCTGGAAGGACAACATTGACGTCTTCTGGGCGGGACAACCATCACAGCCCCCGCCTGACCGGTCGTCCACATCCGTGCCGTGATTGCGACGCTCCGCAGCGATCTCGATTGGCTTCTTGAAAGCCTGTTGACAGTCACGAGTATGTCGATTTCCCTCTAAGGAAGGCCAAAGTCATGCATTCGATCGTTCCGCGGGGAATTTTTGAGTCAAGAAAAGAGTTCCGAGAGGCTTAATGGCCGCTTGCTTGCTGTCAGGAGGTCAGGCACGCACCAAAAGCTGTGCACTGCAGCTTGCTTCGCTTGAACGGACACGCACCGACCGCCATTTATAGGGCGACCAGCCTCGCTCGACAGGGGAGGTCATGCAAGAACGGCGTCATGTACGGCGTCATCTCAACGATTGCCTCGATCTGACCACACTCACGACTTCGGTGCATGATCAAGTGCCCCTGATCTGCGATCGGGCCGGTCAACACGTAGGATGAGCAGCAGCAGCGCTCGACCGCGAGACAGATGGACGGTTCCAGATAAGCAAGACGATCTTGTGAAATGAACCGTCGGTGCGCAGATAGGCGATTGCATGGCTGATGTGCGTTGGATGCTCCTCTCGGCATTCACATTAGCGCGCTCGTAGGCACGCGTCGCGTTTGGTGCGTGCGCGCAGGAGGGAAGTCAAAAGTGACATGTGTCGAGCATGACACACGGACACACATCTCATTCCTGACCGCGCTTCATCAGACGCGATGACGCTCGATCGATGCGTGTGCCGCTCACGTCACACTCACGCACACCTCGGATACGGTCCGTCGATCTCGCGCGATAAGCGTCGCTGTCACCGACATTCGTGATGGGATTCACATGCTTCAGAAGGCACGTGTGCGGTCAAGTTTCACAGTCAAAAGTCAGAGTCCAAGTCACCGCGATTACCATCGTGAAGTGAGTCGTGAGTTTGGGTTTGAAGTCAAGAATTTGGCCATGCAGGGTCCTGATGAGCAAACACGTGACCTTGAATGCGTCCCACTACGGGTTCGCCATTTGCAGCACCCAGCCTCTCCACTTGGACTTGCAGCACTCACGCTCACGACTCAAGACTCAAGACTCACCACTCGCGTCCACCTACTCATTCGTGAGTCACAACCAGCGCCCGGCTACTTCTGATCCCAACATACGGCAACACACGCGTTCTACATGAGCGGTCCTTACAGAGTATAACATCTCCACAAATCAGTCACCACCTGCGAGAGAAGACAAAGAGTTGGCCGCGTTAAGTCACGTCCGATCGTCTGGTCGCGCCCTTGGGGAAATGTTTGCAGCTTTGGTCAGACGGGGATTTAATCGGCTGACTGCCACGAGCTCTATTCACCATGAGCACAGACGTAGTCGCCAAAGCACCATCATCATCGGGGCGAGAATTGGGCGAACAGAATAATCTGTCCAGTGAGCCTAACGCGTCCGCCGTACCGAGCAGTGCTGCGGTTCGCCAATCGAACACGACGCCCTCGAATGCGCGACCGCGCGACAGGCGAAGTCCAAGGCGAGCGCCGCCAGCTTTTCTGCTGCAAATAAGAGCCTCGCACAATGCACTGAGATCCAGCGACTTGATTGGCTGGCCCAACTCTGGCGGAACGCGACCCACAAATAAAGACGGGAGCTGCATCAAGAATGCTACCGGTGCGCTCGAGTCACCAAGCAAGGATCAGCGCATCGACCTGGATGGTGACGCCTTGGTACATGGTCATGCGAGCCAAGAGACAGAGATCGACATGGACGAGGCGTTAGACTGGGAAGCAGAAGACTATGATGATGAGACTCTCACAGCCAGTGCTTGCTTCATCGACTGGGAGCGCAGAAAGGTGGCAAGCCCGCAAAGGGCGCACAAAAAGCTTGCCGCACTCCTGCCAGATGCCAGTTCGAGCGTGCAGCGCAAAGAGGAGATGGCGGTTGCGCGGCACCCCGAACAGGTAGATGAGCCGCTCTCCCTCCACTCGAAGCGCTCGATCGATCAGCTGGCATCGAGCCGTGATGCTTCTGAGCGAGCGATCTCGACCGACTTGAGCGCGGGCGCCATCTTGCGCGCTCAGACAAGCACGGACACGCAGAAGCACGATGCTGCGAACGCGCAAGGGGGTGTCACGCCTCACATCCGGACCTCGCCCGCCTCTTCTGGCCTCTCAAAGCCATTGGCGCCTCCCGATGACGACGTAGCACCGGGCGTCGAGGCTTCTGTCTCGGCAGCGACGTTGTTGCCCTCCAGCGCAGCTCCACTACCTGCACAGGCAGCTGCCACTTCTACCGCAGTCTCTGCACCCAGCACAGCACAAGGTGCGAGCAACGAAGACCCGACCTTGGTGCCACCAGACAACTTTGCGATGGTCAACACTTGGGTGTACAGGTCCAGCTTTCCCAAGAAGAAGCACTTCACTTTCTTGAAGACACTGGGACTCAAAAGTGTCTTGTGAGCTGCTCGAAGCTCCTTTGGCTCCGCCTCGATCAGCGTCTTGACGTTTATCTGCATCTTTGCTTCTCGCAGAACTCTCATCCTGGAGGAGTACCCAGCTCAGAACATGAAGTTTTTGCACGATGAAGGGATCCGCTTCTTTCAATTTGGTATTCCTGGCAACAAGGTGAGTGTTCAGCAATCAAAAAGCAGTCTGGTGCTCGTATGACGCAACTGATTTCACTTCTCCCCCCCCACCATCTGGGAACACTGCAGGAGCCCTTTGTTCAAAGTGAGCCGACCTTGGCGTCGCGGCAGGCTCGAACTCCGGCTCATACTGACAGACGTGAAACCGCTTCCCTTGCAGTACCCGAGAACATGATCACTGCAGCTCTCATCACCATCCTGGACCGCAGAAATCACCCCATGTTGATCCACTGCAACAAGGGCAAGCACCGTACGGGATGTCTGATCGGCTGCCTGAGGAAGCTGCAACAGTGGAGTTTGACCACCATCTTTGACGAGTACAGGAGGTTTAGTCATCCGAAGTCTCGAAGCATGGATCAAGAATTTATCGAGCTTTACCAGGAGAATAGAGTGTGGTCTGAAGTTGGGTACAGGTGGTTGCCGCGATGGTGAGTGACCGCACTTACCCGTGGTCCTTTCCTGCACGTGTGCTTGACCTGATGCACACTGACGTGCCCTTTTGGGTATGTGTGTCAGGACGGTGCTGCATAAACGCGCCACTATGATCGCTGCAGCACAGGGCATCGGTGCGACTTCTTCGTCGGACGAAGACATGAAACAAGAACAGGAGTTGCCTTTCTCGTTACCAGACACCATTTCACGCACAAGGGGACAGGGTTTGCGCAGAGGAAGAGGACGCAGGAAACAATTGGGCGTGGCGGAGCCCACGCATGGACTGTAGCTTTGAAGGACTTGCGCTTCGGCTTGCACCCCGCCTCTGATCATCGATTCCTATTCGACTCGCGTTTCTGAACCTCATGGACAGAATCGCACCAAGCCATCATTGCGTCTCTCAGTCTTCGCGCGCCCTTTCTCGCCGCGTGTGGTGCTACTGGCCCGCCTGCAAATCTGCGGATCGCCAAACATTGTACAGGGCTGCAAAATTGTGGGCAACTGCTTCGACGACACGCAGGATGCTGCGAATAGACAATACATCATTGACCTTTTGGTTTGCATTGTACTCTCGCAAGAGACAATGCACTACATCTCTGGGCTTCGTCTCTGGTTCTGAGCGAGATGCGCTTAGTTCTTGACCCAGAGGTCGACGAACTTGTGAGCGTCGAGGCTGATCAGCTTCTCGTGGTCATCGATCAAGCTGAGCAGCTCTTGCTTCTTGGCCTCGTCGAATTGGCCCTCGAGGTGAACGCCGAGCTTCTTCTTGATGAGGGGAATGGACTCCTCACGACGGGCGCGCTAATGGTAGCAGAGAGATCGGCAAAAGGGGCCAAAAACACCTCTCATGATCAGCGTTGTGCCTTAGAACGCGACCAGACGAGTCAGCCAGTCAGCCAGTCACTCACGTGGCCCACGGGGTACTCGAGCGCGACGGGGCCGAGCTTGGAGCCGTCAGTGAACTCGAGCTCGACGCTGTTTCCGATGGTGCGCTTGGAAGGGTCCAAGTAGGTCTCCGTGTAGCCAGCGTCCTCCTCGACCCACATCTTCTCACGAAGAGAGTCGATCGCTGCACCGTGCTCGGCGGCAAAGTCGTCTCCGTACATGTGAGGCTCGCACTTGCCGAAGAGCAAGCCGAGGGCAGCCATGTACTGCAGACTGTGGTCACGGTCGGCTGTGGGAGCAAGGGAAAGAAATGAGCCCTCAAATCACGACGTGCTCCTACTGGGATGTTCGCTGGGTTCGTAAACTCACCGTAGTTGGCCAAGTGACCAGCCTTGCTAATGATACGGATAGCGCTGTCCTGAGTCAAGATCTTGATCTTGCTGATGTCCTTGGCGGTCTTTCCAGCCTCGGTGAACTTCTGGTTCAGAATGATGGAAGCCTCGACAGCCGTCTGAGCGTGGAACTCGGCAGGGACAAGCTTGAAGAGGACGTTCTCCATCACGTAGCTTCCATAACCTCTCTCGAACTCGAAGGCCTTGCCCTTGAAGAGCACATCGTAGAAGCCCCAGGTCTTGGCAGTCAGCACAGAGTTGTATCCCATCTCTCCCTTTTGAACGAGAAGTGCAAGGTTCACAGCGCGGCTGCATGCGTCACCGGCAGCCCAAGACTTTCTGGAACCGGCGTTGGGAGCGTGCCTGTAAGTACGCAGAGACTGGCCATCCACGAACGCCTGAGAGATGGCGTCAACAGTCTGGTCACGGCTGTTGCCAAGCAGCTTGGAGACGACGGCAGTGGAGGCGACCTTGACGAGGACGACGTGGTCCAAACCAACGCGGTTGAAGGAGTTCTTGATGGCCAAGTTGCCCTGAATCTCGTGGGCTTTGATAGCACCCTCGAGAATGTCCTTGACCTTCAGGGGAGCCTTACCCTCAGCGACAGCAGTGCGGCTGAGCCAGTCGGTGACAGCAAGAATGGAACCGATGTTGTCGGAAGGGTGACCCCACTCGGCTGCAAGCCAAGTGTCATTGAAGTCCAACCAGCGGATCAGAGCGCCGTTGTTGAAAGCAGCACGGATCGGGTCCAGCTGGTAGTTGGTGCCTGGCACCTACGCATCCAAGAGCGAGCAAAAAAACATAGCGTGAGCTTGCGACTGACTTGGGCTGCGTGAACCGGCAACCTGAACCTCCACACTGTCACCCACCTTAGCTCCGTTCGGCACGACAGTGCCGGGAACTACGGGACCGAGGACAGCACGGGCGCCGGGGTAGCGCAAAGCTTCCATGTGGCAACCCAAAGAGTCCATCAGGCACAGTCGGGCAGTGTTCCAGGCTGTCTCGGAGGTGATCTCGAAGCTGCGAGACGGAGCTCTTGCATCAGTATCTGACCGTTCTGCGAGATGAGCAAGATCCGGAACCTTGGCACTCACTTGTGCACATACTGTAGTGAGGAAGCAGCACCAGCACAGACAGCCGGGCCAAGTCAGAACAGTCAAGTCGGAGGGCAGTGATCAGAGGGAGCAAGTGGATACATGCGGTACCAGAGCGAGCCCACCCTCAGCTCACTCACGTCGGCAATGTCCTGAACGACCTGATCGGGGTCAGGGCGGACGTTGGATTCACCAAGACCAGCACCGCCAGCCATCTTGCTAGCAGAGGTTGAGAAGAGGGCGGCGCGAAGGCTGTAGGGTTGGCGGGAGGAAGCCTTGGAGGGGGCGGGACGGGAAGCGTTCAGCAGGGAGACGCTGGAAGCTCGGACTGCGCTTGTGCTTGTGCTGCTCAGTGCTCGGTTGGACGATGCGCGGAGAAGCGAGAGACTGGAAGTCGCAAGGCGGGTCATCTGCGCACGAGGAGGAGGAGGAGGAGGAGGAGGAGGAGGAGGAGAAGGGCGAGGAGACGTGAGAGACCGCTTGCAATGACGCAGAATGACTAGCGCATCCCTGTGTCATCCAACTTACCGCCGTAGTGGGAAAGAGAGTGCTTTGGGGATAAGAGTGGGAGGGTGTAAATGCCAACGATGTGTCACGGCGATGGCGAATGGCAGGGACGTAGGTTGTGGACGGGAAAAAGGAGATGAGAGCAACGCCAGCAACACTTGATACTATTTCAGCTTGCGACACTCGTCAGACTTTTCCACTCACCACTGGCTATCATGGACTCAAGAGCTTCGCGCACTGCGACTGCTGCACGTTGGATGTACTACTCGGGACTGCTGCTCACACTGTATCAGATCTGATGCGCTGGGCATTCACGATCGTGCCTCTTTGGCCGTACTATTCACACTCTTGACTGCCATAGGGTAGAGCGACCGCGGGGTCCAACGGCCCCTTGAAGCACAAATTGTATCAGTGAATCAGAATGGCATGCAGCTGCTATACCCATCAGCAGCAGACAACCCCTGCTGCGTATTGCGTACACTCCATTCGTGATTCGATCCCCCGCAGGCCTTGCTGCTCCTTCTTCTCCGAGCGCGCGAGGCGAGCGTTCTTCGCCCTTTGAACGCGTGAGAGCGTACATATAGGCGCGCGGGCACATTTTGTTGGGCAAGCTGCTCGCATACGCGCGCAGAGCACGATCGATGGCCGAAGCCCGAGTTGCGTAGGCTAAAGACGCGTGCAACCGGAGCGGCCGGCATCTTTCCCGCTTCGCTCTGCCGAGTCTCCCGCTTGCTCCGTTTCGCGCCGGATGTAGTCACGTGAGATCGCACGGACCATCTACGGATTCAGGAATTTCACTCGCAGCACTCGTCAAAACTCTTGCACGCTTATAATAATTGGAGTCGATCTTGACTTGCGCTCGTGGCGGGGGTGCATCATATGGCGTGCAGCAGGGCGCGGCGCCCAAGTACGTTGGCCGGGTCCTGCTGCTGTGCTCGTTCGTGAGATGTGCGTTGTGTGAGAAATGAGTACTCAGAAGAGTCAAATCCCGATCGGAGTCACGAGTGTCGAGCGACAGATGTACGGGCTGTGCGTCACAAGCGAAGAATATGCCAGCGAGAGCAAGAGCGAAAGCGCACAGAGTCGTGAGTGTCTCTCACAACACCAGCACCGCGTTGCGCGCGACGTTGAGGACGATAGGCAGGCAGGTAAGATGAGCAGGACTGCGAATGGAAGTCACAGCGCAGCGGCGTCGGTGGAAGAGTACATCGAGATTCTCAGCGCGGAGCAGCATGTGGATCTGGACAAGCTGCGAGACTACGCCAGGCACGGATGCCAGCCGCAAGTCAGAGGGGAGGTGTGGCTGTACTTGTTGGGCGTACTGTCGGATGACAAGAGTCAAGAGATGACGTCGGTCAGAAGCAAATATCTGGAGTACGAACAGCTGGACAAGCATCATCCGGCACTCGAAAAGAGGATCAGGGGCGAGTGTGCCAGGTACTACCAGAGAAGACTGGTCAGGCGCACCCCACTGAGTCGTGGCCTGGCGAGAAGCGGTGAGTGCGACTTGCAATCCAGCGTTCGTCTTCGCTCATGCGACAGACGTCGAATCGTCCTTGCGTCCTGGCGGGCGTCGTACATATCGGACTTGCCGCTGCGAGCAGCAGCAGCTCACTCTCTCTCTCCCCCTCGTACAAAATCTCCCTCTGTCTCTCACCCCGATCATCGGCAGCGCAACGCATTCCTCATCGACCATCCTCACAGGCCACGTCGGGCATATACTCCATGCCATGGCAGGAAAATCATCATCCATATCACGTCTCGCACGAATTGCAACTCGCCTCCGGCAGCAGTGAACCCAGCGCTTCTCGAGACTCGGCGTTGAGCAGCGCCACAGGCACTCGCGAACGTGGGCCCAACCGCATTGATGGAGCATTGGCGAACGCCCGCGTCGGAATCATGGGTGGGATTGGCAGCTCCGGAATGCTGGGGTCACATGAAGACGAAGACCCGGTAGCAGCGGCGGGCGAAGAGCTCAAGCGGTTTTCGGCAGCTGTCGGCAGCGTTGTATGCGCTCATCTCAATCGATGGGACCACGACAGCGGCAGGCGCACAGAGAGGAAAGACTCCGTCATTTTACCCCCGTTCAAGACTGTACATAGCGATAGCGGATCGGATCACAGCTCCTCCGGTAGCGAAGGAGATGATCCGCACGAGCTTCGACAAGCCTCGACATCGAGATTGTCCAGTTGGCCGCCCTTCGAGGCAAGCTCAAGCCAGCAAGAGAGTGCGGAACGCACAGCCACCACTTCACAATCTTCATCGAGTACCAACTTCGGGATGCACGAGCACGAAACTGCACCACTGAGCGCAAGCCCATCCCAGGAAAGCCAAGGTGCTTCCTCTGCGCACTTAGAAGCCCGCAATGATCACTCAGGAATGGCTTCCAATGCTAACTTGACTTCAACGATGCGGCCTGGCGCGAGCTTGCCTCGAGAGTATGAATGGGCTCACTCTGGACCAGCTATCGCTGTGAACTCCACCACGGCATTCGATGGTGTCAGCCGCGGTCAGTCTGTCAGCTCCGTCGTTGCTGCTGACCACTTCCGACATCGCTCCAGCTTGGGCGATGGGGCACCTGAGGCGGCCACCGAGGGGGTGGCAAGCGTTTCGCCCCAAGCACGTGAAGGCACCACAACAGCACCACGCGCCACCTTCGAGGGCTTCAGTCCAGATCTCATTTTTCTATGCGCACCCTTCGTGAAATGCGTGAGGGTGGAAGCTGGTATGTTCTTTGCTTTCGACAAATTGATGAGCATGATTGGTGAGCTTTGCGGCGTGATCACCTTACATAGCGGGCCACCTTTGCTGACGCGAATGGTTGCAACTCGCATCGATAGACAAATACAACGCTCGCAATCCCTTGCCCGCCCAAGTGTCTGGATTCCTGACACTCTTTCGAACCACTCTACCTGACCTCTACGCATACTTTGAAGAGGAAGAGGTAGACGTCGTTGCTTTCGCGACCAGCTGGCTGAGGCATCTGCTAGCCGGCGAAATGCAGATGGATGACCTGCTCCGCCTATGGGGTGAGTGCATAGCGCCAGTGAAATACGAGACGGTGGGCAATCCGTCTGTCTGACTCTACAGCATCTTGCGCGGGCTTGACAGACACCTATTTCGCTATTCCCGACCCGCTTGACTTGCACCTCTTTGTTTGCATCGCCATCTTGACAAATTGCAAAGACGCACTAGAAGAGTTGGATCAATCGGAAGCTAAGAGCATGCTCTATAGCCTGCCACAATTGGATGTCGATCGGGTGAGCTACTAGAGCATCACGCCTGCAGAGACTGTGCTGCTATACTGACGCGCAAACCTTACAGATCTTGCAGGAAGCTCGCAATATCCAAGTATCGGTCCGACAATCCCAGGCAGAATCTCTCTGAGTGCCTAAATTAGCCAGCTCTTGCCGCAAGACAGCTACCCTATGTCATCGACACCCACCCGTCGCACGTGCAGGCGTGGTCGCGACGCAAATGAGTGACTTGATCATCTGTATAAATTCAAACAATGCGCGCAGCTACCGAAGGTCTATGCTGCTGTTCAAAGCCACTGCCAACGTCGAGAGGCAGCAAATTAGCATGGGTGAGGAGCGGGTCTGTTCCGGGACGAGAAATCGCTCACCTCAATCGTCGCCGGGGGCTTTGACGAGATGTCCATCACCACTCTATTGATACCCGTGACTTCATTAGTGATCCGATTGGACAGGTTCGAGAGAAAATCGTGCGGGAAATTGAACCTGCGCGGGGCGAAGAAGTCCGTCAGTACAACGGTCCGACATCACGTCAAGCCCGCTTGTTGTCTCTCACCAAGTGGCAGTCATGAAGTCGGTGGTCTGCGCAGCTCGCAATGCGATCACTTGATCATATGTCCTCTTGTCGCCCTGCACACCAACGGCTCGAACTGGCAACAGCACTGCGAACGCTTGACTGATTTGGTCATAGAACCCACCCTTCCTGATCTCTTCGATGTAAATCGAGTCGGCCGCCTGCAGAATAGCTACCTGTGACCGCGTTACTGGGCCCAGGATGCGAATTGCCAAGCCTGGTCCTGGGAAAGGATGTCTGCCGACCAGATGCGCTGGAATGCCTAATAACTTGCCCAGTTCCCGTACCTCGTCTGTTGCAAGGTCACAAGTTCGCTATGTGAGCACAGGAAGTCGGGGCTCCCTTTGGCAAACTGATCATTCCCATTCTCACCTTTGAAGAGCTCTCTCAATGGCTCGATCAGCTTCAGCTTCATATCCGCCAACAAGCCACCAACGTTGTGATGAGTTTTAATCGTAGCACTAGGTCCCTTGAAGCTGATGCTCTCGATGACATCTGGGTAGAGAGTCCCTTGAAGGAGGAACTCATACTTGCCCTTGGGTTGATGCTGCGATCCGAGTCTCTTCGCTTCAGCTTCCTCTTCTTCGGCTTGCTTCTCCAGCTTTGCAGCCTGGGCCTCGAAGACGTTGATGAAGGTGTTGCCGATGATCTTTCTCTTCTGTTCCGGATCCTCGACGCCTTCGAGTCTGGAGAGAAAGAGGTCGGATGCGTCCACAATGGTGACGTTGACTCCCAGATGCTTGTTCAGCATTTCATCCACCTGCTTCGCTTCTCCAGCCCGCAAAACGCCATTGTCAACCATGACGGCGTGGAAGCGATCGCCAATGGCTTGATGCATCAATTTCGCCGCCACACTGCTGTCCACGCCGCCTGAGATAGCACCTAAAACCCTGGCGGTGGGCCCGACAAACTCGCGAATGCGGGCGACCTCTTTCTCGATGAATGTACCCTGCGAGCGATCGATGCAGTCAGGAGGAGTCAGTGAGCGGGTCGACTGACGAATGAGCGCTTTGGAAGATGTGCTAGCTTACCATGTTCCAATCCCGGCGCACGCCACAGATGTCGATGAATGCAGAGAACAGCTCCTTGCCCCGCGGAGAGTGCGTCACCTCAGCATGGAACTGCACACCGAAGATGTCCTTGGTCTCGTGCGCAATGGCGGCGAAAGGAGCGGTCGGAGTCCGAGCGATGACTTTAAAGTTGTCCGGCAGCTTTGATAGCTGATCGCCGTGTGACATCCATACCTAAAGTGAAAGGGGGACGTAAGACGCGCATGGGATGAGCGCAGCTCATTCCATCGATCGACCCCCACCTCCACTCACTGGTACCTGGCTGGGCTCATCCTTGAAGAGGCGGTCCATGCGTGGATCGCCCGTCTTGACGACGTCGATGACCGCCTTGCCATACTCCCGCCGATCGTGTGGGTCGACCTTGCCACCGTGATTCCAGGCAATCTCTTGCAAGCCATAGCATATACCCAGCACGGGCACACCTGCTTCGAACACCGCAGGGTCAACTCTGGGCGCGCCTTCGTCATAGACTGAGTAGGGGCTGCCAGATAGGATGATGCCGCTGGGTTTCCAATCTAGCTCAGAGATCTTTTGAGTGCACGGAAGCATCTCGCAGTAGACGTTGAGCTCTCGACATCTCCGAGTGATCAGGTGCGAGTACTGCGACCCGAAGTCGAGAATCAAAATCGAGTCATACTGCGAGTGAATCGCCTCTGTGAGAGCGGGCATGATGCCTTGCAAGGCGAGTAAAGTTGGTCAATACAAGCAGATGAGAATGGTCGTAGCTGCTAGGACCCTTCAGCTTGCTGTCGGTCGAGCGATCGGGTCTTGAAGTCACGGTACTGGTGAGGAACGAAGTCGAAAGAGCATTTACACGGGCAGAAGCACCACATCGAGTGGGTGCGCGGCAGGTGCGTGAGGTTGCCGCCAAGCACCGCCGCGAGGGCATTTGGACAAAAATAATCGAGTCTGCAGTGCGCCTAAATTTCTCGTACGACATTGCACAGGGTGCGCGCCTTCGACCTCACGCGACGCGTGCACGCCACGCGCGTTGTTTGCCTTTATCAATTTAAAAGTCTCGAGTTCGCGTGCTGCATCAGCTGCTGGAGCGCGCGAACGCGTCTGTCTAGCAGGTCAAAAGTCGCGCAAAGCGCGCGCGCTGCAGCAAAGAGACCAACAGCACATATCCAGGCGCCACGCGCGGATGCGAGTCAGCATCACGTACGGGGCAACAGGCCTCTCGGCACTCTTCCCCATCACTCCCATCAGCATCTTTCATTGATCCCTCAAGCCTCGTATTCACAGCATCTCTTGATCTCGGTTCCCATTCGACCCTCTGACCCTTTTGCAAGCTCTTCCTCGACACACCTTGGCCCATCATGCTGGAAGCACGCATGCAAAGTGCCTCCACCCTCAAAAAGGTCATTGACGCTGTCAGAGACCTCATCACGGATGCCAATTTTGACTGCAATGAAGAAGGCATCCGCATGCAAGCAATGGACAACTCCCACGTTGCGCTGTCATCAGTCGAGCTTCGATCGTGAGTCGTGCAACCCACTGGAGTAGGGCCAGGAGACCACCTCTCGCTAACCTGTACGTAAACCCGCTCGTGTTGCCTCGCTTGTTGCACAGCGATGGATTCGCACCCTACAGGTGCGACAGGCCTATGAGCATTGGTGTCTCTCTTGTCAGCCTGACCAAGATCATCAAGACTGCAGACAACAACGACACTGTCACCATCAAGAAGGACGACGATGGAGACAGCCTGGGAATCATGTTCGAGAGCTCCAAGTCGGACAGAGTTGCCGAGTACGACATGAAGTTGATGGACATCGATTCGGAGCACTTAGGCATTCCGGACACTCAGTACGACGCCGTGGTGTCAATGGCGTCTGGAGAGTACGCACGAATTTGCAGGGACCTGAGCGTAGTCGGCGAGAGCGTAAGGATCGACGTGTCCAAGGAAGGCGTGGGCTTTAGCGCGGACGGAGAACTGGGCGTGGCGAAGCTCACTCTCAAGCAAGGCGCTGGTAGCGCTACTGGTGCTGGAGACGATGATGACGACGACGATGAAGACAGCAAGCCCAACAAGAAGAAGCGCAAGGCGGGCTCCGGTGAAGACAAGGTGGTGCCGGTAGAGATCAGACTCAACCAATCCGTCTCCCTCACTTTCAGTCTCAAGTATCTCACCATGTTTGCTAAAGCGGCGCCATTGTGCGATCGAGTCAGCCTTCACATGAGCAATGAGGTTCCTTTGTTGGTTAGTCGATCATTGATGTTGTGCTCTCTTTGCAATCACTTGCTGAACACTGCTCTCTCCACCCATCTAGTGCGAATTTGGCTTTGATGATGGCCACGTACGCTTCTACCTGGCTCCCAAGCTGTCGGAGGTGAGTCTTTTGGCGCATTGCGGGTGGGCGACAGGTAGTGGCGCCGCTACGCACTTGCCTGACCGTCATCGATCTTTCTCTTTGCAGGACGACGAGTAGACCCTCGTGGCTGCGCAATCTTCTCTCTACGCACCCTTCTCGACAAAGCACGAAGGCTCCAATGTACGTTGCGCGTCACTCTTTCCTTCAATCGCACACCAGTCCACATCTGCCTACACCGACGCGCAAGCGTACGCATGTGCAATGCGCGATCTGCGAGGCAGCTGTCTAGACAATAACGGATGCCGAAATCAAGCGTCTCGCGCTTGTTTTGAGCCAAATCGCCTCGATGGTGTTAAGTGTCTGAGTTGCTCATCTTGTGCCCCCGACCTACATGGATGTGGGCGCGCAGCCGGCTAACACTCGCGGCTGCTACTTCCCTCGGTTCGCAAGCAGCGGTTCTTAGCTCGCGAATCGTGAGTGGTCACTCGAAACTTGCGTACTTGCAGCTCCCGATTACGATGGACTCGTCATCGACCCTGCTGGGTCCTTGTATGGCTGGAACCATACATAAGCTTGCAAGCCTCGACCTCTTGACTCAAACTCGAGACTCCCTCAGAAGTCGCTTGTGCGCGAAACTTTCGTCACGTGATACTCGGCTGGCCCTCTTAAGTCAAGAGTCTTGAGTCAAAGTGGAGACCTCGTAGGAGGTATGCAGCCGTACAGGTTCGCGTAGGCTCTCCATAGAAGCTGGCTGATAAGAGCTCGCATACTCTCTCTCCCTCATGATCCCTGAATCGCAATCCACGGCCGCTTTGACCACACGCAACTTCGTGTGACTAGCTCTTGAGCATCCGCTTCCTTCGCTCCAGTCTGCCTCCTCTTGGCAGTCATTCGTTCCTGCGACTCTACATAGCTTGCCGAGACATCCGCAACCAAAATCGTCCCATCTGAACATCATGCTCAGCAACCTTGACTTTGCGATTGACGCTCTGTCGGTCATCACTGCGAGCGGACTGCTGATCGCAGGAACCACACCACCCGCACAAGCGCCGAGCGTCAAGTCCAAGGCGGAAAAGGAGGCTGACAAGGCGAAAGGGAATGGAGAGCCAGAAGACTTGATTCGTAAGCTGGGACTCACCAGACTGGAGCGCATCTTCCATGCTCTGTTGCTTGTGCTCACTGCGCTGCACATAAGGTCACTGTGGAGAGCGAATCACGGCAGTGGACGCAGCTTGGAGCTGTGGGTGGAGAGCAAGGATCAAGGTCGATATAGGCTGGCTTGCGCCCTCGCAGCTGCTGGAGGTGCGGGTCGTCTCTGGTGCTATCAGACGCTGGGCAAAAGCTTCACATTCGATCTTGCTGTGCAGTCGGGACAGAAGGTGCGTACTGTCAGCGGGATGCTTGTGCGAAGGGGCGCTCTGGCTGAGTAGGAGTTGCGTATATGCGCGCAGGTCATCACTACGGGGCCGTACGCTTTCGTCAGGCATCCCTCCTACACCGCCATCTTGGTTGCGGTGCTTGGTGCTTCCTTTCTTCACGGGCCCTATGCGCCGTACACCACGCCAGCCTGGCGACTTGCAGCTCTGATCCTGGCTGTGGTGAACGTCACACTCACAGGGGTGCGTATTCTCGTGGTTCCGCCCATCTCTTCCACCCTCCTCCTGCGCCTCTCTGACCCAGCAATGCCATCATATCTTGTCATCTGCTTCAGGCTCTGGTCGTACGGCGAATGGATGACGAAGAGCGCATGATGCTCAAGAGCGAGCAGCTGGGCAAAGTGAGTAGGAGCAGCGTCAGACAATTCGAGACGCGCAGCGCGCTGACGTCGATGCTTTCTTCACGGATGACTTTCAAGGATTACTTGGACGTGAGAGCTGCAAATTCTGACCGCAGGATGCACAGCATCAGCATGTTCTCGAGCTCACCCTCGGCCGCCTTTGACTTTCCTCGCAGTACATGGTAAAGACCCCTTCTCGTCTGTGGCCGACAGCGTACTGAGCAAATTCGATGGACGGCCCGAATGTCATGCGAGCCCATCGGTCTGTCCGGTGGCTTGGACTGCTCGATTCCGCATCGTGCCCTCTGCTTCCTCGAGTACGCGAGCGCACGTGCCTACACTGATGAACAGATCGTACGCAAGCAGCTAGTACAGGGGTTGGGTTTCGATTCCCAGTGCGGTCGCCAAAGTGATCACGCTTTTGGTAGGGGGGGGGGGGGAAGATGATGGTATTAAGAGTCGCGGTGCGACGGGACCGGACGCGTACATGAGTCAAGCGCGCACAGACGGCTAACTGAGAGAAGGCCGTGTCCCCACAGCGACTCGTTCTTGAGGAGGGCGAAAGAGAAGAGGTAGGAAGGAGAAGAGGAATTGCAGACGGTGCCTAAGTGACCCTCTGGCGATGATGAGAGCCCTGCTCGGCCAGTCTAGGGACGCTGACGTGAGGCAAACCCGGTGGCATTGAGGTCTTCAGCTGCCGCCCTGTACATGAGTGTATTCGAAAATCTATCTTCTGTCTGATCGGGGCCTGATCGCAGCGCGCTCTCTTGAGTCTTGATTCTGGAACCTTGTTTGGCGACTCCCTTGACCGGGGTCGGGCCGACGCGACTTTCGGGCGCATGTCGCGTTCTCTTGTGAGGTATTGGGGCCGAAACGGATGGGTGCCGGACTTGTTGGACGAGAGGAGTCCTAGCCGAGCGCGGCCTAACTCGATGGATGAGCGGTATTTTAGCCGAGTGCGGCGGATGAGTGACCGACTTGGAGGATGAGAGGTATTTTTCAGGTCGAGCGCGACATATGGGCGAATTCTTGCAGTCGTCTATGAGGTGTGCGTAAGCAGACACGCCTTAGAAGTGGTCCCAACCAAGTAGCAAATGACCAACAGAATCGAGAGAAGGATGCACGAGCTGAGCTTCAATCCGTGGTGAAGAGTCAGGCTCGCATTGAAGGCTGGGAGTAGAAGGCAGACCTTTAGCGTCAGAGCGTTATGTTGATTATGCATCTCAACCGAGACTAGCAGGTCGGCATTGACAATCCAGTAGCCTTCCGCCCTCCATCCATACCCCTCAATGATGAACAAGACCGGCATTGTGATTGTGATGAGTCGCGAATGACTTTTGAAAGTAGGGTTGAGCAGGGATGAAGTCGAATTTGCAGTGGAGAGAACCGGAGGAAGAACAAGTTTCACTGGCGATCAGCGCGCTGGCTAGGAGACCTGGTGACTACCCTTTAGCGATGCCCATCGGCCGGAAGCTTCTCGCGCTCGTTGAACTTTTGGACTATTGCACTTGCCATCCTGTGCAAGTTCTTTGACAAGACCCAGAATTCGGGTTGGTCGGCTACATCGTGAACGTCTGACTCTCGAAGTGCACGTGGTGGATCGCTGTCATGAACGAGCGCCAAGAAAGCATCTCGTAGGCTGCTCAAAGGTATCGTGTGCGCAAGGTGGGCGTCTACATCATTTCTTAACTCCGCGATGTTCCCTTGCGCAATTCCAGGTTTCGTCATGAATGTGTCGACAGAATCAAGAGTGGCGTAGACCGGGAGCAAACGAGCGCTCAACAGAGCTACGCATGTTCCATCACCGTGTAGAGTAAGCCGCCGAAGCTGCGTGGCAGATTCGATGAGATCAAGCAGTCGACCTGACAACGAATTTGCAGGCGCATCATCTATGAAGCGCTCGAAACCACTCCATGTTGAGCGCGCGAGCATCTTGCGGCCCAGCGAGTCGGTGGCTGTCGCGATGAAGCCCAGCGACATCGAGCTCCAGCCCTTCCGCTTCTCGGAAAAATCGTCCTCATGCTTTTCATCGTCGTCGTCATTCAGAAAGCACGCCCTATCGCCCTTCACCTCTCCTTCGCTTTGGCAGCTTTGGGTTGTAGATTTTTCCTCATCGCGGTGCTTGGGGTCGCTGACCCAGAAATAGATCATTTCATCGCAATTCCAGTCTAGCCTCATGCTGAGCTCTTCCACATTGGCGACCATCTTCGTGTAGTAAGCTGGGAGAGACCGAAGAGAGCCGGACATCAGCCTATTTCTCTCACATCTCGGCGCGTGGGAGCTCTGCTTGCCTGGAATGCAGAAGTATGGGTATACGTCTTGTATTTCTAGATGCTTGACACAATGTAAGTCCGTAATGGTACTCGCTAGGGGCTTCGGCACTGGAGACGCTCTGTCAGCTAGTCGGAGATGTTTTGGTTTGACCAGATCAATCAGAACACCCGCCTCTCTCCAGTAGTCGTTGAAGCTGCTGATTCCGGGGACGGCGCCACGTCCGTACGGTCCGTCAAGATTTGAGAAGACGAATGGGTCACTGCAGATCAGGTCTGCGACAGTGAAAGCGTCGTCATCGTAGAAATCTTGCGGCTCTGGAAAAGGCCAATTGGGCTCGTCGATTCGTTGGCACATCTCGCACTCGCGTGGCGAATCTCCTTCTTCCCGCGCCTGCGCCCTATTCGCCTTCCATACTTCCTTGTCCTCCTCAGGCTCTTCAATGTGGGATGTACAGCGATTAAACGGCACGCGCATGATACGCCTTAGATCCATAAACACTCTATCGCCCAGAGAGGGCACGAGCCGTACGTCGGGATCTACCATCGTCGAGCCAAGGTGGGCCCAAATATGACCTGAAAAGTTGCCCAATGGATAGCTTCCGCCAACTGTCAGCGACATGACTGATTGTTGAAGCCAGGGAAACGTTCTGTAAGTCTCGATGTGACCCAGAACTCTATTTACAGGCGCCTCGAGATGGCGCCACTTGGCCACCATCACGATGCGAAACCAGTATCGGGACTGCGGCAGGGCTGAGCATGGTAAGCAGAAGGTCGCAAATTGCACGCTCCCGTCACCGCGAGAGCCAGAGATCCTCACAATAGCGAGCAGCACGTGTTCCTTGTCGCGATACCCATAGCGTCCGTGTGGCGAATGAAACTCGCGTATGCAGTGCATGACCTCCGCGGGTAAGCGAGTGAAGGGGTCCGGCAAGATAGGCACGGTCATGGCTGCGGATGTACGTTGGGGCGGCTTGATGGACGCTGATGGCAAATCGCTGGGAATTGAGGGCTCAAAGGTACCCCTCGAGAATGGAGTCTAAGGCGAGACGGGAGGGAGTCGAAGAAGAAGTTGAAGGACTGGTCACGAAGGGCAGAATGAATCAAGACTTCTGCCGTGGAGACCGGCACGTAATGTATATCCACGCTAATGCTGTGGTGAGATGAGAGCTTACTTGCGTCAGAAGCCGCAGTCTTGAGGGAAGCAGAAGCCAGCAAGAGATGGAGCGGCTGCTGACCGTAGTCAAAGTCTATGCCGCCAAAGCATCGCTTGCGAATATCCGTCTGAGCACCGCTTGATCGGCCTTCACGATTCCATCTTACATAGAAGTCATGCCTCTACTCACTGTATAGGTGTTATAAGACGATCAGAGGTGATGATGGTGGATTGCTATCACCAGGTCACATCTGTTGATTGTCTAGCTAAGTACATGTGTATGCATCCGGGGTGCGTGCGGGCATCACGTGGCAGAATGTGAGCCTTACGCATCCTGAGAAGCGGCTTTGGGCCTGTGCTCATGATTTGGATGCGAACGACACGAAGGATCGAGCCGGGACGCCCATTGCGGAAATATGCAGCTGGGCGTGCGGACCATGTGGTGTTCGCGCGACTCAATATAACAACCTTGAATCACAATCAAAATGTGAATCGCGCGAATCACTGAATGTCAATCAGAATCAAGACAAGCAGCAGACGTGAAACCCTTGCAAAATTGCGCTAGTGTCGGCTTTATGCACGCTGTGCCTCCATATGGGCGTAGATGATCATCACGGCGTGCATGCACCAATCACGAATCAAATCAAATTACTGCTGAATCACGGATGTACAAATGATTATATCGACCTTCAAAATTTGCGCTATTCGAGCCTCCTTTAATCTTTCAGCCAATCATGACGTATCACACCAGTCCACGAATCGAGGCTCTGGTGACTCCCTTTTGCCGATGAGTAGTCCGGCGTAAGCAAGCAACCTTGACTTCGATTGAGACCGACCACTTTGATGAGTACCGAGCACGTATACACTCAGCTTCGTCCTCACAAACAGGCACAACAACTCACGACTGCTGGCTTCCTGTCACGACTCTGTTGTCATGTGATGACCAGCAGGTCGTTGAACCACACCAGCCATCCAACTTCATGACTGCCGTTCAACATCAGCACCGTGCTGGACGTTCCCAAGCATCTGTGAGGTAATTGCATCCGTCATTGTGGCTGACCGCTGCATGCACGCGACGAGGGCGCTAAGGATGTGTGCATACTGTACAGCACTGTCACCAGTACCGTGCCTGTGCAACTACGCCAGCGTAGGCTCGCAAGATCTATAATAATCGTGATTGTGAATTGTGAGCAGTGGGGGCTAGGACAGATGCTTTCCTGCGGCAAGCTTGGCTGAATGGAGCGTCGCCCTTGATCACCAATGAGACTGGCTCTTCGATCATGGCATGGCGCGGGAAAGGAAGTCATTTCGACCGCGTGCTATTCACATTGACGGCCGCGTGGTCCCTTCCGCCTGCATATTCGCCAGCGGTAGCTTGGTATCTGCGGATGCACACTCACGACTATGTCACCACGATCGAAACCTAGCCAAAGACGTAGGTGCAACACTGTACACAAGCATGACCTCGTGGAGTGCTACGCCGACGACTTCATGCGAGGTCAGCGTGGCTACTGGGTGCCCAACCACGTAGCGGCAACAATCGAACGCCAAAATAGACCACGCGGTTGAAGAGTCTCCAGATCGAGGTCAACGGTATGTATCTCAGGGCGCTCCGCTCGCATGGGCTCTCGCTCTGGCAAATATCATGATTGGAAGAGTGTGAAGGAGGTAGTCCGTAGTCCGCCTCTCGTGCCATGATTGAATGACGCTACTTGGTCGTGGTCGAGGGAGCTGTGGCGAAGTGCCACTACTGTAACCCTTTGAGGTGGTTACCCATCTCGAGAGCACCGTTGCTGGAGGGATGTACGACAGAAGTGGTAGCCTCTGCTCGATGATATGGCTATAAGAGGGACATTCACAGCCCGCGTGCGCTCGAATCCATGTCTTCAGAAGGCGACGTTCTCCATTCCTCAGGCAGGTCCCGCTCAATTCCTTCTATTTTTCTTCGTCGCTTCCCCTCCCTTTGCCCTCCCTTCCCCTCTTTACCTTGAGCTGGTCTCAAGATGCGTCTTTCTCTTGCATGCATGGCAAATTTCATGCTCACGACTACCTCACTCTGCGTGGCAACGCTTGCCCGTGTCGACTCCATTCCTTCTGCACGCGCCGATGCCCCGCTGATCACTCTCAGGGCGCCTCTAACAACAGCCGTCAAGAGCTCCTGGCGCTCAAAAACATTCTGTGAGGCTCAGGGGCTCGATAAGAGCATCAAGACGTCCGGATATGGAGCTGTATGCTTGAAAAAGCCTGGCTATGCATACAAGGTCCCGAAAAAAGAAGATCCGAATGGCCTACTCGAACTCACCTCGGGCAATTGGAAAACTCATCACGGGGACCCGCTGATCGCGGGAGAATGCGAGCATTTCCTTGAGCAGCGCATGTTGACTGGTCTGTTGATGGCGGACCTCGTAGAAGATCTTGTCAAGAACAAAAATTCAGCATTCCCAGACATCGCAAAAGCAGAGACTCAAATCTGTGACGCGATCAAGGCGAACCCAGATGATTGGGAGAGTGGTGTTGTGAGCTCGATGAACGGTGACACCAACTTGGTTGGCGTTCCTGCCAACGTGAACAGGCTGAAGACCTTCTCGTCGAACGAGTGATTCTGTCGACACCGCCGAAAACGTTCAAATGGTCGCCCTCCGCGCGCGAAAGGTCAGCGACGACGGTGCGAAATGACAACAAAGCAGCACTTCCGCTGCAGAGGTGAGGCCGAATGTGTGCGGTCGGAGAGATGACAGAGGACGGACTCATGCCAAATCTCACCCTGTTCCACAGCTACATACAAAAGGGGCGGGCAGACGCAAACAGACGAGCGGAAGATATGCAGACTAAAGTGGTGGAGCTTCTTGGCAAAGCAGGCATAGTAAATGAGGCTTATCCTGATGACCGATGGTTCAAGCTAGGAGATGGGGTCTGGACTTACATCTTTGACAGCGTGACTGCGCTGCATCCCCAGCTGGAGCCAGTTCTGGAGCAATATTGCGGCATGAATCCCAATGGCTACCCGAAAGACACGAAAAACTTGAAGATTACAATTCCGCAAAGGGACAAGAATCGCTGCTGCGACAACAACACCCTCGCCGCGCCAAAATGGCTTCGTTCCAGACACGACTACCAGCCTCAGCCGCCGAAGACAGGTCCCAAATGTCCCCGCAAGAGTTGCGATCCGGCATTGCAATGCTGCCTTCGGCCTGATGGGTCGCACAAAGATTACCCGCCGAAGAGCCTTAAAAATCGGCGAGAGCTTTTGAGCCGCCCCATTTTTGCCGGCAGGATGCAGGATCGGGCAGAGCCCGACGATTGCAGGAAGAATTGGGGCGACGAAGAGGACAGAACAACCGTCAATGAAGCAGAGGCTGCAAACGCAGTAGTGGACAAGTTACACGCTAGCAATCCAGCAAGAGTGGCAGGATTTCAAGACCTTGCAAAAGGTGGAGATCCATACGCAATCAGCGAGCTCAAGAAAGCTTTGACAGCAGGTTCAGTACCAGCAGCAGCAGCACTTGCAGCTGCGGCATTGGCCACGCCAGCAGCAGCAGCAGCACTTTCCGCAGCGGCCGCTGCACCGGCAGCAGCAGCAGCAGTCGCAGCAGTCGCAGTTGCACCTGAGGCAGCAGCAGCGACAGCTGCAGTGACAGCACTCTCGACAGCAGCAGCTACAAGCGTCCCTGCCTATCAAGCGCTTTCAAAAGCCGCGGCGACAAATGAGGCTGCAAAAGCAGCGCTCTCGAAATTACCCTCCCCCCCCGCGCAGAGCAGCGGTAGCGATAGCGGAGACGACGGTTCAGGCATCTTTCCGGTCCCCTTAGGCAAGACCTCTTCATCCGCTTCTCCACCGGCTTCTTCGTCAGCACCTGCTGGTGCCCCCCCACCGATAGCTTCCAGCTCGTCAGCGACTCCGACGCCACAGCCAACTCGACCAAGTTCCAGCTCTGAGCAACAAACGACCTCCACGAGAGGAAAGCCGCCGCGCTAATGCGTCTTCCTAGGCACTTGCTGATAGCTGGCAACCTGCACGATGCTGCGATACTCATCATTCACGGACTCATTAACCGATCATAATGTAGCTTACCACATCCGTGCGGGTGCCGCTACGCCCATGTCCGGTCGCTGGTCGACCAGCTTATGCAAATGCAATTGACACTCCTCTGTCCTTCCGAGCGAATGGAAGGTTCCGCAAACGCTCAAGTGTTCCATGCCCTGGTAATTTGAGATCTTCATCACAGCCTGATGCAGAGAATGTACGTGGTCTAAGATCGGATGAGTTTTGCCCGAGGGCCCGCAAGCATTTTCTGGGACCAGCGGGCAACTTCTTCTGACGTGTGACGAAGCTTTGGTCGCTCGAGAATCGCGTTACCGGCGGTCCAGCGTGGCTTGCAGCTCACTTCGCACTCAGCTCCTGATATCACATCATAGAACTTCGTCAAGACGAGGCCGAGGCCGAGTCCATTCGAAGGGTTCTGTTTCCATTACGTCGCGGGACGAGAGGCTTCATGCCTTTTGCGACGGGCGCGCGCGCGCGATAAGGGTCTGCCACGCCCACGGCGGCGAACATTCACCATTCGGCTAGAGTCCAGCAAGATTCGGTCAGCCAACAACAATGAGACTGTGAGAGTAGACCATTGGTGCGTCTGAGCTCTTACACATTGCGCGATTATAGGAACAGACGCGAGGGGACGTGCGATATGAGCGGAGCGGAGTTGAAAGCCAACCCGGGCACAGCGTGTGGCTTGGGGGGTTTGAAAGGGTTCCTCCTGCGTCTCTGACATAGCAGTGTCACACACACACACACACACACTTACACTCTGCGTTATTGCGTTGGCGGGCCAACATGATCTCCTCACACAGCTATGGAAGAGATGTGACAAGATTGGGCCAACTGGCGAGAAGGAAAAGGTTATTCGTGACTGTGAGTGGAATCGTGAATCGTGAATGCGTGTCGCTTGGTGAGGTCCGCCATCGCGTGCCCATCGAGTCGCGGCGCTACGGTAGCGCGCGTGTGAAGTTCGCATCCAAATCACAATTAATTGACACTTTTTGCCGAGTGGCGCTTTTGACTGCTCGTCTGGTAACGCGCGCCATGGGTCTAGAACGCAGGACACGACAGGATTGACCGAAAGCGCACACCAAGCGGCGCCTGCAACGCTGCTGCACGATAAAGCGGCCCGATTACATAGTCCGACGTCTTTTTTTATTTTATTTTTTTTTTATTTTTTTTATTGGGATCAAATCGTCGAGCATCGACGGATACAGCCGTCGGCCAGACAGGCTTCCGGCGAAGCGTTGATGGAGTGCTGTCGAGCGAGCAAGTTTGACCAACGACAATGCGTGAGTCGGGCGAGGAATCAGCACATCAAGCGAAATGTCAAAACAGCTCTCTCAGCTGCCTTCTATGCCTCCTTGATCGAGGCGCCCAAAAGGCTCGCAGCGCCTATCCAGACTTTGACTCCGGATTTGCGCGCTGAATAGCCGAGGTCCGCCGCGGCGCTCTTCCTGGTCTGTATTGAGCTGATAGAGCTTCCAGTGGGGACTGTTCCTGAGCCAAACAAGCATCCTAGCATTCGATCCAGCTTCTCGAACCGAGCGTTCAGCCATGCAAAGCCGACGAGACCGTGCAGCTCGTTCTGATTTGCCGATTTCCAAGCCTGCTGTGCATGGATGACGTCTTGGTGAGATTAGCGCTGCTCAATGATGAGGGAGATAGAACGCTGAAGTCCTGGTCAATCAAGCCACACCGAGCTCTGCAGCACCCGTCAAGAGTCAAACCAAGCTTGAGCTTTTTTTTTCGGAATCATCACCGAATCTGGAACCTGCACCTGAGCCCTGAACCACGCAGACTCGATCCCAGCTCTGTGTATGAGTGAGATTGATCGTTAGCGAATCGGGCTGTGGATACTGTTTGCGTAAGGTCAGCCACGTACGGTGGTCTTCGTCGCGCACACAAGACTCCGCGCCGATGGACCTGAGCAATTCTTGATTTAGAAGCTGCTGCTTCTCTTCGCACCTGATTTGAGTCCAGACGGATCGATCGATTCTCCCTTTGCCATCGTAATGCATCGACCCTCGTCTATTGGTCGCCCAGCCCACTCTTGACTCGTGAGAAAGCACGATGCACGAATACGATCGATGTTTTCAAGTCACAGTGTGAGTGCGCGCCGCGCCGACAGAAATGACTCCTCAGAGTCACTCGACATTTGAGCTGCCCTTCAAGAGCTGTGAGACCCGAGCCGCATGAGTGTGAGTCTCTGTGGTCCATGTGTTTATCCACGCTGCGCTTCTTGCTCCAAGTGCCGCTTCGCGGAAGGTCCTCCATCTTGGTGCTGTGATCTGTGCGGCCCGCCCACCTGTAACGCGGTGAAGACACTGTACGCTTGCCATGACTGCAGCAGGATGCCTGCCGGTGCTTCGAGTCACGATCGAGGTTCAATCAACGTCCTGCGTACATCATCGGTCTATGCCCCCCCTCTCGGCGATGTGGATTCAGTGGTTCGAAGGCTGATGCTGACGAGTCTGATGAGTCGTTAGTGATTCCAAGATTGGACCTGCTCCGACCTTGTCCAGCGAGCAGAAGAGCTTCGCTTGCTGCTGTGCTTCCGCCGCTGATGCATGCGAACGGCAGAAGGGCCAAGCAATGCGGCTGCTGCGCATGCACCTACACCGCGTATACATGCAGGCACCCGCTACACGTATATACGCGGCAAGGCGGCCGGCTTGATGCTTTTGCTGCTGATGCATGGGTGTCAAGGTGCTGGATGAGCTTGTTTCAACCGAAACCCGCTACGCGCAAGGCGACCACGCGCTCCCTCATCGTCGCGCGCGCACGCCTAAAAGCCCGCATTCAGCAGCACCCAAATGATGCACTCTGACTGACTGCACTCAGACTGACGCACCTCAGACTGCACTCGTGACGATGCACTCAAGACTCTGACTGCACTGCACCGCACCGCACCGCACCGCACCGCACCATTCAGTCACTGATCGATCCATCGTGCGCGCCCGCCAAGCCTCTTCTCTCCCTGCCGATCCCTGTCTGTCGGAACCACAACTTCATGAAGAAAGCGCCAACACAGATGCACAGATATTCGTCACTTTCCACTACATCCATCCATCCTCCAACGACTCAGCGCTTTCCGCTAATAGTGCATCGTGCGGACAACGGGCCCCCTCTAGTCAGTCTGCTCCCTTCGACACGACAGCTCTCTGCGCGTCACAGACACTCGCGACGGCTGGTCCTCGCGTAAGGGATCGTCCACCTGCATCGCGAGTGAAGCTGCTGCTGCGCCGACCAGCTCAGCTTGCGCTCTGGTCGTCCATGCAGCAACGCGCCTGAAAGCTTACCCTCTGCTAGTCAGCCGTTCACCGGCTCTGTTTGGTGCAACATGCATCCCATTGCTGGGCCTTCCTCTTTGGCGATGCAACCCGGGGGTGATCCGACCGCCGCCGATGCGGCGAATGACGCAGAGGAGCAAGGACCCAAGCGTCGACGGGTGAGTGAGATGCGCAGCCTTTTGCCGCGAGCCCTTCCACCACATGCACACGACTGGAGGCCCGCAAGTACCCAATCGACTCACCTGGCACCCTTTGATCACTTCCGCCCACAGATCTGGGCTGCCTGCGAGCTCTGCCGAACAAGAAAAGTGAGAAATTTCATGGGCCCTCTTTCATGATATTCTCACGATTTATTTTCCCGTGTGCTCATCTAATCTTGTCCTCCGCTGGCGCACAGGCTCGCTGCAATGGCGAGCATCCTTGCAGCGCTTGCATCAACAAAGCTCGCTCTGCTATGCCTCGAACTCCGGGGCGAGCGGCTCATTCCGCAGCTATCGAAGCCCATGCTCTTAACCTGTGCGTCTTTGATTGGGATCGTGCTCCGCGGGGACCCAAGGCGAAGCCTCAGGCAGCGACTGGGGCAAACTCTTCGACCTCAGGCGTGCCAGCTTCGAATGCTGCCCAGACGAAAGCCAAGAAGGCGCCGCTGCCAGCGAGAGGGGCGCCGCGGAGCGACAGGAGTGCCGGGTCTGCATACATGGCTGCGAGAGCAACTGGATCCGGAGCGAGGAGAGACAGTAATTCAGCGGATGGCAGTAGTCCGAGCACGGTACTCGGTCCTTCGCCCAGCTCTTCAGCAAATGGTGAGTGAAGAGGCTGTCACGAATGCTCGCGTCTGGCGAGGCACTCTGTGTCCCACATTAACAAGCTGCCCCATCGCTTTTTCACCGCTGTCAGGGCACTTTGCTGCGGTGCCGTCGGCAGCCTCCTCTCCCGGCGGAACTACTTCCTCCGCCGCCTTTTTTCATCAGAATCGATCTTCTGCCGCATTTGCAGCCATGCACCTCGGTCCTGGGGCGCATGAGCCCCCTCAATTTCCTCTGCAAGCTCCGCGAGCAAATATGGCGCCGTATCCATACTGGCAAGACCAGCCGAATCCAAATCCGAACGATATCATCAATCGTGCAGCGGGTACAAGTCACGAACTAGTATACTCGCACCACGGCCCCATATCTGTCGACTTGACCCATGCGCCCTCTACGAGCAGCGCGCAAAGTGGAAGCAGCCGGTTGAAATCGCCAATTTCGCCACTGCAAACCAGTGCGGGTCTATGGGCCGCCAATAGCCCTTACACGCAGCTCTACGCCCCACCGCCCTCGACGGATCCGACTTCGCCGCCACCCTCTTCGTGGTCGGGTGTGGATCCTGCATCCGCCCGGTCAGCTGGAGCGACAAGTCCGCAATTGAACCCTCAGCAGCCGCAGCCGCCGCCCTCGATGCTGGATCGTAGACGTAGCTTCATCTCGTCGCTTCTGAATGTAAGTGCGGACTGTCCTGCTTCTGATTACCTTGGTCGACTCATTCAATGACCCTCTTGATCACCGCGCAGCAACTGCAACAATACTACTCCCGAGACGACAGGCTCTACATCGCACTAGCGGTCGCGCAATTTGCAGATTTGGACGCGTCCACGAAGCTCTTTCCGGCCAGGATCCTGTGGGGTGTTGACCCGATGACGGGCGAGCAGCCTCCACCAATTCCAAATCACCTACAAATCGCGCTGCTTTCCTTGCTAGCTCATAGAGCTTTGCTCCTTCCTGGCGAGCGTAGCGAACGTGACCTTGAAGCTGTCGAGGCGGGCGTTCGAGATGAACTGCTCCGATGCAAGTTGACCAATGAGCAATTGAGGGAAGGGCTGCTTGGGTTTGCTCGACGTAGCTGGAATATTGCGCACGACTTGCTCCTACAGCTCATCGCTGAAGGTGCCGTAGACCCCCTCTTGCTATTAACAGGTGAGCGCACGTGGGGTTTCCGAGGTTGCATGCGGAGCGGGCTGACACATCTTTCGCTTCTCCAAAGGATACGCTCTTGACATGTCAGCATCTGAAGATGGTATTTCGTCACATTCCATGCTGGAAATGAAGGTGAGTGCGACGTTTCCAATCGCGATCGCGGAGTGGTCATCTGGTTCTTACCTCTAACTTCTAATGCTGCTCCTGCGCCCGCTAGGCTTGGCTGTTCTACGTGCTTCGCGCCTGGCGCCTCGACGTTCTCGATTTGCCTGCTCACATATCGCCTGAGGAGGACAGTACATCTCTGAGCGAGGAACAATCCGAGAAAGAATTGGCGCAATTCACGGAAGGCACGCCAAGGCCTCGCAAGTGCGACGCTCGATTTTACGTTCAGTATCCTCCGGATCGCGATGCTCTGCGACGCGTGACACTAATCATCTGCTCGAGCTACGTCTGGACCCGCACCTCGGATGATTTCGAAGCCACGCCGTTTTCGCTTTCTTCTCTGAAGATCAGCCTCGTGGGGTCTGACAATCTTATACATCGCGTGAGTTGCTGGCGAGGAGATGAAGCGTAAGCGATGCTTGGGCTGAGTCTGATGTTCGTTTCGTGCTGCAGGGCGCAGCATGGACTCCGACCAGGAGGGACGGCGCAATGACAGACACATCAGTCTTTGCAGTTCAGCACGTTGCTTTTCTGCTATTTGGGAGGATCATCCGCATGCTCAATACGCCCCTTGAGGTGCTTCTCGCGGAGAACGGCCCTGAGCCAGATCTCCAGAAGGCGGTCGACGAAATCGAGGAGACATTGCAGTGGGCCAAGGCATGTCTACCAATGCCAAAGCTTGATGGTAAGTGCTGCAGTGACTACTCTTCTTGCGGGTCCACAAAGCGTCTTGATGGAGATTTTAACTGAGGAGCCGCACCAACCGTCTCCCGACAGGCTCAGAGATGCCTTTGGCAGTCTCGGGGTTCCTGCACCTGCGCGTCATAGATCTGCTTGCTTACAGACTTTTCGCAGCTATTGTGCTGTTCCAAAATTTCGTTGCCGACGAGCCAGAGGTTGCGTCCAGCTCTTTGCGCTTGCAAATCATTATGGAGCCGACTCCAGATCTGAGCAGCCAGTACGAAACCCTGCGCACAGGTCATTTGAAGAACAATTATAGCCTGGAGCAGGCTATGGATGCGCCGCTCAGTGCTTCGGTACGCCCTGAGAGACCTCCACCCCGCCCTATGCTGCACATTTCGAAGGACCCATCTGCGGCGGCCATGGCACCATTGTTTGAGGTCGACAAGGTTGTTTCAAAGACACTCACCATGCTGGAGAACCAAGCAGAACCGGTGGCGGAAGAGGTCGGTACGGCGGCCGGCGTCACATTGGTCGCAATCGGCCGTGCAATGCGATGGCCAAGGCACTTGCACAAACTGTGCACGCATGCCTTTGCACTCTCTGCAGAGATCGATGTGTCTCAAGAGGCATGGGCCAAACATTTCGAAAATCATGGTCCTGCACCTTACTGGGCTGAGCCGGTCACACACGCCAAGATTCCGCCAAAAGGTATGTACCCGGGGTCGCATTGAGGGCGTGAGGTGTGATGCGCTCAAGGCTTGCTCACTAAGACACGGCTTCGCGCTCTTCCCAGCAGCGACGCAGGAAGTGGTCGATGCTCTTTGGCAAATCGGGGACCGCATCATCCGCCTCTTGCACTTACTTGGCAAGTGTGAGTGCAGCTTCTTGGCCTTGTGTTGGGCTGTGCCACTCATTCTGACTGTTCATCGCCCCGATCCCCGCAGCTGGAAGCATGCACTCCCGGACCACCGCTGAGAAGGCTCAACGATATCGAGCCGAGCGCATCGCTTGGGTCCATGCACAGAAGGCTGCACAGCTTCACGGCTGAGCCCCTGGATTTCCTGTATCTCGCACTTGACCTGCTACTTCTCAAGACCGTCAAGCATGCTTGTCTGCAAAGATGCCTCCCTCCCAGCGTCATTTACACGAGAGTCACCACTTGTACGCGCGCACTTGCCGCCGGAAAGCGATGATGTGCACAGGTCCATGCGATTTTCGAAGCACTTGAAGGTGCGGGTCTGCAATGCTTGTCTGTGTCCGATCATCTCACATGACCTAATCTGTTGAAGGGTCAGATGGAAGTCATAATCGTCCTTCTCACGGCAAAGAAGACCTTGACGCCTCCAAGTCATGAGTCTCGAATCTGGGTAAAGCCGACAAAGCACGTGACTAGCTGCAACGAACGACCGCGATTGACGCACAAACGCACGCTACCGCGGTTGCTTTTGTGGATAGATGCGCGAACGGCACAAGCACGCTGTTGTACCAAGTGATCACCACTCTGAGTCACCAATCGTGATTGTTTGCCGTTCTGCAAGCCCCGGCTCTACACGCCATTTGAGCCCCGTCATAGAGCTGGCGCAACGCTTCGCCAGAAGCTCGAACGTAGCGCTCAAAGGCTTCAGTGCTCTACCCACAGGTCAGCCGGCTTGCATCTCCACGAGTCATAGCGAGGCATCTAGACAACGGAAGCGCGAAGGGCCAACTTTGCGTCTCTCTGCCTTTGCTACTGTGACCGCTTCTCCGACTGATGGGCAGACCTGCACCTGACCACCTCACCGCGCGACGTACAGCAGCTGACATCTACTGACTCTAGACGTCATGGCGGAATTCATCGCGGCGGATTTCGCTTCAAGGACCGAGTCCGTCGAGGCGGCTGCACCGCGCCAGCCGTACCTATCCAAGACGTCAGGAGGAGGGCAATCCGACTTCTCATCTGTACTGAGCGCTTGGCGAGGTGAGCGAGCAGACTCGAGCCCAATGCTACCGGCGATGTGTGGGGCTTCAGTAAGCTGATCGGTGGCTGTCTACAATCTCTCCCCGCGCTTCCGAACCAGACATTTCGCTTCCAAGCCTGACGAGTCACCTTGCAGAGCTCTCCCCCAGCCTCGTGTCCACCCAGACCGAAGCTCTCATCTCTCGCAAGAAGCTTGCGGAGCAAACACGAGAATTTAGGAAATTGGAAGACGAGGCCAAGATCGAAGCTTTCAAGCCTTTGCTCAAAGCTTACCAGGCCGAGATCGACGCGCTCACCAATCGTGCTAGGAAAGCCGAGAACGCCTTCTTGTCCGTGGCTGACAGGCTCAAAGGCGCACCTGATCCTCATCCCTGGCTCGAACTGATTCTAGTAAGTGTCGAGAAGGGCTGATGGAGCCTCATGCATGCGCATTGCTGTCGACCGTCAGAGCTCAGCCGGTTTGCACCAATTTTGCAGGAGCAGACGGCGTCTCTGCAAGACTTGCAGACCCTCAAGTCTCAAGTCGAGACACTCACAGCCGAAAACGAGCAATTGAGAAGCAAAGCATCCGTAGTGTCGTCTCTTGAAGCGGACCGAGCGCGCTTGTCAGAGAGGCTCGCAGAGGTGGAGAAGACGTCAAAGACGCGTGCAGCAGAGCAGTCCGCAGCGATCCAGGCAAATTTGTCTGCGCGGTGGGAAGAGCGGGTATCGAACCTGACGACTCGAGAAAGCGATCTTTCTAGAGCGCTGGAAGTGGCACAAAGTCAGCTCAAGGAGCTTCGAGCTGCTCACGCGGAAGCGACCGAGCGTCGCGTAGATGCATCGGACAAGTCTTCCAAGGTGGAGGAGTTGGAGATCGCCATGGCGCAGGAGGATGCGCGGAGAGCCAACGAGAGATCGGTAGAGCTAGAGAGGCGCAACGATCGCTTGAGGGAAGAACTTGAAGCTTTGCGTCTGTCTAGAGGCGATGAAGAGCGCCGAGCAGACTGGGAAAGCAGGCTTCAAAGCATCCGTGATGAGGCAGCGAGGCTCGAAGCTGCACTTGAAAACGAGACCAAGAGAGCCGAGCGCTCGGTGGAGGAAGAGAGGCGCAAATCGGAGGAGAAATCAAAGGCGCTTGCTGAGAAGGTCAAGGAGGTTGATGGACTTCGCAGGAAGCTGGATTCCATGGCCGATTATGAAGAGATCAAACGAGAGCTGGACATTGTCAAGTACGTCGAATTTGCCAGCGACGAGGCAGGAGATGCAAACGATGAGGAACACGCAGATTCATACGAGATCGATCCTACCAATGCAGAGCCTGCTGCTGCAGATTCTCTGCGTGCACCAGGGGCTAAGCCGCTCGAAGCGCTACTTCTCGCCAAGAATCGCAAATTGTCCGACCAAATCACTACTCTCCGAGTGCAGCAAACAAAGTATGAGGCCATATCTGTAGAGCTGGACAGCTCTCGCAGCGAATTGGAGAGATTAAAGGCGCTGAATCGGAGATTAGAGGATGACTTGGTCAACGTCAATATGAGTCGAACTAGCAACACGGCGCAGAAACCGGTCACAGCGAACGACGAAGGGTCAACATCGACAGTGCAGGACAAGACGATTCCTTTCGATGCGAGCAGCAGTGCTGCTGCACAACCTAGCGCTAGCCTTCTGCCCATCATCACTAGCCAGAGAGATCGTTTCAGAGCAAGAAACGCGGAGCTCGAAGAAGTGAGTCGATCCCGAGTGTCTCAGGCACCTGTACAAGACTGGCAAAGCTGAGCACTAGATCGCGCTTGTAGGAACTGCGGCGCACGTTCGAGTCACTGAGCGAAGTGCGCAACGAGGTCAAGCAGCTTCAAGCCGATAATTTGGGTCTTTATGAAAAGGTCAGGTACTTGCAAGCCTACTCTTCGACGACGACGGGTCAGAGCTCTCACGTCACACCCGCCGTGGCGAGCTTGCAGCGGAGGGACGAACCGGCCGACAAGTATAAAGCGAGGTACGAAGCCAACGTAGCCAATCCTTTTCAAGCTTTTAGAGGGAGAGTGAGTATCGCTCGATTCGTGTGCCCTTTGCTGTGGGCGGCGCCTTGAACTAATCGCGGTCTCCTACTTTTGCAGGAGGGTCTGCGAGTGCTCAATCCGTTCGAGAAAATCTTGCATCAGCTGCTCAGTACCCGGCGCACCCGATTGCTGTTCATGGTCTACTGTGCCCTCCTTCATCTTCTCATCTTTTCCATCTTAGTATTTGAGTAATGACACAACGCGTCACATGAGCGCAATGACCTCTTCAGGATGTGTCACGTAGCTCGAAGCCGCAATTGCGAATTGATGGGTGGTATCAAAGTCATGTGAGGAGGCGGAAATACAGGTGAGAGGAGCTACCAAGAGGCGAGAGCGCAAGGTGGAAGCAGAGGACCAGCGTTCCTTCGATTCAGAGCAGTTCACCGTCGCCTTCCTCTGCCTCGCTGCCGCTCCAGTCTAGATCTGCATCGAGCGCTTCGGTCTCCGCCTTGAGCTTATCCAAGCCCGTGATTTTCTCCAGGTAGACTTCGTCGTTGAATGCCTTTAGTAACATGTCAAATCCGTCCTTGCGATACGCTTCCACGATGGCTGGACTACAAGCGGTGCAGCGCTCGTAAGCCTGACCCACTATCAAGAGGTTGCTGAATTGAGCTAAAAATCCCCGAATCTGATGCGGGATGAGACCAAGCACCGAGCCGGATTTGGAAGGGTCTGAGGAATCTTCATCCCTTGTTGACGCATCTTTCCGCGCAGCAGTGGAGGCAGGCGCCAAGATGCTAGTGCGTTGCGATTGGGTCGAATGAGTCGCAATGACTTTTAGAGACACAGTCGCACCGAGCCACCACTCACCCGTCCTTGTGCTGCAAGACAGAGACCATGAGCTCTACAGCAGAAGCACCCGCAATGGCAGCGAGGCCAGGTCGTGTGACCGTGCACATTTGATCCAGGGTTCGGTCCGTCAAAGACTGTTTAAAGCGAGGCATCAGCCATGACGCCATTCTCAGCGTAGCACATTCAGCTGGGACCGCTGACGTGGAAGGAGATCAACACGCTTGTCCTACTCACATCTGCTGGTGCTACAATATCGTTGCAGTAGTAGCAGCCTAACCTTCGCCTAGTAAGAGGTATCTCCTGACCTCGTGCAGGAGTAGTGGTTGGTTGCACATCTGGCGATGCGCCGTGCCTCATAACGAGGTAGCTATCAAAGCCAAGGGCTGCGTTCAAAAGGAGCTGAAGGCAAGTGTGCAGGATTAGCAGAGTGACGTCCCTAGAGAAGGAAGACCTACAGGGTAACCCACTTTGTTCTTGGCAGCTCCAAGTAGTGTGGGCAGCCACCTGCTCTCCCTCGAGTCCATGAGCAAGTATACCACGTCGTGCTCATCGATTAGCTGTTCTAGATGCCTGACATCTGCTCGAGTCTGCTCTAGGGAAGAAGCAGGCACAGGATGTCCAGGCATGGGGATGCTCATTTGGATCCCCTTTGCCTCGACACCGGGGTAAATTTTGCTGAGTTTGGCTGCTGCACATTCTGCTTTCGGTTTGCCCCCATCAAGACAATCTTCGAAGTCGAACAAGGGCTGTCGGACAGGATTGGAGAATGAGACGCGAGAGGAGTCAAGGAGCGTGATGTGCCGCACTCCCCAACCCTGAGATGCCAAGCCGAATGGTCTGCGTTAGCGAGACGCCGTGTATAGCGGACTGCACCATCAGACGGCGCACCATCAATGTCCGCGCTACGTAGCAGCCCAAAGTACCGGCACCAAGCAGCAAGCACTTGGTATTGTGAATCTTTTCTAGATTGATGTCGGGCATGATTCGCCAGCGCATCAATTTCAAATTGAGATCCACGGCTTGATCTGCTAGCCTGCAGTCCGTTAAGCGTTCCACAGATTGGCCATAAGCTCTCAATCGTCGACGTACCAAGCCACGAAGGTGCTGCTCACCTCTTCGGATCCATCAATGGGCTGAGATCGGCCATCTTGGGAGCGAGTTTCCCTTGAGAATTGCGTTCCCAGCCGACTGCGTTGGGTCGAGCTGGCTGCCCCGCTTCATAAGCGAGCAAAACAGTCCCTGCGCAGATGTCTGACGAGAATCAGCCTGAGATGATCGCATTTGTGCCTGCATTCTCTTGCTGACTCACTTCCTTTGGCAACTACTTGGTTTGAGGCATCACTGCCTACCTCCGGTTGCATCAAGGCAGCTACTCTACTCCTGTAAGTTGCCGTGCTTGATATCTGCGAACCCAATGGGTCTTTCCACGCCACCACTCGAATCTTTCTGACACCATAGCGCACCGAGAGCAGAGCCAAGAGATTCCTGAGCGGCCAGCCTGGTGAGTCCGAAAGAGGCGAGGGGTCTACGAAGCCGACTATGCGCTAGCAATCGGGACCGATGCGATTCAATCAGCGCCACTTGTCAACCGCATACATCATGTCACCGACAAAATGATGCGCCCTCTTACCTCGTCTTCAGATACATTCGCAAAGAACGGCTCGTACGACGTCACATCCGAGAGTTGCCATTCCTCGCCTGCTGTTCTTCGCGCCAGGAAAAATGCAGCTGATGCGGAGTCCGATCCTTGCAAAGCTCTCCTCTGCGCGAGTGCTGCACCAATGGCGGGCATCTGTCGAGCAAAGGAGGGCAGGAAGCGCATCAGCGGCATCGTCATTCAACGAGCGCTGGCCGCTGTCTCGCCGGCTGAAGCACTTGTCTTGCCCACCCACCTGATCTCTACCAACAACTCCGTCTGCGGCCTTCCATCCTCTTTGCTGAGCATCAGCTCCAGCAAGCTCCCAGCCCGGCTTGGCCACAAGCGCAGGAAAACCAAACCAGTGCACGAATTTGTACTTTTTCAGATCGGCAAAGGACAAGACGAGGAAGCGGGTGAGAAATGGCGTGGGGTCTTGCGCGGTGAGGATGCCGTCTAAGATCTGCGAGTAGATAGTGTTCGGAAGAGATTAGCTACATGTCGCGCTCCGGACAGCGTCAAGCAATCTCACTTCTTGAGCCACATCATTGAAGACTTTTTGCTTGTCCGCTGTTTTGAACTCTTCGATCGTATTGAAGTTCTTGAGTGTTCCCCAAGCTGGGAAGGTGTTGGGTGGGAGCGCGTATCTTTGGTGCGAGATGACATGCACGCTCTCAGAATGGGAGTGCGGCGCTCTCGTAGATGAGACTGAACATCCTCGCAAGCCAACTCACCCTCCCTCGATCAAGCCTTGACCGTCGAAGCTCACAGCAGCAGGCAGGGGCACATCCTCGTCCGTCTTTCTGTCGTAGATGACCTTTCCGACCTCATAATGACCTCTCACCGGCACATTCTCATCCGACAATTGCAGCTTGTCAATCTTGATCGCTGCTAGTGTTGACCAAAACGAAGGAGATACGCTGGTGGAAAAGGGACTGAACTGAGCGACGGTGGAGGAAGACATGGTTTGAAGAAAGCGAACCTCCGCAAGGTGGCGGAGCTGACGTTGTTGTGGCTATGCAGAGGCGGGCGGGCTCAAAGTGACCGACTACTATCTGCAGGATACCGCAGGAGTCGAGGAGTCGATCCGGTGCAGGAGAGGCGTTGCAGTGGGTGGAAGCGAGCTTCGAAATCAATGCGTGCCGGTACAAGACGGAGCCTAATTCAAGTCGATTGCGAACGTATGATATGACGTGAGTGTGAATGACATCGTTGCGAGTCGTGAGTGTCACTTGACACTCGTAACTCGCATCTGTTGGTCCGCGTGGCCCGCCCCCAACTGCGCTCACAACGCGCAGTTCACCCATTTTATTCACGACACGGCGCACGGACCTCTCTACTCAAACGTGCGGGGCATGCAGGCTCGCCGTCGCTCGTCACAGCCGATTCCAGCCCCATACACGGTATATCAACACGTCCGAAGCAACAACATACATGCGCGCGCTGATTTACTGAGATCGTCGATCTGATCGACCACACTACGGTTGCGCGATTACAAGCGAAATGGTGATAAGTTCGCTTACTATTACAGCATCACTTGACTAAACGATTGCAAGCTTCTGGCAAGCCATTCGGCCACGAGAGTCCCACAAGGGACTTCGCCTAATCGACGTCCATAAGGTCCGGCTTGCCCGAGCGTCTACTTCTGAGTGTGCTGGACCTGCGCGTAGGTCCGCTTCCGCGAGACTTGGGCCCCTTCGACCCGGCCAACCCCTTACCCGAGGCTCTTGACGATCTCGTGCCTGCAGGGTCGCTCGAATTGAGTGGTTCGTCCGGTGGCGTGTCATCCTCTTCCGAATCTCGCAGCTCTTCCCACGCTTCCTCTTCCACTTCCGCTTCACTGTCGCCATCCAGCTCATGGTCTGCGCCGGTCACTGGTTGGTGCAAGGGCGAAAGGGGTCTTCCGGAACCTTCTCGATCGCTCAAAGCTCTCTCGGGGGTCAAGAAGTCCGTAGAGAATCCTGCAACGCTATGCGGTCTTTGATGTCCCCTTTCGCCCTGCGCCCTCGAGTTGGGTGACGGGGATGCCCCACTCATACTCTGGATGCTGGCTGTGGAATCGAAGCGTGCTCGGCCCCAGGGAGATGAGATGGGTGCGGTAGAAGGCCTTCGAGAGTTGAACGTGCCGCACTTTGGGCAAATGTATTCTAGAGGGGAGACGCAGAGAGGCTCAATGTCAGCTGTTGATACTCCGTCTTGCATCAAAAGACCAGAACGAATCTCTTTGCTGTGTCCGCCCGCCCGCCCCCCTCCCCCGTCATCGGACCTTGTCATATCAGGACGTGTCGTGCCGTACCGAACGTCAATTCAACCTGGCACCTTCACCGGTGGACTCACGTATCTCCTCGATCTCGCTCGGCAAGCATAGCCCATTGTGGTTGAGACATTCCTTGCATATGAGGGCGTACTTCTGCTCGTCTCTCAAGGTGCCGTCTCCATTCTCACTGCCCAAGATAAGGTCTGCTACGCGATCCAGCCAGGTGCGAGGTGGTACGGCCTGCGCAGCCAAGGGTACCGCTGATCCCTGAGCTGGCGTTTTGGCTGTGCCAGCTTGATCATGAGGCGGCGCGTGTGCAGAGCCGTTGCCAGGCACTGCCGGCACAGGTGGTGTAGATGCGTTGGAAAATGGAGCTCGACTGGCGTTGCCTGGTGCAGTAGTCGGTCTGGATCGCGGACTACTTCCCGGCGCTGCTAAACCACCACCAGGGCCCTTCGCTGGCGAGTCTCCGATTTTGGCACTCGATGCAGCCTGACGAGCTCGAGAAGGTGGCTGAATGTCGTCGTATTTGTCCAGCAGCATTCGCATATAATCGAACCTGGAAGCACGTTTGATCTCGTCGATTTTCGTCCTACGCGCTCGCTGCAGCGATCGCAGATGTTTCTCTGCGCGGAGGGAGAGCGCAAGCAGAATTTAGCGGGATGGCATGCGAGCGTCTCACGGCAGGAAGTTCGCCCGAACGCTCACCTTCGCCCTCAGAGATGCGATTGTACCACCATCGGACGATGCGCCGAGTGTAAATGATGCTGAGAGTGTTATTGCTTGGAGCATCAGCGCACTGCATCGATAAGAAGAATTTGACTCGCAGCGTTACTCACAGGAAAGGAATGAGCACAACAGGTAGATAGGCGGCAACGACGACACCTCTTGGGTGTGAGGTGATAAGCGGGCGCAGGTACCAGCAACATGCGACATAAGCAGCGTAGAGGAAGAAGGCGTTGAAGGTCAAGGTCACGCTCGCTCTCCTCTCTCGCGTCTTGACCTGCGTCAATCGAGTTTGCACCTCCGTAATGTCGGATGTCAAGCGAGAAAGCACAGTCTCGTAGTCCGTATCTGTCTGCTTCCACCACGGCTTGAAGTAGGACAAGAAGGCAAAGACCGCCATCGTGTGGCGGAGCCTGTGCCCTGTGTATTTTCGACAGCCGTCTCGACAATTGCGGGGTGCGATGTGATGAGACCGATGTTGGGGTAAGGACAGATGGGCGGCGTGATGGAGCCTGGGGGCTACGTTGGCTTGATATGCTCTGATTGCAGCTGGCCGGCTGCTTGCGCGTTGCCATTCGTGAACTCGTGAGCTGTGCTGGTGATGTGGTTGGGTGGAAAAGACTTTTCTCGGCGCCATGCAAAAAATCCCAATCAAGGCGAGAAGACGATGCAGCAGCACACACATGCAGCTCTCGATCTATCCGAACGATCGTCGCCGCCGCCGCTTGCGTCCGCGCATATATTTCATAGAGTCACGAGACTCACGAGTGGTGAGTACCGCGTAGTGTGATACGCGAGCGCTATACGCGGGGAGGCCCCGCGCTCAGCAGCGATCGATCGACTTGCGTGTCGTGGCTGCGCTGCTGCGCCGTCAGCCGAGGGCTTCGAGCTTAGCGCGTTTTGCGACCCTATATCGAGGGTCGCGGTCCGCATATACCGGTACCGTACTGTAATACGCGCACATCAGACACGCGCGGCGAGCCTGCACTTTGACTTTCACGATGCATGGTGACTCCTCATATAAGTCACAAGTGTGGGTCATCATGACGCGCGGTGATTCGATGCTCGCGGCTCATCTTCATCATTCCCGCGGGTAGAGGGGGGAGAGGGGGAAATGCTGGAGCAGTTGACATTCAGCTCATACTTTATATCTTTTGTTTTCCGCCTTATGTACCGACTTATCGCGCGCTGTCAGGTCAAGCCAGGCGTCACCTTGTGCGGGAGCTGGAATCGCGATCACGTGACCGTCACCACCAGGCGGGTTTTGCTCACGGATGTCTAGATGTCGCCGGCGCAAGCGTTTCCTCGCGTGGGCCTTGAAACCCTGGTTCAAGAAAGCCCGGTGATGAGGATATTCCTATTGCGCTCGCCACGATCTCCACCATCTTCCTATCCGTGACCAGGTTCGTGTTCCACTTTACGGTGCAAGTATGCTCGGACCCAGTGCGATCGCTGTTGCGCGGACCGCCGGCGGGCTCAGACAAGCGTCTTCGTCTGTATTCAACGCCGCATCCAAGCCGATTCTCAGGCAAGAAGCATCCCTCCCGTTTCGGAGGCGCGACTCCACATCGGCTCTGCGCAGCCTTTCCAGCACGTCGCTTTCCTCTGCTTCGGTCTCTGCTCCTTCACTTTCAGAAGTGTTGGATGCTTCGCCCCTTGCGTCCAATTCGAACGGGACCACGCCTGCTCAGAGAGCTAGAGAGGCGAATTTGAGCCCGCAAGAGAGACGCACTTTGTTGGAACAGAAGAAGGAGAGGAAGCTCAAAGAGTACGAGAGTAGGCTCAAGGTCAAAGCGATGGAGTGAGTAGGGACACTTGTCTGACAGCCCGCATCGTGAGGCGGGCTAGAGACGTCTAGAGCTCGAGTTGCGCGCGTACAGCTGTACACGGAGCTCATTCTGCATTGCAAACCTTTGTCGACGAGCGCTCCAGACAGGGGTTATCACTGGACGAACTCACCGCACAAGCCAGACAAAAGTCAGAGGCCGCAGCAAGAGCACGGGTCGATGCCGCCAAAGCTGCTGCTGATTCCTTCGCGGCATCTCAGCAAGGGCAGGAGAGCGAATTCACATCTAGCAATGGCAACGAGTCTTTGGAGCAGAGAGATGCTCGATTGGCGGCAGAGATCAGAGCTCGAGCGGAGGCTGAAGCGAAGCGGAAATTGGAGAGTGGAGATGTTGGCAGCGGACCTGGAGGCAGCGGTGTCAAGGTGGGTTGAGTAGCGACACTGATGTCGGCGGCCGAGTCGATGGGAGCTGGATTCTGACCCACGAAAGCCGCTTCATGGCCCACCACATTGCAGCCACTCTCGTCCATCATCGCACTGGAGAAGCTGATAGAAGCGGACCCTGGCAAGATTGGAGAGCTGTGGACGAGCTATCACACGCTCAAGAACAAGCTCTCAGCAGTCGTACCTTCGCACATGTACTCTGCCATGGTGGAGCGGGGACAGAAGTACAAGCAATTCGTCCTTCCGCTCCCTCGCAAGATCAGCGTCTCACCGGAGACGGATGACGTGCAAGGAGAGTCAGAAAAGCAGGGCTACGAAATGTACCTCTGCGAGTGGGCCACCTTGCCTCCTCCACCCAAGCCCCCCGTGGCGCAAGGGGCAGCACCAGAAGCTGCAGCCTCTCCTCTGCGTCCAGCTACGGTGCTCTTCACACCACTGGCCGAGTATCAGCTGCGCCAGGAATACGCACAGCCAGTGCTAGTGGTCACCTACTACACTGATCTTTCCTCTTCAAAGGGGGTAGTCCTCATGCGCGGCGAAGTGACAGAAGCGTCCAATGCCGAAGCAGCTCCAACAGGTTTCCAGGCCGCAGCAGCGGCAGCGGCGCGAGGAGCGAGCGAGGCAGAGCAAGAGAAGCTGACAGCTCCATTGCAAAGCGAAGCCAAGCTGAGCCAACAAGATGCTCAGCTGCTCATCATGAGCTTGCAGAGGTTCTACCTGCCTGCTGTAGCCAATGCAAGCGGTGCACAGGAACGTGAAGAGCTGCTGCAGACTTTCCACAGAGAGCCGGAGAAGTTTGACGTTGATCGATTGTGCAAGCTGGCCTTTGCCCTCGTGTAGATAGACCCTCCTCTGACAGTGCGTCACTCATCCATTAGCATACAATAGCATCTAGATGAGCGGATTCAACTTGCGCGTCGATGTCTTCATCACTCTCTTCTCCCTTCAATGACATTGATTCTGTCGTGGTCTAGTCGTATACTGCATCAGCGAGCGAGGAGAGAGTTCTTGGTCAGCTCGCATACATGCACTGGAAGGAGTATACCCAGACATGTTGGGTCCTAGCAGCGCTTGCGCTGTTGAAGGCGTCGAGCCTGCTCCAGCATGACACTGCCCATCATCGACTCACCATGCACCAAAGCGCTCCACAACGTCCACCAGAGCACAAAGCTGAAGCCAAACTCCTGCGCTCCTTCGAAAAGCCAACCGACCCAAGCTAGCGCTAGCGTTCCGGCGCTGGATCCACCTGCCCTTCCGGTCGGTGCGTTGGTTTTGAGTGCAAATGAGTGCAGGTGCGCTTGAGGTCGAGAAGGATTGGCTAGCAGAAGGACAAGGAGGATGTTGGTGAGGACCAAGGCAGAGAGGTAGACCAACAATCCTGCCCAGGTTCGCAAGCCTAGCACGCCAGCTGCCGAGCCAGCAACGGAGAGCAAAATGGAGCGCACACTGGAAATTTGAGGAGCGATAGAGCTCTCCGTAAGACGATGGCTAGGCGCAATGCATGTAGCGACGAAGCGACTCACTAGTAGAGCTGGGAAGTGTTGTGCTGCAATGCCTCGGGATTCAACCTGGCCGCGGCCAGCTGTGCTTGTGTGGGCGTCGCATCCATGCTGAAGGCTCACAGTGCGCTCTCTCTCTTCTGAATCGAAGATGCGATCGTGCTTCTATGATGTCGATGCACGCGTAGACCCGATTGTAAGGTTGATGTGTTTCATGATTGCGCATGGTGAACGCTTCGTCAAGTGTGAGTCGATCAATCACGAATCCCGCGCGGTGTACAAGAACGATCGAGCCGCGGCACGTTTTGTGCGTGCACGATGCCTTGGGCGCACGTGATCGATCACTCCGCCCCTCACTTTGACTCTTGACTTTCGTGCCTTGTCCTACAAACCCCACAACAAGGCAAGCCGCGACCACACTCCGTAAATATCTACCAAAGCATGGCTCTGTGACAGACCACCACCAACAGCAGTACCAGCAGCCGTGCGACCTCAGATGCCCTGGAGTATATCCGCTGGCTCTTCTCATAGTCGATCCCCGGCTTTCCTTTCTCGCACGTGGGCCTGGGCGCTTGCGTCAGTTCCAGACGCTTTGTGGAGCCCTTGAGGAGTGGCATGGCCTAGCTCCCGGGTACAACAGTCGCTTGCACCGCCCATATAGCCTTCCATCGCGAGTGTGAAGTGGGGAGCTTGCATCCCTTCCGACAACATGTCGGGGCCAGCCCTGGGTTTGCCGCGAGGACCTGACAAGCCATCAAAGGCTGTCAAAGGCGGCACGGCGCCTGATCAAACAGCAAGCACAGCCAGCTCGAGCGTCTCTTCGGTGCACGTCTCCATCGAAGGAAAGCCTGCAACTTTGAGCTTTGACGACGACCTCTTTTGGCTTGCGCGGGGAGGAAGCAGCGCGCACGCTGTGAATGGTGCGGACCGCGCATTAGGTCAGTGGTCCGGCCCTGCTTGGCAGCGATTCCCGTCCTGATCAAATCACGCATCCTTTCCTCTACTTGTCTCCGGCGCGGACGATGTAGACCCAAGGCACGCCTATATTTGCGTCCCAAACGCTCTGGTGTTGTACTCTTCATTTGTGCCGGACTCGGATGGCGGCTCCTTGCTTGTGCGGCTGCTCGCACCACCCGCCAATCAATCCAACCCTTTAGGCCCCTTTGGATTCAAAGCGCCGCCATCCAAGGCATCTCAGGTTGCCTCGCTACAAACAGCATTGTCAAAGAAAAATGAAGCCCCTTCGGCGTCGGCTGACGGAGAGGCGGCTAGGAGCAAATTGATTGCGCTTCAGGAGCAGATACAAGGACCATGCGCCAACGTTAGATTGGTCAAGATCGAGGCTCGCCTGGTGGCCAAAGCGAAGGGTGTGCACGCCCTGGAGGAGGATCAGCAGGAGCGGGCAACGGAATGGGCTGAAAAGCTGATGCGGTTAGCCTATGGGCCTGAAGCAGCGGCGGTCAAACCTTTCCGGCACCTCAAGGTACTGATCAATCCTGTAGGCGGGCCCGGAAAGGGAGTGCAGCTTTTCCACAGCAAAGTGCGGCCGATCCTCGAAGCCGCGGGATGCACCTTGGATATTCAAATTACCACGCACTCTGGTCATGGTCTTTCCATCGCTCAAACAATCGACATCAATGCTTACGATGCCATCGTGACGGTCAGCGGCGATGGCATGCTGCACGAGATTCTGAATGGATTGGCAAAGAGGCCAGATGGCGCAGAGGCACTCGAGAAAGTTTGTGTGGCTCCCATCCCGACCGGCAGCGGTAATGCGATCTCCGTCAACTTGCTCGGTGTTAAACAGGGCTTCAGCATGGCATTGGCCAGCTTGAATGCCATCAAAGGGAGACCGCTTTCGCTCGATGTGTGCAGCATCACCCAGCCACGCTCCGACACGCTACCTGCTCGCGCCTCGTCTACTGATGGCAAGGCGAAAAGGAAGTCGCGCGCTCTAAACGCCAGCGTGGTCTCTTCTGCGACGGCGAGCCAATCGGCAGCCGTTGACGCCGCCGAAGCCTCGTCTGATCCGCCAGCGCTGGAAAGAGCGCCCTCGCAAGCATATACGCATTCCTATTCCTTCCTTACCCAGGCGATCGGCTTGATGGCGGATGTGGACCTCGGTACCGAACACATGCGCGCACTAGGAGATGCGAGATTCATCATTGGCTACGTCGGAGGCGTGCTCGCCAATACCCCCTGCGAGGTCGACATACACGTCAAGCTTGGCGCTTCCGGAACGACAAATCGTGCGGATATGAGACGGCGTGTGGCCCGTTTTGCAGAGGGCAGTCAAAGTCTTGACTCGACGCATGATGGCGGGTTGCAGGCTGCAGGGTCTGGTGAGGAAGAGGATGCACAACAGGTCGAGAACGCGACTCTGGAATGGACATCGTCACCGCAGCGGGCGAATGGCTCCGGGCAGACATCGAACGCGGCCCAATTGCGGCACGGGAGCGTGCTGGACCCGCTGAGTGGTCCATCTCAAGAGGCCTTGCCCGTGCTGGACCTCCAAGATCCTTCATGGCCTCACACGGTCCTGCCCGTCTTGCAAGGCGCGACCACTCCGACTGGCTGGGCCAAAGTGGATGCGCGCATATCCGGGCTCTATGCCGGCAAGTTGCCCTACGTGGCGAGGGATCTGATGCAATTTCCCTACGCGCTTCCCGGCGATGGCCTATTGGATCTCGCACTTCTACTGCACGACGGCGGTCGAGCGGGCAAGTTACGAGCCATAGACGGCGCGGAGAAGGGTCAGATCATCTATGATCGCGCTCTGTCTTACTTCAAAGCGGAAGCATATCGTGTTACGCCCAGGAGGAAAGCAGGTGACAAGGCTCTCAAAGGAGGTGGACTACTGAGCATCGACGGAGAGCACACACCTTATGCTCCCTTTCAAGTGGAAGTGTCCCGCAACCTCCATTTCAAGGTGTTGAGCCTCTTTGGACGATTCGTCTGCCCATTGGTCGAGCCTCCAGCCCCGCCGGCTGGTAGTTCAGCGTGACGGCAGTGGCAGCAAGAGCAGAAAGAAAAACGCGATTCGCAGAATGCGGCAAGAGGCGATAGCCCATCGTCCTTCTCCAACATCACGCTTTTCTCGCAGGTGCCCATTTTGGACAATCACCCTGGAATGATTTTACCCGTGGTTCTGCTCTTGCTGCTCCCAATTTGGCTTGCCTGGTGGGCTTACAGGCCCGGCCCGTGAGCACTCTACCATCAGCTTTTTCCTTTTCCCTGCTAAAGGAGAGGGGGAGGGGG